TTCATCGGCCCGTATTGGGATGTCCTTTTCCAGACACAGAACTGCTGGGACCTGGTTCGATTTATGCGGCCGACGAGAGGTATACGTCTGATTTGGATCGACTCTCTTTGTATAAACCAGAGAAATATGCAAGAGCGCGCAGAGCAGGTGGCAAAGATGTCACAGATCTACAGGCACTGCACCAAGGTTGTGGTGTACTTGGGACCGGATGTTACACCTACTTTCGATGATCGGTATCCTCGTCGTCAATGGCTTCATGAGATGAGCATAGTATCTATGAAACAAGAACTTGAAAAAATCTTGGAGCGAAAATATTTTAAAAGAATCTGGATTATTCAAGAGTTGGTCTTCGCTCCGCGCATGGCCATGCGTGTTGGCCAGAGAGAGATCAACATCGACTCGAGAACCACTCTCATAAACTGGAACTGGGAAGAATGGCCAACACCGTGGTTTGAGCACGCTTGTCGGCAAAAATTTCTGGTGCAAAACACATGGGATGCTTTAGAGCTTGTCTCCAAATCTCGGTGTACGGATCCCAGAGATCGTTTATTTGCTATACTAGCTCTACTACCTAGCCCCAATCATGGGATTGAGCCAGACTACTCTGTGTCTGCACAACACGTGTGCATTGGGTTCTTCGCGCATTGCCTCTTGGTAGAGCGTACTGGTTGGTTTCTATTTTATGCCACTGGCGTTCTACCTCAGAGATCAGTTCCTTCATGGGTCCCTGAGTGGAATTCAATAATAGAGTGGAAATATTCCAAGCGTCCAGCTGACTATGAATTTGATAAATTACGCTATGAGCTTCGAATGATGCCGGGCGTTATAGAAGCGCAACACAGACTTATAGAGCTAACCGGCGACTCTGTGGGGGTTGGAAGTGGAGGTAGGCTAGAAAAGTTTCATGAAAGAATTGAGAGAATAGGCAATGATAAACCCTTGGTGTGTTCACGGACTGGTGCCTTGCTTGATATGCGCCTACAGCACTTGTTCACCATACCTCATACTCCTACAAAGATGGGGGCCAGCCAAGAGGGAGGAGAAATCTTCAAGCTGAAGCAAAATACTGGCCCGGCTCTTTACATAGTCAGCAAGGTAGAGCTTGACAAAATAGTTATGCCCGGATGTGACCATATCTTTCACCTCCCCACCGAAACCAGAGAAATTTGGCTAATCCTTCGCGAGGAAAATCAGATGGAAGAGCCGCTACCTGGCTCCACTGCTACTCAACACCCAGTTAAGAAAAACAATGACTATTATTTGGTTGCTGCTTGCTTAGACCTTTCTTTCGGGCTCAAGACCAGGTCCGAAGAACTATACATAGGGGACACGCTATATGGAGAAATCCGGAGATTGCAGAACATCTTGAACACGACTTCAATTGGGCTGAGCTCGATGTTCCATATAGTATTCTTTGACACAGGTTTAGAATCGATTGTCGAAAAAGTGAAGTTGCCTCGGTTAGGATACGCACCGGGATACAAGCATTGGGATATATATTGGATGATTTTACCGGTGTGCTTTGGATTATTCAGGGAGCAGTGGCTTGAGGAGCCGTGTTTCGACGCTTCCTACTTATCTTGTCTTGACCCAAAATATCAGCCCGAAGATGTCAGCGGCTATTTCAGAATAAAAATACCCGGACCGCCCAGAGAGTGGATATATCGATCAACACAGGGCAGTCTTCAATGGAAGATTGATGATGGTGAATGGCAAACGTCTCCACGAATGCCCTCAGGCGACGACGGGTTAGTGCGGAGCACTCAACTTAGGGTTCGGAAAGACGAGATTCGGAATGAGATTTATGAATTATCTAAGGAACTTTGGATTTTACGATCGTTGGAATTGCTACGAAAATATTCCGTCATTTCTACTTCCTCTACTCTTCCAGAGCTTGTGGACGCAATCACAAACCCCCGAGAGGAATACAAATCCATCATGACACAGGATTGGCGTCGTGAATTTACTGTTGATGGAAGGTTTTACGATGTAAATATAAAGTAGTGTTGCAGGTGCCTCAGGCACCCTTAGGCTCCACTAGAGCCATATGGCCCTTATGGCCATATATTGGCACTCCGCCATCGTAGTTAGGAATAAAGCAAGCTTTCTTCCTTTCCTCTTCCTTCTTCTTGGTTGCAGTTGTACTGTAACACGAAAATTACATCTCATACAGAGGAATGTGCCTAGATAAACTGTTTCGTATACTGCTTAGTAGGTAGGTATATACCTAATAGTGAGTTTATTTGGATAACAAGAAGTCATAGGTTAGTTACCTAGGTATATTAATCATAGAGTAATAACATATGATAAACCTATTGGTCGTCATTCTAACATATCCATCGTGTCGCCAAATCGAAACGCATAGGTGGTGGGTAAGGTTAGAGGCATGGCCCTGAGGTTATATCTCTTCTGGGGCATTTCATGTAAGGCTCCTCTCGATTCGCAGTGCCTTCGGGCTTCCGTGTAGAACCTCCTCATGCCTTCCCGTCAAACTTGGTCAGATAGTCGACTCTATCATATGCGAAATGACTTTACAGTTCTGTCGATTTGGTGAATATCATAGACGGTGCTAGGGATGTCGCGACTTCGTGTGAGCGTGAAGGTACTCGAGCGATGAAGACGCGAGCCCCAGGTGCATCCACACCGCTAACAATGGCCTGTGATTACAATTCAACATACAGACATACAGGGGTGAAGCGGCTTCACATCGAATCTGGAAAGGTGCGTTTCCAAATATGACCATTTTGTCGAGTCAGAAATGTCATATTATAAAAACTACTAAAAAAAGAAAACTACTTCATTGAGTACTCCATCGGATTATTCATGAAACACCACACCTTTTGGAATTTGCGGCGCGGAAGATGACAAGTCGGAACAGAAGAAAATGGAATGCTGCGCTTATGCGTTAGGTAGATCGAATACCGATTGGAATCCGTGAATGTAACTGTTGGCGTGAGGAGGCTTGTACTGTAGGTACATCGTGCTGCTGATCGTCTGCTAAATATAGCAACCGTCCGTCATCAACTGTTGTCTTAAACCTGTGCCGCCTGTGGATGTTGAGCATTTCATGACTGTGTACTATTGCCCAGCCCTGAGTGATAGAGGTTATTAGTACCTGAGTATTAATTATAGGTAAACACCAAATGGATATTTGAACCTCGAGAGTCAAGGAAAAGAAATCTAGCCTAGGCAGCTGTTTGGCAGAAGTCTTTATTTACCTGGGCAAGACCAAAGATCATCACAACACCATCATAAGGTGCAGTGCCCCATGTTTCCCCAAGGCCCTAAAACCCTAGCAATGGCTTCTGCCTTACGCCGCCTATTTAACCCTGGCCTAGGGCTGAATGATAGACATATTATTACACGTACCTGGTAGGGAGGTCATACCAACTGGATGTGGACTAATGGAGCTACATATATTATTCTGTTGCGGAGTATTACACCACTGATCAGTTTGTATCATGCATCACACATGTTGTAACTTGTAACTCGTCTAATGTGCCGTTTCGAGCTTAGAAATTAGCATGCCTTGTTCGTATCCTAGCTCACCTACCAATGTAAAATATATAACTAGACTCACTAAGGGTATGGTAGCCCAATAAGACATCTGTGCCAAAATCAAAAATTAAGATTGACTATTCCGAATTTAGAAATTAAGAACAGTGCTACGAGTACGTGAAAAGAGTGGATTGTACTTAGAGAGGCTTATGGATAAGTAAATACTGTTATATACGTGTACAGCTTGCATAAAAAGTACTTAAGCTACCATACTACTTTATATAGTAAGCTAAGTACTGGTTATATCCCTTTTTCCTACATACCTAATAACTTGCATGTACGATGCATTTATGATTTAAACGTGACTTTTATTAATAAGCGTAAAAGGCACTAAGCTAGTTACCTACTTGTTACACACACTTCTTAGCCACATATACCCTAGCCACATATACCATAGCCACATATACCCTAGCCACATATACCCTAGCCACATATACCCTAGCCACATATCCCTTACCTATACCTACCACATTTCGTATTAATCAAAGGTCTAGCCTCTTATGTTGAATAATTTTCTGATACATATAGCTACATATATGCAACCAAATCCAATTGAAAGTGCATTCAATTAAGAATTGATTGATATAGGTCTCGAATTGAGGCGATACGTGGTTGCAAAGTTAATCAACTAAATAGGTGGCAGGCCGGACGGCACGTGATCACCCCTAGAGCCATAGTAAGAGCCCTTGTAGCCACGCTAGGAGCCCTTGGAGCCGCCTGGAGGTCACGCTAAGGGGTATCACGTGATGACACACGATATATCTACCTGAATAACCTTTCAACCAGATATCGCACCAGTATGCAACCTACATCATTCAATCCGTAATTAAATGAGCTTTTGATTGATACCGGTTGCATATATGTAGCTATATGTTTCAGAAAACTATCCATGTGGGAATAGTTATTACATAATCTTATATAGCCATGTCACATGACCATACGGGTAAAAAATATGACATTTTTAAGAAAATACTATTCAATTATCCAGTATAACTAGCTAAAGTACCGATATACATGCCTTTCTTTCTTAAAAGGTGGGACTGCCTACTAAATTCGGAATAGCTCAATCATTATTTTCATTTTGGCACAGCTGTCTTATTGGGCCACCGTAAAGGGGATAGACACACTAAGGGGGTCTGGGCCATCGTTGAACAAATACACTACTTCGTATATATGTACCTAAAGAAAAGGAAATGAGGACCGAGTCCGAACCCCTGTGCAACTATAACTCAGCCGCAGATTAGCTTGCAGATCTAATGATGACATTAACGTGTTTATGCTGGACCGTGAATCCATCATTAACGTGATTCGGGGTCTGCCAAAGGCTGTGCCATCACCTGTCTTTCTAGGTAGGTGCTAGGTAAAGCAGCCTAGTCAGACCTTTATTAACCAAGAATCACCCCTGAAAGATAAATGTCGATTTGAATTCTGTTCTTTTGATCCTTTTTCTTCTCTAAATTGATCATACCACCCAGTTGGCCTCGTTCGTTTATTCGTAAACTTCAACAACTTACCATCCGCGCGCAAAAACGATACGCAACTTTTAGTCGGCCAAAACCAGCCCAAAATAAATCAGGCAGACACAATGGATATCTCTCAGGAGAAATATGTGGTGGCAAGCGGGCCCGAATACCCTCACAACACCGAGCCTCAGTATCAGTACCACCCACAGCAGCCAATGCAAGGCCAACCGCCTGTACAATCGCCTCCCATACAAGAACACTACAAGAGTCCAGAATCGCAACCGCAACAACAACAAGCATATCCGCCTCAACAACAGCACCCCTACCCTCACCAACACCAACCACTAGACCGGTCGGCGTTTGGCCAGCAAGGCGGTAAATGGCAGGCGAGTCTCTGCGACTGCTCGCCATGCACAAGCTGCCTGCTATCATGGTGTTTCCCATGTCTCCGTAAGCGCCACACCTCCATCGCAACCCTCCCCCCCCAAAAAAAAGAGTAAAAGAAAGGAAAGAAGATACTAACACGACATGTCCCATAGTCCTCGGACAGACCTCCGAGCGAATCCGGGACCCATCGATGCAGACCGCGGACATGATGAACAGCGACTGCATGATCCACGGGCTGATAAACTGCTTTACCGGCTGCGGATGGATGTACGTTTTCCACCCTTCCCCCCCACCTACACCAAAAAAAAAGATTGCAAAAACTAACCCCCTTCAGCTACGCAATGCTCAAGCGCTCCGAGATCCGCGAGCGCTACCAGATCGAGGGCAGCGGCTTCGACGACTGCTGCGTGTCGTACTGGTGCCCGTGCTGCGCGCTCACGCAGCAGGACAACGAGGTCGTCATCCGCCAGCGCAACGCCGCGCCCCCCGCCCCCCAGGGATACCAGCCGCAGCCGGGCATGCAGGTTCCCCCAATGCCCGCGCCGCAGCCGGCGTATCAGCAGAATCAGCAGCAGCAAACGCCGCAGTAATTTTTTATTTTTTGGGAGTTGAGTTGAGTTGAGTTATCTATTCTGTGCATATAAATGGATATGGGGATATATTCGCGTTTGGGGGGGGCGGGGCAGAACTTGAGCGGTTCTTCGCTTGCATGTTGGTTTCGGCCCCAGTGAGAGAAAAAGGGAAAAGAAAGAAGAGGCGGAATGAATCAAAGTTGCGTTTGCGACGTTAACTAGAGTCGCGGGGGGCTTTTCGTTCAACCCCCCCCCCCCCCCCAACCCCCAACTCCCCCCTTTTTTCGACCGACGCAATGTTCGATGGGGGCTACAAAACGAAGTTCAAGGCTTCGTGCAAATCAATGTTATACCGAAAGTTTTTTACGTTTGGAGGGCTGTGTTGCATAGGGGGCATGATTGGCTGTTTAATACCCAGGGCGAAATAGTCATACGGATTTCATGGCGAGGCGGGCGCTAGAAAAACGTCACGGCGCGCGATATCATATTGCATGTGTACCTAGGGAGGTAGGTAGTTTATCACGAAAAGAAAGAAACAAGAGAATAAACATCATGAATTACATGCAGGTGGTAGGCAGGTAGGTATCCAACCTACATTGTGCATGTATGTCGTGCATACCTATATATATGCTGTGCGATGCTGAAAATTCGATGTTGGCAGTGAGAAGGTGTGGGAGAACTTAAACAAAACACCAATAACTATGGCTCGACTTACCAGATCTTTAATCGGTTCAATTTAGATTCATTGATTTCATGTAAATGGGTAGGACGTATATATCCACGACCTCAACGTTTGCCATGAATCGCCACAGTTAATTGCCACCCCTACCAATTTCGGATCAGCTACTTCATGAGCAGCCCTCTTCCTCGCCACCTAGCTAGCTGCCTCCCTCCCTCCTATCATATAGTTACAGCCGTACACACACAGATACCCAAGCAAACAAGCATTAAATGCCTTCATGCCTTCAGTCGCATAGCTTCGCCCGCTCCCATCACAAGGCTGTGCACCATACCATCCATGCCATACCCATATTCCCATCAACTCCCTTCAAGCTTGTGTAGAAAAAAGAAGGGAAAAGACCCTCCAAAGAAAAGAAAAAAAAGAGGCAGCTTGCAACACTGCGCCGCCTTCGTAAACCACCTAACCTACGTACCTAGTCCATCCATCCATCCTTCGGCGCCGGAAGCCGAAAATAGGAAGAAAAAAAAAACTACGTTACCGCGGGCAGCAAGCGTATAAGAACCCTTGTGCGTCCCTCCCTCCCTCCCTTCCAGAGACTTGGCCTGGTCTGCTGGTTAAGATTAGAGGGAATCAACCTTAATCTTCCAGCAATGCTAGGTATTTATCTATCTATCCGTTATGCTCACCCACATTAGGTATGCTATCCCGCTTCCCGGATCCGGAAGGGGAGGCGTTCAATCTTGAGTTGTGCAATTGTTTCATTTAAAGGAAACGCCGTGCAGTCGCTTTCTCGTGGGCTAAATACCTAGGTAGGCATATTGTAGGTACGCTTTGCATACCCGTTTGGGCTCTTTATTGTCCTACCTAGAGTATGTGATAAGCCTTCCACGGTACATATATCATTATATGAAAAGTCATTGACCATGTTCTGGCCGGCGACGTGAACACTACCTAGGCAGGTATTAGGAAAACCAAGAGAAAATGAAACCAGATTGATAGCCGCCCAAGTTCCCGCCCCTTATTATTTCTTTCGCCCTATGTCCTCCAATTTCCTGCCCATAAGGAACGATTTACATGTAATAATCACAGCTTTACCTAGGTAGATACTGGAATCCAACGCGTCTACATACCAGGAGCGTCCATCCACTCTCTCTTCCAAAGCCAGAAATACCCACTAGGCTGTAATGTGCGATTCCACCAGTGACTATAGGTGCCGCAGATTCCTAGCGGCGTAACTCGGCCCTGCCAGTCGAATCCATGGTTGGCGTATTCCTTCCGAATCTGAATAGTGCAGGCCGCATCTGAGGCGTTCACTACACCACGCAACGTAAAGCTCCCAATTCCATCTACGCAGTCCAGTGCCTCGACTGAGTACTTGTCTCCATCCGTGTCTCCATCCGTGTCTCCGTCCGTGTCTCCGTTTGTGTCTTCGTCCGGGTTAGTTCTGCGAAAGCGTATATTCTCCATGATCGGGTCTACACGGCTCCCCAAATGTAGATCGTACGTGTAGTAGCCACACCACTCTCCCTCATCGATATGTCTCGCCAGATTGCGCACTCGTGTCGTGTACCAAGCCCACCATTCGTCGCCGGAGAAGGGGTGGAAATAACGCCCCTTCTTCCCCGAGATAGCTACACGATTAGGACTAACCATGGGAAACCGTGGTCGAAGACTGGTAGCTCCCGATGGAGTTGTATGCTCAGCAGTCGGGGACGTGTCACCTGTAAGATACCAAGAGGGGACGAATTCGATCTTCTTCACGCTCGGCAGCTGGTTGGAAGCTATTTTTTTTCTGGTCATCATTGCAATGCTTATAAGGCGAGAAAAAATGTTGGGTTTTCTACCTTGTAATCCGTAATAGACGTTCTGCGTTATAAATGTAGAGATGAAAAGCCCGTGTGTCTGTTTGCCAATCCAAGATGTTCGGAATGTCTCATATCCTGGGCCCAACATGTGGCCCTTGTAGCCTACGGCATTCATGAGGCGAACCATATTGGGAGCCAGGTCGTTTCTTGGATCTCCGGAGGAGAGACTAGACGTGTAAGATGGCTGACATATCTCGAGATTGGCCATAGCCAAGCAAAAGGCGAACTGCAGAGGATGTTCCCCATCCATGGACTGGTCAATCCTCAGATAGTTTATTGTCGGCGTGCGAGGAAAGAAGATGGAACATAAATCGTCAAGTAGAGTACCAACGCCCGCCTTCTCAATGTCTGTGTCTACGTTTTTCATGCTAGTGTCAATAACGATGGCCCTATTATATTACACCGAAAGAGATTCGATAAAAGCATGCACCTACATCCCCAAACTAGTAAGGTAGATAGAAAAGCCATAAGCCCCTCTAGAGACTCCTGGGTATCTTCACTTAACTCCGGAATCCTTAGGGCCGCCTGAGCTTTTACAGTAGATGCCACTTGCTCTAATTCAGATGAAAAGCGCGGAAGTCGAGAGATAGCCATGGCAAGGCATAGCCAGGCCATTTTCGGCCCTTCATTACGCTGGCAGGGCTTCTTCGGTCCCTCGATATAGTCTCTCATGAAGCGTACCAGCGCACTCTTGTCCTTGAAGGCAGTTGACGTAATTTCGGGGAGCTAATTCCCTTGTGTCAGCTCAAAATATCAGATGATGGAAATGATGGCCTCGAGTAACCTCATACATAGAGCTCAAACGACATTTGGAAGACGGCAGGGCTGTCGCACGCTCTGTTGAGGTAACGGCATGTCGAACTCAAGGCTATGATATCCGAGGCAGAACATCTTCCAGCGATGAGCTGGAGTAACTCGATAGGAAGGTTAGTGATGGCCGCCATGATGGATACCTAGGGAGATATGAGGATCAGATGAATTAAAATGAAAGTTGAGATATTCTTCAATGACGACTAGGCCTGTTTATCAGCTTCGATGTTGCAACTTGGATCGTTCATGTCTTGGCGGCTGTGCTGTTCCTCTTTCATACCTCTATCTGCATCAATGTTGGTAAGTCAAGTACCAAGTCAGTTCCGCGTGCAAGCGATAGGTAGCAGATAGGTAGCAGATAGGTAGCAAATAGGTAGCAAATACTACTAGTAGTAGGTACATATAGCAAATAGGGTTCAGAGACCCACTTAAGCACACATCAATGATGTAGCGGTATTGTTGTATACCCTGCCTACCCTGCCTGAATATTCATATAGCAGAATCTGATGCACTGATTACAGCATATGAGATCAGAGCCAAGAGATTACTACTAGTACTAGTCTAGTAGTATTCTGTAGTAAATCAGATCGCGACACGCCATCATAACATCCCCACTATACTATTACGATGCGAAAATGCTACATGTTGTATACCATACGTACACACAGCACATAAATACATACCTGCATAGTTAAGATAATACATATATTACATATATTACCTAACGTTGTATCTGTGATTCTGTGTATATTGCATCCATCACATCTCTCTACTACTCCTTTTTCTCCATGCCGACACATCCCACTCTCCCCCTTCCGAAAAGATGGCTAATCTGTTAAATCTACCTAACGAAATCCTCCTCCTCATCCTGGAGACCCTCGCCCTCATCGACCTCCAGGCCTTACTTACCGCGCAACGCACCAACCGGCGCCTCCACATCCTCGTCCAGGATGCCATCCACAACGTCCAGAACACCGCCATGATCGGCTACTCCCCAGCAGAAACCGCCTATTACACTACGGAGATCGATCCGAGCCCGTTGCAAATAAATCCGCTATGGCGAAGCAAATTCAAAGGCCTATTTCACACGGCGGACTGCTTCACGGCGGCGGATAAGAGAAGACTCGCGTTCCTGACGCTGCACGGCGACTACACGCTGCCCTTCCGGCGACTGCCCTGGGCCCACTCGGAGGCCACGCGCGCCGCGTTCCTGCGCCCCGAAGCGAGCTGGCGCAACCTCAGCGTCACCTTCGGCCAGCGGCCCATCACGCACCTCGACGTCATCAAGAGCTACTCCGCTCCCGGCGGGGACTCGGTCGAATACTACCAGCTGGACCTCGCGCCTTCTGGCCTGACGATGGGGCTCTTCTACGAGGTCCTGCTCTGCGATGAAGCCACGTACGGGGAGGAGACGGGCAGCTGGGAGCTGCTGGTGGGCCAGCGGCTGCGCAGCTACGACGTCCTCGCCGAGTACGAGTGCTACATCCCGGGCGACCGCGAGCTAATCGACGCGGGCGAGGGCGCACGGCAGGCTGCGGTGCTGTATGTCCGCGGCGGCCCCGTGACGCATAACTATACTGTCGGGGTCGAGGAGACGAGCTGGATTGTGAAGAATCAGGCCAAGCAGAAGTTGCTCCCGTGGCAAGGGCCGATTCAGAATTTTATATTTACGGGATACTACGAATACTAGATGGTAGAGCTGAGTAATATCTAGGGGAGAAGAACTGCCTAACCTTAGGTACGTAGGTAGGAGTCCGAAGGAAGCTGGCCGGGCTTTCTTCCTCCTAGAAATTTATGACCTGGTAGGGATGTAGCATTGTGGACTAGTATTATCGTTAACGTAAGAATGAAAGATGTGTCCGTCGTGTGATTCCATAACCAATCAAAAAATGCTGTTGATAGTTGTTGGTATTAGGTGGTGAAACTGCGTGGAGAAACATTATCTACATCCCATCCGTATAACGTTTTCTATCGTACACGCGAGCACCGAGACTAAAGTGCCCGGACTAATGCAACCTTGGAAGCTACATATTGTAGGTAGTATCTCGGGGATCAATTCATCACATCTATGGATGCCTATACGCACATACGATGCAGTTGCCTAGGTTAGTAGTTAAGCACTTGGTAGATACTTTTTTAGTACTACCTACAGGGCTACTGAATATCTATGTCATGTATATGTCATGTATCACTTCAAGGTCGGTAAGACGACAGACAATGAGGAGACATATGTTTCAATATAAGTCGTGGGTGCAATTAATTAACTCTCATTACTAATTTGTCAGCAAAAAGCAAAAAGACACTCCCACATCGAGGCAGTAAAGGAGGAGTAACCATGGAAGATAATGGATTCACCGCCTCTGCCGCCTCGACATATCATATTGTACCTCCGACATACATCGGGAATCGCCTTACTACATTGCTTCCAAGCCCAAAACGGCTGACGAGAAAACATGGATAAGGCAGAGCTCGGCCAACGAGAGGGTTCGATGTTCTTACTATTAGATCCATTTTCTTAATATTACCGGGAAGGCTTAACTTCAGTGGCTAATGGGAAATCTATCCGATTCTTTCAGAAGCCAAAGGTCACTTCCTATGCATACATATGTAGGTATCAATGTGCATATGTAGGCAGAATACCTAAGTAAGTGCACAGTAGGTAAGTACTAGGTATTTAGGTACCTATAATATATCTGGATTTGGTACGACTTATGGCTGCCTTGCATTTTTCTATAAAGTCTCGAACCACCTGCCCGCTTCTTTAAGAAATATTTTATTGAGGGGTAAAAAGTTGAGTATTAACATATAGTAGTTTATAGACTTCCAAGGTTACTTTACTCTAATTACAACATTAACACTTGCTATTGCAACATCTCTTCACCTCTTCTCTTCTTACATATCCACCAATACAACCTAACTAAAATCACCGACCATGGCACCCTTCGCTAAGCTCTACTCTTACCCCGGCAACTACCGTGTCACACGGGTAAGTTCTTCATCCTTACACTTGTTATAAATACTTTTCTATTCTTTATTACCGTGTCTGAGTATTTACATATATCTTGCATGAAAGTCTAACATACATCACAGGCTCAAGTCGTAGCCGCCATCAATGGCCTCGTCGTGCCCCTCGTCGAGGGCTTCAAGATGGGCGTCGACAACAAGACGCCCGAGTTCCTCGCCAAGTTCCCCATGGGCAAGGTGCCGGCCCTCGAGTGCGCCGACGGCTTCAACCTCGCCGAAGGCGCCGCCATCTGCAAGTACCTCGCGAACTCTGGCCCCAAGGCGCAGCAGCTGCTCGGCAGCGACGCCAAGACGCAGGCCGTCATCGACTCGTGGATCTACTTCTCCGAGAGCGAGCTGAACAACAACATCTCGCCGCCGGCCGGCATGACCGTCTTCAAGATCGTCCCCTTCGACGAGGCGCGCTACAACTTCTTCGTCGGCGGCGTCGAGCGCGCCCTGCAGCGCCTCGAGGTCGCGCTCAAGGGCGGCAAGAAGTACCTCGTTGGCGACAACCTCACGCTCGCCGATGTCATCATCGCGGGCCCGATATCCTTCTCCACTGGCTTCCTCATCGATGCCGAGATGCGCAAGGGCATCCCCAACGTTGTTGCGTGGATTCAGAACCTGACCTCGCTCCCCGAGTTCAAGGCGCTCGGCGAGCTGAAGCTCTGCGAGACTCGTGTCAAGGCGTAAAAAAAAAAAAAGAGAGATGGAAAAAAAATTTCCTCGGGCGGAGTTGGTCAGCGGAAGAGAAACAGGTGGGCCCTTTTACCGAAGCGAAAAGTCCGAAGGCCGAATCCAATACACTTTACAATGCTTGAGTTGTAAGGTATTTATTTATACGGCCTGGTGGTGAATTGATGAGCCACGTTACTGTAATCCAACGACTACATTAACCTTGAATAACACTTCAAGACTATGGGCAGGTAGAACGGACACCTCCTTAGACGTTACTAGGTAGTTAGTAGCAGTTACGTTAAAAGCCATCAATACATTGACATTGCAATAACCTCACTTCGCTCTATAACTGTCGTGCCATCGTTGGATAAATAATTACTGATACTACTTTACCACCATGATGTCAACAATATTTTTTCCACCACCAACTATTCCCATCTATGCATTGATAGCCAGGTTTATAGGGTTCTTTGCATCGCGACCTTGCCAAAATCTGGTTAGTTCCGGCATAGGGCGTATTTGTACTTGACCACCTGCAGCAACGGGGTTCCACCTACATAAGCTGATGATAGTCACCATGATTCCCAGACTCAGGTAGGTAGGGCACCTAGGACCTAGGTAATATACGCTACTCTATACCTTCCCAGTAAGCCAATGCACTCTTACCAGCATACATTTACGTACCTTGCATCATCGCAACCGCGGGGAGAATTGGGTAGCTACCTACCTATACCTACAAGACACATGCAATTGTCGTCAGCTACGCCCTAATAATTACAAGCTAAGTACCTAGGTATACTAGAATGTATATGCTACCAAGGATGACTATATTTACACGTGTAGAGATAGTTAGATCAGATCACTCGTCAGGTAGCAGTATCCCACACTACATACTTACCTCCAACACACGTACCTCAAGATCTCGCACCATCACCTAACCTCACCAGCAGTCGCCATGGCGCAAACCACAGCAGCTCCCCAACCCTCACCCCCAACCCCTCCATCCCAAACCCACCACACCATCGTCGCCCTCGAAACCTTCTTCGTCCCCATCCCCCCCCTCACCCTGCCCCCAGGGCACACCTACACCCTCCACACGTACCCCACCACCACGCCCTCCCAAATCGCCTCGCGCATCCGCCCCGCCAGCATCCTCATCCTCTCCATCGCCCCCTTGACCGCCGCCCTCCTCTCCCCCTCCGCAACCCCGCACCTCCAGCTCGTCGCCCTCGTCGCCTCCGGCACCGACAACGTCGACCTCGCCGCCTGCCGCGCCCGCCGCGTCGCCGTGTGCAACACCCCCGACGCCAACGCCGCAGCCGTCGCCGAGCACGCGCTCGCGCTGTACTTCGCGACGCGGCGGTCGCTCGTGCTCTCGCACAACCTGCTGGCGGCGGGGAGGTGGCCGGAGAGGCGGACGCTGCAGGGGGTGCTGGACGCGCCGGACGGGAGGCCGCCGCGCACGGCGAGGGGGGAGACGCTGGGGATTGTTGGGTTTGGGGCGGTGGGGCGGTTGCTGGGGGAGAGCGCGGGGGCGCTGGGGATGAGGGTTTTGGTTTCGGCGAGGAAGGGGGAGGCGGAGGGGAAGGAAGATGGTGTTGATATACGCGAAGGCGGCCGCACGCCCTTCCGCACGCTCCTCCGCACCTGCTCCGTCATCGCCCTCTGCCTGCCGCGCACGCCCGCGACGCTGAACCTAATCTCCGCGCCCGAGCTCTCGCTGATGCCGCCGCACGCGATCCTGATCAACATCTCGCGGGGCGGGATCGTGGACGAAGGGGCCGTGGTGGCGGCGCTGCGGGGGCGCCGGATCGCGGGCTACGGCACCGACGTGTACGCGCTGGAGCCGGCGGGCCCGCACAATAGCCCCCTGGTGGCGGCGGGACTGAGGGGGGAGGAGGAGCTGAATCTGGTGACGACGCCGCATGTGGCGTGGTGCGCGGAGGACACGGTGGCGAATTTTCATAAGAAGTTGAGGGAGAATGTAAGGTGTTGGTTGGAGACGGGGATGCCTAAGTATCCTGTTGGGTGAGGATGAGGGTGTGGATGTAAGGGGGATATGAGAGGGCGTCAGGGGTCGGTGGGTTAGGTTAGGTTAGGTGCGTGTTTGGGGATGGAGGCTCATTGACGCGTAACTACCTACCTAGGGTTAGGTACCTAGGTAGGTAGGTAGCGGTGGGTTATACGCCGTAGATGAGCGGAAGAAAAAAGTAAATATTTCTGAGTACCAACCTAGGTAGCTAAAGAGCGTTACAATCCTCCAAGTTTACCATTTATTGTTTAGGTCTTAGTTTGCTTGGTTGGTCGTTACTATCGACGCTAAGGTGCAGTTCGTTATTTCAATCAGCCCATGAACATCTTCCGGGAATGGATATCGATTGGAAAGACTGAAGGCCTTCCCGAATGACACGAGTGTTTGATTGATGCTTGTATTCTAGAAATTCTTTTTTTTCTTGAGATATTCGACGTCAGTAATAGTTGACAAGCATTGAAGCACCAACCTGTTATTCATCTGGTAGCTTTGGTTTAGGTGGAATACATCTACTCTCTCCATAAAGGGGTAAAGCCTGTTATGGTATAGAAAAGATTGCACGCCCAGCCCTACAGAAGTGGAAAATCACCAACGAACTGACGATTGCATACGCGTTTCATAAATTAACAATTAACAAACACGCAAAGGAAGCTCGCTTATCACTTTTGAGAAGGAATCAGAGGACGTGAGATGGCTACGATGCGATGCAGCCTCAGAAATAATCTCGGATCTGCACTCTGGCCCACGTCTACGCGCAATTTGGGCAATACTTTTTTTTTTCTACGCTCATCTAAGTCATCTACCGCGCAACTGGCCATAGTTACCCAGAGCAGCCCAACCTGTGGAATACGTATCACTTATGGTGCCATCGAGGCCATAATGGGCTCCGAGGTTCACCAAACGATTTTGCTTTGGTCACCTCAGATACTCTCTACCAATCTTGCGTAGTTGAAGGGTCCGGTATCACGTTGATAGGTAGGTTAGCTATGGCTCTGTTTACAGATATAAGTAACGTAGCTTAGGTAGATAATTACGAATACAATAATAGACATAGGCCCTCCCTCCCCTCCCCAGTTGGGAAAATTGGCAATGAGCAAGATCTTCAGTTTAGATGACGAGATTGAGGTAGCCTACTACATACCATCTACATTATAAGTCGTGATTTCGTATGCTGCAGCATATCACCCACTTCCTCCACTGGAGAGAGTCATAGCCCAATTGTGCTGAGACGTTTGCATCCGCCTTGCACAGAGAGTTAATTTCGAGCTTGCTTCTGGAATAAAACTGTTTAGATGAAAATGGGTAACTAAGGCTATGGAGTGTATGCTGGCGACCCATTGAGCTCGAAATTGGCAAGATGCGATTCGGCGATAGAAGTATTAAGGATTGGAGGTTGAATACGAGACGTTTAAATATTGAGGCTCAGCAATTTTATCCCCTTATGGGAACAGACCTTTTCTGGCACATGGCAATTGGATTATCCGGTGAGTTGGTAATTCTCGCGTGGGGTTTTGTTTATCATATGTGTCTGTCCGTCCGTCCTGTCTGACTGACCCGGCTATCAAAGGATAGGTAGGGCGGAATAAGAGAAGTTTGAGAGGTGGTCCCCCCTCCACCACAAAGGACTCCGTTATATTTAATACCCTCCCTACGATCTAGCCGCTTTATATTTAGTTGTAGAACTGGAAGAGAAAAACTATCTAGATAATTATCAGTCCGTTGGAGCTTGATCCATGAGCACGGGGATGAAAAATGCCGCGTGATCGGCGTCCTTAGGTCTTGGCAGCGACAATGTGCAATTTCCCTTCACCGTCTCGGTCAGGTTCGCTGGTCCGCGCACGGCGTTCCCCATGCAGGTAATAGGCTTCTCCCAAGCTCCATGGCCCTTGCCAGGCAAATCGGACGACAGCTGGGTCCCTGGGATGATGACAAACTGGTCTAGAATACGAGAACCTGGGTGAACTGCCTGCATTTCCTTTTTCCTTTTTCTCTACCTCTTGTCCCTGTCCTAAAAATATAGGAGAAAGGGGGTCCCGCCCCCAGAAAATGATAAAAAGCCCACCAACGCGCGCTCTCCTCCTCTTACCTCCTCCTCGGGTTCGATCGGATATGGGCCCCTTTTCATTCGTTTCAAAAGAACCTCTCAGTGAACGAAGCTAAAAACTGACGTGACGGTGATTGACGAAGATGCGAGACTTCGCGACACAAGCTTTGGCCGTGTTGCTCGCGTGCGCGGCGGCTCCGGCTTTCGCCAGCCCGCTGGCCATTTCGCTCACCGGGCAGCTGGGCAATGTGGGTAGTCTCTTGGGTTTGAAGGACGGCGATCTGGTGCCGAACCGGTACATTGTGCGTCTCAAGCCTGGCATCAAGGCGGAGCTACATCTGGACTGGCTGCATGCCTTGCACAAGCGGAGTGCTACCTGCAATGGCACCTCTGGTCTCAAGAGTACGTTCGGGTTCGGAAACTTCAACGGATATGTGGGCGAATTTGACGACAACATGATCACGCAGATCTTAGCCAACGTAAACGTAAATATTGGGCCATCAGGACCACCAACACAGAGATCAGCGCGCTAATTCCCCGATCCTAGGTCCTAGATGTAGAGCAAGATCAGGTGGCGTACCTATCATCGTCTTTAATGCACCAAGACAACGCGCCGTGGGGGTTGGTGAGCTTGTCGTCGTTGACGGAGCCGAGTGAGAATAAGTACCCGGACTACCCGTCGCTCAAGTACTCCTACGATAGTACTGCCGGGGAGGGCACTTACGGGTACGTTTTGGATTCGGGGGTTTTCGAACACAACGACTTCGGCGGCCGCATCATCAGAGGATTCAACGCGTGGAACGATACCGAGGATTTCGACGATTATTACGGTCACGGAACCCACGTGGCTGGCACGATGGCCTCTACCACGTACGGAGTTGCCAAGAAAGCCACCATCGTGGACGTCAAGGTCGCCAGAACGGAGGTAAATCAATCCCCCCCAAAAATCATGTGTTTTTTTTGGTCTGGATTATATATACTAAATATTACGTTTGGTAGGGCTACTCAACCGTATCGCGCGCGCTTGCAGGTTTCGACTGGGCCGTAAATAACATAACTAATACACCGGGACGAGCCGCCAAGTCCGTCATCAACATGAGTCTAGGTACATTTCTAGCCCTCATTTCTCAGTCCAGCACGTAACTAACCCCTGACCCCCAGCTTTCAAAATCTCCCGCTCCCTCAACAGCGCCATCGACGCCGCAACCGACATTGGCATCCTAACCGTCGCTAGCGCCGGCAACGACGCCGGGCCGGCCGCCGACCGGTCTCCGGGCTCCGCCAAGAGCGCCTTAACCGTCGGCGCCGCGTGCCAGAACCTGACGCGCGCCATCTTCAGCAACTACGGCGACGACGTCGACGTCTTCGCCCCCGGCGTGGACGTCACCTCTCTGTGGAACAAGCAGGACCGCGGCGCCGTGCTGTCCGGAACCTCGATGGCGGCCCCCCACGTGGCGGGCCTGGCGCTGTATCTCAAGGGACTCGAGAATAACCCTCCCGTCACGCCCGCCGAGACCATCTCCCGCGTGCAAGAGTTGGCGGCCGGCGTGGTGCGTGACGCGGGGTCGGGTAGCAAGAACTTGTTGGCTTACAACGGTGTTCGTGTTCTGTAATGGGTGTGATTTTTTCAATGCGTTTAATGGGGACGGGGAAGAGGTGGGAAAGGTTTTTGTCTTTGGATTTGTCTGTTGGCCTGTGTTTAAACTTGGGGACCCACGTGGATACGAGAGTTGATCTTCCATTCAAGCATTTTCACCACTCTTTAGCATCTGCTCTGGAGCCTAACCTAGATAAATACTTGTCCTATGTATCAGTCGAGGTAATAGGTAATCATGGATTTACCAGAAAGAAGGTAATCCAAGCTTTTGGTGAACAACTCAGCCACAGAAGTTCTTACGTTACGTTATGTCCATCTATGGATGTTTAAAGGGGTCAAGTTTTGCTGCTACTTAAGTGCAGAGAGCTCACACTTCTACTTATTTGTCACGTTTTCATGCTACCATTAATCGGATATAAACCATGCTTGGATTCCTGGATTGCTCAGCCAAGTATGAAGAGCTCTCGTTCTCGGTATCATCCTAATCCTAGTGTAGGCACCGTAGCCTCAGTGCCGGAGGTGAAAAGCCTATGTAAGGAAAACAATCGTACATGCAAATCAGCCCCCCATCCCCGTTAGCAAGAACTTTTGTGGCTTTTCCTGTACCATGCCCCTGCCAACCGAAACGAGAGAGTAAATGATGCCCTCAAGAATTCATTAGAGAAAACTCATGTTCAATCTTTTTTAGGAAAAAGATGGGGGGGTCATGAGCATCGTTACCAATGTAAAGGAACAATCCGCCGGGGTCTAGAAGCATCACTGGATCTAGCCCAAAATCCCTACTGACGTCCATGAGATCGTCCACGCCCATGAGATCGGTGGCCTGGTGGCTTTCGCGATACCTAATGGTAATTGCCACCCCAGCCGCCTTGCTGCTGGCGGCCACCGTAGTAGTTCCCAAACCCTTGATTTGCCCCGTATCCTCCATACGGGGCGTTACTGTGGCCTTGACCGGCAGCGCCAGCGAGACCGTATCCGCTACCTGCAGACTGGTTCCCATGCAGACCATGGTTCAAGTGACTAGGATATGCACCGTAGCCGCCCATGCCCTGTTGGGCTGACTGCGGAGGGGGAAGTCCAGAACCCGCAGGGGTGGTGTTTGTAGCAGAACCCGGTCTTGCTGCAGCACCAAGAGAAGGGCTAGGACCTCCAGCGACCTTGGAGTCGCCATAGGGCTTCAAATCGTCATTTCCCGATCCAGTGTTGGAAGCAGGAGCGTTCGGTGCGTTGAATGACTGGCCGGCCTGAGATGGGTAGCCTGAACCGCGTCCGAAAGTGTCGTGCATTCCGCCGAACCCACTGGTACCAAGACCGGCAGGAGCACCTGACTGTGCAGAACCTGCACGGCCATAGCTGTCAATACCAGAGCCTATTCCGCTATCACGACCCCCAAACGAGGATTGCCCAAATCCACTCGTCGCGGGCGAAGAACCGTGGTCGTAAGGGCCCTGTGGGGACATACCGTACTGGTGGGGTTGCCCATAAAGCCCGCCCTTGCTGTAAGGATTATAACTAGCACCGTACTGGTTCATGTACTGGGTGTAATAGGGGCTCGAGTAGTAAGGGTGAGAGTAAGGGTACTGATTCGCGTGCTGTGGCTGTTGGTGCAGATTGGATTGCGGCTGGCTAGTTTGCGCAGTGGCTGGCTGGCCCCCTTGCCCAATAGGGTTCGGCGTGTTGTGCCCGCTGTTGTGAGCCTCTGCAGCAGCGGCAGCAGCTCCATATCGGGTTGGTTGAGCGCCACTTTGAGGGTACTGGCTAAGGCTGTCATTTTGGCTAGCATTGTAGCCGGCGAAGCTACGGTTCGGGGCGTTTGAAGTTTCGTGGTGACTCTGGCCACCATGCTGTCCGTATTGCTGCTGCCCATAGTAATTGTTGTACGAGTTTCGGCTCTGGGGGTCAGCGGTGTAATAGGATGAATAATCACTGGGCGCAGAACTGAAAGCGCCAGTCGTCTGTGGCCCAGATGCTTGGGTAGTAGGTGTTGGAAAGCTTTCGATTGCAGCCGCAGTGGTGGTGGCTTGTTGGCCAAAGTTATCATACGGTTTCTGCGGGAAGCCAGCCGGTTCTTGTGCGTTCGTCTGGCCATACCGTCCAAATTGCTGGGCACTTGAAGGAGCTTGAGGTGCTAAATCAAAGTCAGTAAGGTGATTGGGTGGAGAATATTGCGACATACGCTGGGCTAGAGCAGCCGCGGGGCCGGTTGGAGGGGCTACGGGCGTCGCTGGTTGAGGATTAGTAGGCATGTTCTGAAAGAGGTTGTCAAGGGAGATTGTACCAGCTGCAGCAGGTGCCGGGGGAAGAGACGTAGCCGGCTTTTGAGATACGAATGCGTCTGGAACTGCGGCGGGCTGAGATACGGGAGGCAATGCGGCGCGGGGAACTGCGATGGGAGATTCAGGTGGCGGCTGAGTTCTAGTCTCGGGGTCTTCGCGGTCACCGTCAATATCATCGTCAATACCGTTCAGGCTGAAAGCACCAAACTGCACAGCAGCACGGTCAACCTCCCGGTTACCAGGCATTCGAACAGCTTCCTCTTGTTCTAGAATACGCTTTTGATAACTAGGCATACGCGGGGCAGGACGTTCGGTCGCCTTAATTGCGGTCGTCGCGTAACCGCTGGCTGCAGCACGTGGAGGTTGGTGTTGGGCCTGAGAAGCGGAAAGCGGCGTAGCAGCATTGCTCTGTTGAGGCTGTCTGGAATCCCACGAATCTGCAACTGTGCTAGCAGCCGTAGCCGTTGTGGGTGGCTTGGATTCATCGGGAAGCTGTTCGAGGTTTACTCGGGTCAAGTCGTCTTCGGGGGGTGGTAAAGCAACTTCAGGCTCGACTACCTTGGGGGCCTCCACAGGTGCGGGCGGCTGGACAACTTCTTTGGGTGCCTCCTCAACTGCAGGCTGAGCTTCGGGCTCGGTGGCTCCGGGTTCGGTGGAAGAAAGAGACTCCAATGTTTCAGTGGGTTTAGGGGCGGGCGCTTCCTTAGGCTTCGACACGGGCTTCGGGGCAGTTGACTGTCGCAGCATACTTGCCCATGTCTTCTGTGTGCCTTGAGGGATGACGTTAGATTTGGCGGGCGCAGATTCGGTAGAAGTTGTGGCAATTGTGGCAGGTATGGTGGGTGTAGTAGCCTTGGCAGGCTCGGTGGTGGGATCGGTCGGACTCAAGGCTGGGGCGCTGGGGTCATTAGTGGTCGCATCGTCGTTCGCAGTATTCGCAGTAGTTCCCCAGCCGGATGATTCTTCAGTTGGAACGGAGAGCTGTTGATTCTCCTTCAAACGATGACCATTAGTAGCTGGATGCGAAGAAGTCGCTCGACCTCTGCCGCCACCGCGACCTCTCTCACTACCACGGGCGCGACCACCTCGCGCACCGTCCGAGCGGCCACCACGCGCGGGCCTAGCATTACCGGACAATTCAGCCACACTAGCCGATGTAGAGCCGTCCTTGGGCTTAGGACGAGTGGTAGTCTTCTTCTGCTTAGATACTTCGCCCCATTGAGAGATCGTGCCTATATGATAGCATTATATTAGCAAAATGAAACAGTGGCAAAATGAGATAGCGGCCACATATTAATTGAAGACAGGGATGTAGTGAATGCTTCAACGTACCTTCCGCAATTCGCGTGGCAGTAACTTCGATGTCGCCATCTGTCTCCTGAAGGGCATAGAGGATATCTGCGTCGGACCATGTTGGGAACAACTCCTTGATAGTGTCTAACTTTATGCCGTATTGCTTTCGAAGCTCACTGACATCGCCATCATCATCGAAAGCGCCCGCATCTGCAGCTGTGGACTTATCGCCGTTAGCTCGTCGGTTTGCGGTGTTGCGGCTAGCAAAACCTCCTCTGCCACCACGGCCACCACCTCTACCACGAGAGGGTGGTGCCTGGGATCGTGCCTGAACCTCAGCCATTTCTGAGACTTGGGGTTAGGTTATGTGGAATGAAATTGAATGAACCCTCCGTGGAAGGGTACGTCGATGATAGTAGTCAAATCGGCGACCAGGTAAAGAGAGTACTAAGTGAAGGGGTGATATGTTGTAGTGTTGGAGGTTGGAGGTTGGTCGGAAGTAGTAGGATAAATGGATGGGGACTAAATGGTTAGGGTGGATAGGCAAGTTAGTTGTTTTTGTTCAGGCAAGTTGCAATTGCGAGAAAGAGGTAAGAAGAAATTGGGGGGGCGCGTGGCACCTGTAATGCGATTTAACGCAGGTGTAAGTTGAGAGTAAGGCTGACAACTTTTTTACCTTTTTACGGTCGTGTCAACAACGCGAAAGGGTAGGTGAATTGGCCAATTGTCTTGAGACAATGGCAATCGTGGTTGAAGCGAAGGAAGCTTCAATGCGGCGGGGGGGATTTATGATTGTGATAGTTATGGAGTAAAGGAAGAAGTGTGCGTGTGCGTGGTTGTAAATGTTCGTGTGAGAGAGGATGCAATCCAAGAGCTTTGTAGCGAAAAAGGGAAGTGGATTTTGGATTGAAGGCTTTTTCGGCTGTTGGAATATTGATAGTCCTTGTAAAGTTAGGCTAGGCTTGTAACACCGCACCTGGCACTGGCTGAGTGGAGACCGTTATGTACAAGTACAGTACGGCGTAGTACCTAGTAGACACATCTGGATTATGGACGTTGGATATCTCAGGCTCAGGACACCTGGAGGTCTTAGCGCTGAGATGTACTGTATGAATGTACAAAGTACTTGCTAGCGTAGGTATCGAAACAGTGCCGGATTGGTGCAATTGGTGCAATTGTGTCTCCTCTAAACTGTTTTCATGGTAGGGATGTGTGCCCCACAACGAATTTTTTAAAAATCTGATTTGCTCCCTGTCTTGAAGGCAACTCTTATTGTGGCACGTGCAAGTCAAGTATCTACGTGTACGGGGAAGCTTGATCCAAAGGGAGCTGTGAGCTTAAATGAAAGAATGACAGTCACTGCACAGTGAGGTGATTGTCTTTAAGCCTGATCGATCTGCGTGCCTTGAATGGAATCAAGCTTCTGTATATACTGTACCTAGTATCCATGCCTGGGGTAGTATAATACTGTACTATTGATTGATCTACAACCGCCGTAGGTAGTACGGAGTAGGCACCAGGCACCTTTGCTAATACGCACAGTTTCCAAGATTCCCTTCCAATTTATTTTGCCTATTAGCTATTAGTAGGCACCTGGCTTATTTGGAATTTGCAGACAATGTCGATCTACTAATATGATGTCCTATTTACCTCATGCCAGACAGACACGACATCGATCCTACCTGTATATAGGTAGCACGTTACCCAGTATCAAGCTACTAGACTAGAATCAAGTTCCAGATAGTTGTTCGGTATGAGCCAGTAATCGTTGCTGCCGTTTCCTCCTAAAATTGAAGATATGGATGGTGTATATCCGCCCGTTGATGGGGAGATAATATGGTACCCCAAGATACCTACCCTAGGTAGTATAGAGGCAACTACGTCATATTGAACATTGAAGTCATCTCGATCATAATGGAAGAATAACCCTACCTATCTCAGTACGTGATATATATATAATAATCTCTAGGTACCACGTCGTGGTTTTAGCAATGGCCTTATTCATTGATGACACACTGGCAGTCTGGCAGATGTTTTCTATTGTCTGACTCAGCCAAAGCCCGTTAATTGTCAACTTCGTTGATGTTGATAAGAGCTGGAAGTACAAGCTGTATGTAAAGGGTTTAGCGCTCCGATAAAAGATATGTAGTTAGGTAATCAATCCGTGCACGGGCCATATTGTAAGTGGGTTGATCAATGCATGGGCCCGAATACTAGGTAACTAGTTAGTTATCGATGATTCGATTCTATTCGCAACCTGGAACTACCCTAGGTATCCAACATCTACATTGTACAGAGCTATCGCCAACCCCCACCGTGTATGGGAACACTTTAAAAGGAAAAAGACTGCGTATAGGTTCAGTGACACGCGATTTCAGTGTCTGAATTTCTATACCAACTGAAAAACCCTCGAAATACCCCGAGTAAGGACCTTGCGAAATCCGAATGTCCCCGCAACATCAAACCCGAGTCATTCGCCATCATCATCGTCGTTAGTATTGACGACACCACAATCCCAAAATGGTGGTCCGGACTACTTCCCTCAACTCGCTCAAGAACTTCCTTCCTAAAATTCACCAAACTCTACTGACCCGCCGTGAATCCCAACAATTACTTGACTCCATCACCAGTTCCTTCCGGAAGAACCTCGACAAGGAGCACCCGTGGGAGCATAATGAAGACTTGACCTCACAGAAACCCATCACACAGGCCACCAAAACTATCCTCTCTGCGCCCAGCCATTCCGCCTCGTTACCTGATAGATCGAGCCGACAACTTCCGACCGATCGTCATCTCGGCGCCATCCTCTCTAACCCCCTTTTCGCCCATGAAGAGAATAAGAAACCGGCTACAGTCCCCAGGGACCCATTCGATGTATTTGATTATGCCGTGTCGAGGGGACTCATGACCCCCCGCCGCGCTGCCGGCTTCCTCGCTAAAGTGCGATCCCAAATCACCGGCGAATCTGCGGACGATATTCGACAGGGCATGGCGAAATCTGGTGCTGGGCTTCGGGTAGTCCAGTGGCTTCGTGCCTCGGGCTTAGAAAATGATTTGCAGTTTCTCTCCCATCCAAGTCTTTTCGCCGCCTTGATACCGTTCATGTATGCCGAAGGACTAGAAGAGGTGGTATGGTATTGGGTAGCGCATCTTGGTGCACGCGAAGAGACGGACGGGAAGGCTAGGTCTTGGCAGGACGGTGCTCTGTCTGCCTTGTTAAACGCTATCGTGAAGCAGACGAACACTTCATATTCCGGGCTCAAGATGAACCTTGATCGCTCATACGAGGCGATCGTTCGCGCAAATGACCTGCTGCCAATGCAAAACCAAATAGCTCTCAAGAGCTTCAAGAAAGCCTGGGTTGGTCTATCGTGGGCCTCTACAGTCTTCGCCTCCGAACGGCCAAAACCGTCCGCTCCTCTTTTCGAGTCCTTCATCAATATAGGACGCCCTCTTCATGTGCAGCTAGATATGGCCCACCTCGACCTCCACCACCCCCTAACGCCAAACCATTCTGCTGCTATTCAGTTCATGCATAATAATGCTCACCCCGCCGATCTGCGCCCAACCACCCGGAGACGACTCGTCAGCTTGGCCTTAGATGCGGCTGATCGGCTGAAGGAGGTTGGAGACGTCGAGCAGGCCTCCTGGGTTGAGCGCTTCTTATCGAGGATAGGCAACGATCTCACACTGGGTATTCTTAACCCAGAGCGTGACTTGATAGCATCAGAATTACCGATACATCGTATGTGGTGATTCTTGTAATCGATCATATGAAAAGGGGGTAGGTGTTTTTGTACTGGGTCGGCGTTTAAGGGGTTTGAGATATACCTACAGATTATGAGCGGTAAAGGAGCTTTTTACTCTGCTATCATGAATATACAGTCACGTACATACTCATAGTTAGAGAGCTGCCTTGACGGACGTTATTGTGTATATTTGGCATTGAGCCTTGATTTCACCAGCGAATCTAGGTTACTAGGCATGAACAGATAGTTCTCAAAAACCAGTATATACAATATTCAACATTACTGTATTTGTCATATTTTTCGACTCGTTATATACGTTAGGTTTGCACTCGTTCAGTGCCTATATTCCCGCCATGAACCAACTGCATCAGGGTCCATCCCACCGAACCACCCAAAGGTACCTATGCACACCCAGAAAAGTCCATCTTCATACCTACATCCATTTCGTTTCTCGTACTGTAAAGCCATTTCCCACAAGTCCAACAAACAATGGAGGACCCAGACCAGATTCTTCCAACCACCAGCAAAGGGGAATAAATAAGCAATTAGTTGAAGAAATGAACAACCAACCACACAACACAATAAATAGCCAACACTCAACTCAGTAGGAGCAACGTAACGAGATGATCAAAAAAGGGGGGGGGAGTGTGGGCAAGAGCATCATCAGCTCAGCTCAGCTCACCAGCCAACCAACCAACCAACCCTTTACTCCTCCATCCCATTAACAACCCGCAACGCCCGTCTGGGGCCCAACAAGACGCTAATGAAATTCGGCTCCCGCCCATCCAGCAGCGCCTCCGCGGACCCCCCACTCGCCGTGCTCTTCGTCGCCCCGCTCTTCGACCTCCCCACCCCAGCCCCAGCCCCAGCCCACCACCCCCCTCCACCGTCATAAGCCCACGGATTCCGATCCTCGCTCGGCCGCGGCCGCCCGGACGCAGAGGTCCCGGGGCTCGGCTCCTCGCTGCCGGAGGCAGCCCCCCACTTCGGCTCCGCTAGTTGCTGGCCGACCCAGCCGAATTGCTCGTGCGAGTTGTCGGCGCTCGACGAGTTGCGCCGGTGCTTGCGGATTATTTTTTCGCGCATCGCGGCGAGGCCCGTGCAGCCATTGTTGTTGTTGTTGAAACTGTCGTTGTCGTCGGCGCCCGAGTACCGGTTCGCAACCGCCATGTGGCGGCGGTACGCAGCCACCTGCCGGCGGTACAGCCACGCGCAGAAGCCGAGGTACAGCGCCGCGACGCCCGCGGAGCCGGCGATTACGCCGGCTGCGATGAGGCCGGCGTTTGCGTCCGACTTTTCGTCAGCGGTGGAGGTGCCCGAGTTCGGGTTGGAGCCGGGGCCGGGGCTGTTGTTCGGGCTCGACGTCACCGTCGCCGTGCTGCCGGGCTGCGTGACCGTGAAAACCGGCGGCGCCCCCGTCTTGAACGGCCCGTCTGTCGCGGGGCCCGACGCCGGCTGCGTCGCCGTCGCGCCGCCCTCCGACGAGCCGCCGACGACCGATTGGATCGCCGCGGGCACGAGGTACCCGTAGCTGCCGGCGAGCACGCTGTTGTCCGCAGATTCGTCGGCGGCGTGGTCGGCGGCGTCGAACGAGCCCTTCCACTGCAGCTTCGACGCGTCGAAGCTGTAGATCCCGGGGCTGTCGCAGCCGATCGCGGCCCCGACGTACCCGCCCACCACGACCATCTGCCCGTCGCGCGCCGCGCACTGATGGCCGGCGCGGGCGGGCGGCTCCACGGCGCCACTACTACTACTACTAACAGAAGCGTCGACCTTTATCCAGGTGAAGGCCGGGACGGTGAGGATCCAGATGTCGGTGTACTGCGTCTGGTTGCCGTAAGGCAGCAGGTTCTGGCCGCCGTACATGTAGATATTGAACGAGCTGGCGTCGGGCGCGGAGAAGATGGCGGCGCACGGGTTGACGCGCACCTGGGGGGCCTCGCCATGCGTCTGCTGGTGGTACCAGGTGCTTGTTTTGATGTCGTAGACGTCGATGGTGCTCATGGAGGCGAAGGCGTCGGTGGTCTCGTGCGCGCCGACGACGCCGCCGCCGAGGCCGAGGAGGATCCCGGAGGGGCCCCAGCCCGGCACGTAGACGAGCACGCCGTCGGCGCGCTCGGTGAAGCCGTCTTGGTTCTGGATGCCGCCCCAGGTGATGTTGCGGTACGCGCCGCCATCAGGGGCGCCGGAAGTGCGAAGAGACTCGACGCCGGAGTTGGCGTAGCCGGGGTGTGTGAACTCGAGCAGACTGTTCAAGTAGACGCGGCCGATTTCGTTCGTCCACCCTGGTGTCGTGGCCCAGTCGAGGTGGCCGCCAAAGTACCAGCTGATGCCGAGCTCTGGCACGGAGATGCCGGCGCCTTCTGCGGCTCGTTGGATAGGCTCGCCTGCGGGGTCCGAGAAGTTGCCTGCGGATGTTCGAGGGTCCTGGAATTCGCTCCAGGTCGAGGAGGCGACGTCGTACATCCACGTGGAGACCTGCGATGGCTGCGCGATGGGGTCGTCGGAGAATTCGCCGCCGTAGAGGTAGAGGTGATCCAGGTCGTTCCAGAGATAGCCGAGCGACACGGCTGGAGGTCCTGATGGTTGGGTTAGGCCGGCGAGAGCTGGTGAGTCTATGTTCCACGACTTTGTGAGGTCGAGGGTAAGAAAGTCGTTATCTACGTGGCAAGTTAGCAGAGACTGGTCCTATGGTAATATGCTGAGACCTACTCCATGTGTCGGTGACCTGATCTCCTGTCGTCTTCGATCGACCACCGTAGAAGTAAACGGTTCCATTGATTAAAGCGCCTATTCCTGTCAGTCTATCCCTCTCGAATCAAGGTATATGAATCCATAAGCTCTTACTTTGGCCAGCCCACCTTGTACAAACTGTGGTAGGGCTAGTATCTCGGTTGTCGAGAATGATGTTGGGAACTGATCTGATTACGCCGGCGTCCGCACCGCTAATTTCAACCTTCTTGCGGCCGTTATTAAAACTAATGGTAGGAAGAACAATTGTGATAAGCAGGACGATCATAGAGAGCCTATGTAGCCCTGCAATGGTGGGAGGTGGCGCACTGGAAGCAGATTTGATTGTTGGGCGCCTCGTCTGGGCCAATTTTGAAAACCATCTCGATTTCCCTCTCGACGAATATTCTTCTTCTTCTTCTCCTTCTTCTTCTGTGTGGGAAGGTTTCAGTGCTTCAACCGGCGAGGATATTTCCGAAGTCGACCCTATTCCTTCCACTTGGCCACTTTCTTCGTCTTGACGAGTCTCCGGAGACATCTCTTGGCTTTTTATCTCCTCTTCTGTGAGCCCTTCCTCCCTAAAAATCGACCGTCGTCCTTTCCGGATATTGCTAGGCATCGGGATGGTCGGAGTTTCGAAGCTTTCTCTTAAGCGATCTGATGTGAGTTGGGAATTGAACCTCGGACGCGCACCTATATTATTCTCATGATTTCCGGGATCAGTTTTGCGATGGAGAATCTTGGTGCAAGTCATGGTGAAATAGTGTTCGAGTTTGTTACAAAACTACGCTATGTTGATGGGTACTATATCGCCACTCTGCCTATGCATGATGGTGGCTTCTTGAGGGGGGAATGTCATCTATGCATATGAATATGAGGTCACGGAACAGTCTTTAAAGACCCTTTAGAGGCTGTTGAGTTAAGAACATGCATGTTAATAACAAGGGGCGAATATTAGTTCAAAGTCTAAGAGGTATTCCAATGTGACGAGGTAACATTGGCTTATGGGTTACTACATCATGGACATCGAAGTAGAATGCCATGATCGCATCAACCAGTTCCGTGTATTGTTAGGGTGTATCCCTCGATTGGGTCCAGGACCAACAGGCTGGGGCAGGTATATGCAGTAAGTAATATAGGGGCCCAGTATATGCCCAGTATGTGGTTGCTCATTTGCCCTTTTAGGCCAGGAACAGAGGATTTGACGTTAGCGATTGGCTGGTATAGAATGGGGTAAGCAGGGGTGCCAAGCCGATGACGACAGAGCACCCTCAACGGCCTGAGATCTAGTTCCATCTGGGCTTCGGGGGTCTAGAAACTGATACTCCACAAGGAGACTATGCTCCTGCCTGCCCCTTACGCCGTACTGCCCCCTACTGCCCCCTACTATGTAGTATGTACCTACGTATTTTACTAAATATATCCAATCAACCCAGGTGGCAGGTGCATGGTTCCAGATCGGTACAATACTAATTTTGTAAACAAGCTTAACCTACCTAGGGTAGATAGGTTAGTTACATAGTACATGTAACATTGAGGCCTTCACTAGAATCATTATCGGGGTCGACCTCTCAACTCCGCACTCTCAACTCCGGACGGGATTGACATACTGTTTGGCGATGCCCCTGATAGCTTGCTCGGGTTATTGAACGAGCAAGTCATCTAGGTTATAACAATGCTGCCTAGGTAGGTACTTATCGGAACATGTGTAGATTCATGTGTAGATTCTCACAACCTCACAATCTCCTCCTGTACAAGAAAGTCGGGGTAGTAGGCATAATAGCTGCAAGTATTGCCCGGGTTTCTGAGGCTGATGAAATATCCATGCGTATAGGACATCATCTTATTCACTTATAATCCCCAGGTAACAATGCTTTAATAATATTGAATATAGGTAGTGCTTATCGAGTTATTGAAGACCGGCGTAGGCAGAACTCCAGGAAAAGTCGCGTTACCGCATCGACAGTCGCATCTCTGGCCATCATTCGAGACGCATTCCATCAGGCACTTTCTGTGACTACCAATCATGGTTGAGTTGTCAGGGCAGTTGGTGCAGTCGACTATGTTTACTCCAAGCCAAGCCGACATCGCATAGCAGATATTAGGGAATCATCGGCGTCAACATCAGTTCTGCAGCTGTGCTATGCTTTAATCAGCTGGAATTCGTTTGTTTACTAACAAAATGAAAAGCAATGCACGCCCTGGCATCTGCACTGGTTCCCGGGAACTCTCTCATGAATCTGACCGCTAAAATGGTTGCGAGGAGCCTGCATTTCAGACAACCCTCATTCTCCATCTGCTGAAGTTTTCACTTCGCAAAAGAAAAAAAGAAAAAAAAATCCGGCGCGATGCCTATGTGGACCTGCGGTTTTGCGAGCTGCCAAAAACCGGCTGTTCGCACCCTCGACGAGTGTGTGCTTTGCAACCGCCATCTATGCGCCGAGCACCTTCAGCCTACATACCATACCTATCCCAAATGGACGGTAAGTACTAAGTTCAGTCCTCGACGGCAATATATATGAGTACTTGCTGAGTTGTGCAGGACGCAGATAGATACGATCCCCTAGCTGGGGAGGCTGAATCGCGCGAGCTCACAGAGTTTATCGCAAAGATCAATACCCCCGCGCTTGCATCGCGAGCCAGTCATCTGCGCGGAGGGATACCCTGCTCAATCCCTCCCCTTTCCTATGACAGAGCTACGCGGAGTTCCGTGATAGGCGGTATGAACTATCATATCGAAGTCTGTTTCGACGACGGGGTTAAGTGGCTTGCTTGCTCGTGTGCGCAGGCTCAACGGTACATCCCCTCCGGCCGCACTGCGAGACTACATCATCAAATCCTAGGTCGCGGCCCTCCCAGTTTTTCGAGCAGACGAGTGTGCCTGCTCCTAAAGTATTTGATTTTGCCCTAGAGCATGCGAACAACCCTGTGGGAGTTGGCTATACCCTCATGGAAAAGCTACCCGGACGTCCATAGAACCAGTGCATCCCCACTCAGGAGCAGCAGCGAAAAGTGCTGAGCCAGCTCGCTGACACGTTCATCGAGCTTCACAAGTATCCATTCGACCGTCTCGGCTCCCTAAATATCCCAGGAGACCTGTATATCGGGCTATTTGCCCGCGAATCCCTCACCGATTTCGCGCACGCCGAGATGCGCACCATGGGGCTCTTCTCATCGCTGGAAGATGCGGTCAAGGCGGATGATGGCGTGGGTTGGGATGAGTGGAAAGATGCTATCTCTCTATTGCCAGTCACAGGCTCGCGTGACTATCTCGATGTCTTGTTTTCATGCAGATTTATTGCCCAGATGAGCTTGCCGAGCGCATGCTTATGTAGCTCGCGCTTTGGGGAGCAAACACTGCCAAACAGCCCTGTAATTAAGCGAGCGAGCAACCCTGAGACGATCGTTAGGGCAGGTACAGCACGCTAAACTTTGATAGCCTAGGGCTATCATTTAGACATGTCAGGCAGCTGGGTTTGGGTTTGCCTCTTTCTTTCTCAAATAATTGCAGTATCGTTACATTTTCCTTACTCGGTCAAATAAGTACGTCTTTTCCTTCCTGTTACTTTCTTTCAGCATGTCTGGTCACTTTTCGGGCAGCTAGTCGTGTACCTGAGCACGTTCGGCCAGGACGATTCCTACCCCTTTCCATTGCGGGCTGTCGGCATGGAAGCTCGACGATGCAGCGCTGCGACTTCTAGGGAAGTCATCTTCTTCCTTAGATCTTGCGCTCTTCGTCAGTTTCGAAGCATGGGTAACCGTACCTTGACTATAAGTGTTGAATTGTACCTACCAAAAAGCAGGCCAACTAAAGACCAAGAGCAAGCATGAAGAAGAAGAAAAGGGGAAGAAGCGAACGTTAAAAATGAAAATGAATCTACTCTCGTTGTTAAATCGTATCCAAATCACAACCAAACTCATAAAATACATTGGTTCTACCCATCATCAAAATCACATATTGCCTATAACCTCACCGCATTCGTTAGCATGGCTGCCCAATATTGTACCGCACCATTTCCTGCCGAACTCTGGCATTTGGTATGCGAAAACCTAACGCCTCATGAAGCACGATCCCTTCGATTGACTTGCAGAGTTCTTGCCAACATTGCTGCTTGCCACGGTTTTCAACGGATTGTCATTCACCCCTATAGCCCCGACTTTGAAATGCTTCAGACATTTTCTGAGAATCCTTTCATCAGCCGAAACATCAAGTTACTCGTCTACCAAGTTTACACTCTCATCTACCCAGAAAACTGGAACGTATCTCTCTCACGATATCTGTCCGCGACTGAGAGTAAAGTCCTCCGTAGCCAGGTCCAAAAGTGTCGCCAAAACTTCCTTCCTGCTGGCATTTGGGACAAAGGCTTTATATCCATGGATGATATTCGAGAGAATTACCACCAGTATTGTTGCACAGTGAGGTTTCAGCGGCAGCTTTGGGCTGGTAATGCGGAATCCGACTTTTTCGAAAGTGTGATTCCACGTCTCACAGCCCTGGAACACGTCGTGGTCAATGTCAATTCTGATTGCAGTTGGCCTTCGCCGCTTGACGCATTCTTTGTCACCAAACACAATATCCTCAAAACGGACGGTGAGGGTCATCTGGGAGCAATGATGAACGGCTTACGAGCTTCCAATATTCGACTACACTCTCTTGGGGGGATCGGCCTGGAATCTTTTGTGATTAGTCCAGAGTTCCTCCATACAATCGCCACCACACAAGAAAACTTGAAGGATGTCTGTCTCAGGTTCGGCACTTGGGCTGAATGCAACGCTGGAAAGATGCGCGAACAAGCAAGATCCCGTGCCATTGCAAATTTTCTCAAAATGCTCCCCGACTTGGAGAATTTGTCTGTTTCCTTTACTAGACCGGACCCGAGGATTTCTTCTTCGTCTAAGCTGGTGTTCCCTGCAAAACTTCATGAAATCATCCCTCGAGGATTCAGGTGGAAGAAATTGCGCCGGGTTCACTTTCAATGCATCGAAGCTGACAAGAATGATCTGCTCACCTTTTATGAGATTCACAAGTCGACATTGTTGTCCCTTCACGTGGGCGACATGAAACTCCGTGGGTCTAGCTGGGGGATGTTGTTTGATGCCATGTACTCATTGATCGGGCCCCGATTTTCTCTTCACGGGCTCAACTTTGGTGTACACAACGATCCTGGCAAAGCGAACTTTGGCAAGCGGGAAGAAATCGTAGGGCGGGGCGATGGAGGCAGCCAAAAATATTTACCTCTATACAACCAAGCACTTGATTGCTGCGAAATCGCCGGGTTGAGCCCGGCAACGTTCAGCCCCAAAATCGCTCCCCCAAGATGCTCTGTGGTTCCGAACTACAACCCCTATTCTGACATACTTGATTCTAGCATACTACGTACTTGATTTATTATAATTAAAGTAATTCAGCGAGTCATTTCGAAAAAGCGTACCTTGAGTACTGGGAGTATAGCACGTTGTGTTAATGGGAGAAGATAAGACTGTTGTACGAATGGCTGTCGTTAGGACTAATCGAAATCAGTAGCGACATTAATAAAGTTGAATTACTCCCAGTACCGTCTGATTGATGGAAAGTTGCCGTTCTATCTTAGATATTAAGTAAGAGTTTCGAATAATACATCGTGAATATGAACTCTTCATCTGACAAATGCTGTTCAGATGTGTGACTTTACCACTCTGTGTAGGTAGGCACTACAAGCAACCTCTCAGACTAGTATATGCAACTCAACGATATCTCAAAATACCCGAGAAAAGTCTAATATTTACTGATGTTACGAAAGTTGTAAGCTGAGAGTACCTATTGCGACCGTACTTCTGGATTTGCCATACCCCTTAGAAGGTAGACCGGCCGGGCCCGGCATGACCAGAACAGAAGATGCCTACAAGCATGCCTACAACGTAAAGCAGCAGTTATCCAAGCCAACCATGCTATGAGAGTAACTCTTATAGTCAGGAAACCCACTACGTTGTAAAGTATCTGTTGAAACAAACGTGAGTCAGAGACTCACACAATAACTGCACTTGAGTAGGCAGACCGGCAACTTTGAAGTTAGCACATGTCGTTTTATATTCTTCTAGACTTGACATGCACTGAGGTTTCTATGTGACTATGTTAGATATGCTGAATAAATACTTGCAGTAGATATATACCACGTAGGTAGACAAACAGATACACAGCTCGTCACTTCGGTAAATCGAAAGCACATACCCAACCTAAGTTGCGGTTTGTTATTCACGTCAATACGCGATGGCCAGAACCGATATCTGTGCAAACTAACACATCTTTGCCTCTATTAGTGTTGGAGTCAGACGAGCCCGCTCACTCTCAATCACGACTCCCCGTAGCACTTAAATATCCCTTCTGAGTTATGCTTCCACATAACTTTCTTTCATTTCCTTGCACGTTTTTACAAACCTACTTCGAAAAATGTAACGTGCTGCCTACATGCCTATGGTGGAAAATACACACAAAATGCCTCCCCTATTCTTGACCCTCTTTCTCTTAGCGCAAGCCTTTACCCTCGGAGAATCGAAGCCCTCCAACGACCATCCAGCGGCCGCTAGTCTGACGACACTATCAAGCCCAACAGCAAATGCGGCCCTTTCAAAGTCTTGGTCGGTCAACTGGACGGCCTCCATGCAAGCACACATGCCTCTCGACAAGCCGATACCGATCATTACCAAGGGGCCTCTGGAGACGAGCCCGACGCGCAGGAACTCCAGCACCGGCGCAGCCCCGACATTAGCGACATGTGCGAACATCACATCTGTGAAGACCATTATTTCAGCCACGACGGTGACGGTATGGTCGGTGCCCAAGCTCGCCGCCACCGCCGCGAGTTCTTCGTGCCCGCCCTGCAGCGAATATGAAGGTCCACCAATACTACCATCATCGGTTGCCCACAACCACACCATCCAGACCAGCGTGATGTCCACCACTGCCAAATCTCTGACTCGGACAACGCCTGGTCTCGTGCCCATCGGGATTATCGGCCCCACGATCCTCAGCGAGCCGGTGACGATCCCCAATGACAGGGTGCCTCCGTACCCGAACCCGCCACCACTATCATCACCCGAATCCTCGCCTTCGTCGCCGCTTCCGTCCTCAACAACAACGATAGCAGGGCTCAGCGCCGCGGAGTACTCGCCCAAGTCTACGTCTACGACACCGAGTATGGCAACGATGACTACTACTACGACTACAAGTTCGACTGATTCGGGTTCGGGTTCGGCTGCAACGCCCACGACGACGTTTACGACTACGATGGACCTGCAAGTCCTCCCGGTGAACTCTGGGGGCACGACGATTAGGCCGACGCTGGATTTTGAGGAGTAAGTAGATGACTACTTCCTCTCCCCAAACTCGAAGGATACGGCGTGTGTGTGCCGGGTGGTTAGGAAGGGGCAGGTTGGTAGAGTTGGGGCGGTAGGGGGCTCGATCTACTACGGTTGTGGGTATCTGTTGGTTATTTGCCCAGGCGGCGTCTGAGACTTTACAGATCTCGATATCGAAATTTCTTTTACATAGGTACCCAGGGTACCTATATACATACTTAGGCTTTCTTTTGTAGTTAATTAGGCAAGAACTTGAAGCGTCGCGGGATATCTACCTACCTAGGGTACCTGCCTTTGACTACTTATTGCCCCTTGATTTAAGTGACTCTTACCCCTTATTAGTGTTTAAGGTATTGCTGCTGGGCGACATATTAAATCTGTAGAGACATTTCTGTTAACGAGTAGATCAGGAGTTAGCCATGCTGTTTGTTCATTGAGTTGACGGGACAGTGCCATGCGACTCAACCGTTGGTTTACGAAAACGCGCCAGTAGACACGCATACCAAAAACTCCCTCGCAGATAAACCTACCCACCTGAGTATTCACTCGGCCTTGACAGCTTCCAAGATTTCTCCGTCGATAGCTCGGCATCTCGGTTTCGTCTCTACCTACCTAGTTACCTCAACCAAGCTCGCGCTGCTGCAACTCTTCCGACCAACCCCCCCCAGCGATCGGCACGATAGAACATTCTATCTCATTCCCCTGGAGAAGAGCTATAGTTTTCCAAGCTGTCATTTACCTAAGTACCTACATAATTGCGATAGCGTGAACGCTTTCCGAGGCTTTTCTTTCATTCGCTCGCGAGTACGAACTCGGCGCGACAATTCCTGCATTGCCCAGTCCTGAGCACACGAGGGAACCCGCTGCCGCCGAGGAATCCTCAAGGGTGCGACGCATGGGAGCAGGGTTTTCTGAGAGCTGCGGGCCGCTTTTGTTGAAAGGTGACTAAGGTCGTAGTAGCTACGGGAGATGTCACGGTTTGCGTGCTTGGCCGGCTGGCTAGGGGTTCGATGCTTCTCTGGCTCTATTTTTATCCAAACCTCGACAAACTAGGTAGGTAGGTAGGTACCTGCCTGCCTGCCTAAGCTTTGCATCGTCGGGGTTTTCGGCAGGCCCGTGTACTTCGGTGTTGTTGGGATGGAGTGAAAACCTGGACTTCGGCCTCGGTTGAATTGCATCGATCCCCCGGATCCGATAGCGAAGTAGCCTACTGCAGGTGTCAGGGTGATCATCCACACGAAGAAACGCGCCAAGACACAATCGACCCTGGGTTAGGTATTATCCGCGTCGGTCGGTGATCGCAACGGGATAGAGCGTGGAGTTTCTTCGATAAAGATCTAGGTAGGTAGGTATCGAAGATCTTTATACTATTTGGCTGACAAGCTCAACGCTCGCCAAGCGTTTGCATCATGGTCGTGTGTCGCGTTGCAACAACGACAACGGCAGTAACGGCAACAATGTTATTCTGAACTCTGGTGACGATAATGAGCCAGAGTCGAAGAAGAAGAAGAAGAAGCCGGCGAATTACTTTCAGGAATGCTCGAGTGAACTGAGAAGGATCTTAGCTGGCTGATAGGTATGGTAGATGCGATACGATGTCGGAGGCGCGCGAACTCATCGTCGGTATAGATGTCGCCATCAAAATTGAGATGCAGCCGACAAAGCTCAGGTATCAATCCATAGACACCGAAGCTCAGTCTTTTGCTAACCGCTTGCACATGTCCTCGCAATGATGCAAGAGGTGGTCAGCGCCGTGCCGTAGACGGAAGGGGGTCGCGCGCAAGGAGTGAGGAATAGCGTCTTCCGATATGACGATTGTATAGTAGGTACCTATGTGGCGGCGGAGGAGGAGGAGGAGGAGGAGAAGTTGAAGATGAGATAGGGGCGTATTAGAACTTACCGCTACGCCAAAGGGTGAATGACCGGCCTACTATTATTTGTCTTGAGTATATGTCAGGTCAGTATACCTATCTAACAAGACGCAAGCTTGAAGTTCTGGATGGAGGTGGGTGCCTGGGCTCAGGAGCTCCAGGAGGTCATCAGCCAACCCTGCTTCTGCTTTCTAATCCAGCGTCTGTCAGAGGCTCTTCAGTTTCCTTTCTCGAACCCCGATATCTCTGAGAGCACGGGCGTGGATGCTAGTGGTGACCCCAACGCTATTATCATGCGACCCTTGACGTTCCACGAGTGCTCCTTTGTTGAATTCTAGATCTCTCACCGTTCCCTACCCAGGTAAGATAGATAGATGGGGTTTCGACTATTCGCTAAGATTGGTTGTCCACCATCTAGACCTTCGTCGCCCCAGGAACTAAGGACTGGCGTCTAGAATTCGACGCATAATTCAGACGTGGAGGTAATAATCCCCTGATTTCTTCAGGTCCCTTCAGACAACAAATGATCAAAGAAGGAATCTCGAGCCCAACTTCTAAGGTCAAATCAAAAGTACCTACAGTAGGTAGTTATCGAGAAGCAACATAAAATGTTTAGTTTCTATCAGGAGCATTTCATCCTGAGTAGGTATGATGTAGTATGTTATGATGCCTCCTCTCCACTTAGTTAGGCTAGACTTCGCATACCTACCTACGCAAGCTTCGCCACCATAGTTATCTTTTAATGCGTTTCGAGGAAAAAGGGGGTACCTATTATTATTGACAAACTCATCGTCGTCATCTTAAGAATCTATCGAATGTTCTTTTACTAGATACTATGCCGTATGCTAAAGTCCTAGCCGCCTGCTCCTAAGCCCCCCCCATAATGGGTACCGGTAGTCGTAGGGATGGGGAGGGAGCAAGGATCATATGGTTAGGTTACATATTGGGGACTCGTAGTAAAAGTTTTTTGGAAGATAGGTACAGTAGGTATCCTCACCTAGGTACGTAGAAAAGGGGGCTGCGCAATTGAAAACTCGACGACAACTTGCATGGGTGATCTGGAGATGCTACACAACCTAGGTAGGTACTGCTACTACGTCGTACGTAGTAGTACTAGGTAGATAGGGCCGTAGATAATTAGTAGAAGATATTTAAAATTAGTTCATTGGTTTGGGGGTTTGGTAATGTATACTATGTACGCATTAGAATATTCTTTTGCCTGATGCGGGTTAGTTCCCAGCGCCGAGAGCCGCAATGCATGATTTGAGGTCTGCATTTGGTTATATTGCAAGGACTATAGCATGCTTACGCGTCTTAGCATGCATGAGATTCAGATTCTTTTAAGACGGCATATTAATAGTATCTGGGGTGATGATTGACTTACATAATTGGCATAATTACTATGTAACTCTAGACAGACTCTAAGCTGCAGTCTTTGAACTAGGCATACTAATACTAATAGTAACTATACTCAATAGTTGTAGAGTCTAGGTTAGTACTACATACTGCATAGTAACCTTGGGAGATAATTAGAAGTGGTGAAGCATCTTTTTACGCCATCACATGATGAGATGTAATCTTAAACATGGACAACTGAGCGGTGTGTAAACGTTCTTCAATGTTGTCCAATGTTGGTTGGTTGTGGGTTTAGAAAATAAGTAAAAATGAGTCGTGGCAACTCAACTAATAAGTAACTAATAACTAACGAATAGTACTGTAGTAGACGCGTCAGTATAGTTAATAGTTACGTAGTAATAGGTGCTTTACGGGGTAGTCACGTGATACTGATGTTGGGTTAGGGTACTGCTTTTGCTTTTGCTTTTCTTTTTCATGCATTTCGATCCATTTTCAGATGACACTGGGATTCATAGATTACTTCCAGAATTCCTTTTTCTAATTAGTTCATTACCAACTTCAATGTTCTGCGGCTGCCCCAACCAATACGCATACGAAGCACTACTACCTACTTACTAGGTGACTATGCCATAAGACGCGTGTTTTGCACCAACACTACACTATGTAACACCAGGATCTGATACCCCCCCGGCCCATTTTGCACGTTGCCAGCGATTCATTCTGTTTCGTTTCTCGGTATACCGACCTAAAATGAACTGAGACCGGTAGAGTCGGGTAGACGACGAAGGCTGGTGCCGCATGTACTAAGTAGTGCCGTTAGTAACACCGTTAGCTTACGTCCGCCTTCCCATTACTTATATGGAAGCTGTGATTCGTTGGGAGGCCGTCCGGTAGTTGTAACGGTATGGGCGGCCCCTGTCATTAGCTTCGAGGCTGGACGACTGCGCACGCCGGCCCCATTGAGCGGACAAGGTCCCCATTGTGCGGACAAGGATCCATTTTAGGAACAGCGCAACTGCGCATAGAACCGTGATCGACACAGTTAAAATCGAATTTCTATGGGCCTTGGCCTTGTTCTGGGAACATTATCGAGGACGACAGCCAGTAGCATCAAACTCATTGCATTCGTAATCCTCCGCCGCCAAGATCTCACGATGATGAATCTGGACCCACTCCTTGTTGATGCCGAAAGCATCACCGCGGCTGCTTATCGAAGTGACATCGCATGAAATAATGAGATGAAAGATTGTAGTATAAGTTGGCGACGATGCCGAGTCTCTTCTGTCTATTTTCCTCTCTTCACCACCAGCACCATCAGCATCAGCATCGGTACTATTCACTTTCATTCTTTCACTTCGAGAACTGTATAGTTTTATTACTTTCACTACAAATCAATCCGCAGATATGAGATTCGCCAGTTCCACCCTCTTGAGCCTGGCTCTCCTTGCCGGCTCCGCCGTCGCCCACCCCGGCCACGATATCTCTGAGGAGATCCGAGAACGCCGCGAGTTCCTCAGCACCGCTAAGCGCACCAACCTCGACCACTGCGCGCCTAAGTTAAAGGCACGTGGTGTCGAGAAGCGCAATGTCCTGCGCCGAGAGGCCTTACTCGAAAAGGCACGAGCCAAGAGTGAGTTCTCAACCCTACCTTTCCCTTCCCTTCAGCGGGACGAGCCTCATTCCAGATATGCTAACCGGATTTAGGGGGCCTAAACAAGAAGCGTGATCTTGAAACCGTCTTGGCCACTGATCACAACAAGACCAGCCTTGGTTACACTACCAACACTGATCCCGCTGTTCTCTTCGCTGGCTACAACGCCTGCCTTCTGACCCCTGAGGTCACCCAGGGCCCTTACTATGTTGGCGGCGAATATGTTCGTGAGAACATCGCCGAGGAGCAGGCGGGTGTCGATACCATCCTTGACTACCAGGTCATCGACATCAACACCTGCGAGCCCGTCCCCGAGGTCTACCTAGAGATGTGGCACTGCAACGCCACCGGTGTCTACGGCGGCATTGTCGCCAGCGGCAACGGTGACTCTTCTGACGAGACCAACATCAACAACACCTGGCTCCGTGGTATCCAGAAGACCAACTCCGACGGTGTCGCTCAATTCGAGACCATCTTCCCCGGTCACTACACCAGCCGTGCCACCCACGTCCACATCATGATCCACCAGGGCGCCACCCTCCTTGCCAACTCCACCCTCGGCAACAGCAACATCACCGCCAGCCACGTCGGCCAGGCCTTCTTCGACCAGGACCTCATCACCGAAGTCGAGCTGACCGCCCCCTACAACACCAACACCCAGGAGCTCACCACCAACGCTGACGACGGCATCCTGGGCGAGGAGACCGCCACCGACGGCGTCGACCCCTTCTACGAGTACACTCTTCTCGGCGACGACGTCTCCAGCGGCATCTTCGGCTGGATCGCCTTCGGCATCAACGCCACCGCCACCCAGGACGTCACCCCCGCCGCCTTCTACTACGCCGAGGGTGGTGTCGCCAACCCCAACGCCGGTGCCGGTGGCGGCTCCGGCGGCCCTCCCCCCAGCGGCAACGGCAACAGCTCTTCCGCTCCCGCCTCCTCCAGCACTGCTTCCGCTTAAGTCAGCGTGTTAGCGAATGATTTATTAGGGATGTGAAAAGAGTTTTTTTGGGATCAGTCGGTTGGCAAGGCAAAGCATTTGTATATAGATTAAAGATTGGTGTTTTCTCTCCTCATCAGGGGGGACACCGGATTGCACATATTTTGGCTTTTATATTTGGTTTTTTGTTGCTTATATGGTATGGTGCGAGCAGGTGTACGATGGCTCATTCCTGCGCTTCTTCATTCGTTAGCTTCTGAATAGACTACCACCATCAGTGCTGAATATCTCGTTTCTTTGCGCATACTATGTGATTGTTTCTCTCTACCTATTGCTTTTATACATCAGTACCTAGATACCTACCTGGTAAGAGAACAATATGAATAATAAGTCAAATCATAATAGGTAATCATCATAACTTCCAGTGATAAACTACGAGCACTTAGCCGAATAGCGCTTATCTATGGATCCTTCAGGTTTCCCGTAAGAGGATAGCTCCGGAAATGATACCGATGTTCGGAACGAGGGTGACGTTGAACTCGATCCCCCTCACGGAAGCCGAACCCCGCTACATCGATAAAGACATTAATAAGATATGTCTGCCTACCTAGGTATATATTCTCCTTAAAGTACCTGGCAATCGTAAACTAACTACAAGACTTCAAAGTTACTAGCCTATGAATCTCCAACAATGAGCTCACCGAGAGGAATCCAGCGAATCGCGCGGAGCGAGGGCGTGGAGAAGTTCATCGAGGCATTGGAGATGGACGGCGGTGTCATAATCACTGATTTCACGGACCCTGCGACAGTCGCGCAGGCTAATGCGGAGGTGAAGCCGTGGATTGAGCAGCAGAAGAATAGCCAGGGGGCTAAGGTTGGCGGTGCGTACCTACATGCCTCCCTAGTAACAAATTCCCCTATTACTCCCCCCTGAGTAGAATTAGTACCTACACAACATGACCCTCATGCTCGCCATTTTCCCTCGTACTATCTATTTATTTGCGAGCTGTTCGCCGATACTCACATGCACACGCAGCCCTCAGCGGCAACACCCGCACCGTGACCCGGCTAATAATGCGCTCGCCCACCGTGCGCGAGTCCTTCTACGCCGACCCCCTCTACCAATCCCTCTGCTCGCACTTCCTCTCCCTCACCACCACAACCTGGTACGGCTCCGCCCCCCAAACCAGCACCTCCCCCCCTCTCCTCTCCATCGCCATCGCCTTCGACATCCCCCCCGGCACACCCGCGCAGGGCCTCCACCGCGACGACAAGAACCACCACGCGCGCCACGCCCCCGCCACCGCCTACGCGCCCCACCGCGACGTGCTGCTCGGCCTCTTCGTGCCCGGGTGCGCCACGGCGCGCGCGAACGGCGCGACGCGGGTGGTCCCGGGGTCGCACTTGTGGGGGGACGGGCGGCCGGACTTCGGTCTCGGCGCCGAGGTCGTGGATGCGGAGATGGAGGTCGGCGAGGCGTTTGTGATGCTGGGGAGCTTGTACCACGGGGGAGGGGCGTACGAGGAGGGGGGTGGGAGTGGGGAGAGTAGGACGGTGTACGCGATGTTCTCGTGCACGGGGGTGCACCGGCAGGAGGAGGTTAGCTTTCTGTCGTATCCGGTCGAGGAGGTGCGGACGTACTCGGGGGTTGTGCGGGAGAGGCTGGGGTGGAGGCAGAGTGAGCCGAACTTGGGGTGGGTTGATGTAAGTGCTGCCGTTTCTTTCTTTTTTCTTTTTTCTTTTTCTTTTTTCTTTTTTTTGGTTGTTATTTTGATTTTGTCTTTTTTGTCGCTGGCTCGGGAATGTGAGTGCTGGTGTCAAAGGGGTAAAAATGGCTAACGCGTGATGATATAGTTGAAGAGCCCCGAGTTTCTACTTCAAGCATGACCGATGGATGGTTCATAGCTCAGGTTTGAACCGAAGTACTATGTAAAAGCATAGAGGCTTCAAGAAGATGTACCTACTTGAAAGTACTGGACTTGTGGCATGGCGCTTAATGGCAGGTATAGGTGTATCTTAAGGGGTGTACTCTAAAGTAAGGGGGGATCAGCGTAAAGGAGCATATTTCATGCGTAGAAAGACTTTCATCTTTCAATGATCTCCTATGAACTTTAATAGGATGGCTATCAGTCCTTTCCCCTTTCCTCCGCTTTGGCTAATAATCGTTTCTTTTGTAGCTGTATTCGTTAGGCCTTCTTATTTGCTACCTACCTAAGTGACATGCTTTTAGTAATCTCATCGGGTAGCTGCTCCTCAACTATAATTCCCATTTCTAAGCCCGTATGGTGCAAGATAATGCCCCTTGATTTAGTTAGAAAATCTGTTGGAGTCATTGAACTGCACATATCCGTGTGATTTGGTATTTTCAGGGGCAAGATTATCAACAATCTTTGATGCTATTTAGTTAGTGTCCTTTGAGAAATTCACAATTTCTATGTGTGCTCCTAAGATATCCTAAAATTCTATCAAGAAGGGGTCGGAGAAGAGAGTTACATGAGTTGTATATACCACTAGTTCATGAAGTTCTTATGATATTACACTCATACATACCTACCTAGGTAGCCCTGGAGCTATCTATTTTCGTACTTAGTAAATAATGTCATCGAATTTCTAATATCCATACACGTTCCAATTTAGGCTCTGAACTCATGGACTTGGTAATTCCTTCTCCATCATTGTCACATACCTAGGTTAATGAAGTCCAAGATACTGAATGCCACTCTCCGAGTCCTTGGAGCTCAGCCACGAATTCCCTGAATGTGGCTGGGCTTTGCGCTAGCCACAAGAACACTGGCTCGGGTTCACATGCATCTACAAAGTACTACTAGTACATACCTAGTTAGTACATAAACTATTTTTATAGCAGCTATTCTATTCCCCCACCATGAGCATAAAAATTCACAAGGGCCTCTTAACCACCCCCCCTAGATCCTGTTATAGACTGTTAGACACGCCGCGCCGAGGGAGTTTTTATTTTTATTTTTTTTATAGTTACATACAGTTAAAGCTACAATGCTATACCTCGTTGGCCTCGGCCTTTCAGACGAGACAGATATCACTGTCAAAGGTCTCGAAATAGTCAAGAGGGCCTCGCGCGTATATCTCGAAGCGTACACCAGCATTCTCCTAGTAGATCAATCCACCTTGGTATATATTTGCCTGCCCTGACAGATTACATTCTCATATACCTAGCTAACGCTAATAGCATCGCTAGGAGAGTTACTATGGCCGTTCCATTGTAGTCGCCGACCGCGAAATGGTCGAGTCAAACAGCGATGAGATTCTTCGCAACGCCCAAGCAGAAGATGTAGCCTTCCTTGTCGTTGGGGATCCTTTTGGGTATGACAACAATAAGAGATTTCAAACTGCTGCTAGCTAGCTATCCTAACAGACCCGTCTTATCTTGACTGACAATGCTCTCTGGCTTAGCGCAACAACGCATACGGATATTGTCCTTCGTGCGCGCGAGCTCTCCATTCCCGTCCAAACCGTTCCCAATGCCTCCATCATGTCGGCGATCGGCGCCACTGGGCTCCAGCTGTATAACTTTGGCCAGACCGTGTCCATGGTCTTCTTCCTGGACAACTGGCGCCCAGCTTCGTTTTACGATCGCATCAAGGAGAACAGAGACATCGGACTCCACACTCTCGTCTTGCTCGACATCAAAGTGAAGGAACAGAGCTTGGAGAACATGGCCAGGGGAAGGATGATATACGAGCCGCCTAGGTACATGACGGTTGGCCAATGCGCACAGCAGATGCTCGAGATTGAGGAGGAGAAGGAGGAGGGAGCCTACGGGCCCGAGAGTCTGGCCATCGGCGCCGCGAGGGTGGGCGGGAGGACAGAGAAATTCGTCGCCGGAACATTGAGGCAGTTGTGCGATGCCGACGACGCTTTGGGGCCGCCGTTACATAGCTTGGTGCTGCTTGGTAGAAGGGCACACGAGCTAGAGAGGGATTATGCGCGTCAATTTGCTGTGGACAAGGAGATATGGAACACAATCTGGGCTAGAGACTACAGCAAGCAATGAGTAGCATATCACCGGCGTAGCTATTTTATGAAAGAACTACATATATTGGCCAAGGCTCTTCGGCCTCGGTTTTCTCTTGTTATGAGACGTACCCATCTAATGCTACCGTAGACAATGTCCCTGTGTCCTTGTAGCAGGAGAAGCAGCCACCCATTATCGAATTAGGTAATCCTCGGTGCTGTTTGGAGTTGTCCATACGCCGAGGTATAATTAGAACAGGCCTGGATGCAGCGAACCATCCATGGGTGGCTACATATGCACTGTACCTCATTCAGGTACGCAGGATCGAGATACAGGTACTGGGTACAATGCCATCCCAGGCCCTTGAAAAATTACATGTATGTTTCTGTCATTGGACGTTTAACTATCGCGATATAATTGATGTGACGTGTGCCAAGTACATGCCCAGGGTACCTAGTAGTATGGTACGGTATTGGTACCTAGTACCTAGGGTAGGTAAGGAACATTTGAAGTTTACGGCATAGTATGTTGCAAGTTCGATTTGAACTCAAATCAAGAACTTTTAGAGGAACGTTGAACGTTGAAGACGGGAAAGCCCTGGAAGTACATATGCAGGTGATATAACTTCATATAAGATGTAGAGGAACACCTAAACTACCTATGGCAGGTACTACATATGTAGGTATTGTATTGTACCTAACTTTGAAATTAAGGTTAGGTGGTAGGTACCCTAGGTATGGATACTAACCTTACATATGTAGGTAACTATGTGGATAATTCCATTATCTACCTACTTCGTAGACCCGCTTTCACCTTTGATCTTGGTTCAAATGTTTCCGTGGTGTGGTGCACAACTTACAAGTTAAGTTACAACTCACAACTCGCAACCCTCAATTCGTACTCCATTCTTAGACCTTGAACGCTTCAACGATATTTGAAGCTTGTGGGTTTCAACGGACTACTAGGTGCTTACAACTTACCTTCGTAGGTTAAATTTGAACGTTTAATGTTCGTGACCTCAAGTACGGTACCTAGTAGTATGATCCCGATCTTGTTTCCGCTGCGTCATTCTCACCACTGATTCAATACTCAATACTCAATACTCAATATTCAACACCCCAAACCCAGAAGAACCAAGACCCAAATTCCAAATTGACTTCCTTCAGGCGTCTTTGTCTCTGGAACATTCACACTACCTACTCCGATTCTACTACCTGCCTACTACAAATCACCTACTACATACAGGAATTCTGAGGTAGTAGTAGGAGCAGCAGCAGTAGTAGTAATAGGCACACGAGGAATAGATCCATCAATTCAATTCGAAGATATTCTCCGAATCCGCAATCTTCCTCATCACTCCACTGACCTACCCCCACCATCTCACCCATCCCCCACCATATCTCATCTCCCATCATCATCTTCATTATCCCATTTCCATTGCCAATCACCGCCAAATTACCTCGATATACTTCACAGGGCTGCCGATTTGTACAGCACGTCAAGGTTATGATCAAAAATACCAGAATATTCTGTGATTGTATCACCCATGTCGTTCGACATGGTAAGACCTCCCCTCCTGGCAATTGCTGTCACACTTGAGCATCCTTTACTGACCTACCCCCGCAGAGTATCGCCTGGGAATGCCGTGATCAGGCTGATCAGGCCGAGATCTATTATAATCATCCTTTGCGCACCAAGGTCCGTCATCTCGAGGATGAAAACCTGCTCTTGAAGCGCCTACTGCGTGAGAACGGCCTATCGTGGCAACCCCGTTCGAAGTTCTCTCAGGCGCCTAACCGCGTTACCCGTTCTTCTAGCAAAACTAATTACAAACCCCTTCCACACATTCCTGTTGAGATCCAACTTCGAATATTGTCTTTCGCCCTCACTTCTCCGCAGCCTATCATAGATCCGCTCTGCAAAGTCAAGGGTGAACATTTGATGCCGCATGAGAAACCCAAGACCAACCAGCTTGCCATCCACTTCTTGGCGACCTGCAAGGCATACCATGCCGAGGGCACCAAATTTCTTTGGTCCAACAACTCCTTCATCTTCACATCGCCCGAAGCAGTTCGCCACTTCGCCGAGGTTGATTTTATTTACAGAGAGCATATGAAGGAAGTCACTTTTCGCGTTATCGCCAAGTTCTACGATGACGAAGCCCGAACTCACAAGATTAGTCGTCACCACCACCCTGATCTAAAGAAGGCCATCACCTTGCCTATTAACAAACGACCCAAGGAGAATACTCTAGCTCGTTGTGGATTCCGAACTTACGGCTGGTATCAGCTTGTTGACTTCTTGGGTGCCCTCTTGCCACCTTTTGACCCTTCTCACGCTCAACGTCACGATGGTCCGAATACATCCAATGCGTTTCTATTACCACCACCACCGAAACTACTCCCAGCTCTGGAGAAAATTCGGATAGACTTTGTCAATTTTGGCGATAACTTGTTCAACAACCCACCACCTCAACTGCACGAGCTTGCCTCTCATTATTTTGGGTGCACCCTAAACGAAGTGGTACTTACCGGTCTACCTGGTGACGAAACCGGCCTCCGAGTCAGCAGCGAGCTCGCTGGGTTGTTGAAAAATGAAGGCCTCCTCATCGATCACGCACCCATCATGGTAGCCCTCAAGAATGGCATGCGCTCGCTCAAGTGCGATGCAGTGGAGTGCCACTACTCTGTCAAAGTGGTCCGAGCGATGAAAGACATTGTCGGTCATCACCCTCACGACGACGTCCACGCCCCTTGGTTCGGCGTTGACTTTCCTCCGGCGCCCCCGGACGAGGGTGAGCCACCGTACTCGTATTTCCACTCATGCCGAACCATGTGGAAAAAGATCCCAATCCACCTCGATAAGCCCACTGATCGCAAGTGGGTGTTATTTGACCGAATGACTGGTTTGCCATGGGACGACATCGAGGAGGAGGCCACCATGTTCGATTTCTTCGGCGACGACGAAGAAGAGACGGTCTGCGACAACTGCGGCGAGATCCACCCTGGTGCGATCCCTCCCGTGGATATGATGGATCTTTACGACGAGTTTTAGGTACACTAGCTAGGTACACATTGAAGGGGGGGGGGAAGCTCCCTGAATTTTTCTTTTCTTTTCTGACGATTACGAATTGTAATTACATGCATATGATACCAGGTTTGCTTTTGCTTTTTGCTTTTGCTTTCGGTAGATTTGGAAGGGCGGGAGGGGGGCACAAATAATCAAACAACAAAGGAGGTGGATAGGTAACTATATGTGATACTATCCCATTGATGTAAATAACAACGACCGGCCAGGAAGATCGTACTGTGTAGATCAGAGCCTTGGGGCTCTAACTACCTAGGTACACTAATACTTGTGGCCATGCAAATAACCTTGGCTTTTCTAGCCGTGGCTAGGCTAGCTGGGACACCAGCTAGCTTGCTATACGACGACTGCAAATAGGCACCGCACCGTAATAAAAATAAACTCGTGTCATATAAGTCGTTCGTCAAGCATACCTAGGTATAGTATATGTGCTAACCTAGCCTAGTAGGATGGATCAAAATTGATCTTCTTCCATAAGTAGGTAGTAAGTAAGCAACTACTAGGTACAGTACACTCACTACAAGAGTGTTTCTTGCGGCATAGCTTAATTAGTATATATACTAGGTTAGGTAACATAACGTGAAGAGTTATTTACATAGCTAGCAGAACTCCTGCTCATGATTCTTACCACTCATCCAGCCTTATATACCTAGGTAGGTATGTAGCAGTAGGTACAGTAGGTAGATGACAGAACAGGCGCAACACATGGAGATTTAACTAACCCTACTTATGTACATACTTACTACTGATCAGCTACAGTATGTAGGCTAGGTGAATTAAATTCGTGATATAGAAAAGAAAAAAAATAACTTTTAGGTATTTTATCCGCAGCCTCATCATAATTCTTAATTACTAGGTAGGCTACTACCTATGTCTGGAATCTGCCCGTTTTTTCTACTACCTAGCCCGACGGAGGCATTGGTTTTGCTTGCATTTGATGATCATTCGTAGAAAAAAAGCCCCTTTATTTTATCATCATCGTCCCTCGTGTCGAGGTGAGTGAACCTATACACTACTCTTCCGCCTCGGACTCATCTTCCTCCTCCTCCTCATCATCCTCCTCCTCCTCCTCCTCTTCGTCCTCCGCTTCTGCTTCCGCTTCACCATTTACATCTCCGTTGGTGATGCCGCCTTGGCTTTCTAGTCGCAGCCACTCATCCCACTCTGGGAAGAGTTCGTCGTCTTCGGTTGGAACACCAATCATCTTTGCTACACGGCCCTTTTTGTTCTTTTCTAGGCTCTCCTTCCACGCTTTCACCGTCTCCACGGTTAGACTAGGCTTGTACGTCTGTGAGAATAAGACTGCCTCGGCCAACCTGTTGGTCTTGGTTAGGACTTCCACACAGCCCGCAACATCACCTAGTAGCCACCTAGATGTGAATGCAACATTATGCGCACCGGACTCTTCCGCCTGTGCTGACAATGCTTCCAAGCCAGCTTTGTCCGACGTGCTGGAGTAAATTAAGAGTAATGAACCCAAATCCCGGGCATGGGTAAAACACTCCGTTGCAAGGGGGACATCCCATGCCGAAAGCGCCGCGTCGCCCACTGTCTTCCACTTGTGATCATTGTCAGCCTCCCGTGCGAGGCCAATGGCGATGTCAAGTTGGTTTAGTGCCAATGATAAATCGAATTTGTGCTCCGGGTCAGTGGCAACTTCCAGCGCCAATTCCTTGTGTCCTTGTCCTTCAAGGAACCTAGCTATCTTATTGAGTTGATCTGTCGGAATACTGGTGAGCAACTCGGCAGCCGTTTCCATGTCATCGCGGAGAACTAATGTTTGGTACTCTAACACGGGAAGAGAGAGAGCAAAGCTCGTGATGTTTACATCCTTGTCGGCAAGGTATATCCGAGAGTCCCTTTGAATGTAGCCAAGTACGTACATGGGCTGGTCGAAATGGGAGATGGTATAGATTTGGTCGCCGACAAGATAATTTAGTCGGTTCGTGCTGTTAGTGTAAATGAAGCAATCCCCTACCCATTGGCCTGTCCGTACGCTGTGAAAAGGGTCAGTACGAAGACGAACAATAATTACGCACAATGATGGTTCTCACCTCTCAGCAATATCAGTGATAATCTCAAACGCGGCTTCAACGCCATCCTCGTCGACTTCACCAGACTGGCTAGCTTCAATGTAGCTCTCGCGAGAAAATCTCAAGACGTAGAAGGTATCTTCGCAAGCTAGGGTCACAAGCTCGCCGCTATCCGACCAATACACCTGTTTCGGTTCAACCTCGATTCGTCTAACTAGGCCACCGGTAGCCCAATCGTAGAAAGACACGCCGCCTTGACCCTTCACACCGAGTAAGACACCGCCCGTCAAGCCATCAGCCTGGAAAGGAATGTCTAAGCCGCCTGTCTTTTCGACAAAGTTCTTGTAGACCTTGACAGTTGTTGCGGACTCGCGAATGGCAAAATCGTTGCTGTTATCCTTAGACGCCCACACAAAATCTAGCGCAGAACCGAATGCCTTGTTGCGCCACGCCAACGCTGTGTATATAATGTACTCTCCATCACCACAGACAGCAACAAATCGGCCGTTCGGGGAATGTATGAGGGTCTGGGGGTACACTTCGCATGTACCAAGCTCTTTGGTAGGGAGAGTGATGGGCTCGTTGTCCTTGATTGAAGCATCTGTCAAGACAATCAGCACCTGGCAAATAAATCTCAAAACATAAAAAATACGTACCGCCCCCCTTGATTATAGAAGAAACAACTTCGTTATGACGGGCCCAGATCAGCTTGCCAGAGCTATCCATAGATACAGCGGGCTCTTCTCGTCCTAGCTTCACTACCACCGCTCCATCGTCGAATCCAACTGCGACCCCTTGTTTGCCGCGTTGGTAGGCAATACACCAGGCACGCTCTAGACCATAGTTGAGAGACTGTTCGAAGCGGTAAGTATTGGCATGCCATATCCGAATGGTACCATCCTCGGATCCGGAAATGATAACTGGCAGCTCGGGGTGGTAACAGGCGAATGACACGTTGTTCGTGTGGCCCTCTAGGCTCGCGATGAGACTCTTGGTGGTGTAGTCCCAAACCTTAACGGTCCTATCGTCAGATGTGGTAAGAAGGTAAGGCTTGTCGGAGTGTGGGTAATAGTCGACGTGGTTTACGCCCTTGGTCTCATGCGCCTCGAGAGTGAAATTGGCGGTGGAGGAACCCAAGCTCCAGATTTTGACGGTCCTATCTAAGCATGCCGAGGCGAAGGTGTTGGTGTCTTTGGGGTTGATGGCTAGCCCCATCACGTAGTGACTGTGACCCTCAAATACTTGAACACACTTCCATCCTTTCTCCCAATCCCACAGCTTAATAGTCATGTCATCAGACGCCGTCAAGACGAAGGGCTGGGTGGGATGGACAGCTATGGCGCGAATGTAATCGGGATGCGCCTCGAATGAGGTAATCTTCTCTGAGGTATTGTAGTTATATACTCTGAGCTGGAAGTCATCTGAGCCGCAGACAATCCAATTTTTCCGGGCAACGAATCGACCAGCTCGGACGGGAACATCGGTGAGTTCGAAGGTCTTGACGATTTGTTGTGTTTCATATGACCAGATATAAACGTGACCTTGTAAAAAACTTATGTTAGGGTCTCAAGGTGGTAGCTTGAGGGGAAGAACCTGAACTTACCGCTGTATAATGTAGTCAAGATCCATGGTTCTTGAGGGTGGCAGTCGATGCCTTTAACACGCTCGCTGCGCGCGAAGAGCTGCCGCTGTGCATCCAAAGCCATGTCAGCATGTCCAACGGTCGCTAAAGAAAAGTAAATAGACACATGTACGTGTATGTATGTAAGGGATATGATTCATGCTAGTATCAAGGACATTGGTGCTGGTATTTCAAGATCGGCGATACAGAAAGGCCAGGTCTCAAAATTCCGGTGTGTAGATCTAGATCTAGAACTGGGACGGGGACGGGTACTGGGACGGGTACTGGGACTGAAGCTTGGACTGCACCGAAAGAGGAATCGGAGGTAACGGAGACCAAAAAACGTACGCACCTTCACGTCCAGCCTCATTTTACCGGCAGATCTAATACCGTGAATTGATTGAGCTCGGGAGTGCGATGGTTCGTCTGAGGTGTGGAGGGTAGGGTCGGGTAGTTGATCACAAGCCGATTGATATTATTGTGGCATGGAATTTCGGTCGATGGTGTAAATATTATTATAGAACCGTCGAATTAAAGCTTTGGTGATTGTCGTGACTATTATGTCGGTTGGTTGTTGTTCATGTATAAAATAAAATGGAATAAAAGCCCAAAAAGCGCTGGAGGTGGGATGAAGTTGTGTACCTACAAGTTGTACATAATTGAACAGTGGTCACTTCTGATTCTCTGCGCCAATCAATTCACTTATCTGATAGTTATGTGGCTCATTAATTTCAACCTTGAAGTTTCAAGTTGCCAGGTGCAATGAACTTGAACTTGAAGCTTGGTTTATCAGCCACATTCCATTAATGTGGCGTTCACAGCAATTGAATTTTGACCTTTGCATGGTGATCAAGGTTACGAAGTACTATCATTGATGGTACTGTACTAACATCAACATTGAATTATATAAGAATCAGGTATACTCCTATCACTAGGTTACTATACATATGATTACATGCAAATCACAAACAAGAATGGTTCTTAAATAATAATAAATTGATATTCTTTCAGTTAATTGAAAATATATCTTATCGAGGCATCTTCTAGGCTTGATTTCAGCAGATAGTTACCTAATCTCTTCTAAGAACGCAACGCGTATGGTAGCCTCTTTATCTTCCAGTGGCATTGATCTCATGTGGCTATCGTAAAGCGTTCTTGTTGCCTTCAGTTCTGACCCGTATCATACATGAAACGCCTCTATTCCCTGCCATTTCCCTGTGCCTGCCGAATGCTCCCATGCTGTAAAATCATCTGAAATGCAGGCCGAGAAATAAAAGCAGTCGCATAGTGGTATATAAACAATCAACCCGCTTAGTCCTGGCTGTCTGCCTGGACCTTCTGCACAATCTCGACCACCTTGGGATACAGCTTCTCTGATTTCTGTAGGCCACACACCTTAGCCACTACATCTTCAGCACTGTTCTCGGCCATGATTTTAGCGAGCTCCTTGCTTTCATCATCACCTTCCACATTTTGGAAGCGGAAAGCCATCTCTGCAGCGGCTAATAAGGCAGGTGTATCGTGGCCCATTTCGGCCAGCTCGGCAGCGGGTCCGATGAAGCGCTCCTTGCGCCCAAGCTTCCTCAGAGGAGCGCGGCCGACACGCTCGACAGCATCTGCCAAGTGAGGGTTGCTGATTCGGTCAATGATCTTCTTCTTGTATGCATCTTGCTCTTCTGTCGAGATGCCGTGCTTCTCGACAATAAGCTTGGCCGTCTCGCCGATAGCAGCCGAGACCTGGTTCTTGATGTCCTTGTCACGCATAGCATCGTCGACAGTCTGCTTCTGTCTGTTGTATCCGAAGTATGCGGCAGTGGCGTGCGAAGTGTTGACGGTAAAAAGCTTGCGCTCGATAAAGGGGAGTAGGTTGTCCACCCACTTTATGCCATCAATTGACGGCCTCTCAACATTATCGGCCGTGTTTTCGCTAGGTCGAAAGGGTGTCGCCTCCACAACCCACTCGTAGAACTTCTCCAAGGTGACATCCAAGCCGGCGTTGGGGTCTTGTGCGGGAACGATTCGGTCAATGGCAGAATTGGCATATGCAGCACGCTCGTGGTGGTCCTCAAGGCGATGTTCGGGAGTGTTCTTGGGATCCTTGATATAGCCGGCCAGGGTATCTGTGGCACCGATCATGTTCTCGCAGGCAATGATAGCCAGAGGCTTGGCGTCATTCGAACGCTTGTCAATACCCTTCGCGATGACTGGGGCGATGAACTTGAGAATGTTGGGGCCAACGGAGCAGGTGACGACATCAGCAGATGCAATCTCATCGACTAGTTCGGCCTCGTTGTATTTAGAGTTGATGGCACGGTAGTTGGTTATCGTCTTCGTGACCGTGCCTTCGACGCCACGTTCAATGACATGGTAAACGGGAGTAGAGTTTAATGAGTCGACGAGCTTGTCTACAACGTCGGCGAAGATGACCTCGTAGCCGGATTCATGCAAGAAGCAGGCAACGAAGCCCCGGCCAATGTTGCCGGATCCGAAGTGAACAGCCTTCTTAGCCATCGTTGCGTTTGTAGATGGTAATGAGTATATAGTATTGTAAAAGGGGGATGGAGATGAGGTAGTGTGTATTTATTGTGTTTTTATTGTATCTCAATGAAGTGAGAATAGAGTCGTATTAATGAGTTGTTTTGTAGGTTGAAAAGGAGTTGTGTGAAAATAAAACAAAGAAATGAAAAGAAGAGGGAGAGGCGATGTTCTTATGTATTACGCAAAGAGGTTGGCAATCGCGATGAAGGCTGCAACTGGAAACCACGAGGTCCACGAACCCCGGACGATTCGCAATTGGACCGGAAAGTGGAGGGGTACAATTAAGAGAAACGGAAGGAACCTGGAATGATTCGTTACTAGGGTCTAGGCGTGAGTGTGCTTGGCACTGCTTGCAACAACTTTAAGTGCCTACCTACCCTAGGTAGGTAAGTACATAGGTAATAAGCAGGGTCCACCGTTTCATTAATGGGTGCTGCGTATGTAACTTTGAACTACCTAACCTAGGGTACTACAATACTCCGTACCGAACACAGCCGGTAATCCCCAGTAATTGCCGCCCCTCTTCAACATATCGGCCCTACGGTGCTCAGTGCTTTCCTTAACGCTAACTACCTACATGTAGCATACATGTAGCACATGCACATATGTATATATCGCATACCTTTTTTCCTATATAGTTACACGTGTAAGTATATCGAATCGTATAAGATGCCCTATTAATCGAATACCGCCAGGTATCTATCTGTTGGGCATAACTGTAGCTATTGTCCATATGTTGAACTTGTGGCTCTGTTGTTAATATCACGCAAGCAAAGTAAAAGGAGAGAAAAAGCCCCCTGTGTGTATGTAATGTAGTTCAACAAAACAAGTATTTCCTCCCGAATTGGTTGCATGCCCTTAAATGGGGTTACTGGGTAGTATATACCTATCTAATTCGCTGTATCACAGCTGAGAGGGTGTCAAAAGCTCGTGAATATTCATGCCATGGAAAATTTTATATCTCGCAATATCAGATTAAGGAAGGGACTTTCCCTTCCCAACGCTATCGTATGATCAATTCGGCTGTCGTTTGATTACTCAGATGCTTACCGCTCACCATTAGCATTGACTTCCAAATATACACAATGCCATATGCCTATCTCCCGAATCATTCCCGCTAAGCTAGTGTTGTCTGTTCTACGTTGGGCAAGACTACCTAGGTAGGCACTTATTAGTCAACCTCTACGGTTAGAGTACTTACCATAATAGCAGTAGGTCCTCAGGAGACCACGATAAGAGTGCTAGTAGAGTCCATGGAATATCCTACCATAAGCACTATCACTGGTGAGTGATCGCGATTAATCTTATATTGAACATGAATGGAAGTCAAAGACACATAGATATCGACAAGAAAGATGGGTACTGTGCAAATAACACTGCAGCCAGAATCCGGGGAAGCCCAGATACTTAGGGTAGGTTTTTCCTATTCTTCCCTAGGGTTCTCCCCACTGAGTATGTAGTTTTAGATCTACATGTGTTAGTTGATATCTGTTGAGCCCTTGGCGTACGACTGCCTATGTACATATAACCGTATATAGCCCCTGATACATGAACTAGTTTCCTGTAGCTTCATCATGTGCAATTGCCACCAATGAGAGAGTCGCTGGCACGAATGGCTAAAGGGGGCAGTACCAGCTGTGATTTGGTATGAACACCTGGACCGTATACTAAGGATGTAGTGTACATATGTAGCTTCTTGACCAGTTATCGTCGTTATCGTCATATTACTGATGCTCCACTCGCACGTCCTTTAAATGCACATGTGTAGTTTAACAGGCTAGCAGCCCAGACGAAAAAGTCAGTTATGGATTAAGGCATATCAGAGCATTTATTGTATCGAGACTAAACAAGAGACATGCCTAATCCTTCCTGCCATATGAGTAGGTAGGTCTAAAATAACATCTCTTACATCTCTATGACTTCATGGCGTATTAGGTGTGAGCCCAATGGAAAAATATGTGTATGGGTCACATCATGATGGAATACACCTGATAACTAGGTACAGTACGATGGATGTAGGGTAGGAACAGTATTAATGTAAAGCCGACAGTTTGTAACGGGAAAAATGTAGGTATCAGAGACTACCTAGTTACCCTTGCACTACCCTTGTAAGTAGGCCCCTAGGATAGTTTAACCGGGCAAACCAGACATGTCATTGAATTATAGCCACATTGAGCCAATCAGGTGTGTCCGTTCTGAGCCTTGCAGCACTCCCTTGGTGGCCAAACACCCCTCTTAATCCTAGTCGGTGACATCATCGGGCGTCACTAACTCACCATTCAGGGGTGTTGAAAAGCACTCAATTACATACCTACCCAGGTAACCTACATAGGTACATGTCCCAGTCTCCCAGACCCTAGCCGCGATCATTGCGCTTTTCTCAAGTACACCATGTCACCATCGTGAACTTGAACCCCATTTCTTCTACTGTTTCTTCCACTATCTATGCACCAAACTATGAGGGGTCTTTAGTGTTACCGTCACAATCGATCGATCCCTTGGATCATTTTGTCCTATAATTACGTACTACCCTAATTATTCTCTTCACGATACTCAGTCCCATTGCTTCATATCTCCTGACTTCATTGCCTCTGTGGCGGGGTATGTATGGTCTTACATAGTAGAACATGAAGGAACTCGGGTGCCACGAACAAGAGAAAGTCTTTGACACATTCATCAAAACTTCGTCCATCAGACTCCATCTAACAAGAAATTACCGTATTAGTTCGACATGTAGTTAACTGGCCAATCATTCACACTCACCTAGGTTAGTTTACTCACTCAAACAGCAACCACCTCGACAGGGTTTGACATGTCGATCACATCATCCAATGGCGGGTGGACCTGGTTTTATCTTAAGGATCCGTCGTAGGACTGAAGGTTCCGTCCTAGTTTCAACTCTCACTTCAGTTGAGTCACCACTTTAATCGAGCCAGTCCATGTTCAGCCTTACGGTTCTCATTCAAGCGAGGCTATAATAATGTCGATATGACCGAAAATGACATTCACACTCGGATTCAAGCGACCTCATGTCCACAGAGGGCCAAGCTGGCGGGTCTAACTAGATTTATCTCTTGTATTGTACAATCAATGTCCCCGGATCGAGCTGGTGTTCCACCATGTAAACACTTCCAGCTCTCGAGGTCTATTGGACAATCCTTTCAACAAGTATACCGAATATAGAATACCTCGTTCACGACGTCCACAGTTAGCCTTCCTGTATATTTCCTTATCGCACATTGTGACAACTCATCGTCAGGCGACTTAACCGTTTAAGAAAGCGCCTCCACCTCCTTGCATATCTCGAAGTCCATGGTCGGCTGTAGACGCTCAGCAGGCAAAGTCAAAAGATCCACTAATATGACAATTGATATATACATTACATTTCATACGCACATGTATGTATAAGGAGGTGGCTTGAAGACTCCATTCTCAAAGATAAGACCTATAATTTTGTGGCCCATGGTTGGGCCAGACAGGCTGGTGGAATTTCAGCACTGAGCAAACGCTATACGTACGTGTAGAACAGTACACGTGCGTGTTCTCTCGCAACTTTCACCGCCGTCGAACGCTGATCAACCCTAACCATGGCCCACAACTACCGGGAAGGAACACTATTATACCACAGATAACACACAACGTTTCCATTTAAATGTTCACGTTCATGCTATTTCGAAGCTTCGAGACCTTTCCGCTTGCATTCCAATCTCGATCGTGAGTTTTCTTTTCTCTTATCCAATAATTCTTTCTTCCCAAGTTCCGGTATTAGCGGGCCGATTATGTAGCGGCAGGACAGGAATTGTTTTTTCCCCTGACTGACTGAGGCCGCCCGCCTGCCCCCCTCCAATAGTTCCTATCTATCTCGCTATATCATGCCCCGACGCTCTGGCTACAGAACAGGCAAGTAAATTGAATACTTGTAGCCAGTAGTTTCGAACTCCGCCGAAAGGACCGATGGAAGGGACCTTTGTTTCAGGGCAATGCATCGAACTTGTTATTTTCCAAGATTTGCTTCCAGTTTTCAAAACAAAGCGTTTGACTCAAGTTTCCATAGACAAGCACTATTTCTCGGGAAGGAATCTGACTACCTACCAAGGTATCTTCGATTCCTTTCTTCTTCCCGGACATGGGAACACGGTCGTCGGCGCCCATCTCCCGGCTTTGACTGGCCCCACAGTGGAGCCGGTTTGTCCCGATTTATTTTCAATTTACCGTCTCCAGATCCTAGGCGACAGATCTCGCCAAGTCACGATAGCCGTCAATCCAAGGGGGCACAAGTGATCCCCCATGGATAGTTCGAGGGACCCCCGATCAATGGGTTCGTTCTTTTCTTCTTTTTTCCCTCAATTCTTTTTCTGTCTGTTCTTGTTATTGTTATTTTCACAACATACCTAGGTTAGGTAGGTAACTAAGTGTCGTTTTTGTATGTCAAGTTATCCTCTTTGTCAACTGCGTAGATGTCATTGATGGTCAGGAAGCCGCGGAGTTGACGATTTCATCGCTATAGCTGCCAAGGCCCTGGTTTTATATTCGACCGATGCGTCTTGTCCTTCCATTTTTTTTCCCCAACTTTGACATTTCTGGCTTTGAACTGAATACTTTATCGTGTTCTGTTTTGCGATTTCCATCGGCGTCGATTATCATTGATTGTAATGTCACAACCTCGAACAAGATGGAACAACCTTTGAATCAAGTTATGGTCCTTAAATTCCTCCCACTACCCTAACTATCTTAACAACGAAGTGCAATGGCCAAGATAAACGCAGCAGCACGCAAAGGAGGAAATCCCCAACACTACCGTCATCCGATGGCAGACGATCTTAAAAAGCTATACTGTGTCATCGAATACCTAGCGAGGACATGCCGAGTCGAGTTCCTGGACTAATACTGCACCCTACTTTGTCACCACACATGTACATACGTGTACGACCACGGCCGGATTGATGTGTCAGTGCCACTACAGGGCATAAGTAGGTAATATCATATCTGCCAGCGCATTCTGCCTCATTACACGCGGTATCATGGCATCTGCGGACTTTTTGCTCTGGCGTCTTTTGCCCAGGGGACAGTTATTTTTTGGCCCCGTAGAGTAGGTATGTAGATGTGCGAGAAGGAGAAATTCTATAAAAATATATCTAGGTACCTAACTAGATAATCGCTGTGAAATGTTCGGAGCAACCTATAGTTAGGTATGTAGGTTAGACGTAACTATACGGGAGTGGTAAACCACAAAACCACAAAACCACAAATCAAAATACCTAGAGTAGGTATCTAACTTTACCTACCTACATAGGTTCAGGCTGATATTCACACAGCAATACCTATCTACCTATCTACCTACCTACCTATCTACCCATCTACCTACCTATCTATGCCCACACAGAACGAGGAGACATACTGTAGTTATCGGCAACGACACCAACTACATAAATACATGAATACATGAAGCAATTGCGAAGATGAAAATCTAGCCAAGCCAAGCCAAGCAAAGCCTCTCGTGCTTCAAGGCTAGGTTAGGTAGATAGGTAACGCAACGCCCTTCGAACCCGATGCTGCCCATAGGCAGTGGTAGGTAGGTATATGGCAAAGTTTCAAAACGCCCAACAATGTAGATTACATACATACATACATACCTACGTACATACATACATACATACATACATACATACATACACAAACCAGACCGTTAGAATACATGTACATACACTGACAGCCAGGGAGTAATATCGGGAATCGGGAATCGGGGTAGGGGAGGGAGATCCAGGATACGCGCCTAGGTATGTATCTACTATTACTGGTGGAGGTGTTTACTGATTTTACCATACATATATCACCTGGGGGGGGGGGGGGTTACATGCCTAATTAATAACTTAGTTTCACGCAGGATTGGAATTGAGTTGAGTTGTCCGATGGAGAGAGCAGACCTGTGTAGTTCGTTATAGAGAGACCCTTATGGGCTCGGCTTGGTCTTGACAAGGCTTCGGATGACGAAGCCACAACAGCATTTTGAGTATCATCCCAGGGGGATGATGCATAGGTAGTAGTATCCGATCTCATTAAGGATTCGAAGTTTTGAGTTACTGCAACTAGCAGATGCTTGAATCTGCCCTAGGTAATCTTATTACCTACCTACTCAGGTACATAATATAGTTGCAAGCATGGAGCATACCGAAAACAACGAGATAACTTTATATATCATGCCGCCTGCTGCCAACTTAGAGCTTCGAACCCCTTTTAGGGTTGCCGACGGCATTAGACCTTCAGTTTCCGGCAAACTTCTTAAAAGCACCAATTAGGCTTTCCGTGCTAGAATCATGGCCACTACCGTTCCCTGGCTCATCTAGTTCCTTGAGAATTTTCTTCGCGAGCACCTTGCCTAGTTCAACACCCCATTGGTCGAACGAGTTGATGTCCCAGATGGCTCCCTCTGTGAAGGTCAGGTGCTCATAGTAGACAATCAGAGCGCCTAGCTCAGCAGGCCCAATCACACCGCCAACTAGGATGCTAGTAGTCGGTCGATTCCCTAGGAAGACTTTGTGGGGTACAAGCTCTTCAGGGGTTCCTTCACTCTTGACCTCGTCGGCTGTTTTGCCAATCATAAGGGCTTCGGCTTGCGCAAAGTAGTTGGATGCCAGCATCTTCTGGTGTAGGTTGTTGGAGATGGGGTTATGGGACTTGGCGGCAATAATGAAATCGGTCGGTATCAGCTTGGTGCCTTGATGGACGAGCTGGAAAAATGAGTGCTGGGCGTTGGTGCAAGGCTCGCCAAACAAAATGGGGCCGGTTGTGTACTTGGCGGCCGAACCGTCCGATGTGATAGTCTTGCCATTAGATTCCATTGACAGTTGTTGGAGATAGGCCGGGAAGCGATGTAAATATTGGTCGAAGCTATAAACAGTCATGTTAGGGAATGATAAAATGACCTTGGTTTGACTTAAGGGCCTCTAGGTAAGGGTACTTACGGAGCTACTAGGTGAGTCTGGGCCGCGAAGAAGTTGCTATACCAAACGCTCAATAGACCCCCTAGGACGGGAATATTGTCCTTTAGAGGAGTCTCGCGGAAGTGCTTGTCCATTGCATGGGCACCAGACAAGAATTTGTGGAAGTTCTCGTAGCCGATGTACAGCGCAACGCTAAGACCAATGGCGCTCCAGACTGAGTATCGGCCGCCGACCCAGCTCTCGAAGCCGAACATGTTCTTGCTGTCGATACCAAACTTGGTGACCTCCTCTTCGTTGGTAGAAAGTGCCACAAAGTGCTTGGCAATCTCGCCCTTACCTCCGGTCTTCTCGAGGAACCACGACTTTGCGGTGTTTGCATTCGTAGTAGTCTCAGCAGTGGTGAAGGTCTTGGAAGCGACAAGGAAGAGGGTGGTCTCGGGATCGGAGTTCGCAAGGGCCTCTGCCATATGGGTGCCGTCGATATTGGAGACAAAGTGGAGCGTCATATCTTTGGCACCATAGTGCTTCAGGGATTCGGTGACCATGACAGGACCCCTAGTGATGTTAGCTACTTGTCTCATGTCGGAAATTTCAATTCTAGGTTATGCTGATAGAAAAGGGGCACTTGCAGATCGGATCCACCAATGCCAATGTTGATGATGGTAGTCAGTTTCTTTCCCGAGTAACCCTTCCATTCACCACTTCTAACCTGCTCGGAGAACTCTTTCATGTGTTGTAGGACAGAGTTGACGCCGCCCTTGGTCTTCATCACATCTTGTCCATCCACCTTCATTTCCCAGCCCCCTACGTTACGCAGCGCAGTGTGGTAAACAGCTCGGTGCTCAGTGAAGTTGATCTTCTCGCCAGCAAACATGGCATCACGCTTCTTTTCAAGGCCAGCTTCTTCTGCAAGCTTAACCAGAAGGTCGATGGTCTCCTGGGTGATGAGATTTTTGCTGAAATCGAATAATATGTCGGTACCAGAGGCGCCATTCTGGAAAGTCTTGCTGAACTTGCTGAAACGGGCTGGGTCCGAGGCAAAGGCTTCCTTCAAGACAAAAGTCTTCCCGACAGCCTTGTAATGGTCTTCCAAAGAGGCCCAGGTGGGCAAAGAGACCGCTTGAGGCATCTTATAAGCTTGCTGGGTATGTCACAAGGGGAGGGACAGTATCAAAGATTGGCCAATAACTGCGTCAAGCAAATTAGGTGTTAGCTTTTTTCAAGTCAGTTGAGGAGCAGAAAAGAAGAGAAGAATGCACACGCGGCTGGGAAATGGTCAAGTAACGTTGAAGTTACATAGCACTTAGACTACCCTAGGTAGGAGCTTCGCAGTAATGTATAGGTAGGCAGGCAATGGGGCAACAACGTTGAAGCTTTCGTATGTCACAAGTGCATATCACTTACTAGGGCGAGACTGATGATGATGGTATTTTCCTGCTCCTTCAAGTTGCTGTTACCGAATATAGTCCTGTTTGAAGGTTCAGTGAGTGGTATGATAGAGAGAAAGAATTATAGAGTGGGGGAGGGATGCGAGAGGGATTAACATGTTACTAACGTACCAGGTATATACATGTACTGACTCTACTAGTGAGGGCTTTACGCGGTATGTACGCTAATAGGTAAGCTGCCAGGTGCTCTGTACCTAAGGTATTGGGACTGTGCACATGGCATGTAAGGCCATCCATGCATCTACCCCGCGCTAGTGACGTGATGCTTACCTTATGTACATGCCCAAGTACTACCAATGTCTACCATTCGGCATGAAAGGACATCCAGTACTATCACGATATGCTCATTAGGTAGTTACGTCTTTCTTTTTCTAGGTGCCTAGTAGTTTTGATCTCTTCTATCTACAGAGTTGTCTCCTGTTGAGATCCCAGAAAAGTGCAAACTCGGAGCAAACTCAGAGGCATCGTCAACAATTCATGCCAAACTCCGTACGAAAGTGCTTACTAGGTTGTGGTCGCCCAGTCCAGTAATCGTATAGCTACCACAACCCCAACTACAACGGCAAGATAAAATAAATAAACAACGCACCCACAATTGTGCTCCGTTGTGACATCTTGGCCACTTTATCCCCTGACGGGAACTTCTCTTTGCTCTTGAGGGCACTTTTTGATCTCATTCTCTCTGCTCGTGAACCTCTCTGCGCATGTAGAATGATCTATCGTCGGTCTTGGATACTGCCCACGAAGGAAGGATCCTTGACGCTGCCACCAGCATCCCCGAGTCCGGCAATCGGTCGGTTGTAACTGAATCCTGCGAACTGGTTCTGCATCGTTTCTGATAATACTGGCCCCTCAACGTATGAGTCCTGGGGGGCTTCAGACGTAAATTCAGGGTCGAAGTTTGCAGTGTCTAAAGCATCCGCCTACAAAAGATATTAGTATCATGGCTGTCACTGATATGGATAAGACATAAACTTACTACACTAGGCTTGAAGGTCGGTTCGTATTTGCGCTGCAACAACTTCCGCCAATCTATGGCATGGAAGAATGGGTGCGCCTTGATCTCTGCGCTGCCTCCAGCTCCCAGCCGCTCTTCGGGGTTGCGATTGAGTAACTTCGACAAAAGGTCCTTGGCGGCTGGTGGCACAATATCCGCACTAGGGAAATGCAGAGGCTCCGACAAAATCTTGCGATACATCTCGTTAGTATTTTCGTCGTAGAAAGGAGGGAGACCAGTAAGCATTTCGTAGAGAAGAACTCCTAGAGTCCACCAGTCCACATTTTTGTTATAACCCTTGCCCATGAGGAGTTCAGGTGCTAGGTATTCAGGTGTGCCGCAGAACGTGTTCGTGCGGTCCTCGTCCTTCATATCCAGCTTGCAAAGTCCGAAGTCGCAAAGCGCGATGTGGCCCTGGTAGTCGAGGAGAATGTTCTCGGGTTTTAGATCTCGATAGATAACGTTGAAGCCGTGTAAGCATTCGAGCGCACAGAGGAGCTCGGCAGTATAGAATCTCGCCCGGTTGACATCGAATCGTGTCTCCTTTTGGAGATGGTGGAACAGCTCTCCACCGTTGACAAAAGCCAACACGAAGTAGAGCTTTTCGGGGGACTGGAAGGTGAACTTGAGAGGTACAATGAAAGGATTGTTAATCTGCGCCAATACAGACCTCTCGGCTAGAGTGTGAGCGACCTCGGATCGAGAAATGATATGTGCCTTGCGGATGGTCTTAAGCGCGTAAATCCGGCTCGTATCTTTCTTGCGGACTTGCATGACCTTGCCGAAACTGCCTTTGCCGACCACCTTAAGTAGCTCAAAATCCTCGATTTTCAGCTTACCCGCACGGTTCTCAACATACTCGACGCCGATCTTGAGCTTTCCAGCGCCATACTGAACATCAACCCATTCGACACCGGCGTGTCCCAGTTCGCGCTCCTTGTTTTGAAACTCGGCTACCGCCTTCTCGCGGTCCTTCTTGCTAGCCTTGGGATCTTCCACGAAAGCGTGCCTCTCCTCAAACCTAGGATTGATTCGAACCACACCTAAGAATATATCCTGACTTCGACCGGAGCCTGGCGGCGCAGTAGGGTTGCGCATGTATAAGTGTACGTTCAACTCTGTTACCCGAGACACATCAAATTTGTACTGAGTGTTGTCACCGGCCCACAAAGGGTTTTCTGGGTTGCCCGAAACCGAGTTCACGAAGACTTGGACCTTGTCGAAATCCAGCAAGGCATACGGCAGATATTTACTAGAAATCCGTCCGTGGTTGGAAGGTATGCCGGTGAATCCGCCTGCCGAAGTCTGAGGTCTGCCATTCATGTATGACCCGACCACTGATCGTGAAGAGGAACCGGGTCTGACGGAGCCAGAGCTCAGGGCGTTCCCTGTTGACATAGAACCTGTTCCATGCTGGGTGAATGCATTGCGGTGTTGTTCGGGAAGCGCAAAGTTCTGACCCTCGTGGAGAGTGATGACGAGAATACCAGGCTTCGGAGGCTTGACGATGGGCTCCTGCACCATGTGTTCCGAAGCAGCTATACAGACAATATGTGAATAGATATCCTAAAAGATGGCGAAAATAGCTACGAACCGATGGCATTATCACTTGGGGTAGGGGTAGCAGACGTGGGAATCGGGGACTTTTCATCTTTTTCTGTGATGGTCGAGGTGGAAGGATTCCTTGAGAAGGTGTTGGTGAGGGGGCCCAAGTGGGTTTCTTTTAATTCTGATGCTCGTTGTCAGTAGAGTTGCCTCTAGTGTAGAGTTGCCTGGAGAAGCAGGCCATCATTTAATGCAGATGAATGTGTGCATCATGGTAGAATTGGATGACAAAAGTGTAGGTGTGCACAATATATGGAAGTCCACGACTTACTCTTGGTGAGTTTCCAAGACATCTTGGTAGATGTCGGTGAGGTTTCAACGCAGCAAGGCCCAAGGTTAGAGATAGGATGGAGTGGTGCAAAAAGAGGAGACTACAGTATCTGAACCTAGGGATGGGTTGCTCGTCGTCGTGTTACGGAGTTCGGTTTGGGGTAAATATAGAAAGGTGATACGGGATAGAGTGCAGAGAAAATGAAGGAAGAGGAAGAGGAAGAGAAAAAGGAGAAGAGGGGAAAAAGTCAAGGAGGCGAAAAGAGAAGGGTGAAATTGAGGAAGGAGAGAAGTAATGAAGTCGATTTTGTAGGTGTGTACGAGGTTAAATGCTAGGGATGGTTGGTTGTATGTTGAAGTTGAGTTGAGTTGAGTTGAGTTGGGTTGGGTTGATCGTTTATCAATTGGAAAAAGGTCAAAGATCTGAGGTTGACCAGGTTTGGCCTCAGGTTCAAGTTCAGGTGTTCAGGTCTGGCTTAGTGTAAGGTCAAGGTCAAGGTTCATTTGATGTTCAGGTTCAAGTTCAGTTGCAAATGTTTCGGTTCATGGCCTCTGCGGACAGCGGACTACCTAGGGTATTGGGGGTGCTTGACCGCAGTAGCAGCATTCTGGAACAGTGGTCTTCAGCGTATCAAAGGTTGTATCCATTATTAGGTAACAGCAGTTTTAGCGAATCAATGAATTCCAATCAGGAGGCGGCCCCTGTATTTAATGACTTGGGTACCTAAACGATAAGATTGCACACGAATGTAGCTGTGTGTACCAGCAACATTGAAGTGGAAAGTTTCAATAAGTTACACTCAAGTGCTGACATTCAATGTTGAAGGCGGGGGAAGCAGAGTACATATGTATTGTACCCTTAGGTAGGTACATCAATTAATCCGCTTGAGCCGTGGTGGGGTTCATCAATGATTAATAATTATGTACTTAACTGCATACATAGTTACGAAGTACATAACTTACATAGTATCATTGATTACATATCATATGTGATGCATCTGCTACAGACAAATAACTATATTGAATTTTTAAGCATTACATATCGCACAATAATGATCATTATTAGTTAAGTGGCATGTATTTCCGAGACAACCATATAAATGCATATACATGCTACTATTAGTAGTACATACTTTGTACAATACAATACATTATGATACATGCCATACTACTATGTACATAGTAAGTATGTGCTAGGTCTGATAGCGGATCGTGGCGGAGCATTTCAAGGGGGCGGTTCAAACATTGCACTGAACTTCAAAGCACATTATCTGACTGACCTGTGCAGTTATAGTAATGCTAAATACATACTAGCAGTGGCCACTTGTTGTATTGTATTGTACAAAGCGAAATTAGACTAACTAATCTTCATATATACATAACTATAACTATGTAGGTAGGTTATCACTGTCATTCACTGATACGTTCGTACTACATGTAACTAGTAGTATAGCCTTCGATAACAACAATCCATATCATCTTAGCCGCCGCCAATAACCTCCGTTCGTATCTAATTTTACCAATTTATGAATTACAAGGATACCGTTTACACTAGTTCCATGCCTTTCTACCTGTACTTTTCGCCTCACATTGATGAAAGCTGAAAGTTACATGTACATACGTACTATATCAAGAGATCTTTGTAACATTGTAACTAACATCGAATCATCGATGTCTCTTACCAAAGGCGCGGGAGCTAGTCGCGACGGTGCCGTAAGTAAATCTGCACAGCTGGATTCAGCTCATAGAATAAGGGATACTACTATTATAATGAGAAGACAATTATCTCGGATATTAATATTTGGTGGCTGTTGCTTAACCATCTCACTCATCACTTACGCCAACAAAGTCTACCGATGTCTGTAGCCCTCAATCTTGGAGTTCTACATTCTTCTTAGTGATGACTCCTTTCTTCAGTTGCCTTCATGGTAACTACTGTGACAGCAGCTAGGCTATAGCCTATGCCAACTTTCCAGGCCTCGATAGCCCAACCACACGGATGAGTACTCACATCAAGTCAGCACTATTGCCATTTCGTTGGTTTCCCAACTTTGGAGCTGTGATATATCACTATTTTCGCCTGTATAAGCTATGCTCGTTTTCAAGACGCAGGCTCTCGATATATCGTTGGGAAAAGCCCAGCCGTCTTAAGCTCCCCAATAATCGGCGGGGGTCTCTTCTAGATCTATCTATCGTATGACGGGAAGAGTTTGAGATTGGCCAGGGACAATCCAAAGACTCTGTGCTCCCCCCTTCGACTGATGAAATATTCTTTACTTGATCTTTTCGTTTTGTAAGCGATAACTATAGAATTGCTTTTTGTACAAAACCTTCCAAGACACATTCAGGGGGTTACCAGAGTTAAATACCTATTATTGTGTAGGTACCTAGGAACTCATGCCATGTCCTACAGACAGATCTAGTTGCAAAGCATCTCCTAGGGATCATATATCTGCATTCCCTCATCCCAGCCCAACTAGGCAGCCTCAAGAAACTCCCCCTTCTGCGCCCTCACACACAGATCCCTCAGCACCTCCGCCCCCCTCTCAAAGTCCTCCACCTCCACATAAATCATGCCACTGATACGCCACCACCACGCGCCCCTGTACAGTATCGTCTGGAAGTACATCCCGCTCTCTCGATACCCCGTCGCCTTCAACCAGCCCGTCACCTTTCCCGCGTTTTCCGGCTCTATCTTACCGGCGCCGACCTCAAGCGGCAGCCGCACGTTAGCGAAGCAGCAGTCGCGCAGGCACGACCCGGCGACGTCCATGACCTCCGTGCCGAGGATCTTGGCGGCCGCGGCGCCGCTGGCTTGCGCTACGCTGTAGCAGTAGGCTTTGATGGCGGCGTCGCCGCCGCAGACGTTGGTGCGGAAGTCGAGGGCGGCTGGGGGTGGGGGGGTTGGTGGGCTTGTTAGCTAGTGTACTACCTAGGTATGTCAAGGGCCCTTGAGGGCGGTTGGAGGGGAGAGAGGAGGAGAGGATATAAATGGATAGGTACTTGCCTTCAACGCAAAGCCAGTTTGTCGTATCGTTCGTGCCTGTGCAAGTTAAGACATATCAGCACAACTACCCCATCTTGCCTGGATAGGGGGTCTTCGAAAAAAAAAAAAAGAAAAAAAAACCCCCCGGAAAACGTAGGCACTCACCAGTGAAATCAAACATCTCCGCCCACTCCCCCCCGCTCTTCCCCCCCTTCGGCGCAAAGTAAAAGCTCGTCGGCAGCGTCGAGCGAACCAAGCCCTGGCGCCCCCTGGCCACGTAGAACGCCGCGCAGCCCCTTGGCACAAAGAGCCACTTGTGCAGGTTCGTGAGGAAGAAGTCCGGCCTGAGCGCCGCCAGGTCGATGTCGACGTGTCCGACGCCGTGCGCGCCGTCGACGAGCACCAGCGCGCCCTCCGCCTGCAGCGCCGGCACCAGCCGCTCGAACGGCACGCGAACCCCCGGCAGGCTGACGACCGTGTCCACGATCGCGAGGCGCACCCGCCGCCGCCTGGGCCGCGTCTCCGCGTTGATCGCGCGCGCGGCGCCCACCATCGCCTCTACCAGGTCGTCGTCGGGGATCGGCCACGCGAGCTTGACGACGTGGATGCTGACGCCGTACTTCTCCTCGAGCCACAGGAGGCCGCTGCGCAGGGCATCGTACACGACCTCGTAGCACAGGACCGCGTCTCCGGCTTGCCAGTCGATGTTCTTGAGCACGGTGTCGGAGGCCGTGGTGGCGTTGGGGACGAAGACGAGGTCGTCGACGTCGGGGCAGTTGAGGGCGTTGGCGGCGAGGGCGCGCTGGGCGGCGAGGCGCCCGTGCAGCTCGAGCGCGATGAAGGGGTCCGCGGCGCCCTCGGCCTCGGCGCGGAGGGCCTCGTGGGCGCGGCGGACGGGCACCGGGGCCACGCCGTAGGAGCCGTGGTTCAGTGGCGTGTAGTGCGGGGCAAAGGCGAAATGCGCTTTGCGCATGGCCGCGCCGAAGGGGACCGAGGGGGTGCCGTGGGCAGTCATTTTTTTTATTATTTTTCCACCGCCTTTGTTTATCCGAACCTATGTGTTAGAAGATAGGAACACCGAAGCTGGCTTGGACTTAGACTTGGGTTGAATAGGATGTTGGTAGTACGAAGTACAGGTATATAGAACTTGAACAAGCTTGCATACCTCTAGGCTACAGAGTAACCTACCTACCGAGGTACCTAGTACCCTACATAGGACGTGCAACCACATGTGGGTGTGGACCTGCGCCCTTTAGCCTTTAGCATGCATCGGCTTTGTATCGGACAGCGAGGATGACTCCAAATATGAGTCAAATATGAGATAGATCGTGGATTGTACCTAATAACCATCAGAGGTGCTATGTATCAGAATCATACCTAGCTATCCTGTAAATGCCTTCAAGTTCTAGAGGCAACCTTACTAATCTCGAATATGGTAACATAAATCGCTAACAAAAAATAGCTTCACTGTTGTATTTCATAGGTTGGTACCAAGGTAGGTATTTGATATTATAAGATCATACGATCTATTAATAGTGGTGATCGTGTTTGCAATACAAAGAGCATCATCATTTCTCGTCAAGATTCTTTTAAAAGACTATTCCGATTCCCCTTTGGGTTCTCTCGCGCCGTGTCTTGTTAAACCAGTCTCCTGTACGCGCCCGAAAACGCCGTTCCATGCAAAGCCGGCGCTAACATCATACTTTCGCATCCTTGGAATGCCATCCCTTATTATTAATTTTGCCCGCGTCACTGGAATCACGGGGAAACTCATGATCATGATGTATGACCGGCTTGAGGGCTCTCACACACTCTGGTCGATACTGTGAAGCATTTCCCCTGGCTCACCAGTCTACGGCCCAACCGTTTTCATCGAGAAATTCCTTACAAGCCTCCCGAAGTTGTAGATTCGGCCGCAGGTCGCTGATATATAGTGGTTCCCGTGTTATAGGGTCGGTGGGCGATCTCCGGAGATGTTCTACAATAGATGCTCTCTCGTAGGACTTGCCAGTCTTCGTCTGTTGGCCTAGTTAGTCACTCCCTCTTCTGTTATATTCGACTCCAAGACCTAGTCGCTCATGGAACAGACGGGCAGGAAATGACTTACAACTACGGGATCAACCATGATGCAGAAACTAATGTCATCAATGGCCCAGTCTGGAACTTGCCGCTTCTTTTCTGAGGCTTCCCTAGACTTCTCAAACATCGTGCGCATCATCGTGATCTTGTGATCCCACTCCTGGGCTATTTCTTTTCGGTCGGATTCACTCTCGCACGAAGTGACCATGTCATCTCGTTCGCGTTCCATGAGTTCGATGGCTTCTTTCTCAAGCTCCTGTCCTTCGCGAGCCCTTTTCTTCTCCATATCGTCCCAGCGGTCTTTCTTGCAGCGTAAGACTTGGGCAGTGACAGGCGCTAACGATTTGTCGTTGGTCTCGACGCATAGGCGATGGGCCTGCAAGGCGCTCTCGAGGGCAGCGTCGTAGTCGTGTATAGCGAGCTGGCACTGTGAGAGGATAAAGTAAGCCTTAAGGTGGTTGCCCCCGGTTAACTTGATGCACGTGTTGCAGTCCGAGATAGCCGAGTCGTACAGCTCGAGTCGGATTCTTGCCATGGCGCGGTTAGTGTATAGGGATGGGTTGGCGTCGTCTGCTATAATGCTGTTGAATAAAGTCAAGGGAGCTATCAGTATGCACGGCTCATTATCGTTTCTCGTTTATGCCTTAGGTACGTATGAATTCTCAAATACGTACGCTTTCGAGTAGAGGCTCTCGGCGCCTAAATAGTTGCCAGACGAGAAATGTTGATTCCCATCCTCCTTTAGCTTCTTGGACTTCTCTACATCCTTCGCCATGGTTTCTGTTAGTCTTTGGCAACAAAACTCGGTCGAGTAGGTCCTAGGTAGGTCCTAGGTGTGTAGATTTCCTTGGTTTCACTACCTCTATATGCGATAAGGTGGTTGACGCCTTGGGCAGCGTGGCGCAATGTAGGGTGATGTAGAAGAATAGGGTGTATGTATGTCGTACGTGACAGAACTCGAAGAGTCGAAGCGAGGACTTCTTTGTCGGCAAAGCAGAGGACTACAAAGGAAGGGGTTTACCAATCCACGTAGTACTAGAGGGGATTACTATAGATGCTTCAAGCTCATTGGATTGAATACGTAGGTCGATAGGTAGTGTACTACCTTAGGTAGGGTCGGTAGTTAGTGTGCTAGGTTAGGTGCCAGGTAGGAACGCTTGTCTATCAGGCTGTCGGTATTGCTGGAATATGTACGGTAGATAAATGAATACTATGAAGGCATGTATGACATTGTATGTATGTAGGTATTGACAGATGGTAGTAGGAGTATGTCAAGTATTGCAATTGGTCACAGAATTAAGAATTAATAGGGTCATGTAGTCTGGGATGGGCATCATTGTAAATGATATAAGAGTCTTACCCTTACGGATCGAATGGATGTCTTGCTTTCTGGTCTGAATTGTTCATTTGTTCATTCATTTGTTCATTTGTCAGGCGAAGCTTCGAGAATATCGCGTCGCTAACATTGAACCACTAAATAAGAATCCAGGTAACTACCTAACCTAGTAACTACATCCATGGATACTATGTAACTGTACCCACTATGTTTTAGTTGTATTTTTTAGTTGTATTTGCATCTCCATGTAAGTACATGTACTGGTTAACAATAATACTACTAACCTTAGGTACATAACACATATGAAACTATGTAGGTTTGAGTGTTTTGATTGGCTAAAGAAACAATTAAACTATGGTCTGAGCTCAAGCTTGCTGAGAGCCTGAGATACTACGGCGTAGTACCTATGGTCAAATCTTGTTGGCTTCATAAAGCGCCTACATATCCAAATAATATCAGCAACTGCATAACTATCTTTTACCCACTATCCGTCTTTGAATTTGTCCTAAATCTCATCATCACTATTGTAGAAGATGGCCGACAAGAAAGGCTCGGCATACGGCCAGCCGGCGTCGGACACGTCGTTCCGGCGTACTTACGACCTGGACGAGTACGCCCAAAAGGCAAAGGAGCGAGAGACCTCGGAGCGGGAAGAGTCCAAGGCACGATATGAGGCCAAGCTAGCAGGCAAGAAATACTACAAGCCCATGACGGGCGACGAGACTCACACGCACGCACGCCGCGAAATGATTGATTTGGAAGCCAATGTCGGAAAGACAACCCTTGTGCCCGCTGGCGCCGGCGTGGGAAAACGGGGCCGCGGTGCCGGATTCTACTGCAGTGCGTGCGACCTCACCTTCAAGGACAACATGCAATGGGTCGAGCACGTCAACAGCATGCAGCATCTGCGCAACATCGGCGAGACGGGCGAGGTGCGGAAGGCCACAGCGGAAGACGTGCACCTGCGGATCCTCGCCTTGTGGGAGCGACTGCAGGAGCAGAAGAAGGATAGTGCGACAACACTGAAAGAGCGTCTGGAGTTGCGCGAAGAGGAGACGGCCAAGGAAAGAGAGGCAAGACGCCAAAAGAGGCAGGAGGAGCTGGCGAAGAGGAAGGCGGAGAAGGAAGCTGCGGAGAAGATCAAGGTCGAGTACGGCGAAGATGTGAGGGTAGAGGGTGAGCACGATGAGGATGATATGATGGCAGCTATGGGAATCACTGGTTTTGGCACGTCAAAAAAGAAGTGAGCTTTCTCTCCTTCTAGGTATGGAAAAGCATGATAATCGTGCATTCTAGCATGAGATACGGCGTTTACGAGAGGGTACTGGAAAGGGGTTTGACTTATTTCGGGCGAGCTTAACTGGACTTGACTGTGTTACTTATTTATATATTACTACATGTAGGTAGTAGCATACGATACCCTTTTTACTAGGCATATAATGAAGGAACATTAATGAATTGCTTCGATATTCCCTTCACATGATGCTACTAGGTATGTAGTAGGTAGACTTGGATATGTTTGTAGCCTCACCTACCAACATTACTGGTTATGTTCATGTACTACTAGTACAAATACATATGCATACTAGGTATTTACAGAGCAGGACAGTCAGGACTGGTAGGTACGCAGTATGTACGTACATATCATCATGATTGGATTCCGATTTCCCCACTGCTGCTAGACTTACGTACACAGTACATGCTTGAAGTAACTACGACTAATACTAGGTAGTATCGATTGCGAAATCCCCCGCGACGGATTCACTGTTAGCAATCTGGAAACCACCAAACCCATACAACCAACACCAGTCATTCCAACCGTTTCGCTCCAACCGTTGAGTATACATATCTCACCTTAGATACAACAGTAACAATTAGAAATACTAGATCTTATAAATCTCAATCTATTATCGTACACTCCATTCTCAATTCGATCCTCGCGATCCATCTTCCCAATCAAAAACGGGCCAGCTTTCTCAAGCGCAAATATTATTTGGTCTACGAACGGCGTACTTGGCTTCGCCCTTCTTTCCGTCCGTCGCTGTTGCACAGCATTCTGCGTTCCCGTCCGACTATTGTATCACCCAACACATACACACACACACACACACACACAATGTCGGCCTCCAGGGCTACGTCGTCGACACAGGTCACCGGAGCTGCCCGACTGCTCCAGCGGCAGCTCAAGGAGATACACACGTCTGACGATCCTTCGGGAATATCAGTCGGCCTGGTCAACGAGAGCAACGTCTTCGAATGGAATATATCCCTCATGATAAACGACGACTGCAAATACTACGGTGGTATGTTTTGAACTTTAGCATTTGTATGTAACTACACATATATGTATACTAAGTCATGACGATAACTAGGCGCCTCCTTCCACGCCGTCATGACCTTCCCCCCCGAATACCCCCACATGCCTCCCACGATTGTCTTCCAGAACCCTGTGCCCTTCCACCCGAACATCTACCCTAACGGTGAACTGTGCATCTCGATCCTGCACCCACCGGAGGAAGACAAGTACGGCTACGAAAGCGCCGCCGAGCGGTGGAGTCCCGTGCAGACCCCCGAGACGATCCTCCTGAGCGTTCTCAGTTTGTTTAATGAGCCCAACGACGAGAGCCCGGCCAACTTGGACGCCGCGAAGCTTTTGCGTGCCGAGCGCGAAGGCGGACCCAAAGAATTCCGGAAGCGAGTGAGGAAGTGTGTTAGGGAAAGTCTAGGTGAAGATTAGGCAATCGAAGGGGGAACAAAGTATCAACAACCACATACCAGCAACATTCGAAGCATCAGCGATTTGTGATTTGACCAACAGGAGCTACTTTACCTAGGGATGGAGTTTCGGATCGGGGCCTGTCTTCTCGAATTAAGCATCCTGTTGGTTTATCCAGCATAGTTAAAGGCGTTCATACAACATGGGGGTCATCATCCTTCTCATGCATCTTAATTTAAGCCAATATTTTGTCTAACTTTTTTTTCCGAACTTTTGATGATTTTGCTTCAGTCCATGACCCCAAGCACACGCCCTAGTATTCGGTCCCATTCCTCGTCCCATCGCAGATTACTCTCCTTCTTAGCGCCTTCGCCCAAAGTCCGCAGCTCGGCCAGACCTTCGTTGCTGAATAATCTCTTCAAGATAGCAGCGAGCTTGTCTGCGGTCTCAAACCCAAGCCCGTTAACCCCTTCCTTGACCAGCTCGTCAAAGCTCTCGTATCCCGAGTATGCTGCGACTGGCAACCCAGACCCGAACATATCCACGACCTTCATCGGCAGGTCGACGCCCGAGCTAGACATGTGCAGACAGATTCCTAGGTCGGCGCAGCGGAGGAGGTTGGCGTAGTCTTCCATGCTGAGCCAGGCCGTGAGTATACGGATATTAGGTAATCGCCCGGTTTTCTGTAATTCGCGAATTTTTCCCTCGTAGAATGCTTTCTGTGGGCCTTTCCCCGTTATGATGGCAATGATGGGACACGATGTATCTTGTTGTTGTTGTTGTTGTTGTTGTTGTGGTTGTTTCGCATACGTGACCAGCGCGTCCAGTAAGAGTGAGAAATCCTCGTCGGGTGTCCAGGAGGTGCTGCTCACTATGAGCCGCGTGTCGCCTGCCAAAATGTTGGAGGCGAAATCTCGCGTCTCTGGTAGCCTTTCGAGGAAGTCCTTGCGATCCGACAATGACTTCAGGGGGTGGAAAATAGCGGCTGGGCGGTCATGGAGGACATGAATGGGCGCGGTCACGTTATAAGGGGCCCGTTCGAGCTGCCGCTTCATGGCATGCGTGACGGTGACGTTGGCAGTCGGTGCCGCCTGGCCCAAGGCGCACTCGTACGCCTTCGAAATCTGGACGAAGGGGTGGTTGCGCCCCTTGGTCCCGGCGAGGATCGTCCAGCCGTAGTTGTGCCAGTCGATCATGAGATGCGTGTTGCGCAGGATGGAGACGAGAAGCGCGATGGCGAGAGTAGGGATGGACGGCGGGTTCTGGACTAGAAGCCACCGTGCTGGCGGGGTCTGGTACCCCAGGACGTGGACCAGAGTCCAGATCTGCCATAGCACTTTCAGGGGCCCGGAGATAATGAATGGGAGAGAGCTGGACTTTAGCAGGCTTGGGGGGGTTGCTAGTGGGTAGATCTTGATCCGTGGGTTGGAGAGAAGATCTGGGTGAGGGGTTGATTCTGTGTAATGGTTTAGTCAAGCTGCTTATTAAAAAAAGGGGGGAGGGGTCAAAAAGGAGATATACCAAGGTATCCAATGAGGTCAACGCTTCCGCCGTGTCTAGCAATACTCAGCGCGTGATACTGCATGCGTGGGCTCCGGCCGATATCTCCTAGGACCAGGACTTGCACAGAAACGGCAGATTCCTCCTTGGATGCGGTGGGTGAGTGTTTTTTTACGTAACGGGAGGGGAGCATTGTTAACACTACGACGAGGCCGAGTAGTAATCCTACCGCGGTGAAGGATAAGACTATGGCTAGATACGCCATTGCGGAGTAGTAAGACAGCGGTGTCTTGTCTTCGGGGCCGGCGATAAAAAAAAATTGAAAATTTTACATTGAGATTCGGATATAAAATTGAGAAATATGATTTTTTTTTTTTTTTGGCGGAATGACTGTTATAATTCACCCACAAATCTGAACGGTGACTGGGCTATTGTGTGTGTTGATGTGGCCTCATGTGGCCTCCTGGATGTTTTCGCGATCTGATTTGGTGTACTACTAGGTACATAGTACTAAGTACATAATCACTCTCCGTGCATTTATGTAATTCGTTTTAGCCTTGATTTCATGTAGTTCTGGTTAGAATTGATATCATAAAATTGATATATCATCGGTATACTTTAAGTCGCTCCTCCAGGTTTCGGACTTTTATTCTATGTAGCGTTGAAGTTGATAGCTGATGTTTGACAGCATTCAATGTTGAAGCTTACCTAGTAGTTACATGTACTTGTACAATAACTACATAAGCCTGTTATGTAAGGTGCACACAGTGTCAAGGTCCATAGTAATAATCTTACTGTATTGTTGTACATATCTGTGCGGAGAAGAGTAGATGGGCCCACTATAATCTGCATCATAGATTGGGACTTGGACAAGATCGGAAAGAGGAAACATTAATCAATAAGGAACCGCATTCAGGGACTAGGGTCACTAGGGTCACTAGTAGGGTCAAGTCGACCTTCTTTCCGGTATCGTATCTTCCAATTTATCTCCATTATTTCTATCGCATACAAGATGCCACCATGTCTCTTCCCCATTATCATTGGATTGGCGTTTAATCTTTTTCTTTGACAAAAGTCGCTGTTTCTACATACATCTACATCTACATCTACATCTACATATACCACTTGACCTACTTAGTGTCTACTAGAAACCTCTTCCCGTAACCAGGCCACTCGCCACCAACACGCACAAACACGATCCATTCGCCATTGCCTACCCTGGGTAATCTGGGCACTCCTCAGATATCCACCAAGCAACCATAGAGCAATTCTGCCCATTGGGGTAGCTATAGGTTGCCAATTGAGACTTCCTTAACTAGTTTTTCGTATCCTAACCCTCATGCGACGATAAAACTGCGAATAAACCGAGCCTTCGGCACTCTTTAAGTATTGTCACTGCTTACGGAGCTAGGCGGCGTGTAGACCATTACACGACAACATGGCATCCTCGTACGCGCTACCCCAACCTCCGGTACTGCACAATCACGGTCATTCGCATTCGCATTCCCGCTCCCCCTCCCTCCCCCACTCGCCCTCGTCCTTTGGCCACTCTAGATCCAATCGATCTCTCCCAGGCCAAAGGCAGGTCTTCAACCACGACCACAACCACGACCACGAACATGATCATGACCACGAACATGACCACGACCATCATGTCGACCATGATTTTCAGGCGCAGGCTCGGCAAAATATAACGCAATACCAGGCGAATTCGCTCTTACCTCTTCAAAGACGAGAAAACCGGCCGTCGCCCTTAAGACAAAACCCCGGAGACTCGGCTAATCCTCAGAAGCATGATATGCTAGACGTGCCAAAGAACCTTGGCTACGACGCCCCTGGTTCTGATGTTTTGGACGAGCACGGGCACAAGCACGATGATCATCACCATTCGCATGGAGTGGGCTATTCGAAATTCACGGCGTTGCTGCTCCCCTACACATCGAGGTGGCCATTGATACATGCTATCATGACCGAGAAGGATTCGCGTCGTATCTTTTATTTTATGGGGTACGATCCCAAATAAATTGCTTGTGTCTTCGAATCATACTAATGCCTTTTCTGCCAGAGTCAATTTTTCGTTCATGGCTGTTCAAGCCGTTTACGGTTATCTGACCGACTCCCTAGGGCTTCTTAGCGACAGCATACACATGTTCTTTGACTGTGTAGCTTTAGCAGTGGGCTTGCTCGCGTCTGTCATGAGTAAATGGCCACCTAGTGAGAGGTTTCCCTATGGTTTTGGGAAGATCGAGACGCTGAGTGGATTCGCGAATGGCGTCTTTTTAATGTAAACATTGTTTCCTGCATATACAAACCTTTAGCTAATTCCTTTTTCCAGATTGATTAGTCTTGAGATTATGTTTGAAGGGTTTGAACGACTGTTGGAGGGCCGAGAAACTAAGAGACTTCGAGAGCTTTTCATCGTCAGCACTCTGGGGTTGATAGTAAATCTACTAGGCATATTCGCCTTTGGCTCTCATGGCCATCATCACGGCCACGACCACGGCCACGATCATTCACATGGTCACGCCCATGCGCATGAGAAAGTCCACGAGAACCACGACTGTAGCTCGCACCATGAGCACGGGCATGAACATGAACATGAGCACGAGCACGAGCACGAGCACGAACACGAACACAAGCACGAACACGGCCATAGTCATGGTCATGCTCATCACGATCATGGCAACGAAAATATGCACGGGATTTATTTACATATTCTCGCGGATACTCTTGGAAGTGCTTCGGTCATTGCGTCCACAGTCTTGACATATCTTTTCCCGTGGGCTGGCTGGGATCCGCTGGCATCCTTCTTGATTGCGTACCTGATTCTTATTACTGCGATACCACTGGTGAAGTCATCGGCCCAACGCTTGCTATTGACGATCCCGGCGGATACTGAATACAATCTCCGCAACACTCTGTCCGAGATCACAAATCAACGGGGTGTTGCCGGGTATTCGGTCCCCAAATTTTGGGTAGATGATGGGGCCGGTAGTGAGTCTGGAAGTAGGCTCTTAGGGGTGATACACGTGGCGGCGGTCCGGGGTGCGGATCTAGAGGATGTTCGAGATAGGGTTCAGAACTACTTGGCCAAACATGGAGTTGAGCTCACGATACAGATGGAGCGAGAAGGTGACCCGACATGTTGGTGTGGGATGGGTCGACTCGCGGCTGTGTCTCCTAAAACATACTGAGTCGAGAGATGAGTTTGAATGCTGATGTAATTACATGCCAAACAAGGTCTTGACGAAAGACGAAAGTGCTATGTGGTAAGCATCACCTTGATTTTTGAGAGCACGTGGTGTTGTGACGGACGGACGGATGGATGGCCTGCAACATTTTGAATTGGACACAAGAGTGCTATTGATTAGGAATGCTAGGTCAAAAAGAAGGGAAGGGAGGGGAAGGGAAGGGATGAAGATGATAGGAGAAGACGAGGGATGACTATACCCAGGATATACTTATTCTACCTACGTTCTGTATATACATGTTTTTGGGATAAGTGCTATTATATGGAACTTTTCAAAGGAGCAAATGAAGAAAAAATATACAGTACATATATTCTCGTGGCGTACCGTAGGTAGATTTGTTGAAGATTTTTGGCATATGATTATGACGTACGTTTCATGGTATGTGCATCCATGGATATGTAGGTCACTGGTGCACATATGCAGAATTGGTGCACGCGCGGGCGGTGTTGGGCCAGGTACGACGGCTTGTGCCGGCGTCTAGTACCGGGCATTTAGTACATTTGATGTTACACTATCTGATATCTGATCTTATGTACATGTATGTAAGTTAGTACTATGTACGTATACATATACCTGGTAGCACTAGTTTCGGACACGAGGAGAAACTCCAGATGTCGACGCCAATATTCATGGCAGTGATATACTTTCAATGTTGATAGCGGGGTCATGTTAGTTATTACAAAATAGAACTTCTCACACCTACTACCTCTACATACCTACCATAGTACCTGCTCTTCCATTGAACCGACTTGGCTGAGGCATTTGTGAGAATACCTACCTAACCTAGTACTATGTGAAGTGTACATATTCACAAGAAGCGTGCGGGTCTTGCGTACTACATACATGTAGTTATGTAAATGGTACTAGGTACCTGGTACTGCCAGGTACCTATGTACTCTACCGAGGTTTCAATCTGCAGTTGCTTCTGACGTTACTCGGCTCTGTCTCTCTTTGCCGAAATGCAATACCAAAAATATTACATAGTGCATACCTAAGGTACTTAACCTTCTCAATAATTTAATTCCCTCGAGTTGCCCTTCACCCTTTACGGAGTAAATCACGACTGACACTCTTGACATTATTCCCCAAGTCAAGAACCTGGGCGCAAGAAGAAGAAAAGAAAAGAAAAAGGGTACAAAAGATATTGTACATTGGCGCTACAGGAATAACTCCGAGCTTCGAGCAAAACGACCGTCTACACTCAACCTGAAAGCTGACTTTCCCGGTTACCTGTTGAGGTCCAGCAGAGAATACCTAGCAGCAGAAGGAACAAGCAAGTTCTCCCTCAAGCTAGGCCAGCCAGAAAACCACCAATATGGCCCCCAATGAGCAGCAGCACACAGGCATTAACGAGAAGCTGCATGCATCGTTGCCTGCCCCAGTCGCCAACCACCTACCACACATCCCGGAGACCAAAGATGAGCTGAAGGCTGAGCTGAAGGCCGAGGCCAAGGCCGCTACCAGCAGCTTCGCGTCTCAAATACGGTCTTTTGTCGCCGGCGGCTTCGGCGGTGTCTGTGCTGTCATTGTCGGCCACCCTTTCGATCTCGTCAAGGTTCGCCTGCAGACTTCGGACAAGGGCGTCTACTCTTCGGCAATGGATGTCGTGAGGAAAAGTGTTGCGAAGGACGGCCTACGGAGGGGTCTATATGCCGGGGTCAGCGCGCCCTTACTCGGCGTCACGCCTATGTGTAAGCTCCCCTTTCTTTCTCATTTTATTCCCTTTCTTTCCCTTTGAACTGGGAGTCTATCGACAGGTTAAAAATTCACACTCTTTGGACAATTTCGCTCATGGTTTGAGAATATAGTCGCCGTATCATTCTGGGGTTATGACCTCGGGAAACAACTCGTGACCTCGGTGTCCCCCCCGTCCCCCACAGGGTCCCTCTCTATCGCGCAGGTCACCCTTGCCGGTGCTTTCAGCGCGTTTCCTCAAACTCTTATCACCGCTCCCGTTGAGCGTGTCAAGGTTATCCTACAGGTCCAGAGTCAGCGACTGAAGCCTGGCGAGGAGCCCAAGTACAAAGGCAGTTACGACGCCGCACGCCAACTACTCAAAGAGGGCGGCCCGCGCTCCCTATTCCGTGGCAGCGCTGCCACACTTGCCCGCGATGCCCCTGGCTCAGCCTTGTATTTCGCCACCTACGAGTACATTAAGCGCAAACTGACGCCTCTCGACCCGGTCACGGGCAAGCCCAAGGGAGACATGAGCCTGCTCGCGATCACGGCGGCGGGCGGCGCCGCCGGAGTGGCCATGTGGATCCCCGTGTTCCCCATCGACACCGTCAAGAGCCGCCTGCAGACGTCCGAGACCAAGATGAGCGTCAGCAGCGTGTTCCGCGAGGTGTACGGCCGAGGCGGCTTCAAGGCTTTCTTCCCTGGGTTCGGGCCGGCTCTCGCGAGGGCGGTGCCCGCTAATGCCGCGACGTTCCTGGGCGTGGAGCTGGCGCACCAGGCTATGAATAAGTTCTTCAGTTAAGCATACCTAGCCTGGAATGGAAAGCTTTCGCCAAAACCATCATTATCATCACAGGCGACGCTAGTCCAACTACTTTGATCGAGGTGGATGGATCGCAAAGCTCCGATACCTAATTAAAGGCTACAAGAGTCGTGGTGGAGCTGAGGACGGACGACGGACCAATAAATAGATCGATCGTCGATCGATGAAGAGGGTTGAAGGAGAATGAGGAAATAAGCCTCCATCTCTCTCTCTCTCAGCATACCTACCTGGCCTTTAGAGAACGAACCATACACACACAAACAACGAAGGAGCTAGATAGAGTCGGGCGGGCATAACTATGTCCTAGTCTAGAATTTATTGTGCAAGCACAGCAAGCAGGCGTGGAGGGGATTTGCATACCCCCCTTTTTTTTTTTTTAAAAAAAGGCGTTTCAGAAGAAGAGGATATGATGTGATATGGCATGACATGAGGCCATTTCATTCATGTTCATTGACGTTGATGAAGTTCTAGAAACTAGATAGATCATCTTACAAGCAACAGAGAAAGAGAAGAGAGAGTACCTACCTACCTACCTACCTACCTACCTAACCTTGGAGTATTATTTCCTCGACAGCTAGGTACATGCCTAGGTACATAGCTGCGTTATTGTACCTGTTGTACAATACCTACCTAACGCACAAAGCCTGACCAACCATGCTCTTTCTCTCTCTCTGCCTTCAATGTTGTAATGTAACCTAATGTAATGTGATGTGATGTGATCAATACCTACCTAACCCCCTATCCTACCTAGATATCTATGATCACGACGAGCGGATGCTCAGTGTACTTTCTGAACACAGTAGCTCATCTTTTTTTTTTCAGTAATTCGTATGTAGGTAATTATGGAATTTATGCCTCCATTAGATGATAGCTGGATAGATGCTTATTAGCCTAACCTAGCGAATATGCAATATGCAATACAATTACAACAATATGAACCCAACCTGTCCCGTGAATATCGCTTTTTTAGTTTTAGAAAACGTACAAGTATCAAACTACGAGGAAATCTTATTCCCAAAAGAAAAGACTCCTAAATTATAATAAAAGAGCACAGGTTCAACTAGGTATGTAGCTCGCCGCGAATGATGGGTATCGCCTCTGCCTGAAGGGGGGTTTAGGAGTAAATCAAGTAAAGAAATATATATATCGATAGATAAATAAAAATGACCGCCCAATATTTTTCCTCTGGATATGCCCAAGAACCATACTAACGCCAGACGCTACCAAGTGAGGGGCCATAATGTAGGGACCTCGGCACTGTGATGGGTAAGAAGAGATGAAGGATGAATGTTGTGTAAAGTGGAGTAGATACTTAGGTAGGCAGATAGGTATAGCCTGAACGTTCATCGCTCGTTAACGGTCCAGCGTCTTTTCGAGGAGGTGAAATCCCGAATCCGCTCAGCCTCACCTGGAGGTCGCGGGACACTCCAGAGGCCCCCATTGCCCACACCGGCCCAAAGCTGGGGAACAGCATCCCCATCAAATTTATCTCGTTCTTCGCCCTGCGAAGTTTGTGGTCTTGGAGTTAATATCCCTTTCTTGGGCGATGGCGCAGACACCATGTCGTTAGAACTAGACTCTTGCTCCTGTACTTTGGGGATATCCTTGCCATTTGTCTCCTTTGTCTCATTTTCCTCGTCATGGCTGGGTAGCAATGGAAATGGCGTTGGCGTTACTTTCTCCGTTAGATCGTCCTCTTGGTTTGGCGGTGCCCATAAGCCACTTGAGCCTGGACGACTCGGCCGAGTTGATGAGAAACTAGTGACCCCGCTACCAACTGTTATGCCCCCGGACCCTACGTGATTGGGCGGAGGCCATATAGATGATGCCAATACTGGTGATCCCCTTCGCATGCTCCCAAGAGAGGCATTTAGTGAGTTACTTCGGCTTCCTGATGGCGAGCCCCCGTATAAGGAGGCGCCAAAGTTGATATCTTTCAATGCCGAAGGAAACCCGTTACCATAACGACCACGTGGGTTACGGCCACCAGCAGAAGCTGAACGGCTAACCGCAGGTGGAGTAGCCGCAGAATGAAGATGCTCGGTATTTGCGAACAATTTCAGCTCGAATATTTCTGCCATGGTGGGTTGCTTGGTAAGTAGAGGCTCTTCGAGTGAAGCTGGTACCTTCTTATAAATACTGGGATCGAGATCATGGTCAAAATGCGGTTTTCGTTGTGCCATTGTAATAGACGACATTCCGACATCGATAAGTACAGGCTGCTGTGTGAGGGCGCCAATGAGGGCGTTGCAGCCAGCACCGTGTGAAACAAGAACCACGACATTTTCTGTCTCAACTTCCTGATCACTTTCGGCTGGCAAACTGCTAATGTCACTCTCCTCTCCGGCTGGTGGCTTGATGGGGTTTCGGTTCGAAACTGTTTTAGTCACCATTTCTCCTGGATTTTCTGTAGTGCTGTACCACTCAACTAATCGGTTGAGCCCCTTTCTGAACCTCTGGTGCATTGCCGCCCATTCCTCGGGCAATACGCCACCGTCTCCCCAGCCAAGGTTGTCTCTACTGGAATCCCACTGGTAGTCGATGTCAACACAAGCGTCACGAGCATGCGCTACGTACCCCTTGGGTATGGGCTCAGAGGTAGAGAGAGCATAAGCAGGAATTGGAGCTATGTATCCCGAATTACAACTCGGGTCTAAGGGATGAGAAAGCTTCTGTGCTGCTTTCGGGTCTAAGGTTCCGACAGACTCACTCCTAACTCGCGGCAGGCCACCTTTTAGGGCAGAAAGGCCGTCGAGGCCTTCAAGGGCATCAGAGTCAGGAGTCATAGAAGTTATTAGAGGGCTTCCTCGAGTAGGAGAAGCACTCCATAGTTGAGAGGAAGTGTTTGTGTTTGTGCTTGGGGCATGTCGAGCGTAGAAATGAGGATAATCATTGTAATTCTCTCGCCGCAACAGCTCAGCTTTGGCAGTTGCCAGCATTAGACTAGACTTTGGGGGAGGCGTGATGTGTTCAAAGTAGTCAGGGGAAAGCCATTCCCCGAGGAAAGGGTCCAATCTCAAAACCGACCTATCAAGCACATTCTGGTTTGCCGGATCTTGTGACAAGCCTGTATTGGTATTGGTAGACGCAAGAGGCTGTATGCTTGTAGCAGAGCTTGAAGGGGATATTTGTGAACTTCTCGGGGAGGGAGACCTATCGATGGGAGCGGCTGGAGGAGGGTTCGAAGCAAGGCCAGCAGCTATGGCAACAGAGGTTTGGACGCATCGGAGAAAGGGTGAGCTATGTATTACAATGTTGTAACGACGTTTTTTCTGTTTATGAGGGAACGTATAAGGTGTTTGACTGGCAGTAGTAGGTTCGTCATCTATTCCATTTTCTTGTAGGATAGAGGCGATCCTTGCCCCAACGATTTTAGATTGCGTCCATCCGCCATAGGTCAAAGGAGGGTCATAAGGTGTAGGCGAAGACAAATGCCATTGCTTGTCGGCGGCGTCGAGGCGTTTTCCATGCCTACATATAAGTTCATATGGATTAGTTTCCAAGGTCAAGAATTCCAAGAAGGCCAAGAAGCAAAAACGTCAGAACCGATTATACACATACCTAACTATGAATATGTAAGCCGGAGGTCGCCCCATGGCATATACACCGGATGGAGGGGGTTGGGCTCCGCTCCGGTCGGTGTTGTGCTTGGGACAAGGTGTGAGCTATTATAATTTCGTGAGCGTAGAGTTGGCTTGAGTTGAGTTGAGTAGGTATTGGTTCAACCGCACGATAAGTCGAAAATGTGTAGGTGCCCAGGTGAGTTTTGGGAGCCTCTTTTTAACGAGTCAAGCGACAAAGAGATATTGTATGATGTTCAGTCAATGACTTTGTTCTGGAGTTTCGAGATACTGGAGAGTACCATGACTACCTGGATATTGGTAGGTATGTTGGTTGGTTGGTTGGTAGGTAGGCATGGACTGCCATGGAGTAAATCACGTAGATGGTGGATACAATGTATGGATATGGATGTAGGTAATTACAAGGTAGGAAGGTAGAGGATGTATGTACCTACAAATTGACTACAATAAGCCCCTCGCCTAAGCTGCTAAGGCTATGGAGGTACCTAAACAGGGTAAATTGCACATCTGGTTAGCCTAGGGTCGGGTCGGGTACTTCTAGTTTTGGGTAGGACCGGTACCTACTACCTAGTAGAACATTGAAGTTCCAAGGTTCAAATGTTAGATTTAGTGCATCTTGTTAGATGCATTCAATGATGCATTCAATGATGCATGTGATATTCTGGGGTTACTGCTTGTAACTTGTAATTGAGGTTTTTATGTAGGTATCAATCTAGCGTCACGTATGTAGGTCTCGGTACTTGCTCACGGCCTCGTAAGTGGTCCGTTGGTTTCGAGATGTAAGCATTATTTCTGTCGTGTAACTCGTCAAAGTCTGTTCTTGAATGCTTTCCCCAATTCTATATATTATGTACCTAGTAACTATATACAAGTAGATACATAGGTGGCGAGGAGAAGGGCAGAGAATACATATATGTAGAATAAGGCGAGGTGAGAGCGGGCAACATTGACTGAGGCACGGTTACATAGGTAGGGGCCCATTTAAAACTTCCAAGGTTTATAAAAAGAGTAACTACAACCTTAGGTACCCTCATAGCAGTGATAGCACCTAGGGTACAGATACTGTGGCAGGTGCCACCTACTATAGATAAGATAAGAGGACACAGGTAAAAGGCCTGTCCTGCGGGGATTAGTTTTAAACCTTTTCTCTCTTTTAATACATAATTTATTCGAAATTGATAGATCTTTTCTAGTAATTTCGTCCAAGCTGTTTTTTAGTTTTAAACAAATGTCATTCATTAATATCTTACACGTTTTATTTAAATTTATTGTAAAAAATATTATTATAATATTTTAAAAATGTTTTAATACTTTTAAATTAATTTTTATCGATTTTATTAAATTTATTAATAATTATATTATTATTAAAAATTACTTGATTTAATTTATTTATATTTATATTTAAAAAATCCTTAAATAAATTACCTTATTAGTTTAATCTTTTTAATCAATTTATCGAAATAAATTATAATCCCTTTTTCTTTATTTTAATTTTTATTATTTCATTAATTATTTTTTTTCTCTTAAAATCTTTTATATTTAAAGCGTTAATTATTCCTTAAATTAATTATTATTAATTTTGTTAATTTTATTAATTTTAATAATATTAATCTCATTAAATTAATTATTATATATTAATAAACTTATTTTTTATATTATTACTTATAAACCTTATTATAAACCTTATAAATTTATACATTAATAAAAAATTAAATATTAAAAACTTTATCTTATCTTTATTTTAAAATACTTTGATTAATTTAATAACTACCTTATATTATTTTTAAGTCTTAAACTTATTAAGATATAATTATTTTAAAAGTGGTAAATTAACGACGAGATAATTAAACCGCCTAAAATAACAATTTTAACATATAAGGTATAATATTTTTTTTATTTTTAATATATTATAAACGATTAATATATAATATAAAAATAAAGTTATAACCTTTTTAAATAATAACTTAATATTTAAAGAAGCACTTAATTAAATTAAAAACGACATCGCCGTATTAAAGGACTTTATAAATATTAAATAAGCTTTAAAAAATAAATTTTTAATAACATTAATAAATAAATTAAACGATTAACTTATATTTAATTTAAATAAACTCGCTTAAAGCAAAAATAAGACACTTGTCGTATATTATTCACGGATATAAAACCTTTTAAAACGTATAAAAATTTAAAATTAACCTTAAAAATAAACGTTATAAATAAATATATTATTATTAACTTTAACCGCTCTTAAAATAAATATACTTAAAATAATTATTAATCGTTTTATTAATAACTTTTAAAATTAAATTTTATAAGCTAAGTGCATAAATAAAAATACTTAAAATTATAAATCATTATAATTAATATATAATATTATTTAAAACTATTAATTAATAATTAAGGAAAAGGATAATATTATGAAATTTTATTAATTTAAAACTTAATAAGAAATGTTAAAGAAGATAATTGTTAATCGGATTAAAGTATTAATTAATTAAACTTTAACAGCATAATACCTTTAAATAATAACATTAAATATAATAACATTTATTATATCGGTTTTTCCTTTATTTCCTTCGTTAAGCCCCTTATATTTTCTTATATTAAACTTTTTATTATTTTTTATTACACACTAATTGATATAAACATTATAAGGAATAATAGGATTATGCTAGCCTTTCCTTAATTAAAGTAATAAACATTAATATACCTTGTTAAACATAAAAAATCCCTCAATTACTTTAATTTTTTTTAACTTTTTTAACAGCTTTAACACTTTTCACATTACTATAATTATTATAACTTTATCCACTTTATTATTAACTTTTCTTTTATAAAATACTTTGTTTAAAAACTTAACTTATAACTAAAGCTATATTAAATATAAAAAAATCCCATTAAAAAAAACGTTAAAAAACTTAATAATAAATAAGTTATATTAATTAAGATTATTTAAGAAAATATACTTTCGTTACGATAAGCTTAAATATATTTTCATAACATGTTTAATAATAAAAAAATAATAATTTCTTTTATAAAAAACTACGACATTAAAGGTAATCTTATTTCCTTAAAGAAATAATAATTAAATTAAAACAGCTTAAAATTTTAACTCTTATAATATAATTTTTGATTTTAAAGAAAATTTAACCTTAGATAAATATAAAGCACATATAATTTAATTATTTTATAAATAAATTTAGGACTTTTCTCCTTAGTAATTTTAGGAATAAAGGTTAAATAAACCTAATCTTTATATATATTTTGAAAAGGATGAGCGTATATGTTAAAAAGTTTAAAAGATATTATTTAACTTTAAAATCGATAATTTAAAAACGTTAGTTAAAGGTAAACTTAAGTTATAATTTCTTACGTTAATTTTAAAAAAAAAAAGCCTTATATTTTTAAATAGCCTTTTAATAATAAAAAATAATTTACGCGAGGAGGTTATTAAATTTACATTATATTTAAACATAACCTTATATAATAAGCCGTTATTAAAACGTCGCCGGAACGGCTTTAAAGCTATCCCGATTATTATCGAAAAAAAGAAAAAAAAAAAAGAAACGAAACCACGAAAAAACTTTTAATAAATTTATAATCTCGATAAAAAAGCGATATTCGACTTTAAATCCTTAATTAAAAAAATATAAATCTCCTTAACGCTTATAAACCTCTTTTAAATCTCCCCTAAAACGTTTAAATAATTTAAACATTTTTTAACACAAAAAAATGTAAAAGCTAAAAAATAAATCGCACGGAAAATAACCGTTTTAAAAAAGTTAAAAGCCGCCAACCCGTTAAAATTAAAAGTAATAAAGATTAAACAAATCGTGGTGCCGTCACGAGTTAATTCCTTAAAAATTTTAAATAATATTACATCCAAAAAATACTAAAAAAAAAATAACAACTTATTATATAAATTAATCCGCTCCTTTTATTTAAATGTAACATTACATTTTAAAAAAAAAAATAAAATAATATTTATTATACTTTCACTTAAATCGACGTAAATTAATTAAAGAAACGATATAAACGTAATTTCCAATAAATTAATATAATAATTTAATTTAAAGTAAAAATTACTTAAAAACCTTATTACGAAACCTTTTTACCTTTTAACCTTAAACGAAAAAAAATATAAAATTCATAAATTTATGTTATTAAATATCGATATATAAAAAATTTAACGTTTCATATAAATAATTATAAAACTTAAAAACCAGCCTAAAAATTACTTATTTTTACTAAAAATTCCTTAACTTTAAAATATCTTAACTAAATTCGATATTTAAGTAAACACGCTTATAATTAAAGATATTTATAATAATAAAATATAAATCACTTTAATTAACCCCTTACTAACCCTTATAAAACGACATCATATCGCGTTTAATACGATAAAATTAATCGTTAATTTAATTAATTATTTATAAGTCTTATTAATATTTAAAAAATAAGCTTAAAATTTAAAGGATTTAAATAATAAATTATCCGATTTAAACTTAATAAATAAATCGTTAAATTCGGAAAATTAAATCGATTTAAACATGTTAAAAAACTACGTTAAAAAAAATCGTTTAACGATAATAAAAACATGGATATTATTAATATATACTATGATTAAACTTTCTTTTATACGCCTTAACTTTCGACGTTAACCCCGTTTAAAATACGATTTTAAATAACACTATCGTCCCACTTTACCTTTATATCGATAAAAAAAGCTTATACGTCATTGGTTAAATAAAAAATAATATAAATTAAAATTAAAAAAAAAAATAATTAAACATAAATTGCTTTAATAAAATGTTATTTCCTATAAAACGGCGTATTATTTACCTATTTTTAATATCTTAAAAAAAATTATCGGATATAAACGCGCTTAAATAATTAATAAAAATAAATATTTATATTAAGCCGTTAATATCGGATAAATTACGCTTAAAAATAATTAAAAAAATATATATATATCGTAAGTTAAATGTGAAATTTATCTTTAATATTTTACTTTTAAATTTATATTAACATTATATAAGGTTAATAAAAAAAGATAAAACCGTAAAGCCGGTTAAAACGACGGTAATAAATTATCTCGTAAAAATATTAATTAAATCACTTAATCTAATTAAGGCTTAATATAAAAATATATAAGTTTATAAAAGCAATTAATAAAATCCTTTTAAATTAATTTGTTAAGTTTATTTTTATATTTAAAAATAAGGATAATTTAAATTTAAACCTTTAAATTAAATCGTAATTAACGTTTAATTATTTAAATGTTAACGAAAACGTTTTAAATATAAATATTACACTTTTATTAAATTTTTATATATATTTATTAAATTTTAATATTAAGTTATATTTAAAATTCGACTTAAAATATAAGTATTAAATTATTAAAATTCATTTAAATAATTAGTATTTATTTATATTTTTAATAATAGGATTTTTATAATTATAACTAATAAAAATGTTTTAAGGCTTATAAATAATAAATTTTATGTTTACGAAAATAATATATATTATATTTAAAGAAATTCCACCGCTTTTATTAAAGTTATCCCTAATTTAATTAATAAGGTTAATATAAATTATAAATATAAACTTTTATATCGATAATATATTTCCTATACATTAAAACGTAAAGAAATAATAAAATTAAATTAAAAAATATTTCCTCCTTTAATTATTTTAAGCCCGTTTACGATTAACGTATAAAAAAGTTTATATAAGCTTTAAAAAAATTTTAATAATAAGGGTGGTACATCGTATAAATAACCGCTTATTTATTAAATTAAAGCGTTATAAAAGGTTTTAAATATAATTAATTCTTATAAAATAATTTTATATTAAAGCTTTTATAAATACGATTAAGTTGTATAAATAATAAATTAATAATTACGTGGAAATTTTTAAACCGTTAATATAACTCTTAAAAAATATTAATTAAAAATGAAATAAGGTAAAAACGCTTACATTTACGTTATTAAAAAACTTAACATTAGTAATTATTAAAATATATAATTTTATATTTAACTCCTTAGTAAAAATATACTTTAATACCTTTAAATAAAGCGTTAAGTGTTTTATAATATAATTAAGAAATAAAGCTTACATCTTAATCGTGTATAATAATTTTACGTTTATAAAAACTTAACGAAATTATAACACGTATAAATAGGAATTATATGTTATTATAAAGTTCTTATAACGATATAATTTTATATTTTAAGCTTAAAAAATGTTAATTATTTATATTAATTATAAACCTTTAATATAATTCCTTAACTTAGTAAATATAAATAAAATATATGTTAAATAAACGTTAAAATTACACATATTAAATATAAAAATTATATATATTAAAAGTAGGTAAAATTAAATAACCGATATATTATTAAAAATAATATTCTTAAAAAATAAATATAATTAAATAAAACATTTAACGTCGTTTAATAAAAAAAAGTTAAATAGTTTTTAAGTTTAAAAAAATAATATTGGCGGGTATTAAACCCTTCTTAAATTCATAAAAAAAAAAAAGGAAAGAAAATAATAAACGATATTTTTAACTTGTATAAATAAAACTTAATGGATATTATTTTACGATTTATTAAATTAATAAAAAACGATAAATTTAAATTTATTATTTGTTAATAATAAAAGTAAAATAATAATAAAAATAAATATAAGGTATTATTAAAATCGTTAAAAGGTTTAATATTAACCTTATAATTAATAAAATTTAAAGCACCTTCGGCAAAGTTTAAAGCACTTTTTAAGTACGCTTAAAATAATTAATATATAAATATATATTAAATACTTACGAAAAAAATTGTTAACTCGTTAAATCGTGTGAAATTACGCTTTTTACGAAATAAAGCGAGATATTATAAACTTTAAAATAATAAATTATAATATAAATATAAAAGTTATTAATAAAAATGCCTTTATTAAGAAAAAATAATTAAAACACTTTAAATAACTTATAATATAAACGAGCACTTTTTTAAGGTAATTACGTTAAAACGATTAAATTGATTTATATATTAGCCTTATATAACCTAAAATATAATTAATTACATTAAAAACTATTTTTTTTATACGTACCATAAACCGTTTTAACCTTTAATACCCTTGTAACCCGTTACTATATACACACCTTTATAAGTTTTAACCGTCGATTTTATTAAGCTGTTTTTAATAATATTATATAAAATACGATATATTTTAGTTATTATATATTACTTTAACCGATATAATTAAATTATTTTAATTAAAAAAATCACATTAATAAACGTGTTAAAAAAATTTAACTTATAAGTTGTAAATATAAAAATAAAACCTTTAACCTTTTACTTTAACCTTAAATTTACGTTTATATTGGTAAAAATAATAACTAAAATAAAATCGATAAAAATCGCGATAATTTATAAATTTTCGAACTTATATACTAGCGTAAGCCTCGTTAAAATATTTAATAAAATTTTTTAAATTATATTAAAAAAAACTATTAATTTGTTATTAATAAAAATATTAATAAAATTTATAAATTAAATATCCTAACTAATAAAAGTAATAATAAATATAAATTGTTAATATATAAAAAATATTAAATTCTCGTCGTATAAAATCTTTTATAAAAACCTACCGGTTAAAACATTTAAATAAAAATACCCCTTAAAAAACCTAGGCTTATTAATACGTTATTTATAAAATAATAAGGTAAAGCTTTTCTTAGTTAAAAATTGGCTTAATAACTTAATAATAAATTATTTAATAAGACTTTAACATTATTGGAAAACGATTTTTTAATTAAGAAAAAAAAAATAATTAACACGTAATTATATATATATTTCTCGCACGCCTCAAATAAAAAAGGATAACTTAGTAATAATTTATTAAAAAAATAAAACCTTAAAACTTTGAAAAAAATAAACGGGACCCTTTATTATAAGAATATAAATTAAATAATCCTCATATTAACTTTATAATTTAAATAAATTTATTATCGAAAAAATAACATATTATAAAAACCGCTTTAAACGTTTCTCCTCTTAAACGGGTTATTTTTAAACGAATAATAAGCTAGCCTTACCCTTATAATCACGATTATAAAAGAAAAGGTTAAAAAAAAAAAAGGATAAATAAATATAAAAGAAAAAAAAAACACTTATTACATCCTTATATTTCCTTTATAATTATATCTTTATAATTTTCCTTTATTTATTTTTTCCTTTATTAGTAATTTCATTTATTTATATCTTTACCTCTTTTTTTTCTTTTATTATAATTTCCTTTATTACCATTTTATTTGCCGAAATTTCCTTTATTAACGTTTCGTTTTTTTTTTTTTAAAACTTTTATTACTTTCCTTTATTTTTTTTCTTTTACTAGAAATTACGAGATTTTCTTTAGGGATATTAAACTTTATTACATAGTTTAAAAACTTTTCTTATTATATTATTATAACATTATACCTTAAAAAGCAAGCCGCTCGCTTAACCTATATTCTCTTTAATAGATATTATAGTAAATACCACCTATTATAAATAAAATAAAAGGATATAAGTAAAAGGCCTATCCTGCAAGGATTAGTTTTAAACCTTTTCTTTTTTTTAATACATAATCTATTTAAAATTAATAGATCTTTTCTAGTACCTAGAGAATCGAGATATGGACATTATAATGTACCTATAATATTCCCATTCTTTAATAAGATTCGAAGTTAATACGGCGCCACCGCTGCACCTGCAAGGGCGCATGACAATAAAGCGGGGCAGATCATGAGTTGGGGTTCGACTAACGATAGTTGGTACTAAAGGGTCCTCTGACAGCCTAAAATCCAATCGGCTAGGTGCATGTCAAGCTGGTTTAGGGCTATTGGACGCCCCTTGAAGCCCCTGTCAAAAGCTATGAGGCTAGGCCTGCCCCCCTTTCCCCCTTCATATGTACAATATATGCATAAGTTAATACATGCATTTATACTAGGTACTACGATTAGTACCTTGGTACAACTTAAATTGACATGTAACTACCTAGTATCTAGATTCTAGGCGCGATTACAAATCAATAGTTAGTTATTTGGTTCCTGTTCAACATTCAATGTTCATTCTTACCTACCAAGTCTAGTAGTAGTACTACTACTTACTACCTGCTACTCGTCGGCGTCGACATACTATCAAACGAGTACCTACTCTATTTTTCAAACATCCATCATGAGGCTCCCCAATGCCTTGTATCTCCCGGCGCTTTTGGCCTCCTCGTTCCTGGCTCCCATACAGCCCGTAGTGGCTGAGCACACCAGCAACTGGGCTGTTTTGGTTGGCACTTCCAGGTTCTGGTTCAACTATCGCCATCTCGCCAATGTCCTGTCCATGTACCGGACCGTCAAGCGACTAGGTATCCCCGACTCACAGATTATCCTTATGCTTCCCGACGACATGGCTTGCAACCCCCGAAACGCTTTCCCCGGGACCGTGTATAGTAACGCAGACCGCGCAGTTGATCTATACGGGGACAACATCGAAGTTGATTACCGAGGATATGAAGTCACTGTTGAGAACTTCATCCGATTGTTAACAGACCGCGTTGGCGACGAGATGCCCAGGAGCAAGCGGCTACTTACCGATGACCGAAGCAATATCTTGGTGTATATGACGGGACACGGCGGAAATGAATTTTTGAAATTTCAGGACGCGGAGGAGATTGGCGCATTTGACCTGGCGGACGCATTCGAGCAGATGTGGGAGAAGAGAAGGTGAATAAACCTAAGGAAAGTTAGGCGATGTCCAGACTGACAATGGCTATGCAACAGGTACCACGAAATATTATTCATGATCGACACGTGTCAAGCAAACACCATGTATAGCAAACTATACTCTCCCAACATCATCGCTACTGGGTCTTCCGAGCTAGATCAGTCTTCCTACTCGCACCATGCCGATAACGACGTCGGGGTTGCAGTAATTGATCGATACACATATTATAATCTCGAATTTCTCGAGTCCGAAGTCAAGGACCTGGGCAGTAAGAAGACCGTTGGGGACCTATTCGATAGTTACAACTACGAGAAGATACATTCCAATGCCGGTGTTCGGTACGATCTATTCCGAGGCGGCCCAGAGGCAGCGCGAAGTCGTCTGTTGACCGACTTCTTTGGAAACATCCAGAATGTAGAGGTAGATGGATCAAGGAACAATACGGTTGATGAAGAGATGTTGTCACTCAGCAGGACTATCGCGAAGCTACGGATATTGGCTGACCAAGAAGAAGCAACGGCAGCAAAGAGACATAATAACACAAAAGCAAGCAAACCTCAACCTCAACCTCTACCTCTACCGGCAAAGAAAATCCAAATGGCCAAGCCGTTGACGGATGACAACTGGTATACGAAAAGATTGGTAGGTGCAACAGCATTAGCCAGCTGTGCGCTTGTATGGGCTCTCGGATCATACATGGAGTCACCACAGGCATAGTAAAATCAGAAGTTCACATATTATGATAATGATGAATTAACATGAAATAAAATGAAACAAATTAACTACCTGTAATCAATCCATTTTGGTGTTTTTCTTTTCTTTTCCATTTCAGCAAAGGGGGGGGACTGTAAGATAGAATACCCTATAAAAACAAAATATAAAGGCGCTAAATAGATAGGTTAGGTACTTCTAGGTAGGGTACAGTACGGAGTACTACATATGTAGGTACTACTAGTAGTACCTATAACTAGTTACAGTACAAGCATCAATGCTTTATGGTTGTCAATTTTCAACCTCACGAGAACATTGAATGTCATATTCCAGCATTGAATTATATATAAAAAACCATTCATCCCTCCTCTTTTAAGACTAACGTTACTAACATCTATACTAAAGAGGTTCTTGCTATGCAAGGACTACTAGGTACTCTGTACACGTTTTATCACAATGATACAAATCCTATGAACAACAACCCGTTTACTTCAAAATGGCTTCTGAACATCACATAAACGTACTGCCTCTGGAGTCATTCAACCTGACTGCCGTTCCAGCAAGTACACACAATATTTCGTGGTCTCCCGACGCTGAGCTGGCTCTCGGTTGCGATGACTGCGTCATCTTATTCATTCCCGAGTTCTCCATTCCCCAGGCCGGAGATGGTTTGGATTATGGAGTGGTGAGGCAGTATAATGAGGCTGCCCTTCGCTTTCCGAGCGTGGAACATAGGGACCCCAAACTAAATCGACCGTTGTTTGACCTTGTTGGACAAGAGTTTCCGCGGTACGATTATGTTCCGGGAGGTGGTGGTTCAGGTACAGTTGCGGGCCAGGGTAGCTCCATGAACCATGTGGTGGCGTTGGAGTGGTCTCCCTGTGGGCTAAGTCGTATGAATCGATCTGTCCTTGCTGTCCTCTCTGGCTCTGGGGCCATCGTCGTCTACTGTGAAGGTGCTTCCGATGGGATGAGCCATTATAACCATCATGGGCACAGCACTAGGTCTTTAAGACCGTGGCTGGCTGCTTGGGGCGTAGGCGCAGGCTTACTGTTGCCAATCGCCCACGGAAATAAGGCCGAGTACATGAAGGAGTATATAACATCCTTCGCATGGGCCAAAGACACCGACGGTTATGGCGCACTTCTTGCGTATGCCAACGATGACGATGAGATCGCTATCGTCTCGGTTCAATCCCAACATGATTCTAATGCGACTCCTGGCGATGGTGGTAAATGGAGGGTTGAAGAGGTTGCAAGATTCGTTGCCGAAGGACCTCATCCAGAATCTGATGTGTGTGTCCCGATCATCTCCCATCCTATGATTATTGGCATTCACTTACAAATTCTTATTCTAGCCGACTGATCCGGACTATTCACCATCCGGCTCATCGTTCTCACTGAGTTGGAGTCCATGGTTAAAAAAGGGCGATTCAAAGATTAGCATGATATCCTACATCACAAAGGACTATGTCGGGTTTAGGAAAATCACTATAAAGGGGCCACATAGCGATATGCAGGCTCCGGAAGTGATTGCCAGTCATGTTGATATAAATGGCGTCTGCCTTTACCTAGCCCCGGACGCATTCGTGGTTTGGGAAGACCTCGTAAGCTATTATACAGATGATACTACTCTTCCGTTGAGCTCCTCGCTGATTCAGATTAGATATGGACGATTGGGACTTCAAAGGTTTGCCGCGGTATGATCGCCACGCCCACTAAAGTACAGGCGTTTCAAGTCCCCCTCGACGGGCCTTGCTTCAAAATCGGCAAGCACCATACTGATGAATGTGGCACTACGTACCCGCCACCGGAAAACAACAGCGTAGCCCAAAATCCCATTACCGGTAGGTAAACGACGACCTTTTCTCAGTGATTCTAATTTCTTACTCGCGGATTACAGGACTCATTATTCATCCTCCATCATTATCACAGACAACACCATCGCCCTCGTACTCCCTCGTACGACTTTCCGCGTCTCACGAGAACGATGGTTGGTATCAAACCAACCTTCCCCTGCCTCCAAACCCCGAAGATGGTAGTCTTGGACCGCGGTGGGCTACCGAAATCAACCAGATAGTCCAGCTCCATCTTCCGCGAGCTCTCGCATATCGGCACGTCTTAGATGGCGCCAGTGTGGAGTCGGAAGGCGGCTTGGACTACGACGATGATATGGATCTTGAGTCCCCAGGGGAAACCGATTCGGATCTCGAGGATGGCTTTGCCGGCATAGATACGGAGGACCAGGTGCATGTCAACAGAATCCGCATCTGGGGAATGGCATCGAGCCCGGGGGGTGGCGTCACCGCTGTCTTCGTCAGCCAGCATAACACAGTCTCGTACGGGCGAGACACGTACGCAGGGGTGAAGTGCCGGGTACTGTTTGGAAGATACGATCGTGGCGCAGACCAGAACGAAACAACACATACTGCTCTAGCCATGAAGAAACTCAGCACCGAGGCGAGGGCGTGGGAGTGGATGTATGGTGGAGGTCCCCCTGTTCCAGGCGTTAGTATCCTGGAAGAGCAGGACAATAAGCAGCAGATCGCGTTAAAGGCTCGGTTTGCATTGGTCGGCCGCAAGCAGCAGTGCTCCTTCTGCAACCTATCCCTCGAGCCTATCGGCAAGGCGTCGCGTTGTGGCAAAGGACATTTGTTTGGTAAGCAACCAACTTGAACTCAGAGCTTTTCCAAGTACTTGTACAGATCTTCTAACTTTATCCCTAGCTACATGTGCTACCACTGGCCTTCCTATATTAACCCCTGGGTTGTCGAGGACCTGTGGCGTGTGCGGCTCCAAGTGCCTTAAGCGAGAGGATATCGTCGTTATGGCGCCGGAGCTTAGGGATACCATCATGGGCGAGATCTCGGCTGAGCTTTGTGGAGGATGTGGTGGAAAGTTTATTAACTAATGCAAACACCACTTGGGAAATTAGCTGTCTGTCTAGAACACATAGGTAATTACCTTGGATGGGCATCGCAGCCCGACGCAATCCTCCAACTTGGCACCTCGTAAATCTGCTCCCCTATGTATATTCTCTGACCGCTGGATGCATCGTAGCTCAGGGCAGGCATTAGGCATAGCAAAGAGACATAAGAAAACTTAGATGAAGCATAACTCACAGCCACCTGCCAATGGCCTACCAAAATACACCTTCATAGGCTATGATCCCGTATATGCGGACATCCCAGGGCCATAGGTATTTAACGATACAACGTTGTTTCTCTTACAAGATGAGATCTATCACGAAGCTGACAGGATGCTAATTTCGATGGACAAACGACTCACGCGCATGGCTGGCGCCATCACCCAAGCATTGGCATAGGGGAAGGCATAGTATCCAGTCGCTGCGGCGAAAGAATTTATAGAATACGAATCTTAACAAATGACGTGTGTTCGTATCAATTACTCCTCCGTTTCTTTCCAAATCGGGTTACGATGAGAAGCCTTGAATACTGTCATGAATGTTGGTGTTACATGGAATAGGGGCAACAAGTAGGTAGAAATAAAGTCACCACCAATACGAGAATATACAACCTCAGAACACTTCACTGGGAAATATAAAGTCTGTTGGTTTCCGTCAAATATAGCTTTCTTCTAAATCACGAAAGACTCATTCGAAAACAAACATCTCACTATCTAACTATCCTAAGATTATCACTCCGCTATACCTACCGTTTATCTTAACTACCTACACCTAATCTTTCCTCCTTATATACCTCCCCCCCCCCCCCCCCCCCCGAAGAAACCAACATGCAGTCCACCATCGCCACCGCTCTAGCTTTCGCAGCCGCCACCCTAGCCGTGCCAACCACCGCGGCAGCCCGCCAAGCGCCGCAGCAGCAGCAGCTCCGCCTCCACGCAACCGGCGGCGCCCTCGCCGCCTGGGCCCTCACCAACGTCTACTCCGAGGCCGCGGGCGCGAACGTGATCCAGATCCAGCGGCCGTCCGCCTACGAGTCGGACGCGGCGCACCTCGCTGGGGGGCGTCTTTATTTCGGTAGGTAAAGCACAGTTAACCAATCAATCAATCAATCCACCACCACCACCACCACCAAACAAAGCTTTTCTGCCGAGGAGAGAGAGAGAGGAGAGGAAGACTGATTGATTGATTGAATCCAGACCTCGGCAACACGTACCCCTGGGGCGTCGAGATCCCCGCCGTGCCCGCCGGCGCCGTCGGCCAGGTCGTCTCGCAGCAGGGGGCGTCGAGCACCGGGTTCGCGCTCGATGGGAGCCGTCTGCTGACGTATAACGCTGACTCGAATGGTAAGCTGCCTAGTCAACCCTAACCCTAACCCCCCCCCCTTTCCATTCCATCGTTCTTGAAAATACTGGGTGGGTAGGTAGGTAGGTAGGTAGGTAGTAGAAGTACGCTAATGTGATAACGCGGCGCACAGGCTTCTGGGCGTGCCCGGTCGACCACACGTTCGAGCTCTTCTACGGCGTGGACCCGGACCCGACGAAGCTCCCCAGCGCCGAGTGCCTCCAGATCCAGTTGCTGGCTAGCAGCGCTTGATAGCCTTGGAATGGAATGGAATGGAATGGACGACTAGGTTGGTAACCTACCTACCTAGGTATGTTGAGGTTGTGGGATGGACAAAGAAGAAGTGGGTGGTTGGTTATATTTTATTTCGGCCATGTGTGAAGTTAGGGGGTTAGGGGGAGGAATCTTGGATCGGATCTTGTTTGTTAGAACCTGTCACCAATAAGAGTTATGTTGGCGTTGTGTTGGATATACCTTGTGTCTGATGATGCTTTCAACTTGTGTGTCGTGATTAGATATTCATTGGTGTAGTTAAAGTGAAGCTCTCGTTCCGTGATTCCGTCGCCGCGGGAAACTTGTGTGCCCCAGCTGGCTAGGTTTATTATAGTTTCCTTGACGGACGGTGCTCTACGGTTAGTAGTTATTAGTTCAGGGGGATTCTTGACTAGAATCCAAATGGCTAGCCCACACTCGGCCTTCATGACTTGTTCGGATTTCTAATAGATTTCTGGCGCTAGGCAAAGCATCATGATCTTCTTTTTAGTATCATCGTTGGCAATTGCTATTACAAGCGACCTAATTTGCATGCAAAGGAACAATTGAAGTTGTTGTTGCTGTATATGGCAGATTAGAGATGGGCCGTTATGAACCTATAGACTAATTTACATTAATACTTGACGCCCCCCCTTTTTTTAACTCTTTTTTTAACCCTAATTTTCCTCCCCCACAACATCCTCTGTCACAATCGCAAACGTCTTATCCGACGCCTCCAGCCTAACCGCCCACCGGTCTCCCTGGCAACCCTCCCGCGTCGCAATCTCCACCTCGACATCGTAGTCCGGGCCCATCACCGCCGCCGCCACATTCGTATTCGCCGTTGTCGGAAACTTCCACTCCCCGCCATCAACCGGCTTCATGTCAAAGCGCGCGACGAACAACGCGACGACGGCAAGAATCTCATTCGTCGCAAAGTGTCGTCCGGGACACAGCGTCTTGCCGCCGCCAAAGGCACGGAAGCACACGTCGCGGGGGCGGGACTTTTTCTCTTTTTCTTCCGCGAGGAATCGGCGCGGGCGGAAGTCCGTGTCGCCCCAAAGGGTTGTGTCGGTGTGGATGACGCGCGAGGGCATCTGCAGCATGGCGCCCTTCTTGAGGAGGTAGGGGCCCAGGTGCGTGTCTTCCATAACCTCGCGCACAGATGCGCCGATGGTGCGGTACCGGAGGACCTCCTGGTAGGCCGATAGTAGGAGAGGACATTTTTCCTTGAGTAGCACCATGTCGATAATCTTAAGGGCAGTGCCGGTGGAATTGGCATCTATGCAGGCGTCGACCTCGTCCCGGATTTCTTGCAGCAGGCCCGGGTACTGGTACAGGTGCAGCAGAACCCAGAATAGGGCCGGCACCGTGTTGACCAGCAGCGCGATGGTGCCGCCCACCGAAGAGAGCGCGGTATCCCTGAGCGGGAACTTGTTGTTGACCTCGACCTGGTAGCGGTTCTTAGCGTAGGCCGACGCCTGCTCCACGCCGCCCACCTTGTAGTATCTCTCGAACGCCTGCGCCACCTTGGTGCGTGCTGCGACGGGCTTTCGGGCCGTGATCGACGGCAAGAAGCCGACTAGGATCGACATGAGGCCGCCCTCGAACTCCCAGAACGCGTCGGCGACCTGCTTGTCGTCGAACGGGTTCTGCGGGCCGTAGACGGCGCGCGTCGTGGCTACTGTCAGCTTATCCTGCAGCCACGCGTGTAGGCCGAGCCGCCTGCACGTCGTCTTCTCTCCCGTCGCTGCTGGCTGCAGCAGCAGGTCGAGTGCCTTGCCAATCTCGACAAGCATGGCGCGGTTCATGTCATCGAGCGCCGGGCCCGGGTGCAGCGCGGCGCGCATGGCGGCGTACGTCTCCATCGATAGGCCATGGTCGCCGTCGTCACCGTTGACGTTTCGCGCGAGAATGGCCTGCGCCTCCGGGCTGAGGCCGACCACCGTAGTCGCGAACTTGGCCTCGATGGGCGGAAACGCGAGCGTCCGGTGCTGCTTCTGCGCTAGCTGGATGAGCTCCGGTTGGGTGACGACATACATCTTCTGTCCAGGAAGGGGCATGGTGAAGATGGGCGCGTTGATTTGCTTGCTATTTTTATTCTGTTAGGGGGGTTCACCCGGTGTTCGAGGTGGAGGAAGGGGAGGGGGAAGGGGAGGGGAACGCACCTGAGCTCAACGTGGTAGTCGAACGAGCTGCGCGACAAGCCAATGACATGGCTTACGAGGGGGATGGAGGCCGGCGCCAGCGGCGGCTCACGGGAGTCGTGGCCAAACATGTTGCGAGCAAGGAAGTAAGTTACAGGACCGGCGATGGCGAGGATGAGCAGAGGGCCAGTATCGCCAATGGAGGTTGACATGGTGGGAGAGTTGAATAGGCCACAAACGAAGGAGGATATAGGATGTAGGTAAACAGAGACTGGCAAGGCTGTAGCCTACAGGGCATAAGTAAGACGAGGTAAGACGGGGTAAGACAAGAGCAGTTAATAGCACCTTTCTGGAAGGAAAATAAGACCAACGGATGCAATGACCCTGTCTTCTTATCTCGGGCAAATATATCTACTACTACATAGTATATGAAGTTGAAATTAGAATCAGCTGTCTTGGTTCGCAGGGAGGATGTCTTTTATCTAGGTATGTATGTACCTTGTACCCCACCTTTGTTGGTTTTGCTTATTCTCGCGCATGGTTACACAACTTCAATGTCGCATTATTGACAGAATCCCGGATGTACTGTACTTAACCTTATCTATATATAATTTCATGCAGTACATGTAGGGTTGTATGGCACCTGCTTGTTAGACATACACCACAGTAGTGATGTGCTACACGCCACTGCATCTATCACCAAACCCTCGGCTTTAAAGGCAAAACCCCTATTATTGTAGGCTAGAGGTACCTATTCTCCTTCCTTGCAACCTACTTTCCTCAACTTGGTACGATAATGCCTCAAATCATGATTCATATCATTATTATTGCACTGGGACTCTGTGGCCTTCTCATCTGGTCGTGGATCACCAAACCAGCCATTAAGATACCATCTGCCGGATCTAAGTGGCCGTTTTTAGGTTCACTGCGTAGCCTGACCAAAGGAAAGGAGATACTCCTATCTGTTTACCAGAAGGTAGATAACCGTAGCTACAACAAAATATCAGCAGATGATTAAGTATTGATGAATATTCTTTCCCACAGCAACTGATCGATGACCGGCCTTACTTCCTGCCTGGAATATTTGGCGACAGCATCGTGTTACCGCCATCGATGTTACCGTGGCTTGTTGCCCAGCCTGAAAATCATCTCAGTGCCAAGTGGGCGCAGCTTGATGCGCTCAACATCCCGACGACGTTTTTACGCCCTGAGATTGGCGTCGACCCCACACATGAGCCACTGATCCGCCGTGAACTGACGGCAAATCTAGATGTGGTGGAGGCCGACATGTGGGACGAGGTCGGGCGCGCGCTAGAGGAGCTCTGGGGCAGTGACACGGAGCGCTGGCGTGTAGTCGTCCTTGATGACACCATCCGTCGTGTTGTGGCAAGGGCGTCTAGCCGCGTCTTTACCGGCCAGGATCTTTGTAAGTCTCCTTTTTCTCCCTCCTTCGTAGCTTGTTAAGTACTGAAACTCCTGAACTACCCACAGGTGCCAACAACAACTTCGTCGAGAGCACGATCCGCTACGTCACGCATGTCTCAACTTACGGTCTTATACTCAACCTCGTCCCCCGACGGTTCCTCCGAAACCTCGCAGGCAAGCTTGTGCAGCTCCCCATCGCTACCGCCTACGCTCGCTGCGCTCAGCACCTGCTCCCGCTATTTGAGGACCTCGTTTCCCGCCATAGCAAGGGCCAGAAGTTGCGCCCGCACCTCTTCGCCTCGTGGCTCGTCACCAGCGCGGCCACGCGCTTCCCGCCATCATCGCCCGAGCGCACGCCCGACTTCCTTGGTAGGCGCCTCATGGCGCTCAACTTCGCCACCATACACACCTCGACCTTGACGGCCTGCAACTTGCTTCTGGACGTCTTTTCCGGTTCTCCCGCTGTCTCCGGCGCGCTCCGTGACGAGGCGCTCGCGTTCGCTGCCGAGTGGGGGCCCGCAGAATGCCGCCGGGAGCGGCTGAATGGGATGCGCCGACTGGACAGTGCGCTGCGGGAGAGCATGCGCTTGTGGGGCGTCGCGCCGCGAACTCTGCGCCGCAGGGTCATGCGGCCCGGTGGTGTGGCTTTGCCTAACGGAGGGGATGGTATAAGGCTAGCCGAGGGGACCACAGTGTGCATTTCGGGGTGGGGATTGCATCATGACGAGAGGCTGTACTCGCGTGCGTTTGACTATGTGCACGATAGGTTCATGAGAAAGGCCGAAGTGCAGGGTAAAGGCGAACCGGAAGAAGGGGAGAAGGTTGTAAAGCCAGGGTGCGCTGCAGCGGCTGCTGTTGAGACTGACGAGCACTTCTCAGCATGGGGAATTGGCAAGCATGCGTGCCCCGGACGTTTCTTCGCTGTCGATTTTGTCAAGATGATTATGGCGCACGTACTAGTGGACTACGAGGTTGAGGTCCTAGCCAAGAGGCCTGACAACTTGTGGATTGAGTATAATATTATCCCGTCACCGGGCGCCTCCTTGTCCGTGCGGAGGAGAAAGCCATATATGGCACAAGGGTAATTAGCTGGTAGGAATAGTTACCTAATAGGTATTATAGGCGGGCAGCTCTGTAGTAGAAGAACGCGCGAATGCACATAACCATCGGTGGGTGTAAACTAACCTATGTAAAGCTCTAGGGTTAGGTTACTTGTGTAAGGAACAAAATGAAGCATATGGGGCGATTGGGGAAGGCCTTGGTCATAGCTAGACCCCAATGGGACCCCCATGGGGCATCCCTGTCAGAGCGCTAAACGAGATCCAGACATAGTTATGTACAATACATACGATGTAACTAATTGGCGATAACTACTGTGTAAAGCCAATGAAACCCTTAGATATTATGGGTAGCTGAGGCTGAACTGCTGAACTGCCGAAGAATTTCCACAATATTGATTTTCTCCATTTTCTCTCCAGGCCTTAAGTTAAAGGCCTTAAGTTAACGCAACTTAGCAACTTGTCTTACATGTCCAACGCAATTCGAGAGGCCAATTTGGAGTTAACCTATCTTCATCATATGAAAATGGAGCACACTGTCTCTCTCACGCACTAGTTTGTGGTATGCGAGACACTGAACTCGGTCATCTTCCCGATGCCCGCTATGTGGACCGGTTCCAACCGCCCCAAACGGTAAGAGTCAACCTCGACATCGTTTGACGCGCCCCGGGGGTCAACTATACTTTGCAACAACGATGAATCCTTGTTGGCTTGGTAACACGGCACAGCCTGATCAGAGAGCAGTATTTTGGAGTGTGACGAGCCACCGATGATCCTCGGTGGTGACAACCAGGACCGCACGGGCAGGTCCTTGATCGAGCGGCAGACAACAGCCGCCGAGGGTCCGCAGCAGATTATGACGCCGGCGGCCATTTCGGCCATGGCAGTCGTTTGTATGGGTACCATGATGCGGACCTGGTCCGAATAGATGCTATAATATCTCACCCTGGTCACGAGACCAATAAGACTCGATATGCATGCTCTTAATAACGGTGAGTAACTTTCTCGCAGTATAGGGGGAAGAGAAAAGAATAGAAAGGGAGAGAAATGAGGGGGTAGCGGAAAGAGAGAGAAGGGAACAGAGAGTGCGAGATAAGAAAGGGGAAAGAAACTCACGAAATACCAGTAAGAAACATGGCTAAAGTCTTAATCTTCCGTCGCATCGGCATCTGCAGGCGCCAGATAACGGGAAGCGGAAGCAGTAGTATCACTACGTCTGTGAAGAAGTTGCCAACTCCCATAAGAAGGACCAGCACGTCCGTGCTCACGCACTTGTCTGACACAAAGGCTTTCAGAAGCGCAACTTGTGAATAGCCACCTGAGGGGGGCGGCGCGCACAAAGCAACAAAAGCAGTCGCAAAGGACACATGGTAAGCAATTAATAGGCAAATGATGACGATGGACGTGATACGCATCCACCTAAGGCTGCCAAAGGTGCGGAGGTATAGAATCATCACTGTGATCTTGACGATGCAGACAGCTAGGGGGGCGATCAGTTCAAGCACAATGGACAAAGCGATCACCCCTGGCGTGACGTCGGCAAGCTTGACATCCCAGGCATGATGCCCGAAAACACCTTGGAAGACAGCTATGGAGCAGTTAGCTTGAGCGTTGAAACACTTGAAAGGGGACTGGGAAGTACATACTAGCCACCGCAACGCCGATGAAGGAGAGACAGAACACCTTTATAGGTTTTCACGCAAGTCAGCATCGAGCATGAGAATAAGTGCGGTATAGAAGGGCAACCGACAAGTCCTGTAGCAAATACGACTAGACGATTCCTTGCATTAGCCTTCCCTTCAAAGATAGTCGAGGCCAGGTTACGCACTCTCGTCAACAACAAAACTCCTCCGGCCAAAGACTGTCCTGTCAAGCAGTCGAAAGACCGAAAAGACTATCATGAGCGGGATGCACACTCCAGCCGTGATAGAAATTTGGAAGGCGACTGAATCGCCGTTGGCAAAGTTAGGGATCACCCCGTGCGGCGGCTCCTGGAGCGGGTATCCTTCATCAATTGCATACTGCAGCTGCTGCTCAATTGAAAGAGACATTGTTGGAACAGGTGAAATAAGAGAAATATTAACCAAGTTGGACAGGATGAAAGAGAGGCCTTCGATAAATTAGGCCAGGATGTGTCTACTTCTCTGTCACTTTCTTCCTCAGGGGAAGAGACGATAGGCGTATATAAGACGATAAGCGCTAACGCAGTTAGAAGGGAAAAGGAACAGCCAATAAGGCATCCTGATATACGAACCCCTAGGGTCCGAGTGAGAGTGGATTTTCGCTTCTACAATGCTCAGCAGCGACCAAGTACGGCTGACACAAGGGGTGACATCGTGTGGAAGCGACCCAACCAGTTATGTCTAAGACATCATCATATGTCGAAAAGGACGCGCCGTTCACGCAAGTGGGAAAGAAATCGGAGGTGTCATCCTCTTAGCCACAAAAGTATAAGAAGGAATGTCACTCTGCATATGGCATTGATTGTTGGGTAACGACTGCAAGATAACAGATATTAAAAAACACCACCCCCAACGTACATCACTTTTAGACCCCACGATATGCCGCTTTCTATTTCCACCGCCTCTTCATCCTACGAGGCCAGATTAAAACCCCTCACCTGCAGCTTCTGGAATATTTTCAATCCGTCGCGCTGCTTTGGATGAGAATCGAGACACAACATGTACTTGATGATCACAGGTCCTGTCTCACGCACCTATGTGTGTGGAGGCAGAGACGGGGATAGGCCTGCCCACCGAGAGTTTAGACTTGGATTAAGAATACTGTCATATCTATAAGGTAACATGGTATGGGACATAATTAGCAGCAAAGTAAGGGTGCCCAGAACACTGGCACACCTCACTCGACTAACAAGATGGTAATTGGTACAAGCTAGATGGAGCTTATTATCAGGCTTAGTAGTTCCTCTTCCTAATACCATAGCTTAAAAGGGGTGCCTCGGCATCCACAAGATCGCGAGCTGGCGGGAGAGAATGAGAGAACGAAAGAAACTCTGCCATTTTCTCCAGACAAGCCATGGCAACCCCCAGCTCATATACCAGCTTCCCCAACTATTTTGCCTTCTTGTATTATCTATCTGTCCTATACATCCTCTTCAAGGGGTATACGTGGATACGCATAACCTGGCAGCAAAATGGGTCCCTATCAAGCGTGCCGGGGCCGCGCTTCGCACGCTGGTCTCGGCTCTGGATTGTGCGGGCGCTGGCGTCCGGTAGGTCGCACGAGGCGTGGATAGATGTGAATGGCCGGTACGGCCCCCTCGCGCGGATTGGCCCGAAGCACGTCGTCACTGATGACCCTGAGATAACACGCCGGGTGCTCGCTGCCCGTTCGGGCTACAAACGCGGCCCGGCATTTGATTCCTTGCGCATGGACCCTATCATCTCGAACATCATCTCAGAGCGTGACTCCAGGAAACATGACCTGATCCGCGCAAAGGTGGCGCCGAGCGTAAGTCCTTATACTCATTCTACCCGGCGAAGCCTGAAGTTGGTGCTGACTCGCACACTGGAATACAGTTCACTGGTCGATCCATGGCGGCCATCGAACCTATGATGGACGAGCAGATTCTCGATTGGGTTGACTCGCTGCGGACCAGCTCCGCGTCCGTCGTCAACATTGGACAAAAGATACAATTCCTAACGGTCGATATTATCACGCGACTATGCTTAGGAGATGCCGTTGGGTGCGTCAAGAACGACTGTGATATGCACAGCTTGCTCGAGACGGTCGAGATGGGAAACCGTGTCTGCCAGTACCTCTCAGTGATCACCGAAGGTAATACCCTGCTCTTTCAGCTGGGGCGTGTCCCTGCTTTCCGCAGGATGCTGTTTCCTAAGGTGGGAGATGCTGTGGGCGTCGGGAGGCTGATGGGAGTGAGCATTCCTTTTTCTTTCCGTCTTCCTTTATCTCAAATAATCACTCTTTAGACTGGTGGCTGATGTCCCATTGCAGCTCGTGCACGAGGTAATAGAGAAGCGTGTATCCAAAGACGGCCGGGCCGACGATCTCGTGAGCGCCCTTCTCGATAAAGGAATGCCGACGGAGCAGATAGACTCCGAGGTCATAGTCGCACTCGCAGGGGGCTCCGACACAACGTCAACCTCGGTACAGAGCACACTCCTCTCCATAATAACTAACCCTCGCGTCTATGCCAAGTTGCGGGCTGAGATCCGAGCCGCCGTTGGCAAGGGGGTGTCGACGCCCATACGCGATGCCGAGACCAAGCAGCTTGTATATTTGCAAGCGTGCGTGGTCGAGGGGTTACGCAAGCATCCCCCTCTCTCCCAGCTGCGCGAGCGCGTCGTCCCGGCCGGCGGCGACACGCTGGGGGGGTTCCATCTCCCAGCCGGTACGCTCGTCGGACTCAACGGATGGGGAACTCAGCTACGCACGGAAATCTACGGCGAGGACGCGGAGCTATTCCGACCGGAGCGGTGGCTGACGGATGACTGTGACCGACTCAAAGAGATGCACGCGACGCACTCGCTGATCTTTGGACACGGCGCGACAAAGTGCCTCGGCATGGCTATGGCGCTGATGGAGATCCCCAAGGTCTTGTTTGAGCTACTCCGGAACTTTGATGTCACTGTTGCGGACCCGCACAAGCCGTGGAGAAGCCGCTGTTACGGCATCTTCCACCAGGAGGGCTTCCGAGTGTGCCTTCACCCGGTCGACAATGCCGCGGACCAGCATCCTGTATCTATGTAGGCTACAAAGGGTGGCCTTTACCTATTTTAAATTTATTCGCCTATGACAGGCAAACACCACATTTAGGCCTGTTGTTCTTATCCTCCCCTACGGAGTAAATTACATGGAGATTAGAAATTGACTTAAGCTTGAATACGTTTGCCCCCTTTCTACTAGGTAGTAGGCCCGTCCAAGGGTGTAGCTTACTTACAAGTCCGCCTGTACAAAGCAACACTTTAAGGCTCTTCGTACCTACATTACTTCCTTTTATGAGTTGTTACACACATGATTTGATACTTGGTCTTGCTAGGTTTTGTTTTGTTTTGTTTTCTTACCTAAACGACAAACGCAATCAAGATTCTATAATTTGAAAGTATACACGGTACAATACCTAGGTAGGCTTGTATGTGCCAGAAGACTGACTGTCTCGTAGCTCTAAAAGCCCAAAAAGAGCAGATGATTTTACACCCCCTTAGATTATGCTAGGCACACCCCACCCCCCACCACCGCCCCCAACAGTACAAGTACCGGTACGATACCCGGCGCTAGATCTCACGATTTCAAGTAAGATGCTTACCCTCAATAAGCCTGGTTCGGACCGTCCCCAGCCCCCAGCCTTGCGTTGGTAACATGTATGCATGTCATGACAGTCGTTCGTTGTATGTATTACAACAACCAACTCCAACACGAATACGAAGCCCTGATTAGGGGTGATGTGCCACTGCCACGGAGGGATGAGTGGGGACGGCAATCTCTCGCCACGATGCGGGAGGGCTTTATTATTACATAGATAACCACATGCAAGTAGCACATGAAGGAGTGGCCAAGAGAAAACCCTCCCTTCTTTTTCCGCTTTGTAAATAGTTGGATAGCTCCTGCATAGTTGATTGGGGGCCAGGAAGCTGACATAATACATATTAATCCCTTCAAATGTAACCGCGTCTAAATAGCCTCGCGTTTGTATTATGTGACTGTCTGTATTGTACATCCTGGTAACTACCTAGCTAGCCTTAAATTCCAGTGTTGGAAGTCAGAAAATGCGAGCCTGTCGTGTAACAATGATAATCAGTCTAATAAGAGTGCGAGGGTTACACAAGCCTCGATCCTACCTACCTACCCGAGCTCATAACGAGTGAAAGGTAAAAAGGGGGGACTGTATGGTGTCACAGCCTTTGACATGCCTACCCTACCTAGGGTACCTAAGGTACCTACCTAGTCAATGACTGCTAACTTGCAACACTGCAACCAACCTTCGACGCAGAACCACAGCCTGAATTGATCGACCGTACTTGGCCCCTTTTCCTCCAGGCAGATATCTGGCTGTTATCAAGCCCGTCTGGCGTCGCTGCATAAGTTTCTCGCAACATAGCTCCCCACCCCATTCCAAGTCCTAACCCACTCACGCGCAACCTTTCTTCTAGGTAGTTATGGCTAACATCAGCAACACCCACGATACGGTCATGGCCGAGACCCAAGATAGTAAGAGCAGCCATGCAAACGGCGTTGCAAACCCTCCCGCCGAGGACATCGCGGCAATGGACACAATCACAAGCACTATGACCCCTCCTAACCCTTCCTCAGTAGACAGTGTTGCCGCCGGTACCAGCTCCAAGGCCAGTAACCTACAGCTGTGCCTGCTGATAGGCGGCCTCTTCTGCGGGACCTTCGTGATGGCGCTTGACGCTACCATCATCGGCACCGTGGTGCCCATCATCTCGGCCGAGTTCAACGCGCTCGATGACATCGCCTGGTACGGCAGCGGTTACCTGCTGACTATCACGGCCCTACAGCCAACCTTCGGCAAGCTATACAGGATCGCAGACATCAAACTGACATTTTTAGGGTGCATTGTTATTTTCGAAGGCGAGTTCAAAACAACTAGTCTCCGGCCCTCCATTGTGCTAAGATAGACTAACAATGGTGGATAGTCGGTTCGATCCTATGCGCGGCGGCCCCCTCGTCGGCCGTCTTCATCGCCGGCCGCGCTGTCGCAGGTGCCGGTGCGGCGGGCCTGTTCCAAGGCTCACTTGTCGTTATCACGCGGTCTGTTAGTCTGCAAAGGCGGCCCCTGTGCATTAGCATCATCACGAGCGCCTTCGCGGTGAGCGTGTGCATCGGACCACCCATAGGGGGGGCCTTTGCCGACAACGTCAGTTGGCGCTGGGCATTTTGGATGTGAGTTGCACCACCACCTACTCTGATGTCCATCTGTCCAGATACGGCTCCCATCTGGCACGCGGGGATGTGACATAAAGGTGCCCCTCCGACTAATATCACTTCCTCAGAAATGTCCCCATCGGCGCCGTTGTGCTCATTCTCGTCTTCTTTCTCCTCCGCTTGCCGAAGGAGGGCGACCGCAATCCTGGCGAGAAAAAGCCCACGCTCTTGCAAAAGGCGTGGGATCTAGACCCTGTCGGCGCGTTGCTCATCATTGCGGCAGTCGTCTGTCTCCTGCTAGCTTTGCAGTGGGGCGGGCAGAGTCGGTCCTGGGGCTCATCCTCTGTGGTCGGCCTGCTCGTCGGCTTTGTGGTGATCCTCGGCGTCTTCTTTTGGACGCAGTGGCGGCTCGGCGACGATGCCACTCTGCCGCTATGGGTCTTCACGCGGCGCTCGCTGCTAGCCGGCGCCGCATTCAGTTTCTTTTTTTCCATGCCGTCCTATGTCGTAAGTATTGTGCTGCACTGAGTTTTGCTTCTTCCGTGGTGAACTTTGCTGGCATCTACACCCTCATGAAATCAGAAAGCGTGGCTAATTTGCAGCAAAAAGTACGGAACGTATATCCCTATTTACTTACAAGCCGTCCGGGCATCAACAGTCCTCGACAGTGGTGTCGAATTCCTCGCTCTCGCCATACCACAAATTTTCGGCGTCGTCTTTTCGGGTGCCTTTGTTAGTATGCTTGGACTTTACGTATGTTCCCTGATGTGATGCATTCCCTAAAAGTGCTTTTATGAATCTGAGAATTGACACCAAATGCTAAGGTTCCTTTCATGATCATCGGGACCGCAATTGGCATAGTCGGCTCCGGACTGTTTCTCATGTTGGACCTCGAGACCTCCAAGGCACTTTGGGCCACGTTCCTCGTTATCTGCGGCCTGGGGACAGGATTTGCTATTAATCTGCCCTACACGGTCGTCCAGGCCATCTTGAAGTGAGCCTAACCCCTTTTTCAGTGCAGGCTGGACTGGGCTCCCCCATGATATAAATTTAGATTTGCTAACACGCTACCTCTAGAGAGGACGAGGTCCCTACAGGAAACGGTAAGACTGCAGACGGGTGTAATCTCCAAAAAGAGAAAGCGTTGCGCTAACGGTGCCCACAGCTGTATTCCAATTCATGTTCCAGCTCGGCGCGTAAGTCTCTTTCCCTAGTCCCGATCCTGTGAGAACCACTATTCGCTGACGAGATATGTAATACCTACCTGCAGTGCCATTAGTCTCTCTATCGGCCAGACCATCTTCCTAAACGAACTCAAGGCGTCCGCGCGGACCCTAGTGCCATCCATCCCTTACAATGCCCTCGTAAGCGCGGGCGCATACAACCTACGCAGCCTACCCGGCGCTGACGAAGATGCGATGTACGACTTGGTGCGCCGGGTCTATATGAACGCATTGCACAGCACATATATCTATCCGATTGTCGCCGCGGGTGCTGCGCTTATCACCACGCTAGCGCTGGAGAACAAGAACCTCAAGAACGTTGAAATGGATAGGAAGAAGACGGCTGAAGAGAAGAGAGAAGAGGGGCTTGTTTCTCAGGAGCCGGGACAAACGGCCGAGAAGAAAGCACAGGGGTCAGGGGAAGTATAAGCACCGCCTCGGAGCAGAGAGCTCTTGTTTATTTCTGCTGTTTGGAATTTTGTACTTGGCCAAAAGTTCCGTTGACTCGAGATGTGTTGCAGCTATTGCTGCAACCAAGAAGAAGAGGAAAGGAAGAAAGCTTGCTTTATTCCTAACTACAATGGCGGAGTGCCAACATATGGCTATAAGGGCCATATGGCTCTAGTGGAGCCTAATGGTGCCTGAGGCACCTGCAACAAGATGTTTATTTCACTATAGAGACTATATGTATTAGCCGGTTAATCTACTAGGTAGGTATCTCACAACCCTTTTTGGTACCTACCTAGGTAAGTGAGAGAAGGGAGAGTTTCCGTAACTACTAGGAAGGTAATATGAGGAAAGGGGAAATAGGAAAGAAAGGAGGGAAACTAGGCGTTGGGCAAAATAGCAGCGACACGCCGCCTTACCTAGGTATATACAGAAATTGGCCCCTATTTGGTATCCCGCCCATGTGTGACAACCAACCCTCAAGAAGATCTGATAAATCTCAAGCCTGGTCGTTACTTGCGTTTTCTTTAAATATACCTACATAGGTACAGTTTGTACTGAGCAAGTCCTCACCTCCGTACCTATTTACTTTTAAAGACCTCCTGGATTCAGTACTAGGTAATTAGTAAGGAGGCAAGAAATGAATGCGAGGTAGGTACTTGAGGATCGTACCAACGAATGGCCTTGATGATTTTCTTACTTGAGTACTCGTAGCTTTGTATCCTTTTTTTTTTTTTTTTTTAGCTCGATGGCGATACTCCTTAGCACCTAGCTAAGCGCGATCTCGAGGGTTTCCATCCTTAGTACGCATTTTTGAGTCGCGGGGGCGTGCTTACCTAGGTACCTAGGTATGCGGCGGCCATGACATTGTTTGTGCTGATGCTAAACCGGGCGAAGTTGACGGACCCCGTTAGGTTAGGTTGGGTTATAAGGGAAGGAGATGAGAGGGCATGTCTAGGTAGGTAGGTAAGAACGACTTGCCCGGGTGTGAGTACCTAAGCAAACCTGTGGCTTTATTGATGGATGGATGGCTGGCTGGCTGGCTGGCTGGCTACGTGATTGGCATTTTCTAATGGCCGTTAATTAGCTGGTGGACATTTGGAGATGATATCGGTGGGTAGGTAGGTATCTATCAAAAAAGAAAAAAGGGGGGTCGTGTTTAACTATAGTTATATGAACAAATCCCTTGATCTGATCATTACCTAACTCAGATTACAATTTACAGACCCTTTCATCCGGGGGGAAGTATACATACATACACTGTTGAGAGCTACATAGAACTACTAGGTACCTACCATTCAAGATATGGGTAGCAATAGGTACATACATACCTAATGTATCAACTTTTCCAAAAGCTTTGTTGCTTGTAAACCTAGGATACTACTGACTACCTACCCAGGTACCTAGATCATAGGATTACTTCACGTTTACTTTACTTTACTACAACTCAACTCATACTCCTTAAAGCAATTCATATACCTTAGGTAGGTATCAATATATTGCCCTAGATCAAGGCCCTGCCTAGTCCAAGAACCAAGTTTTTAACGGTACCTACCTAGGTAGGTAACCAATAAGCTTTGAAAACTTGGCGAATACTCTAGGGTTGGTTCGCTATGAGTAATTTGATCTTGAAAATCTGCCTGAAAACCCGCGCCCCCCCCCATCCCATCTAAAGCTCTAACGTCTATTGTGTATGCTTAGGTAGCTTTGTGGCCGAAAACCATCCATCCATAACTTTGAAGATCCGTTTCTGCAGGAAACCCAGGGCAACAATCATATGAATGAATACCAGCGTTCGTCGGAAAGGCGTCGATCGTCTTACGAACGAACCAACGCATAAAATCATCAATCATGCACACTCAGCCGCACATCTTCTCCCCCACCCCTGCTTCCCCTTCAAATCTACCTGTGATTTCTTTTTTAGATCAGTACCCCAACAACAATCCCTAACTACCTAACACCCATCCTCCCACAGCTCCTTCCGATACGCCTCCGTGAGCCTCTCATCGGGGCCGTAGATCTCCTGCCAGCCGACGAAGCCCTTATCGAGGACGTAGACCTGCTGGCTCTTCTTCTCCTCGCCCCCCTCGCCCCCTGCCTGCTTCACGGCGGCCTTCTCGCCCTCTGCCTGCTCCTTGGCGGCCTTCTCGCGCAGATACCTCAGCGCGGCGGCGGGCCCGCGCTGCTGGCTGAGGGCGCAGTGGAAGACGACGACGTCCTTGTCCGCGAGGCGGCGCAGCAGCGTGGGCAGCGTGGCGTCGAGGCTGGTGCTGGGGAAGTGCAGCGACGACTTGATGTGCCCGCCTATGTGGTCTAGAAAACCCCGGGGGAAGACGGCGATGAGAGGGGGCTTGTCAGTGCGGTACATACATACATTTACATTTGAGAACAACAGCTTGCTTGCTTGGTTGTTCTGTGATAGCTTTATGTGTGTGTTGGGGAGGGGAGGGGGTGATGAAGGAAGAAAGGAAGGAAGGGAGGGGAAGACTGTGAACATACCGTCGTCTCGTACATCCACGACCGCTACGGATGATGTGTCTGCGGAAGAGGGCTGATTGATGCTGGCGAGGAGCATCTCGGCCAGTTTTGGCGCGGTGATGCGCGGTAGGCTGACTACGCTGATCATGGACATTGTGTGTTATGTTTTATGAGTCTGTCGAGGCACTTTGTAATTTCTGAGTGAAGAATGGGATATCTGATAGCAGTATGAAGGAAGTATGGAGTATGAGTAGGTACTTGGTGAGAAGTGCTGTGACCTAGTAAAATCGAAGTTGAAATTGAGAACATTCCAGGTTAACTATGTACAGTACCTACTACGTACATATACCTCCAGCCCTAGGGGTCCTAGGGTACTACCTAGTACCTAGTACCTGGTAGTAAACTCTACCAATTCCAGCTACTACCGCACCTAGGACCGGCCCTAGGTTTAGGTTAGGTACGTTGAAGTTAGTGCATTAAGGCCAACTGCTTAGCTTAAAGTTTAACTCAATGGGCACAAGCGACATGGAAGTTCGTGTGCGCGTTTGTCTTAGGCGCATAGGACCTACATGTATTGTTGCATAAATTACATGTTTTATTTCTATCATGTTTAAATGCATGTTAATACGTTGCCTACCTAGTAGTAAGCATTCATTCTCGCTACTATGTACAAAGATTCATGATCTGATGCTCTCAAATTTCTACATAGTAATCTTCAACGTGTATGCCTCTTAGCTACCGTAGGAACCAAAACCGCAAAAAAAACTTCAAGGCCACATGCCGTCCCACATGAAGAGCCAACCTTCCCAGTACTTTTCGTAGTTTCCTACCAGATAGGACAGCCCATCCCCTTCCGATCCCACCTTGTACGGTCTCGTGTACAGTCCTCCCGTCTTCAGATGCCGCTTCATGGCCATGTAAATCGAGAAGCTGCTGGGCATCGTGCCTACGAAAAAGTCGCTCCCCAACAACACAACAAAGTCAACCAAACCCTGTTGATCCCAGCTCAACGATTCCAACTCCTCCAGATCCTCGTCCTCTAACAGGTCCGTCTTGGTGACAACCCTCATCTGTGCCATTTCGATGGCCGCACCCGCGAAATTCTGCGCTTCTAGCGGGTCCCCGGTAGCTATGTACGCCACCTCGAAGCCTCGCTTAGTAGCTTGCTTGAGGTACGCCTCACTCTGGACTGCGTATGTCGGCCAGAAACCCAGCGCATCGCTTTCGGTGCGGAGATGCACCCCGAGAAATCTACCGTCTCTGACCCCGTTTGCCCTCGCGTAAGCTTGCATTCTTGCAATCGCCTTGTTTCCCAGACGCAGTATCTGGCTGTTGAATTGGAGGATGCTTCCAAACGTGTTAGCAAACTCCGGCCCGTCACGGTAGGTCTGCCAGTCCCAGAGAACGCCCCAGTTAAAGCGGATCAGTCGTGGGCGGTCCATCGATGGTGCGGGCTGCCCGTTCTTAGGATCATGGAGCCACCTGCGGAATCGATCGCCAAATCGGTCCGTGTGGCGATTCTGGTCTCTCCAATCACACCCGTCCCGATTTCCAAACTTCTTTGGTGTGATTTGTTCAATCTTAGGCTTGCTGCCTACACCGGGTATGTCCTTGAGGTCGTCGTAGAGTGTGATTTGTGGACAGTTTGCGCTGAAGGCATCTTTGAAATGCTTCTCGTCAAACATGTAGTCAAAGGGGAGGTAGTCGGTAAAAAGGTCGGCAAGGTCCGTATCGTTGCGCTTCCGAATCTTGGGCATGACAAGACCAGTAGCGCCAGCCTCGAGACCGTACCGTATGCAAGTGTGGATATAGTTTCTTATATTGCCTATTCCTCCTGAGTTGTTGTCGCAGATGTAGACCAACCCAGGCACCCAATTAGCCTCATCGCACACCCTTTGCAATGGCCAGCCGACAAAGGGCGCGTCCGGCGCTGATAAGTCAACATCGTTATGTGCTTGCGTCGGCGGACTGAGGGAAGAAGGTGGCGACGACGACGATGTGCCCCGGAGGGTATTGGCATCAAGCCAACGATCGGGTGAGGCGCGGAAAGTCCATACCGCAATCAGGAGGACGATGCAAAGGGTCGGGAGGAGGATGTTTCGGCGCGGCATGAAGCCAAATAGTGTTTGATAGCCAATGGCCATCGTAGGGGGAAAAGAATCGCGCCAGAATCTGGGGTCGGCACGAAAGAAATGCACTAGGAACGGTCTGGACTGTGGCCGGTGTCCAGTAATGCAGGGGTGGGAGACGGCTTTTTATGTGGCTGCGGCTTGTTCCGGAATCCCTGTCTCACCTCAATGCTGATCGATGTAATGCCATAATGAATGTTGTACTTTAGGTAGTAAATATAAAGAGTCTTAATATAAATGTAGGGCTGAGAGTAGATACATAAATTGATACCAATAATAGTTGTCAATACATGTAGGTTTCAGAGATTGAGTTTCTGATTGCATCGGTACCACATACCTAGTAGTTATGTAGGTACCTACATACCTATACCTACATGTACCTATTCCTACCTACCTAGTACCCAAGGCAGTGTATGTAGGTAGCCGAACATCCCAGGCACTGGACAACTCAAAATCAATGTATTTATACTAGGTATGCACACCGGATTACCAATCTAGAACATCCTCCATCATATCGTCGTATACGATGATGTATAGTACCACGACGCACACCAGCTGGTTTCATCTTATTATAGATGTGCTACACTCAAGCAAGTATCTTTCCCTAACTTACCTACCATAGTTAGGGTACCTACAAATTGAGCACTCTAGGTTAGACAAGTTACACGTCCTATCTCAATCTCAAACAGGATCTTGCAACATGGAATACACGGTTGCGGTCTTGTTTTTTTTTGTATGGACCTAGGGTAGTTTCATTTTCGAGTAAGAAAAATGGAATTATGGCACTGATTCACACCCTCGATGTGAAAATTGCACTGCCTATTAAACTGCTAACACACGTCTACCTACCTACTATAGTCATACTATGTAGTAGGTAGCTCGTATGGGTATCTTGAGGTCATACACCCGTGGCCTTGAAACACTAGGCCACGATGCTCTAGCTAGCCTCACTGTTGTTTATGCCGCACAAGGTCCCCAAGACCTAGGCAGAGTAAGGGTATCATTACATGCTATGCCATACCATGCCTCCCGCGAACCACTTCGTTGATCCCTAGAAGGATATGATTCTACAAGCCCTTGAATAATTATAGTCTGCCTGTAAGGAAAGCAATAAACTGCGAAAACACTGCATCATTCTAGTCGTGGTATCAACTCGTGTCTTTCCTCGCAAAGATCCGTCGCAAACAAGAGGTGTGTGAGTTATTGCCTTAGATCTTCATCGATGTATTAAGCCTTGGCAATCCATCCAGAATTGATGAAGAAGTCGAAGATTCTGCTTCCCTTCTGCGAGTCCAGTCGGGAAATTTCTTTCACCTGCTTCTTCTTCAGAGCGCCATTGACCTTTAGAGCCTCCTTCAAAATTTGTTCCTTGATCATTAAGTACGGCTTTGGTTGGAGTCGGCACACTCGGCATAGCTCTGCCTCTTCCGGCGTGAGGAGATGTAGATCTGGGGTGCTATCTTGAGTGAGCGGTAGCGGTTGTACTCCCGAGATCGGCAACGAGATAAACTTCTGCCTGCCTAAACTTGAGGCATCACCGGTGGCGGCACCGTTGACAATTCCATTCGCGTGTCCATTCGTAGACGGCTTGGAATCGCCGTTCATCGGGACATCTGGCGCGGCCTTGGGTTCTGCTCCATTCGTAATTGACCGAAGCGGGAGCTCTGGCGCAACTAACAAGGCAGCTCCGCTGGGTGGTTCTGGCTGAACGTTCTGCTTGGATCGCTGCGCCGAAGCTAGTCGCTCGCGGTCCATCGAGCCCATTGGAATTGCCTTCTGGATGCGTTGAGATTTTTCCTGCTCGTACTTCTCACCACTACGAAGATCTCCGATCTTCATGTTTCGCCAATCCTGCAATTGCGCGATCGCCTGTCGGAGGTTTAATTCATCGATAAGACCCTGACAGAATGATTCAAAGTCGTCGTGGTTCATCATGCGTGCAAAAGGTTTGGCCTTGTTTAGTAGATCTCGCTCCTCCTTGCTTCTCTTCTTCTCCTGCTTAGTGTTTTCTCGATAATCTAGCAGGTTGTGTTCGAAGATGACTTTCTTGCGTTCTACACGTTGAGTGAGGCGACAGTTATAGATGTCCATAACCGTGAGCTTGAGCTCCATTTCCGGTTCAAGCTCGCCAGTGCGAGGGTTGATACCGTCGCCTGGGTCAAACTGCATGAGTTGAACTGCCTCTTCAGCTTCGTTGGCATACTCAGTCTCGAACTCGAGTCGGCCAGGCATGTAGCCCTGAATCTCATGGCAAGAAGGAACACTAGCTGTTGGCTTCGTCTTGGGAGGCAGAGGGGGCGCATTCTTCTGCGCTTCACGACGTTCCTCGATTCTTCGTTTCTTACGGGCCTGAAAAGTTTCGCGCGTGACTTGCTGAGAAAGTTCCATATCGGAGGGCATGCAACGCTGCGGCAGAGGGAAGCGGGGAGAATCCACATAGACCTTGAGATAGTGATCTCGAACCTCATCTTTGTGGCGGTAACCACCGATGTGGTCTGCGATGTCTGCCCATGAACCAAGGCCGTAAATCTCACAGCCCTCCAGCAGAAGTAGCTCTTCATCAGCACCCCAGTCTTCATCAAAGATGGGGAAGGAGTTCTGCTCAATGACCTTGTAGGGATGGGTGGCAGGCTGGTGCGAACCGCTGCTAGCTCCACTACCAAAGCATTGGACACAGAGATCATACTCATTGCATGCACTATGAGCACATCTTATTCGCACCTATAAGTTCACATTGCATTAGGAGACGAATAAACCTTAGTCAGCGCTAGATATCAGAGAGCAACACGTACCGTGGATGTGATATCTGCAGAGCAGACATCGCAGACATATTTGACACCACCCTCTCCACCCCTGGTGGCTGTCTTTTTGCGAATGACGCCCATATTATCATCCAGTGTGAATGATAATAACTACGAAGCCAGCAAGGACTCCGTGGTTACAACGCGAAATGGGGCAAGTAAGAAGGGGAAGGATATAAATTGTTGGAAGGGTCGAGAAATGAGAAATGGCTGATAAATAAATACACCAATAAAGTGACACGAAAAGGAAAAAAACAGATTTGGTCACCCTAGGTATTAAACCAGGCACCCGGCAATAAGGGCGTTGCTAATACAGTTGTCGATATTGTCGATGTTGTTGATGAAGTGGGCCTGGAGATGAAGTTGAATGAAGTTGGTGATATTGGCGACATTAAAACGACGCGGCATTACTATGTAGTAATACAAAGTTGCGCTATTGGCGGGTTGCGCAACTTGCGGCTCGAGGATGGAGCTAAAAAGGACTTGGCATTGGCATGTACACAGGTAGTAAGTGCATAACTACCTACTACTAGCCTCTAGGTATGTAGTAACTAGTCACCATTAACGTAAGTGCAAAGCCTTGTCCTTGAATCACGTGAGCTCAGCTATGTGCACAAGGCTTTTCGATACATGTGAGTGCAGTGTAGGTACATTAGATAACATTGAAGGTTTGAACCTTATTAAGGTGTCTACACCAATGATAGTACATATGCACCTAGGGCATATATGTACATTTTCTACATGCATGTGCTCAAGGCTTCATTTATGTACATAGGTATGCATTGCATTTGTACCTACTATGTAGCATTTAGCTAGGTATACATAGTACCTATGTAGGTACACACATCATCAATGATGGATCATGATTGATGCGCAAACAATGAGAGTTGCAGTTTTCTGGAATTCGGCCGACCGAACCACCGAAGTTCCTCCCACTAGCCCAATTGCATCATAGCATTCCCGGCACGCAGGGTCAGGGTGGGGTTGCTATTGCTTCAATCTCATCTTCGGTCACCACATGATGAGCTACATATACCATGTACAATGTATATACTTCGTATGAGAATGAACATTTGAAGCAGGTGCTCGTATCTATATATCCGCTTGGTCTTTCTATACCTATGTGCTACTGAGGTAATTTTGAATCCCGAGGCTTAAGAAAATATATTTACCTACCAGTTGACATATTTATATTCGCTCCCCTCCTCGAATTATCATCTATATCTTTTTCACGGCGCAATCATTCTTTTGGCCATTCCATTACATACCTACCCTACTAAACCTATCATTATTCAGTAACGATGCCGGACAAGATTCTTGACGATATCTCTCATCGACGCTATAATCCGCTGAGAGGATCATGGTTGCTCGTGTCGCCCCATAGAACAAAAAGACCTTGGCAGTAAGTCTGTAATGCTTGTACCTGCGATAGGGGACATGATGGCTTACCAGACATCCGATCAGAGGTCAACAAGAAGCACCTGGCGTGGTCACCTTGCCCGACTATGATCCAAAGGCAAGCGATGCTAATGCTCTGCGCCAATGCTGAGCACATTTGTCGCTAACTACCTAAAGTGTTACTTGTGTCCTAGAAACTCGCGGGCGCAAGGTGATTCCAATCCCGACTATAGTCAGACATTTGTCTTCGTGAACGACTACAGCGCCGTGAAAGAGCAACAGCAGGACTACCAAGCAGAACCTTCAAGCGATGGTAACAAGCCCTACCCAACTATAGCTTTACTCGATGGTCAAAACCAAGTTAATGCGTACGATGAATGGGAGTAGATCTTTCTTCGCTACTTCTTCGCGCTGAAGGTGTCAAGGGCAAATGCTTTGTCCTCACCTTTTCGCCTAAGCACAATCTAACTCTTGCCGACATGCCCGCCGAAGCGACTGTACCGATCGTTGAGACGTGGACAAGAATCTATGCCACCCACCTAGCCCCGGCCAACCCCCTGTCCCAAGTTGCTGCCAATCTGGATCTCTTGAGCCGCGAGGCGCCAGCTGCGTCTCTAGCGCCGCCACCGACGCAGCAGCTGCGATACATGCAGATTTTTGAAAACAAGGGTGCCGCTATGGGATGCTCCAACCCTCACCCTCACTGCCAGATTTGGACGACCAGCACACTGCCAGAGGAACCAGCCGCGGAGATCGTGCAGTTGACTAAATACCGAGCTGAGCATGGAGGACGGCACCTATTGGGAGATTACGTGGAGCTGGAGATGGAGAAGCAAGAGCGGGTTGTGTACCAAAACGAATCCTTCCTGGTAGTCTGTCCATGGTGGGCGATCTGGCCATTTGAGGTTATGATTATTGCCAAGAGACATGTACGAGCGTTGGTAGATCTAACAGAGAAGGAGAGGTTCAATTTTGCCGACGCGATTCAGGAGGTGACGAGGAGATACGACAATTTGTTCGAGACCAGTTTCCCGTACAGCTCCGGGATCCACCAGGCACCGCTAGACGGAACCGAAGAGGAGATTGAAAACAGCTGGTTCCACATGCACTTCTACCCACCCCTACTCCGGTCAGCTACGGTGCGCAAATTCCTGGTCGGGTACGAATTAATGGCCGAACCGCAACGAGACATTACCCCGGAACAAGCTGCGGCAAGACTGAGGGATTGTGCAGGAGAATTGTACCGCAAAAAGCTCTGATAGTTTTACGGGCACTGCCAAGGATGCGATCCATCAAAACATGAGGACGTGCTTGGGTTGGATATTGTCTCTTTCTAGTGTACACGATAGCTTTTCATGGCCTCAGCATTTGACCTGTTCCCACCATCATGCAACTTCTTAGTGTAAGGGTTATTTTTATTAATGGCATGCCCCTCCAATTTACACCTGGACGTAGAAACCGTATTGGGTCGTCATCCACGTAATACCCAGCGTGGCAAATAGGAAAGGGAGGAAAACCGGGAGGCCGAATGGAGCTGTCTTGTAGACAGCAAATTCGGTGCCGAAGTGGAAAAGCGCGACGACGTAGGTGCACACGGTGATGTGGTATACGGGAGCCACGTGAAGGTAGTAGCTTGCGTAGATGCGCACAATGGCGGAGATAAGAGTATAGGTTCCGGAGAGGCGTGCGGCTAGGGGAGTGACCTGGTCCTGTGCGCGCGCACCCTTGGGGTTGGTTGCGGCGGACGCCGGAACAAGCTTCAGCCGCGAGTCTTCGGGGTCGAAGGTGTTGGACTTGGGTGGTAAGGAGGGATTTGGCACGAACTTCCCGTGGTAAAGACGGCGCGTGTAATGTAGCGTCGAGTAGTTTTGTATGCAATTGCCAACAGCAAGGATGGAGGTCTGTGTTTTTTTTTTTTTTTTCGTTAGATGTAGTAGCTAGACGAGAGGCAAGAGAGGGAGCGACGTACTACCAACATGTAATAAGGTAGATAACCTTTTGCTTCTGGGAGATAATCTTTGAGAATATCCATGGTGTTATAGTATATATATATATAGTATATATATAGTATATATGGTACCCTAGGTATGACTGATATTGCTATATTGTTGAATTTTGCTAACTTGGATGTTTGTTGTACAATTGAAATTATTCACATCAGATGTTTCAATGTTTCAATGTTTCAATTGTTGTCTTCTAATAAGGACAAGGGTATTATATCCCACGCTGAATTATAACCTATCAGAAGCTTAGAAGTATTCCAGCACTACATACCCTAGGTAGGTACACCTATGATCCCGAGGCTAGAGCCCTTTTAAGTTACATATGTAAAAATAAAGAACCAGCCAGAGCCGCCACTGCAGCTGCAGGAAGTACATGTGTGAAGAAGAAGCATGTATTTAACAGGAAAAGTAAAAAGTGATTTAACTTAAGAAGGCAATGATGTACCTTTGACCACAAGCAAAAATCCCCAACAACTAAACTTCACCTACTCACCATTTCCATCCGCTTTTCCTCTTCTTCTCTTTCTTAATACTTGTACCTTACCACAAACATACTAGGTACAGTGATATAACATATTCAAGATGGATAAGGTGAACGAGTTCATCGCATCTATTCCGCCAAGTGTGCAACTGGCATTTGCTGGTGTTGGAGCACTATTCGTAGGCTCCAAATTGCTCAACTTGCTTCGCCTATTTCTCAGTCTCTTCATCCTCAGCGGCACCAATGTAAGTTCACAAATCTACTAATTAGCTATATGTATGGTATATGTATAGCTACTTAGTATACATTTACCCTAATATACAACATGGAAACTAATTGAAGCACGACGTAGCTTAAGAAATATGGCAAGAAGGGAACCTGGGCCGTAGTGACTGGCGCATCCGATGGCCTCGGAAAAGAATTTGCGACTCAGCTTGCTGCTAAGGGTTTCAACATCGTACTGGTTTCTCGTACCTTGTCCAAGTTAGAGGCACTATCCCAAGAGTTAGAGAGCAAGTTTAGCGGTTTGCAGACCAAGGTGCTCGACATGGACTTCTCTGCCGACGACGATGCCGACTACGCTCGTCTTTCCAAGCTGATTACCGGTCTTGACATCGGTATTCTCATCAACAACGTCGGCCAGAGCCACAGCATTCCTGTTCCCTTCGTCCTTACCGAACAGAAGGAGCTCCAAGACATAATCACCATCAACTGCCTCGGCACCCTCAAAGTCACACAGGTCATCGCTCCGGGTATGCAATCCCGTAAGCGAGGCTTGATCCTCACCATGGGCAGCTTTGGTGGCTGGATTCCATCCCCACTCTTAGCAACCTACTCAGGCAGCAAGGCATTCCTGCAGCATTGGTCTGCTGCCCTTGCCGCGGAGCTGAAGCCAAGCAACGTCGATGTCGAACTCTGCCTGAGCTACTTGGTCACCACGGCAATGAGCAAGGTACGACGATCAAGCTTGTTGATCCCGAGCCCGAGGCCGTTTGTGCGCGCTGCACTCGGCAAGGTGGGGACCGGGGGGTGGCAAAACACGGCATATACCTACACGCCTTGGTGGACTCATGCGTTGATGGCCTGGTTCGTTGAGACAACCGTTGGTATTGGAAGCTCGATCCCTATCAAGTTTACCTTGAGCATGCATGAAGATATTAGAAACCGAGCTTTGAAGAAAGCTGCCCGAGAAGCGAAGAAGCAGTGAAGTCAAGACTAGCATGAGTAGACTTCCAAAAACGAGTATGAAATAGGATCAGACTGGGACGGGTATTGGGGGAAAAGCGACTTGATGGATTGATATCAATAGGTAGTTAATCCCAAACTATTTGCATATAACTAAACAGGCCCAATATTGAGCATCCTGCCCGCCTTGAATTTAACCCTCGCATGTTACATAGTAGGCGCAAATATTACCCTACCAACATATACCTATCCTACTAGGTACCTAGGCATGCATCTATGTATCCGATGTCCATGGATGTATGTACCTATCATGATGTTGGTACACATGTACCTGAGGTTAGGCATGTAATGTGTTGGAATATAATCTAAATTCTTATCGATATTGCATTTTGTTTACTAGTTACCAGGCAGCTACTGCATGTGTGTACGATATGACTTCGTAGGAGCCAATGACGTGTTTGCAGTTTCCCTGCTACAGTAAAAGTACATACCAACCAACCGCCAAACAGTTACACATGGACCCACATGCACATATCAACCAACTTGAACCAAGTACCTAGATACAGTACTAGGTACTCTACAAGCCCCATTTGGATTAGTTTATTGAGTCGCGAACAAGCAAAAATCTCAAAAAAGCTTCGGTCTATCTGAGGCGCGTCGTCGTCCAAGCTCCTAAAGCTCTCTCTGCAACTTAATTCCAGTTCCACCCTTCCTCATCAACGTACAAACTAGACCTGGCCATTTGCGATTGAAGCTATTGACGATTTAGTAGCCTGCAATTTGTTTCCTTTTCAATTGACAGGGTCCCTTTTTGGCAGGGGATAGAAAATAAACCCAGCAAAGACAAGCAGCTTTCTTTTCCCTTGTCTTTCTACAATCTCATCTCTATTATTCTTCGACTATTCTTCGACTATCTTTCGACTAACTTTCATTATCTTTCTACGAAGAAAAGAATCCCCTCGACGTCGCCATTAATGACCCGGTAGCATATAGGTGCCTTGCCCGCCTGCATTGGCCCTTGTTCCTTCTTTACGTCCACCACCTTACCATTCCCTCGTCCATCAGAATCGCCTTCTTGCGACTCCCTCATCGTCTCCGTCACCGCGCCTGGTTGTGCATTCAGGCGCATACACCATGGCTTTTCCACAGACCCCGTCTCATGCACTGCCGGGCGCTTTCCTGCATACTCCCGCCGTCGCATCACGTTTCAACGCCCAGCAAGACCCAGTAAACCGCCGCCTATTTGGAGATAACTCGGGTACTTCGTCTGGTGGTGCAGGCCTGAAATTGTTTGGTCAAGATGCTGGCCTCGGACTCGATGCTCCCACCCAGCCTGCCGAGGAGCAGGCTTTACGTGGTTTGCCAGTTCAGGTTCTGCCCCCTCAACCCCCGTTAGCAAAGGCTGCTACGTACATCAACAATGCCTTGACTCGCGATGGCGAATACCCTCAACTAGATTCTTACTGCAGACGTGAGTGTTGCTTAGTATCCTTGCTGGCGAGTTGGCACTGATTTTAAAACATAGAAATATCCTCTGACTACGATCTGACACGGGACGACTCCGCCTGGGCTCCTTTCCAGAAAACTAATATGTATCCTATCCCCCAAAATGTTCTCGAGCAATATAATCGAGCGGAGGTTTCTACCATGATGGGCTTGTTCGCCGAGTTGAACCATGCCTGGGTAACAATCGATAACTGTCTCTACCTCTGGGACTACACCCACCCGAATCCTGAGCTGATAGGCTACGAGGACAGCCAACATAGTATTACGGCCGTGAAACTCGTTGCCCCGAGGCCCAATGTATTCAACAGCGTAATTACACATATTCTTGTCGTTGCTACGACCTCAGAAATGTTTCTCTTGGGAGTTGCCGCCAGGGATGCACCAAGCGGCGCCAAGGCCATCGAACTCTACGGCACTAAGATGTCCTTGCCCTTGAAAGGGGTCGAGGCACGTGTCATTGCTGGATCTGCGGATGGGCGTATATTCTTTTCTGGTCATACGGACTGCGATATTTACGAACTCAAATATCAACAGGAAGAAAGATGGTTCTCAAGTAGGACTGAAAAGATCAACCATACTCAGCGTTCTTGGACTGCCGCCGTCCCTCTGCCATCTCAAATTATCTGGGGGAGGGCTGGGAGCGAGCATATCACAGAGATCGTTATAGATGATAGTAGAAGCCTGCTCTACTCCCTTTCTAACAAGTCCACTGTGCGTACTTATCACATGGAGCCGCCGAACAAGCTCACCGAGGTTATCGAAAAGACCAAAGAGAATTTCCTACGCGACATTGCCCATGTACTTAGTGTCGTTTCGCCTCTACTCAATGAGCGTCTTGACATCGTGTCCATAAGTCCTATTTCCGCCGATGAGGATTTCAAGGTTCACCTCATGGCGTTAACAAACACAGGATGTCGTCTATTCATGAGCGCCACCAGCGCTGCCTCTTACATGCTCAATTCCTCGAACAAAGCTCCCCAGAGTATGCAGCTACAATCAATCAAATTCCCACCACCTGACAGGCCGAGGCAGAGGACGAATCGTTTGGGCGGCCCCACTGAATACATTGAAGTTGATTCCCGCACTCTCGAAATGAGTCGACGAGGAATCCGATTTGCCCCTGGTTATTTTCTGGATTTTGTTACCAAGAGCGAGCAGCCAAATGGCGATCTCCTATTTATGTCGGCTCCCGATAGCGGGCGAATCAATCATGGTCGCCAGATCCAAAATATGCGGTATTATGAACATGCCAACTGGATCGACATCGGCAGTAGGGCTGAAGATGTAGGTCTAGTCACCAAACCGTTTGCAGCCACCGGACAGCCGCAAGGATTTGGAAACGAGCTAGCCGTTCAATTTGACAATCCGAACGGGAGCGAATTCGCCATCCTAACGAATACGGGGGTACACCTCGTGCGGCGTAGGAGGCTTGTCGACATCTTCGCTTCGGTCATCAGAGCTGCGGCTGGGGATGAAGGGTTGAAAGCGGAGGTGAGCAAGTTCCGGAGTGCTTATGGCCATGTCGAAACCATTACTGCTGCACTCGCGGTTGCGTGTCGTCAAGGAGATAACGGCCGCCACGGAATAGGCCGCGGTGCTGTCGACCAAGCTACGCAGGATCGCGCCAAGCAAGTTTATATCAACTTTGGCGGTAACCCCAGACTACCCGAGCAGGACGGGCAGCCAGCAACAGTCGAAATGGTACAGCCCTCTACTCGGCATTCTGCCTTGAGTTTATATCTCAGCCGACTTGTTAGGACGCTATGGAAATCTCCCGTAATCGGAATGGGAACCGATGCCAGCGGTGCACTGACAATCACCAACGCTATTGCAATTGATAGGCTAAAAGAAGTTCAAGGAAGCATAGAAAGTCTAAGAAGTTTCCTGGATACAAACCGGGCTTTTATCCAGGGCCTCTCCGGACCTGCTGACCTACAAAGAGCGGGAAGCAAGCAGGAAGAACTCGGCTTCCAAGGGGAACATCAAGCTATGCGGGCCCTAGAGACCTTGATGACAGGCATCACTGAGGGTATCTCGTTTGTCACGACACTATTTGATGAGCGAGTTACCGATATTTACACTCGCCTTGACGACGTTTCACGCCAACAGCTTCGTGATCTCACATTCGAGCAGCTTTTTTCGCAAGACAGTGGCAAAGAACTTGCCAAGGTTTTAGTGAAGGCGATCGTCAATCGGAACATCGAGAATGGATCCAACGTCGAGACTGTAGCAGATGCGCTCCGGCGCAAATGTGGCAGTTTCTGCAGTCCTGACGATGTGGTGATTTTCAAAGCGCAAGAGCAGTTGAAGAAGGCATCGGAGCCGTCTCTAAATCCAAACACCTCTCGCACGCTCCTCCACGAGAGCTTGAGACTCTTCCAGAAAGTTGCAAGGAGCCTCACACAAACGAACCTCGAGTCGGCGATCGAGCAATATGTCAGTCTAAGATACTACGCCGGGGCAATTCAATTGTGTTTAGTCGTTGCTAGTGAGAAGGATCGGGGCAACTCTGCGTTGTCCTGGGTCAATGACGGTAAGCCCGCTGGAGATCCGAGGGCAAGGTTTTTTGAGGACCGCAAGGTGATTTATGGCTTGATTCACACTGTCCTCCAACACCTGGATGCTGCTCACAGTCGAGAACCCGAAATGGTGGACGGAAAGCCGACGTTGATTGCCACGAAACGTACTGAGGCATATGATGTTGTGAGCAATTCATCAGATGAGGTATTCCACTTCGATTTATACGAATGGTATCTACAACAAGGATGGACCGATCGCCTTCTCCGCATCGATTCGCCTCATGTCATCACTTTCCTTGGACGCATTAGTGGCCAGAGTGTTGAGCACGCAGACCTCCTTTGCAGGTTTTATACTATGCGGCAACAATATTTCGCGGCGGCAAAGGTCCAGGCCGACCTCGCGCAAACTGACACCCACGAGATTTCCATTGAGGATCGGCTTTCTCTGCTTAGCAAAGCCAAGGTCAATGCTAGCGTCATGACTCCTGGCATCAGCCGTCAAGAACAACAGCTTCTGAACCACGACGTCACTGAGCTACTTGAGGTAGCCCATATACAGGACGACCTGTTGAAGAGACTAAAAGCAGACAGCAGGATCCCGCAGGAACGCCAGCCGGAGATTGAGCAGAACCTAAATGGCAAGATCCAACCTTTATCTGAAGTAAGTCTCCCATGCTCTAGCCTTGTTGTTTAATGATTGCTAACACGAATTAATTAGCTATTTAATGGATACGCTGACCAGGCTGGTTACTATGATCTCTGCCTTCTCATCTATCACGCGGCCGACTTCCGCAGTTCTACCACCATCGCCCAGACCTGGAGCAGCCTTATCCAACAGACTCATGAAAACGTTGCAGACCGGTGGTCAGAATACGATGCCGAACGTCGAGCGCACGGAGCACAGGCCGGAGACCCACCTCCGCAACCGTATGAGGTGCTTGCCAGCCAAATTTCAGACATCTGCCATCGCTCATCCACGGACTCCTTCATTTTCCCCGTCCCCACTCTTCTACCAGAGATCTGTCGCTACGCCTTTGAAAATGCCCAGGACAACAGGATTTCTGCCGATGTCAATTGGCCGGTGATTGTCTTCCTCAACTTGGGAGTCAGTTGTGATCTCATAGTCCGAGTTCTAGAGCAGATGTTTGAGGCACAGGAACTACCATTCCGTGGTGCTGCCCGCGCACGAGTTATTGAGTGGATCACCTATGTTGTTGGTCAATGGGTTCGTGATCTAAGCCGAAATGGTCGCCCAGAAGCAAGACTGGACCCATGGGTTGGCGAGTTGATCGCAGCGTGCGAGTCCTGGACGTCCGCAAACATACGACTGGGTAACGAAGGCGGCGCAGATATTAAAGACATAGCGCGAACTGTGAAGGAAATCAAACGAGCCATCGAGGGATTCGTAATGTCACCAATAGCCAACAGGAGCATGGGCTTCTACTAAAGCATGTCTAGTATAAAGTCCAGTCCAGTTCGGTTTTTTAGATCGGCATATTCCACTCTCGGTATACGTCAGGTGTTGGAATAACCAGATTCCATGAAGGGATATTTTTTAAAAAGAAAAGAGAAAAGGAAGGGCGACCTAATGTGGCAACCCTATATGACTCTAGTATACCAATGTATCACGCACTGATTCACGGGCTGAAGGATAAGGAGCTTATTGATTTGGAAGAAACGAAAGTAGTCCTCAGACGATACGTTAAGAGATATGTCATGAAATGGGAATATTCTTTTTTTTCTTTTTCTATTCCAACCTTCGATCATCACATCTTTTTGTAGGCTAGGTAGTATACCGGGTGTAGGGGAGTTCCCGTAGGTGCATTTCCACGTTTTGGCTGGTTGGTGTCAATATTCGTTGCACGGTAAACGCACCATTAATGATGTCTGGAGGTTTTGTGATGTAAAGTCCCCCGAGGTTACTAGGTTAGTTAGGTGCCTTCGGTTTCCTTTGGCTAGCTGTCATCGAACTTGTGTAAGGTAAACCTAATACCTCCATATCCCCTAGTCCTCATGTAATTTCTGTTGTTGGGGCAACTGTATACCTACGTTAGGTGGTTGTGGGGGTGACATTTGACCTAGACTCAGCCTTGAGGCTTCCAGGTTCGAAGTGTGGGATAGTTTGTACTTCTAATGTCAAAATAAGACATCCACAAGAGTTTATTGTGACAGCTAACAGCAGATTTAGCGCCGTAAGCATAATTACTTCTAGGCATCAAGCTAAACAGATATACTTGCTATTGTTAACCGAAGTCCCTACCTACATTCAGGACATATGTAGTAGCATGCCAAGTCAGGTACACACTGGAAATAGACGACGGAAAGCCGCTTCATGTGAGTTTGGGGGAAAAAAATAGTCTCACGAGGCTGAACCTAGAAGACGCAGAATAAGATCGTCGTTCTCTAGCTCTTATATAATCCCTAGGCAGATCTTTGACAGCAATCTTGAAACGTATAAATGATGTTCTCAGACGAAGTTCATCCAACTAAGCTAGCTGGTCTTATATCATCTACTATTAGAGGTTAAGTGGCCATGGGTAGTAGGGGTAACTGAATGTTTTTGCTTTGCTACAGCGTATGCGGTAGGCAAATTAAGAGATGGTGTACGGATTCAAGCTCAGAAAAAATGGGGGATAAGGGGGGGGAGGCTGAACTGAGTTCTAGATCACAACAACTTCATGATCTATTGTTTACCTACCTAGTAGCTATTACTCAGACCTAGTCTTCGATTTGAATATAGGCACAAACCCTAACCACCAAGACTATCTTAGGTCTAACTCTCCCATGAACGGTGCCTGTTTAGGGACGCAGCATATTTGGTAAGCATACACCAACTTTTCCCCTATATAAACCTCGACACGCCCCAGCAATAGATGAATTTCCCCATCCATACTCGATCCCCAATCAACACCAAGTAGTATCATAGTATTACCAAACCCCAAGTCACAAAACGCCATGGACTCACACTCGGATGCAAGTGGTACTAAGACGTCCAAGTCCACTGTGCCAGCCACTCCAGCCAACACCCCCCAAGGCAGCAGCCCAAATGCCTCGAACAACGATCTACCGAGCCCAATCTCCCCTCTACAGCTGCCCCCTCCGGCATGGCCGCAGCCGACACAGCCAGTGTCCGACTCACACTTGGCTCCGGCAGGCACTTCGTCCTCGCACGCCCCACCGTCGCTGACCCAAGCAGCAGAGTCCCAAGCGCAGGGAGAGAACGCCACGGCGCCGACGAATGGCGTGCCTTCCGCGCCAGCACCCGGCGAGGACCAGGCCCGCGGCCGCCCGCAGCAGCGCCGCGTGTCGATCGTGCTGCCCTGTCGCCATCGCAGCGAGGGCGTCCGCCGCGGCCGCGGCCGAGTCCGCGCGCCGTCGCCGTACCCGCGGCCCCGGCAGGTTGGGCCGTCAAACAATGGCAATAACTTCGCCGGCCAGCAGGATGTCAGCTGCTGCACATCTACACGATGCAATTGCTGCGACAGATCTACACTGTGCAATTACGGCTACAAACCTACGGAATGTAATTGCCGCTGCAGAAGAGCTAGATATGAGGAGGAGGAGGAGGAGAGACCGCCGGTGAGCATGCAGACTCTCGCTGCCATCTACAAGGGCAGGCTTTACTCGCCGGCGGGGATATGTAGTTGGTTGAAGGGCGTGGGGAAAGGGATTTAGGTTAATTAAGGCTGGGAAAGCCTTGGGGTGCTGAGATGATAGGGGGGGATGTTATTTACGATACCATGTTGGTTATATGGGCAACAGCAAAGTCAGGCATGGCGGATGGATGGATGGGTGTTTATTTTTTTTATTTGCTTTCATTGACTCTCTTTTTGGAGACTTTTATACAAAGCTGAAAAGGGGCTTGGGGTGGGTGTTATCAATGTAGACTACCTACTTAGGTAGGTAGGTAGTGTTGGAACAAACAAATGGGCTTGCATTATGGAGTTAGATTTTTTTTCATTTTCATGGTGTTTTTTGGTTAGAATTCTGATAGGAGAGGAAGATTGTGGACTTGAAGGGAGCATATATTTTTGGAATAGGGGTAGCTACTAGCTAATGCATTGCAATTGCCTGGGCAACATTGAAGATATGTAGGTACTCTGTGCTGACATCAAGTCAAATAATAGTCTGTAAGCATCTCAACCTAGAGCTTAATGTATTACGACATGTACATAAAGGAGATATGCATATAAAGGAATATCATCTTACTATCGATAAGGTTCAATTACATGTAGTTATGTAACTAGTACAAACCTTAGGCGATTTCGCGATCTGCGCCCATTCAACCGTTTCACCCATCCTCCGTCACTCATCGCCCATCTGGTCAAGAGCTATTACAATAAACCAAAATGAATGACAGCCTGTCATCCAGCCCTTTGTCCCTCTTTTGAATTTCCTTTTCATGTAACAATAACCTTTATTACCTACCTACCTATCTATTAGGGTACCTGACCTAATACTCATACATCTCTTGCGGAGTCTTGACAGCTCGACATGTTCCTATTACGGCCACAATATCCAATTCTGAGGTGAATCCATTATGACTATAATTACGCGCTTCCTTCTCGGCGCATTGCTGGGATTCGTTTATATTGCGACCGCAAGCAACAGTCTTAAAGAAGGCATATTACCCTCGTACCACTATGGCGCACCCATCGCCGTCGAATGCATGAATAGGAGCGTGTGAGTTGTGCGCATGCCATCCATCCATCCAAACTTTTTAGTGGGCCGTCGTTGACCTCGGGCGTGTTTTACAAATCTTTAGAGAGACGGGCGAACATATCCAAGATGCCAAAAATGAGATCCAATGGATTCCATTTCCTGTATGCAACGAAACCGGGAAACCTCTCGAGTTCGGCTACGGCGTCGAGAGCGAGTTGAATTGCACCATACCTATGATAGACGATCCATTCTTCCACCTGCTCGAATTTTACATCCATAGCGACGCTCCTCTTGCCTGCCGCTTGCCCGCTCGACCGCCCGCCCACATTGAAATGGTGGGCGAGAAGCCCTACCAGCAAGAATACATACCACTAGTTTTCGCCCTGGCTGGCACATTACAGTTGAGCCATCTGCACATCAGCACCCATTTAAACATTTTACTCCACAGCACGCCGAAGCATCATATCCACCCCCACGACAGCGGGGTCCTAGACAGTGGCGCTGCTTACAGCACCAGCCCCCTTAGTCATATGGATGGTAGCTTTACCAAACGATTAGTTATTGGCGACCCCTTACCCCTGAGCTTCAGCGTGAGGTGGTTTCCCACCCCTGCCCTGCCCAAGACAGAGGGTAAAGTTGAGTGGCAAGGCATGGGCGGCCACATTTACGCCAGCACCGTCTTTTACGCACTTGTATCTTTCATCGCCGGCATTCTAGTCTCCGGCGTCTACTTCTTCGGCATCATTCTGCCCAAGAGATTGAAGGGTCGGGGCCTTGGTGGTGCCACGCCGTTGGGTTATGGCATGAATGGCGTAGGAAACGGTTGGGGTTACTCTAAACGGGTGGATTAAATGTCTGAGATACCATGTAGGGTGGCTATCTATCTGTAAGGCTTTTGTAAATATTACGGAGGTGGTGAGGAATCGTCCATGGATATGTGATGTGTCATTATGAGCCCCCGGTGTTATCAGCTGTACCAACACAAGGTAGCAAGAACTAATACCAGTGACCGACCTCTAAATGAGGGCAGGTATGCAGGTAGTTACAATTAATAAAGCCAAAAACATAAACGTAAACATTAGTTACTGTCTTTTCTTCCCGGCGTCCACAGCATTGATACGTTTGAGTAGCCGCGCATACATGTCAGCAGTCAACAAGGCCGCTACTCTCATAGTCAGCATTCACTTCTCTCACTTTCCCAACGTTTGCTCTAGCATAGGTACACTTTGAGATGCACACTCCGAGCTAGTTAGCACTTACCGAGAGCAAGGTACCCCCCATAAAACCCACCCAAAAGCACCCCCTTCTGCTCCGCCGTCACCAGCGCCGCGTCCCAGAGGTATATCTCGCGCATGCACGTCGCCGTCGTCAGCACCGTCTCGACGCCGTACACGAGGAGCAGCAGCTCCGCGCCGCCGCTCAACCCCCTCCCCCCATCACCACTACCACTACCACCACCGCGGAGAAGAGAGCGCACGGCCCACACGGAGACGGGTAGGTGGAAGACGAGCTCGAGGAAGCAGAAGAAGGGGAAGAAGTTCGGGATGGGGGCGGGCGGGGGCGCGAAGAATTGGTCGTGGTAGGTCGTTAGGTAGTAGGTCCGTAGGTCGGAGAGGAAGTGCAGGGGCGAGGTGGGGGCCGCCCAGAGGGAGGGGGGGTAGAGGGGGACGAGGTCTACGACTGTGTGGTGTATAATGGTTATGGGTTAGACTTGGACTGTATGAGATGGGATGAGATGGAATGGGATGGGGTGGGGTGATGGGGTGCTGGTAGGTGCACGAGGTTGATGGGGACTTGTAGCTCATAGGTAGGTATGGTATGAGGTTGATGAAGTTATGAGTTATGTGAGCTGGGGTGCAGGGGGTGGGGGGGAGAAGACGTACAGAAAAGGATCGGGATGTGGATGGTGAAGTAGACGAGGTAGACTTTGTCTAGCCAGTGCCGTGTGGAAGGCATGGTTGATAGCAGGTACCTAAGTAGGTAGGTAGGTATGTATGTATGTATGTATGTATGTATGAATATTTTATGACCTATTATTACTTCGGCTATGAAAATTTATAATAGTCTCGTATGAATCCAGAAATTTGATGTCGGCAACTTGAATTGAAACCCTCGCCGCGAGAATCGAATTGAGAGTGTGAGTGTGTGTGTTGAGTTTAGTTGGATACTAAAGGTTGGACGGACAACACATCATGTGCGAATATAGTAAGTGCACTGCTATGTACACTGTACCCCTATTCAAACCCCCTGAAGAATCGAAGTATCAAGCAACCACCATGATCATCAGTTACTTTCAATACATATAATATTTCAGATAAAGTAAGAGCTGATGCCTGAACAATTTGAGGGAATGGGGAAGGGGCTTGTCTAGGCAGGTGCCTACCTACAGTATGTAGGTAGAGTCTGTGTTTGATAATGATCACAAGCCATTTATAATAGATGAAGCACACATGCATCTACGTTGGTAAGTTAGCGACTTTACAAATGGATCACTCAAAAGCACTGTCAATTGCATCAGTTATCAATAGCACCTAGTTTTTAATCATTGCATGCTAGTTATGGCCTTCGCTCTCTAGAGTTACTTATATACTTAGGTAAGTATCTACCTAAGTAGGCACATAGGTCAATATCCAAAGAGAATAAATGGAGTTGTTTTGCGATTTAGCGATGCTTCATTTCCTATCTTGCAAGTTCCGCCACCCAAAAACATCCAAAGAGGACCGGAACGAGCGCCAGCAGAAGCCACCATAACTCGATGGTGAGACGAGAACGAAGCCATCTCTTCATTCGCACGCTCAGCTGCCGTTGGTGTGTGCATTTACTTGTGCCGTATACGAGACATCCCAGGCCGGGCCGCGACTCGCATTCCATGTGTTCGCGGCGCCGTTGCATTAGCAGTCTAAGATATCATTAGGCTTAGTTTCTTAGGTTCTGGGTATGTAGAGATAGAACCCCGACAATGAAAAAAGGGGGTTGTTTACCTGACGCTGCCCCTGCAGAACTTCAAGTCGCTTCCCAAGTCGCAGCGGCTGTCGTTGGGACATTCCAGATGCAAGCTTCGGCGCTCGATCAACCAATCTACCTTGAGTTTCAGGCCCGTGTCGACGAGGTAGTAGAAATATCTGCTGGTATGCTTGAGGGACAAGGCATCTGGGTAGGTGAGCTGCTCACTGACAAGCAGATGTATTTCGGGCGGGAGGTCTTGGAAACTGGTGGCCATGTGTTGTTTGGAACGAAGCCCCGTAGATGATGGCTCACCCGAACGAGAGTTGACGGCGGCAATTTTCAAGCCGTGGGTGTGACGATGGGTCATGTCCATGGTGTGAATGAGGGGGGATTGATACCCCGCCCGCCAGACACCAAAGAGGCTGGACGAGATATACTGGATTGTAAAACCCCGAAAGCTTCCTGGGCTGTATCCCCTTACCGCTAAGGGAAAGCTCTCTCAATAAATGGGGTTGAATAGTCGGTTACATTAAGTAATCTGGATCATCTAGCTATAGTGGTGGGTGACATGAACTGATGACTGCCAAGGTGTTTTGTGAATAGAAACGTCCTGTGTGCTATGAATAAAACCCGAAATATATATAGGGTATTGAAATATAGAAGACCGTGGCTTTTCGCTACTCGCTATGTACCTATTGTAGCGATGACTACAAGATGATATTGGAATTGCTAGGCACCGAGCGAAAAAAAAAGAAAAAAGAAACCTATTCAAAACAACAAAGAAATAACAACATCAATCAATACAGTATGTTGCTACTGCATAGGTGGCGTGATGGAGGAACCAAGATAATACGAGGTAGACCGAATACACTTCTGGTTAGGAAAAGGGGGCTTGGAGACTACTTGAGCTCATATCCAAGTTAAGAGGCATACGTGGACATGAGATCTCAAGTCTAAAAGGATCATATGAGTCAAACAGATGATAGATTTGGGACTGTGGGAAACATGAAATCTATTTGATGTAGTTACATTGATAGTTAATTAGTTGGATGAAGGGGGGAATCAATGATAGGTACTACATGTAGGTATGTGGGAGCCTAATTCTACATAATGCAGGTACAATACAATAAATAAATACATTCAGGCACTGCCGCACTGTAAGTGACAAAAGGTCCGCTGTGGCGTAGCCCTACATAGAGATAACATTGGAACTACAGCATTGCCAGGTGAATCTTGGAACTGATTGGAAGGCTGAGGCTGTGCCTGCATGGTTAGGCATGTGACCGCGCGCGGTTGAATTTGGGGTTTAGCGCGTCAAAAAAGAACGCCCAGAATTGCCCAGCATGTAGTTACACCTCCCACTTTCACTTCTAACTACCCACCTGGTCTTGTTCCAATCCATTGTTCTTACTTACCTAGTACCCCACCATACCATCATGATAGCAGCGCAGCCTAGCCTAGAACTCTACCAACCTGGAAAACAATGTCCTCGATCATGACTCGATTTATCATCTCTTCATCTCCGTTTACTTATGTGTTCACTTCACCTCGATTGCACTAACCGGTACACTTGTTATGTACTTTGATAACACGTAATACCTAGTCTCTGCTGCTGCTAAAACTAACGAACCATGGCCACCTCCATTACTTCCGTATTAGACGATGATAGTTTTGTAGAGAGCGATTATGGATCGGATTTTTCCATAGGAGAGGAGGGAATTGTGAACCAGCTTCTCGATAACCTTGGGGGTAAGTGTGCCTTACCTAGCAAAACCACAGGTCCTGCCTCAAGTCCTCCTCAATTCGTCATTCCCGGTGGAAACGATGCTCAAGCTCTCGACAACCAGTCCATTATATCAAATCCCCCCACACGAGAGCCCGAGAAGGGATTTAAATATCAGCAGAATGTGTCAGGGCTACGTAATAACTCGGCGGGCGTTCGATTTGGCACCATTAATGGTATGGAGCGTAGCGGCGACTCGACTACTCGCTCAACTGCCCGTGAGCCACGGCTTGCATCACTGGGATCCATACACTACCCAGATCGTGAGTTTTCGTTTTCTTGGGCATACTAAATGCGCATGTAATATGAGATAGATCTAACTAACTAGTAGAACCCAGTTAGCCATGCACTTCAACCCGGCAAAACACTGAGCGTATCTTCTAAATCTAAATTTGGCGAGCCCTCGCAGGACTCCCGTTCTCCCTTACAGCGCTTCCGCTCCATCCCAAAGAAGCCTTTGAGCGTTTCTGACTTGGCTTCGGGTGCTTGGTGCGAATTACAATACTGGTATACACTTACTCGTCTTCCCGGCGGGCGGAAGACGACGACTGCGGCGATGCGAGGCGGTACCCGTATCCACCAAACTTTGGAGGACGAAGTGCATACCACGGTCCAAATAAATATAAACACTAAGGAAGAAGCGTTTGCGCTACGTCTCTGGAACGTCATTCAGGGTCTTCGTACACTTCGTGACTCTGGCATAACAAGAGAACTCGAAGTATGGGGGGTGATTGAAGGTCAAGTTGTCAATGGCATCATTGACGAACTGAGTACTGAAAGCCCCAATGCTGCTTTTGAGCATGAGCTCAACTTATCGCAGTCAAAACAAACGTCTATAATTATCGCCGGGCAGCCAGAACAGCAAACGTTTATAAAGGACTTTTTGGGAACACGTCGGAGAAAAGTTTATTTGACTGATGTCAAGACTCGGGGATCAGACAGGCTACCTACAGGTCCGGCTCTAAGACCGGCTAGAGTCCAGCTATTCCTATATCATCGACTTTTGGGAGAAATGGCTTCCGGCGTCCTCGACTTTGGTATTATATTGGATCGATATGGTCTTAGGCCTGATGCCTTGTTTTCTGATGCCTTCATGGCACAAGTGGGTGATCTTCATGATGAAATATTTTACGATGCAGACTCGGATCTTGGTGGAGCGCCGTCAAGTCCTCGTTCTTTCCGTGATAATCACATTGGTGCATGGCCAGACGAATCTCAATCATCTGAGTCGACATCGCCTCCAGACTTGATTAGGTATCGGTCAATCACGCAGATACTTACATTACTGAGATCTGAGCTATGCGAGACGTTCCCTCAGGGTGTCAACACGCTTGGCGATCTTCTGGCGGTTCAGTACCGCCATCGAGATGATGGTCGCATCCTGGGGAACAATTCATTTCCCAATGATCCCGAAGCATTGGAAGGATATGTTAAGCAGTATCTTAAGTGGTGGCGAGGAGAACGAGAGGCCGAAGGCGTCGCCATTGAAGAGGCCTATAAATGCCGAATGTGCGAGTTTGCGGAAAGCTGCCAATGGCGAAAAGACAGAGAAGCTGAAATATTACAGAGGAGGCAAGGTGCTGCACGTGCTTGGAGTTAATTAAATCTTTCCTGGTGGCTCATTCATGCTTTGGTTGCCGATAATACTAAATAACTTATCTTGTGCTGACGGAATGTTGTCTTTACTAGTTACTAGGTACCTAGTTTTTTACCGTGAACATTACCGCGCCATTATTGATAGGACTAAACGACAGCAGCGTACCGCATCTTCCGCATTTTCTGCTTAGTTTTTGAGCCGTTTGGAACCTTTGGATAAGATTTACAACCCCCTGCCGATTTTCTTCTCTCAAGGCCAACGATTAATAATAGGCACTGACAGATGGGACCCCGATCTGGCCATTTTGGAAGTGCTAAGGAATCGTACCTCGCATCGAATGGGTCCATCATAAACGTAGCTGAAAGCCTTGCCGACTTAGGCTATAGTGTGCTCCATTATTGTGCTCAACATAGGACCATCCGACCATGTGGAGCGCAGATGAGATCTCCTGCTAGGAGAATTCATCAATGAGGTTAGTGAATTTACTCGAACCCATGATTCCCCCACATGTTTTGAAGGCTGGATATCTTCGTTGAAATTGCCACGAGCTCCAGGGTTAGCCTCATGGCGCATTATGCTATAGTTAGAGTACGGCCCCCTTTTCATGGCTATTGGAGTCAAATGTTTCAGTTTTCCCAGTGCCAATAACCTTGGTGATCCGGCCATTTAACGGTAAAACTGTTAATGTCGTATCGTACATACATGGTAGTGTTTACTGAAACAGGTATGTACCCTACAGAAGATAGTGTTTGCATTGACGATGCGACTGAACCCTGATCGGACGCTATCAACTGAGTCGAACTGAGTCGAACTGACATCCGCAGGTAGCTGCATTCTTCATGACGATCTAGTCATCCTCCTTATCCTAATAAGGAAGCAGACTGGGTGAACGGTTAGCTGAATCGGCGGATTATAGTATATAATACTGTATATTGGCTGCTGAAATTTGATACGACACTAACAAGAAACCCTCCTAGCGCAAGCCGCTTTTGCGGTTGCAATTTCTTTGTTTCTACATGCTATCATCTATGTCCGTAAATGTCCGGTAACTATGTGAGACACGAGCCTCAACTCGTCTACTGTACTCTGTATGCCCAGGTGTACAGACTACCTGTCTCAATACTTATCCTACCTAGGTTAGGTAGGTAGTCGATTCCATATGATCAACAATGCTTGGCTAAGAATTGGCAACTGGGTTATCTTCATCTTCCAATACTTATCTAGTAGGCATTTACTCTCTTCTGAGACAATGCCCCCCACAAGATCGTTCTACTAGACTTCTACATAACAACAAGAGTCTTGGGCATTGTGGATACACTACGATGGCGAACCGATTGCGAACTTGACAGAACTCAGGGGTTCCCGGTACGCCGGGTCCTTAGCATACCTACAGGGAATGGATATATTATCATACTAATCATTTAGCTTCATGGAAATGCAAGCATGAACTGATTCTATCCATTATATATATACTATAGTAGGCATTATAGGCAACAGCGGTTCTGTTAGCGTTGAGACTGATGAGACCAGAGGGCACTAATGCTCTAACCGAGTCGATTTTCAATGCTATTTATCTTTCAGCCCCTACTATGTAGTAATAAGCGAAACTGATTACTTATTCACTGCAAGGCCTCGGCACTTCACGATGCGATGCTACTTCGAAGCCCATGCTCTCTTCACACTTATGTAGGGGCTGCTTAGATGTTTGTCGTGACAGTAGTAAGATCTTTACAAAGTGTAATCACCTAAACTACCTGTATCGCCTCATCATCACTTTTCATACTTTTGTTGACACTACTGATCTCGCCCCTTTGCTCTAACTAATAGAGCCTCCTTCCTCTTATTATCACGAATGTCATCCAGTGAAACTCCTGATATTCGGCCGTGGGAGTCAAACGACTCTCAAGGGAAACTAGGTCGATACGATCGTTATGGCAACAAGCCTTCTTCGGCCTCAGTAAATACAGAATCAACGGAATATGCTTCAACAATTCCGCGTGCCATCTCTTCCTCGACAATGCGAAGCCAGCCACCACCACGTATTGATAGACTATCACTACGCCTAAGAAGCAATTCTGGGCTTAAACTACACACAAATGAAAACGCTCTCAGCCAATATATAGACTATAAACAGGACCGGCTGACCCGCACGCCCTCATTCAACTCCGCGACTTGCGGTCCATCCATAAACGGCGAGAGTAGTCCCCCACTACACAAGAAAATGCCATGGGCAACAGGAGACCTATCTAGTTATCAAGACTTCCCTCAGTCCTTAGGAAACGACGTGTTTCAAATCGGACTAAAGCATCCTATTATTGTGCAAAAATTTAGGAGATATTGTAAAGATCACGGATACGAGAGTCACTTGGAATTCTTAATAAAGGTGGATACCACTCTTGGATTGCCATCGTGGATAACGCGTTGAAACTAACAGATGCCTATTGACTAGGTCCGGGAATATACAGAATCTACAGACGAAATGGCCTCGGTCTTAACATCAATATCGACTTCCTTTATCACATCAGGAGCCATTCATTCCTTAAAAATGCCTACTATAATGTCACGGACGTTGAATGCCGACGTTAAACGTGTTGCGCATACTATCCTGCCAGGCCTAGAGACAGTTTTCGTCGATTCTAAGGCTCATGTCGAACGCCACATGGCAACAAGTATTTTCCCTGGGTTTGTCAAGCACCAGCTGATCCAAAACGCGACGACGGCCCTTTCTACTACAATTAGCAACCCCTCATCCAGAAGGGAGTTCCCGGGTCTTGGAGAGAGTTTCTGCATGATCAACAGCGCTGGCACCAAGGTATCCGCCGTCACCGAGTCTTTCCTTAAGATTACAGGATATCCGTTAGAAGAGGCCGTCCACCGGAATTGTGGTTTCTTGCAAGGGCCAAATACGAACCTAGGCCTGGGTGAAGGGCGGGAAGCCACGGAACTCCTATTGAGTCTTCGCAAAGATGGCACACCATCCTGGAGCTTATGCTTCTTGTATCCTTTGAGAAACCAACAAGGCCAAATTCAATGCTGGCTTGGTGGCCAAGTTGATGTATCGAAATTTGTCAAAAGCCGGGAAAGCCTACTGCGTGCTCTGGGCTATCCAAACGAGACTGATTCAGGGTACGATGAGGGGTCTGATACTGGCAGCGAACCATCGAGGTATGGATGTGCACCAGACTCGAAGTTGGAAAGAGACCCTAGCGTCCACAGCCGCGACAGCTCGCGGAGCACGTTCTCGCGCAGCAACCGCTTCATACAGCAGCTTCGAAAGCCCTCACGTCTCCCTCACATACCTTCGAGTGCTAGCTCATCCGAATACGTGTGGGACAATGCGGAGTACCGACCGCAGCGGAATCAAGGTCTCGAGACGCAGAGATTCCAGCCTCGGACACAACAACAAATTCCTATCTCTCCCACAACCTACTCCTTCCACATCGTGCTTAAATGCAACTCACCACAGCCGCCACCGATCCAGCAGAAACCACCAACGCCGACGGGGACACGGAAGAAGCAAAGCTTGAAATTCCACGTCATGTTCTACTCGGAAGAGGCTGCCGATCTGCTATCTATCCGCAAGGACATCACCGAGATGGACATCTTCCGTGTCCTGGCAGACAAGGCGCGCTCGCCGTCCATCACCAAGACCTTCAAGTCGGTGATTCGGGAGAGAATCGAATGCGGCAGGCCGGCTAGGGCCGAGATCATCATCGACACCACGTACACACCACCCACGAGGCCGAAAAGCAGCACCGGTGTGGGGAGACCGAACACAGCAGCCAGTAGGGCCGGTCCCAACGGCGAGGGCTACGCGAAGTCGGAGAGGAAGGCGGCGAAGAGCTCCAGGCAGGAGAGGCTAATCAGCCACTGGACTCCGCTGAAGAATGCGGATGGGAATGTCGAGATGGTCGTGCTGATATTGACTCCGTCAGCATGAGCGTTGGTATATATGATGAAATTCGCTGACTCTATTGTATTGGAACCTTGGGTTGGGAACTGGGCATGTTATAGCACGGTGGAGTTTGGTGGCCTTATTCATAGGTGGCTCGTGTTTTTTTTTTTTTTTTTTTTTTTTTTTCATATGTATTTGTAATTCCCTAACTATACCCCTACTGTACTTTCGACGGAGAACCAGACTCTGTCTATATAAATATCTACCAGCAATTATACATACATACCTACCTACCTCGTACCTACCTAGGTGTCCACCTCCATAGTGATATACGTGCTCAAAGTATCCGGTGTTCAGGCAATACATCTTGCCCCTTGGCCTCCGTATGTAGTTACTAGGGTCAGATTATCTAGGTATAGACCTATCTATCATCCCGGCCACCCTGAAGCGAGCCTGCAAAGACAACATACAAGAGCAGTCATTAATCTTACAGTAAGGAGCGCTCTGTTTAAGGACATGTTGATTTTAGCCGCCCCCTGTACCTGATGCGACCTCAGAATTCGTGGGGAATCCTTGCACATCTCATCGTGGCTGTTGCTCTCGAATCATACCCAAGTTCTGCCTCGATCGGTAAAAGAGGATTTGGGAATGCTCTAGGCCCTGGGCAATAAGAAACCGGGAGTAATAGTAATAAAAGACTTTAGGAACGCGGATAAATCTCCTCGGTGTTGTTTTAGGTGCTTGGGATGGCTAATATATCTACCTAGGTAGGGTACTGCCCCATCTTCTCGAGATTGACTCCCGGTGGGACAAAGCAATTTCGAAACAAGCACAATTATACGTAGTGAGTTAGTTACGATGTCGCTCACGCTACTGATAACAGGGACCATATTCCTGCCACTCACCGTGCTGGCAAGGACCGCCACAGACGTGAAACCTCGACAGGCAGGGACCACGGTCACGGTGAACCTCGACCAACGCTACCAGACCATCGATGGCTTCGGCTGCTCGGAGGCCTTCCAGCGGGCGGTGCAGATGTCCAAGGTGACGGAGGAGCAGCAGCAATACACGCTCGACCTCCTCTTCAGCACGGAGAAGGGCGCGGGGCTGTCGATCCTCCGCAACGGCATCGGCTCGTCGCCGGACATGAGCGCCGACCACATGGTGTCGATCCAGCCGAAGAGCCCCGGCGGCCCGACGAGCCCGCCCAACTACGTCTGGGACGGCTCGGACAACAAGCAGCTCTGGGTCTCGCAGGAGGCGGTCAAGCGCGGGGTTAAGACCATCTACGCGAACGCCTGGAGCGCGCCGGGATACATGAAGACGAATGGTAACGATGCGAACGGCGGCACGCTGTGCGGGGTCGGCGGCGCGAGCTGCTCGAGCGGCGACTGGAGGCAGGCGTATGCGGATTACCTCGTGCAGTACATTAGGTTTTACCAGGAAGCCAACGTGACGATCACGCATTTGGGGTTCGTTAATGAGCCGGATCTCACGTTAGTACCCACCCCTTCCTTGACAGGCACCTAGTGCATAAAGAAGCACACGTTCGTTTCACCGAAGTCTTTGGCAGCGGGTGAGCTAACACGGGAACTCTCCCCCCTCCTCCAGGACAAGCTACGCCTCGATGCGCATGTCGGGCTCGCAAGCCGCAGACTTCATCAAGGTGCTCGGCCCCACTCTCGAGAGGGAAAACCTGACCTCAGTCGGGATCAACTGCTGCGACCCGGAAGGGTGGAGCAGCCAGGCGGGGATGCTGGGGCAGCTGGGGCCGGTGGACAGCTACCTCTCGACGGTGACGGCGCACTCGTACACATCCTCGCCGGGGTCGCCGCTCAACACGCGGCACCGCGTGTGGCAGACCGAGGCGGCGGACCTCAACGGCGCGTGGCAGGGGGCGTGGTACGCGAACGGCGGCGCGGGCGACGGCCAGACCTGGGCGAACAACATCTACACGGCGCTCGTCAGCGCCAACGCGTCCGGCTACCTCTACTGGATCGGCGCGCAGACCGGCGCGACGAACTCGAAGCTCGTCCGCATCGACGGCAACACCGTCACCCCCTCGAAGCGGCTGTGGGCGTTCGGCCAGTGGAGCCGCTTCGTGCGGCCCGGCGCCGTGCGCGTGGGCGTCCAGGGCGCGCCGTCGGGGGTGCGCGTGTCGGCGTTCCAGAACGTGGATGGCGCTGTCGCGGTACAGTTCATTAATACCGGCGCTGCGGCGGCGAGTGTCCAGGTCAAGGTTGGTGGTGGGGAGAGCTTTGCGGCGGGCGCGGCGACGGCGCATGTTACGGACAATAGCCGTGATTTGGAGGACTTGACGGTGCAGCTGGAGGGGGGCGCGGCGGCGGCGAGTGTGCCGGCGCGGTCGATGGTTACGGTTGTGTTGAGGCAGGAGACGCCGCCGGCGTAGAGAGGGGGAGAGTCGGAAGCTGAATGGATTGATTACATGTAGCTGGCCATGGCGGCAAGTATCTTTGTACTACTGCTCGTTATAGCAATTTTACTTGTGAAGCTATAACTGAATCAAGGGGTTCATTACTATAGCCTACCTACCTACCTCCTAACCTACATACCTCCTATCTACTAAGTATCTAACCTAAGTATGTAGGTGTAACTGAATACCTAGGTTTTCCCTTTGTCTCTGACTGACATCATGTATATCATGTATATCATGTTACTGCATATCTACTGCATATTACTGCACATTACTACATAGAGTATCTCCAGCCACTCATGCCAGTCTACGGCATAGTACAGTCCACAGTTACGGCGATCCTTGTCCCGCTATCCTGGTTTAAATTAGAGTGTGTGGGGAGCAAAAGCAGCTGGAAAGGCAAAAGCCCCGAACTGGTTGGATCCATCAAGAATCCATGGAATCCGTGGAATCCATGGATTTGTTTGCTGCTAAACATGCTAAACATGCTAAACATGCTAAACATGCTAAACATACTTCTTTTCCGTCTTGCTTTTGTGTAATTCTAGACCTTCTATCTCGTATCAGTACAGTATATGTATGTACATACGCCGTACATGATCAACCCTTTTCTCACAGGTCAAATGATCGGCAATCTCGGATGTTCCCCTCGTAACCGACAGTATCTTCATGTATCTTCATGCATATATTAGGTATGTCATGTACTGTAGTACTAGTAGTAGTTGTAGGTATGTTGGTGCGTATGTAATAGATACACAATAACATAATACCGTCTCACTCACTCATTCTCATGCATTACATATGAGAAAGGAATCAGCCAAGAACTGTGCCCGCCTCGCTTCATTGGTCCCCGTCAAAATTCCTTTCTAAACCAAACTAGCATTGTTGCAATAGGCACCAAGTCAGCCAGTCACTGGTCAACTGGCCACTGGTAAATTTCCTTAGACACAGTTTTAATAATGTGCCTCCCGCTACCTAGCAAGGGGGCGGATTTGACAACCGCGTTAATGAAGAATCTCCTCTCGCATCTTTTGGATCTTCAATCCACCACAGTCGATATCCTTATCTTCTTTACCTTGGTCTCTTCATACATCCTCCCCTCGCTGCTCTGCTCTGTTGGCTTGCTGGACTGTCCTTCCCTTTCTTTTTGTATTGGATGGCTAGCATCATGAAGTGTGCTCTACACTATAACACTTTTTGAAGAAACGGACAAGGTAGTTAGAAGCATAGTAACGTCTTCTCTTCCTTGGCAAATTGGGAAAATCTTGGAAATAGAAACCCTCCCAAAAATCATACGCTCTATGGGTATCACCTCGATGCGGGACTCCCGTAGTCCTCGCGAATGGTTAGCCAGCCTCCCGGATTCTAGACTATGCTCTAGATTGCTTCGATATACCACAGTCGCCTTCATAATATCCATAGCTTTATCTGGCATCTTCCTATTCCGGCGTCCAGAGGGCTTCCTGCGTGACACTCGCTCTCGTTATTTCGACTACTTCTGGAATCAGACCGCAAACCATCCGATCGATCGATTAATCAGCGATGCGCATACTTATCACGAGGACCTGCTCAAGCAGCGGAGCTTCGACCTCCCAACAGCTGCCGCCCGATACCGCGACTCACGAGGGCGACATCCACCCCCGGGCTTCGATGCCTGGTTCAAGTATGCGAAAGATCACGATGCGATCATTGTCGAGTCCTTCTTCGATCGCATTTACGCCGACACCGCACCCTTCTGGGGCCTCGACCCGCAAACGACGGCCGCGAGGGCCTCATCGTGGGAACACGTCGTTCGTGTGCGCAACGGTGTCGCCAACGGCACAGGTAACACAGAGAATAAGGTGCCCTGGTTACAACTTTGGACGGAACTGGTCGCCGAAGCTGCGCCGTGGTTGCCCGATGTCGATATGCCTATCAATTACATGGACGAGTCTCGATTGATTGTGCCGTGGGAGGATGTAACGGGTCTGATAACCAAAGAGCGAGCGAGTCGTGCGTTTAAGCCGATAGAAGAAGTGGTAACGGAATACAGCGGGCTGGCGAAAGTGGACGCTGTGAGCGACAGCGCCGAAACTTATAAACCTGCGTGGCTTGGGGGGAATTACTGGGACCTGACGCGGGTTGCCTGCGCTCCCGACTCGCCCTCCCGCAACGTCACACCAATAGCAAACATCGAGGAGCTACCCGTCTTCCCGCAGGACTGGAATCCTGATTTCTCGTACGAAGGCTACATCCGGAACTTCACCGCTGCGACGGATCCTTGCCTCCAACCCCACCTTCGCGGCATGCATGGCTCGTTCGTCGAACCCCTGACGATGTCCACGAGCAAGGAGCTCATACCATTGTTCGGCGGATGTAAACTGCCGATGAACAACGAGATCCTTATCCCCGGTGCCATGTATCTGACGGCTGATCCTTTCTATTCTGGTGGGGATTCCCATGGTCCGGCTTGGAGCCAGAAGACCGATGGCATTGTGTGGCGGGGTGTGGCATCCGGAGGTCGCAACAAGAGGGAGAATTGGGCACATTTTCAGCGGCATCGGCTTGTCGAAATGCTGAACGGAACGACTGTTGCACAAATGGAAAAGAACAACGCACGCACCATGACTTTCGAGATGCCACCGCTCGAAAAGTACGACTTCCCGCGACGGCGAGAAGGCACCATTGGTGCCTGGCTGAGGAAATTCTCCGATGCTGGATTTGTGAACCTCCTCTGTTTCCCGGCAGATAACTGCTCCTACGTGGAGCCGTACCTATCGAAAGTGGGCAGCATCCCCATGAAGGACCAGTACAAGTACAAGTTTATGCCCGACGTAGACGGAAACAGTTTCAGCGCTCGATTCAGAGGGTTCCTCTTGTCGACTTCGCTGCCTATCAAGGCCACCGTCTACTCGGAATGGCACGACGACCGTATCGTTCCCTGGCTGCATTTTGCCCCCATGGACAACACCTTCCAGGACTTATACGCCATCCTCGATTACTTCACGCGAGATGGGAAGGGCGACAAGTCCGCGCGATTCATTGCCGAGGAAGGCAGAGCGTGGGGTGCCAAAGTTCTTCGACGAGAAGATATGTTGCTCTACGTGTGGCGATTGCTCCTCGAATTTGCGCGTATATGTGACGAGAAACGGGATATGCTTGGATATATAGATGATTTAAAAGAAGTAAAAACGGCGTAATGGACATATACCTACCTACCTACGAAGGCACATACAGAGTATATAGTATGTACAAACAACATATACCTTTTATTTAGTTTATTTTGCATATCGATGGTATACCCAATATAGTTAATGCATACTTGGTATCTGCCTACCTACTCATCTGTCTTATGATCTTGGACCTTGTTGTCTTCTCCTGAAACAAACCTCTTAACAAACTTACGACCTACATACTTGGCACCAAGCTCTGATCGTCCCACGAGTACCGAATACGAACCTAGTAGAAGGTATGCTCTCACTAGGCTCGACTGGGCACTCACATGTCTTTCCATTTCTAAGCATGATTTCCAACATCTTCGAAATAATCTTTTATATAGAAGCTGAGTGGATGAAATATCTCGATGCTCGGTAACGTCATTTCACCTAGGTAGTTTTTGGTGCTGCTGGCATCATCATGTAGAGGATCAATGTGGAGATCTCGCAGAAGCTGACAAATTGTAGAACTGTGACTGCTGCATTTATAAACGACGTACCACAATATACAGGCGCATATAAGGAAATAGCTCTCCCGTGTCTTCCGATCCCCCTCACCATAGCTCATAGACACGACCGAAAAGGGGCTAGAATTCGTTATTAATTATATATACACTATCTATATACCATATCCTCTCCTATTAAAGAAACTACGCCTTACATTTAATCAATTTTATATCATGTCGAATGCCATCAAAGTTGTCGTCGTGGGTGCCACCGGTAAAACCGGCCAATCAATCGTGGATGGACTATTAACATCCGAGACGAACTTTGTTGGAACCCCTTTCCTACCTTTACATCGTTCACAGCTAACATTTAACCCTTAGGACATTACTGCCGTGGGCCGCGCATCCTCTATCACCGGGGCCGCCTATGATGCGCTTAAGCAGCGCGGCGTCCGTGTCGAAGCGGCAGACCTAACTGGTCCGGAGGACGACCTCGTCAAGTTGCTGACGGGCGTCGATGTGGTTATCTCGACTATAGTCTTCACGCGTCTGTATGACCAGATACATCTCGCAAAGGCAGCTAAACGCGCCGGTGTGAAGAGGTTCGTGCCTAGCGATTTTGGCACGCCGACTGCGAGAGGGGTGATGAGATTGCATAATCACGTTCGTATTCATATTTTTCGATACCTAGCACTTATACAATTGGAAGCTAACATCTTGGTAGAAAGACGATGTTCTCGCGGCCATCCAACGCCTGCACTTACCGTACACCATCATCGCCGTCGGGTGGTGGGCCGAGCATTCCGTCCCAGCCGTACCGTCGGGTCGAACGGACAGCGCAGTTAGCCCTTATTTCAACATAGTCCCTGGCGACGGCACGACTCCAAACGCGTATACGCACATTTCGGACATCGGCAGATACGTCGCGAAGATCATAGCCGACCCGAGGACGCTGAACAAGAAGGTCTTCGCCTACACCGACGTGTACACTGCGAATCAAATTGCTGGGCTCATGGAAGAACTGAGCGGGGAGAAGGCTGTGCAGAGACATGTGAGTCTTTCCACGTTGGTACCATTCCGCGTGCAAATACTAACACAACATCATCGCAGGTGACCGCAGAGGAAATCAGCAAGGTCCTCGACTCGGCAAGAGCCAAGTTCGAAGCCAACCCTGAAGACATCGCTGCGAGAATAGATGTGACGGTGAATGAGTACATACAGTCTTGGGGGTTTAGAGGCGACAACACCCCGGAATTGGCGGAGTACTTCGGATACCTGGACTTCAAGAAGCTGTATCCGGGGGTCGGGGGGAAGACTCTGCGGACGTTTTATCAGGAGGTTCTGGAGGGGGGGAGAAAAGATGCTGCTTGATGTGTAACAGGAAGGATCTATTTGTTTCTCGGTGTGTTTTGATGGAAGTAGATATTTAATTCGATTTTATATAAGGGTGAGCATTATTCGCATCTACTACGTACCTACGTACTAGTATGATTCTTCGAAATCGCCCGACTTGACCTTAGTTCCCTAAGATGCTGGCCCCTGGAGTTCAACGGCGTCGATAATGTAGTTCGCGCTCAGGAAATCAGCATCACCGCTACCAGTTACCCCCAGCGTCAAGGTGTTCGCGCCACTCTTCAGGGCACTGGCCGGAACCGTCCAGTTATACACCTCGCCATACCCACGATAGGCTCCTCGGGTCACCCCGCGGGAGTCGATCAGAGTCTATATCCAAGGTTAGCTTCTTTTACCACGACACTGGGTTGGTTCTGCTGTATCAGTGTAGGGAACTCACTGGGGCTCCCGGATCTTTTCCAGTCCAACTACCGATTTTCGCAGAGGGACGGCCGCCTTTAAACGAGAGCGTCGTTCCCACCCTCAGGGTAAGATCTTTCACTTGGCTGGCCTCGAGGTTGAAGTTCACCGTCGCGGTGCTGCCGACCTTGGAGAAGAGCGCCATGGGGAAATCGCTCGCCGACGAACTGCCCACCGTATACGTGCCCCCCCACGATCCCATTCGCGTATCATTCGGATGCATGCGCTCGATCTTATCCCCGTTCTTCAGCTCCATCGGGCGCCCGTCAAACTCCCCGATCCGCCACACGACAGGCGTGTTCGGCTCCTGGGACGCGATGTCCTTCGTTGTGCTGCCCCCCGCTTTGACCTCGACGGTGTCCTTGGCGACCTCGTACTCGCCCTTGTAGAGCTTCATGGTGTAGGTGCCGGGCTTCATCAGGGGCGACTTGAAGGCACCGCCGCTGCTGCTGGCTTTGGCCCAGTATTGCGACTTGTCGTTGTACCAGTGGACGACGGCCTCGAACCCGGACGGGACCCCGGACGCGGAGCCGGAGACGGAGCCGCGCTGGCTGGCGGGCACGTACCCCTCGATGCTGAGGCCGTCGAAGAAGCTCGTGTCTACGTCTGCTGAGGGCGTTTCGCCCTTGCTATAGACGGGTTATCAAGTTAGAAATCTCATGTATGGAATGTAGGTAGGGAACTCCACTCGAGTTCAGGGCTTACTTGAAACGCATGGCATAAGGTCCCATCAGCCCGAAGCGCCATGGCTCGGTGCGGACATGTCCACTGTTCATGTACCAGTACAGTTCCTGGTCGTCAGAAGTGGTTTGGCTGTTGATGTCGCGCATGAACGGTCCTCCGGAAGATGTTTCGTAAGCGGTGCCTGGCATGATCATCCAGATGCCGACATTCTAAGAAAAGGGGTTAGCTCAAGCTTTTTTTTATTATCATTGTCGCTACCTACGGATCCTGTCACGCCATGTACCTGATCGTCAATGAAACGATCAGAAGTGTACATCTTGCATCGAGTTTGCCCGTTGGAGCATCGGAATGTATCCTTGCCCTCAAACGCGGTGCAGCCGATCGTGTTGCCGACATCCCCGTGCACACCGGTCGGTGCGTTCTTCTGGTTCAGGCGTGCAAGCCATCGAAGCTCACCGGGATCAACCTCGCCGGTGATGTAGGTAGCCATGTAAATAGTAGGGTCATCTGCCTTGGCTACATAGTAGTGAGTTACTGGCAATCCGCTGGCCTTGGCTGTGATCTTGATGTATTTGCTGTCGATGGTTTCCGCGGTTACTTGTGACGTCCCGAGACCCGAGTTGATCCCCGATGCGTGGCGGGTTCCTTGGTACTCGACGCTATTGTACAGCAGACTTGTGACATCTCCATTGGCTCTGTTTTTACCTCGTTAACTTGGTGATGCCCACATATCGAAATGGAAGTGAGTCTGACTTGCTAACTTCGAATACGAGGCCACCGTTGGTATCAACCTATACATATCCATTATTCATTAGTGACTTGCCCGGATGGCGAAATATTTCAAATACCAACCTTGAAGCCATTGCTAGTGGTTGTGAGGCCAAAGGCAGCAAAAGCACCCTTGCTCAACAAGCCCAGCACGAGGGCAGCAGACGTGGCAAACATGGTGACTAGAATGCGTACTGGGCGTGACGCTTAGTAGTACCTAGTAGACAAAAGTCACTTGCAATGATAAAGCCGTCTGAAACATTTGAGTAATTCTTCCATCGGTGTGTTATATAGACACAGGACAATGGGTGTCTCTTGCATTGAAACGAAGCCTAGACCTAACCTACTACGGCGAGAAATGTCACCAGAATGGCTTGGAATCCAACGTCGTGAAACATGATGTTCTAATATCCGGGATCAGAGCTATAGAGCTAATTTCATGCCATCCAATCGCGGTAGCGAGCTCCAGCGGAACACGAGCTCTCCATGGCCCATCCAGGAAAGCGGCAGCCCGGTAGAATGCTTAGGTCCTGGCGGCAGAACGTGTATGCCCAGCCTCCACCGGAGTTCATTCACGCTCGGGGTAGAAGAGACCGAAGAGATCTACATTGAGCATTTTGACGTAAGAGTTTGAGAAACATCGTTTACGGCTTCAAAATCAAAATCGAAATCAACTTGTTAGGAAGGTAGGTAGGTAAGGTACCTGGTAAGAAGAACGAGATGCTTAGAAACGTGCATAATCGCCAAGCAGGGGTATAATTGTATTGTACCTACCTGGGTAATACGTCGTATGTTCCATTCCAGAAGATCAACCCGTACCGCTCATTTGCGGAGCCAGTAGGTACGGAACGTTTGAAAACTGGAGAGCGTTGAATTGGAGTATCTCGTCACCGCCCTCGGATTAGCTATCCGGTAGCAACGTGCTTCCGTAGCGCGCCGTGTTGACCTCACTGAAATGCCTAGGATACTTAGGACTTGGTGAGCTTGCCTACGATGCCAAGAAAGGTCCAGTTATCATGTACATGATGAGCAATGCTCTTTGAAGGTATCAAAATCATTTAAGGATCATTGACATGCGCTGGCTAGTACAGAAGTAAACTCTACTGGGTCGAAAATGATACCAATTTTGAGTGTATTCATTTCACAATGAAAATACCTAGTAGGTATTCATAGAAATTGGTCAACTCAACGTTAAAATGCTAGCAACCCGAATCAGCATCATGCTCTTTCACAAAGAAGTTACTTTTCTACATAACATTGGGGAAGGGGTTTGCGCGAATGGACCCCCTTGAAAGAAATAGTAAACATTATCAGAAAAACCTCGCCCATCTAGAAAAATTAGTCCTCTTAGCCCTCAGCTCTGTATTCATTAGCTTCAAAAAAGGTGGTTGTGGGGAGTCTGGCATTAAGGCTTGAGCTATCTGCTCGGGGCTTCCACGCGGATCTTCCAGGAACGATTCCATTTTTTGCTCTAAGTTCGAGATGGCTTCAGCCATGCTTTCATTTCTCAGCATTAGTTCTGAGATGCCCCATCTCCAGTATACTTTCTCGTGGGTTCTATCTGCTCTGAAGGATGTCTCAAGGTTGATTACACCGGAACATACCTAGGTAACACGGCCTTTTCGAACACGCGATGTAATCATATATCTCCTGCGGTGGGATGTTGCCTTCTTCCAATATTTTTAGAATGTATGTGATCAATTGCATTTCACAATGAACTATCATTCTAAAATTATTGTTCTGAATATCATTTTCTATCATCCTCTCCACTTTAGATCTGATTTGGCAATACAAGGGATTGTAAAGGTGTTGGGTTATGCAATTTTCGATTTTGGCCATGTCGGGACTATACACTAACTTGGAGACTTCATTCTCTGGCACTCCCACGTATTCAAAGGTTGCTTTATTTTCAGTACATACATTGCGAAATTCCTTCAAGTCCTTAAAGGCGTTCCGAATATTAGAAAGCCCCATTATGCCACTAAGAGCAAGATATACGTTGAGCTTCAGCTTCTCGTGTCCGGGTCTATTTATGGACGGCATGAATTTTCTCATGGCGTCTTCTTCGTGCAACTTATATTGGTGAGCGAAGTTGAAACATTATTCTAAGACCTTACGATAGGGCGGCACGGAATATTTTGGATTTCGGACTTGGTCTAAGAGCACCCTCAAATCATGGATGAACGTCGAGAAGTCGGTCCCTACTTCCAAATTATCTGGCCACATGTTGAACCCAGGTTTGTCTCTAAATTCCAAGTAGGACTTTACTCTATAAGAGATATGACGTAGAACGAGTTTCCAAAGGTTTCCATCTTTCTTGATAGAACCGGGTGAGCTTATCCATGTTTGAAAGTGCTCGAGTAGACTATGGTCATCCTCATCCAAGCCACCATTTTTCGCAATGTATAATGTGTATTCATAAGTCGAATTTCGACACTCGACAGTTTCACATGGCCTCTTTCGTAGTGCAGTTGCAGTGGTCTCTTGACTAGGAGTTCTGGGGACCTCCGACGTCGGCGACAACCACTTCCGTTTACGGGACAGGAGTAACGCGAAAGCTGTAATGCTACGATGTTCAATACTATCATCATCACTAATATGCTCTTCATTTTGAGTCGGCCCCTGAGGTGGATTACTTCCCCTATTATCTCCGATCGTTTTCTCAAAAGGGGGCCGAGAGAGTAAAGACACTGGTGATACTAGTATTATATTACATCAAGTAAAATGGTCCCAGAGAGCTTATTGTATAGCTGCCAACCTTCCTACCAAGGTATATACAGATATTGTTGAGATTATAGTGTTTGCCTCTACTTAATTATTGCTAAAATTCTGCGACGTGGATAGTCTCTCATTTTATCTATTCTGATAGTTGAGAAAGTAAGTATTGAGAAAGGGTTGCCTTTCTTGTAGACTAAAAGAGAATCCTGAAGGAGATGGGTGTGTTGGCATTGCTTTTATACTTCAGGGGCAGAGCTGCATGTGTGAATATGATGTGACTGATGTGACTCCCTCTGGTACCTTCAATGTTGTAACTTACCTAGGGGAGACAGTAACTACCTACATACCTGGTAGCAATAGGAAACCAAGACCAACATTAAACTTCTTATTTAACATTGAAACTGTCACATGCTACATACATAGTATAGTACATACCTAGGGCAGGTACGATGTAGCGTTCAATCGTGAGTATGTATCCGTAAGTTTGGTTCAGGATGAAACAGGGTCTCTGAATCTTGCGGGGTAAGAAAATCGATGATAGGCCAAGTTAGAAGCCTTAGAAGTTAGAACTGAACCGTGGCAAACGCTACAGGGATATCCCCGCATGCAAAAAATCCCGCGCGGACCCTTACGGGATCTTTACTAGGTAGTATGTAGGTGTGTACCCACCTATGTAATGTACATGTGTAGATACATCTACGGATACTTCCAAGTTATTACTTAGCAGCTTCAAGTTAGCCTTGTATGTACACATGACATAGATCAAGGCTTCATCAAGCACTTGTAATTACATATGCTACTAACTAGTTACCTACCTACCTACCTACCTACCTACCTACATGTAGGTAGATATGTGTGCTATGTGCTTAGCACATTACTCGGGATGTTCTCATTCCGTGCACGAAATCCTTTGGATACATAACTTGGCTCGATACAATTAATCTACATATTTAATGTGTTGGCAAACATTGAACTACATATGTAGGAGGGCAGTTGACAAGGAAAAGTCGACCAGGGTCTGCCACAAACCACAAACCACAAACACGTGGGAAAACAAGGTCGAGGATACTAAATGGGTGGCTTCAGATACAGAAAAATGACAAAAAAACGGGATGATGGAGGGACGAGAATTCTGGTCTTTAATGCAATGCAACCCGCAAGAAATGTAACGCTATGACTATGTGGTTAACTAATAGAAATTGACTCGAATGTTAATGAACGAGTTAACGGTTAACGTTTGAATTGTCAACCTTCAAAATACCTAGGTAAGATCAGGTACATACTACTAACTAGTAGTAATGCTCATTTTATGCCTGATGCTCGGCATATCCGTGAACGGCATTTCCGTGAACCCCTATGCATCCAACCACTTGCTTGCATAAAATTATTGCAATACATCTTGGATCTGGTTCTGTTGAATTTAACATTGAAATCTTACATATTAGTTAATAGTAACTAACTGCAGTGTGTAGCTTGCTCACATTACATACATACCTACCTAAATAGGGTAGTCACTATGTAATTCGATTTATTAGTTCAATGCCGAATGGCGAACAGCCTTAATCCATGCACGGTCTCCACATAAAGTTATTCTTCAATTACTATCCTTGCAATTCTTCTTCCACTCTTGCCAAATCTTTTCTACTGAGCGACTCCAAGCCTCTTACGAAATAACTATTACCACCCACCTTGTAATCTTCAGCTATCCAAAACCTTGGCCCTCTTCTTTGGGTATCTACCTGATAATGATCCCTAGTTGTATACCAATTATCAACATACCCTCCAGAAGCTTACTATTCGTGTCCGCCACCCTCATTGGTCATCAATTGCGATTACCGCGACGTGACGTGACCCGGCGTGGCGCGGCGTTGCAGCTAGGGGACAAACGGAACGAATTTGATCAAAACCCCAAGGAACCCAAGGCAGGAAACTGAACAGCACAGTTACGCCATCATGCCTGAAAAACAACTTAACGTCGCTACTTACGCTGCAGGCGCTTCCCTGGCTGCCATTACTCTCTTTTATGTCTTCGCTCCCAACTTTTTCCTAGATAGCGACCCCAACTCAACGCGCAAGAAAGGCGTGGTCGGCCTGTCGAATCCCGCAAACGATTGCTTCATAAATTCCGTCCTCCAAGCCCTCGCTGGACTCACAGATCTCCGAATCTACCTTATTCGAGAAAACCATCGAAGAAATATCGACGAGCCGTGGGTTTATCAGGAAATAGCGAAGGACACTACCTTCAAGAACACGCCTGAATGGAAAACCCAGGGTCTGCAAGCAGGTATCGTCACCAAGGGTCTTAAGGATATCCTCGACGCCCTCAACGAGCGACCTATTTACAGGAAGACCATTTCGGCTGCCCCCTTCATTAGGGTTCTAGAGAGTGCTTTCAAACAACGGATTAGCAGACAGCAACAAGATGCCCAGGAGTTTCTGCAAGTGGTCGCTGAGCGGCTTTGTGATGAATATCATGCGGGAAAGAGGGCTCGACTAGCCGCCAAGAAAAAGGCTACCGTGGAGATAACAGTAGATGCGCTAGCACCAGTAGATGGAGACGCCGTCGAGGAACGTTTAACAAAGCTAGCTATCGAGGAAAATGGTGTTGACGATAGTGCGGAGTCGAATGGAAGAAGGCTCACGGTAGACACGGGAGCATCCACGTCAAAATGCGAGGATGAGGAGGGATTTCCGATGGAGGGCAAATACGAAAGTCAAATCGAGTGTCAACAGTGTGGCTTCAAGCCAAAACCAATGGAGAGTACTTTCTGCACACTAACGTTAAATGTGCCGCAATCAAGCTCGACATCACTCAACGCTTGCCTCGATGGCTTTTTCAAGACTGAGTATGTTGACGATTTCAAGTGCGAGAAGTGCCGTCTTGTACACGCAATAAGCTTACTGGAGGCACAACTATCGCGATCTCATTCCGAGAGTTTCAAAGAAACCACTCGAGAAACGATTGCGAAGCTACAACATGCTATCGAAAACGACCCCGAGAACCCACCACTGGATATTGAACTGCCGCCAATGCGAGACGCCCCGACGTGCAAAATTGCAAAGCACACGCGACTCACCGGTTTCCCTAAAATCATGGCTATCCACCTTTCTAGATCTATCTACAACAGCATCATCTCCCAGAAAAACTCTGCCAAGGTCGCCTTTCCCGAGCAGCTACTAATGGGCAGTCTATTGAGCCGCAAGAAGTACAAGTTACTCGGTACAGTTACGCACAAAGGCAGTCATCATAGTGGCCACTATGAGTCCTTCCGTCGACAGAACATATGCCTTCCATTTTCCACGCCAAATCCGTTTCAGGCTTCGGGTGTCTTCGCCAAATCAGCCGCGTCAAGCCCAATATCGACCCCTCGGGTTGCTGCAATACGGAAATCAGAAGATCCGAGCCCCGTAGCGTCTACTCCTGATCTGATACTGTCTTCGTCGGGAACTAGCTCGTCAAATCTGTCAGTCGAAGTATTACCTCGACCTTCGTCTGACTCGACGCCGCAAACCACATCGTCTTCTAACGGCCATACGTCGTCTCGTCGCAGCCCTACTTTCATGCCCAATAAGGATCATGAGTCGGATTCTATTAGCATTCGGTCAGTTGCGGCTTCCGCTCGTTCGACAATGTCACGGATTTCACACTCAGCCAGGAATAGTAGGCCAGGTAGCCCAGCTGGGAAAGCACCAGCTGATCCGGCTGCGGAAAATGAACAGGCCGCTACATCCAAAATGAATAAGATGAAATCCAAACGCCGAAAACAAAATGATCGATGGTGGCGCATTAGTGACGAGAAAATCAAAGAAGCCAAGACCAACGAAGTTTTGGGGATGCAACGGGAGGTCTATTTACTCTTTTACGAATTGGAACGTGAGAGCCCGGCGGAATCGTAGGAGGATTTACACGGGGATTTGGAAAGTATCATTCAACCAATAGACTATAATCCTGAGACTGACGATAAGGGGGATCTTGATCCTAAACGTCGAGCTGGGGAGGGGGTCTCCGCACGGATTGGGGTAGCGGGCAGGGAATCTAAATCATGGCATAGGAGGATCGTTGAGAAGTTGAAAAAGGCCGCCGGGGCTGCATGGGATAGTTATATGGGATACTGCTTTCCGGCGGACCTCGATTTTGGTTATAATGGCGCCTCGTGCAGACAGGAGGAATCTCAACAGCGTGAACGCCGTCATGGGTATGAGGGATACCGATCTAGATCGGTGAGGCACAGGGGAGGGATCTTTGAATTGATGTGATAATATCGGGGGTCAGGGGATATACAATTGGAGGGGGGTTTGAGAACTGGCGAGGGCGATATAAAAGGCCAGCCCGATATGCTCGTTTTACGGCGGAGAGTTGCATGGTGAACATTCACTAGCGGCGTTTGGTTGTTCATGGATACATGATTGCGTTGTATTTCTCTGGCCCAATGGGAAAAGGGGCGGCGACCTTGTTTATTGCCCTGGATCCGGGTCTTTCACGGTAAAGAAGAAAAAAAAAGAAAAAAGAAACATGAAATCGGAAAACGTTTCCTGGCCTAAAAATCATTAAGGAGAGCGAAACCAATGAAATACAGGGTTGGTTGCTGGTGTGGGTGGGTGGCAGGTATTGCTACAATACATCCGTGGATATCTACCTACTAGGTAGGTAGGTAGAGTAAGTGCTTTAGCATTGACATTCGCAATCGCATTGATAAATCGCATTAGCATTAGAGGTACATGTACCTAGCGTTAGTAAATAAAAATAAAAAGCAAAAAAGTACCAAATGTGTACGGTGCTATGTAGTGATTCCTCGCTTTGTCTCTGTTGCTTTGATCATGGATGGTTGGGTCCGTTGGAAAAGATGGTGGTTGTAGATTCTTGAAAACTTGGGTAGGGAATGCTACCCCTTTTCGACCAATGCCTATATTTTCCCAATCAACACACTATAGAAAATTTACTATTCCATGTAACTAGGTAGGTACCTAGGCAGAAAGCAGAGATGACAACCCTATCTTCTGTTATATCCATCCTGTATCCATGTTATACCTGACTTAAAATTTAGATAACACTCATATCATCACATCAGTATTGTCCTTCGAGAGTCAGGGTTCCGGTCTTGGTAATCAGATACTCGTTGATAGCGACATCTTTGCCGGACTCCTTGCCGAACCCAGAGTCCTTGATACCGCCAAAGGGCGACTCGGCAGCCGAAGAATTTCCTTGCGTTGTTGTTGCTTTAGCGGCTGTTCTTTTTAAATAAAAACTTGCCCAGTGGGCTTTTGAAAGGGGAAGCATTTGGTGGTGAAAGGGGGCAAGGGGGGAGGAACAAGTGTTGCTGACTTACCGCTGTTCATCCCAATCATGCCCGCCTCGAGGTTCTCGAACAGGCGCCACATCCTGTCGACGTTCTTGGTGAAGCAGTACGACGCGAGACCCATCTATGCCATCCTCGATTAGCTTCGTTGCATCCCAAGGCTAAGTAGGTAGGAGATTTGATATCCACATTATCCATATTGGGTATGTAGGTATTCTAGGGGCAACACCTACACTCGTGTCATTCGCCGCCCTGACAGCCTCCTCCTCCGTACCAAACGGGAACAGCGCGAGCACCGGCCCGAACGTCTCCTCGGACGCCAGCCGCATCGCCGGCGTCGCGTCCGCGATGATCGTCGGCTCGAAGAAGTACCCGCCGCCCAGGCCCGTGACGCGGTTCCCCCCCGTCAGCACCGTCGCCCCGTGCTGTCTCGCGTCCTCGACCTGGCTCGCGACTTTGTCGACGCCTAGCGGCACGGTGAGGGGCCCCATTGTGGTGCCCTTGTCGAGCCCGTGGCCGACGCGGATGCTGCGCGTCTGGGAGGCTAGCATCCACGCGAAGGCGGCGTAGATGCCCCGCTGCACGTACACGCGGTTGGACGTGATGCAGGCTTGGCCTGCGTGCCGGAATTTGAGGGGGATGAGGGCTGGGGGGGGAGGGGGGAGGGGGCTGCTGGTTAGCTATCTATCTATCGATGCGCATTCTATTCTAATGTCCCGTGGAGCAGGTATGGTTATCTCACCAGCGCAAGCTTGGTCCAGGTTCGCATCGTCGAATACGAGGAAGGGGCAGTTGCCGCCCAGCTCGAGGGTGAGCTTCTTCAGGCTGCTTGCGCAGTGCGCGGACAGGATCTTGCCTACTCGAGTCTGTCGCGACCAGGTTAGTTGGGCAGGTTAGTCGGCCCCGGGATGCGCCACAACACAACAAACAGCTCCGTTGGCAAGACTTACAGATCCGGTGAACGACACCTTCTTCACCAGCGGGTGCTTGCAGAGCGCCTCGCTAAGCGCCGGCGTGTTGGCTAACGTGGTCGGCAGTACATTGAAGACGCCGGCGGGGTACCCGGCTTTCTCAGCCAGGTACGCCAGGGTCAGCGCCGAGAGAGGGGTCTCTGGCGACGGCTTCGCGACGATGGTGCAGCCTGCTGCTAGCGCGGCCGCGGCTTTCCTCAACACCATGCTTAGGACCGGGTCAGCAGCCAAATTCAAATTTTCCAGCCAGTGTTTCCCTCCCAAACAAGCAAGTCTTCTCGCTGGGCTAGGTAGGTAGGTAGGTAGCGCTACTCACGCGATGGGGAAATTCCACGGCACCAGCGCGGCCGTGACGCCAACGGGCTGCTTGATCGTGAATATCCTCCGCCCGGGCAGCGCAGCGGGGAACGTCGTCCCCTGGATGCGCTCGGCCTCGCCGGTGAACCAGCGCGTGAACGAGGCGGCGTACTCGATCTCGCCGTACGCCTCCGCCAGCGGCTTGCCCGTCTCGTAGACGAGGAGCGTCGCCAGGTCGTCCTGGTGCGCCCGGATCAGGGCGTCGAACTTGGCCAGGAGGTCGGCGCGCGCCCGCGGCGTGAAGGTCCGGTACACTTGGAAGGCGGCTTGCGCGGCCTGCACGGCGTCGTCGACGTCCGCAGCGGCCATGTCCGGGCACGTGGCGAAGGGCTGGTCGGTGCCGGGGTCTGGTAGGAGCGCGCATTGTTAGTAAGTACCTACCTACCTGGGCACCTTAGGTCGACTTTTGAATATGTAGGTGGTAGAAATCTTTCAACGCACCGATGATATCGAATCTGTTGCCGGACTTTGCCTCGATCCATTTTCCATTAACGTACGCTTTATCCCGAAAGAGCTCCGGGTGCTTCAAATTAAGCTAGCCCGTGTATATAGATTTATTAGTTGTATATTCCCTTGCGTCCCCCTTTTTTTCTATTTATATTGTGCCTTACCTCAATAGATGGCTTTGATTCACCCATATTGAAATAGCGCTGACCCAAAGGACTCCCTATATATGATTGTTTGATGTCCCGGTAGGATGGCAATGACGATCTTTTCACGTGTAGGTATCTATTCTATCCCCTTACATATATATATAATAGGTAAGGTAGTGCCTAATTATCGTCAACTAAATAAATCACCCCGCATCGCATCGCATTGATCGCATCGTCCATCACAGCACCCCGCCCGAAATTTTCGGGTAACCGTACCCGCTTGGCTACCTCTATATAGTATACCCACAGCCAATCCTGACGTCTTTTATCCGCCGAGTCCGGTCCGTAGCGTAGCATTAGTGTGTCGGGGTTCCCCCCTTATGGGCCAGAATAATTCAAGCATCCATGATTTACGATGGGGGGTCGTTCAACCACTACGAAGTTCTATGATTAACCAGATGTCACACACTTTGCAAAACTCATCTCCTTAACCTAGCGTGTTTTTTTTTTAGCAGAACTAGACTTCTCAATAGATATTTTCCAACGCAGCAGTTGCAACTTAAAAGTGATTTTGAAGATAAAGTTGATGAGTCCTGCATTTTACTGTACAATACAATGCATCGCTATACGCGTCTGTCTGGCTACCTACCTTCTCCCCCCGTCTGAATTAATAACAACAATGAACTACTAACTTGCATACTACGAAATCTTTTGGCATTGACGAAGAAAACACCGGGAGCGCAGTTTCAATTACCTCTCCAAGTTCAGACCGAAGTAAGTATACAAAAGCTGGAAATGCATACCTAGGTACTCATACTCTATAAAAACATAAGCGACGAGCTGTGAAGCACTACCCCTATTTCGATATGCCCATCTACGGGGGGCGGAAGCGCCATGATCTTCTTTTGTAGCAGCATACTCCGCAGCGGGTGTGATCATAGCAGACGGATTACCTGCGATAATTCCCGGGAATATAGATGCATCTACCACGAAGAGGTTGTCCATGCCATAGAAGACCTTGGTGCTAGTTAGTGTCGACAATAGAAGTACCGCTCTTGACAGGACAATCATCCAACCCCATCTTAGCGGTCCCGATCCAATGGTTGGAACATGGAACAGTTGCTATTGCGGGTATCTATATCACGTGCATTACATTAGAACAAACGCCATTCCAATTTGTCTTGAAAGAATGATGATGAAGTTCAACATGAGGAATGAAGAAGGACATTCCCCTATTCTGCTTATGTAAGCATACCTACCTATAGAAAAAGGTTCAGGGGTAAAAACCCACCGAGTCAACAAATTGTGTCGAGGTCTCGTTAGACATGGGATGAGGCTGGGCCCGGGTTGCTGGTAATGCCTACTCATGCCTGATATCTTGTAAGTGCGCGGGAAAGGGGTAGGTAGGTAAGCAGTGATGGCGTGTCAATTCAGCACGCCAGAAGATAAAAGCTCTAGGGCGTCTCGTGAAGGTGTTATCTCACTCAAGGAGCAAAAACATGGGGGCTTACCCCTCATGTCTCTTTGAACTCTTTCGTGCCCAGGTGCCTACTAGGTAGATAGGTGCTCCTCAAGTGTACGCGTAAGATGCGTTAGCAATAAAGTTCCTCTGGATCTAGGGTTTCTCGGTCGTGTGACTAAGGGTTTCCTAGGTTAAATGAGGTTTATCAACGACAATTAAAATGGCTCAGGTCTACTTTCGGATGATTTGTTGTCCTATTACATTGAAAACTACCTAGCTACTTTTTATAACCTGACCGATCACCCTCCAATTCTTTTTTTCCTTCCGTCATTATCGCACTGGATACGTGAATATTCCATCTTAAATAGAAAAACAGCCTATCACTCCGTCCTCTTCCTAGTACCAGGTTGCCCAAACCAGCAAAGCGTCATGATTGCGAACGAGCCGATAGCGATGGGGTGGAGAACGAAGGTACCAGCTGCCTGGGCCAACAGACCGGTAGTGAAGGGTGTGATCGCTCCGCCCGAACTGCCGAACGCGCTGATAATGCTCATTCCATTGACCTGCTCGCGACGTGATAGGTTGCGCGTGAAGAGGGCTGCGGCGCAAGGATAGATGGGGCCTAACAGCAACCCAACAATAGCCAACGAAACGGCCTCGCCGATGATATTGGGCACCAGCCAGACCAGCAGCTGGAAGACGGTCGCACCAGCCACCAGCAGATAAACGAATAGCTTCTCGCCCACCTTGGAGCCAATAGGAGAGAGCACGAAGCGGCCCAACGTGATACCAGCCCAGAAGCCTGATGTCACGTATCCGACCGATGACGGATCGCCGTTACGGGCAGTAATGAGAAAGGAAATAACCCATCCGGAGATGGACACCTCAGCTCCCTGATAGGCGAAGATAAAGACTGCGCCCAATACCACCACCCTGGACTTGATGGCGAGGAGCATACCGGCCACTTGATCCATTCCCCGAGAAGTAGTTTCCGATAGCGCGTGGAACTCTCCAAGCTCCTTCTCATAGTCCCAGAATGACCAAGTCGAGAAGCAGAGATTCCAGAGGGTGAACCCCAAAGTCAGGAGATAGTATCGGCTCCATATGGACCCTGTAGACACAATGGACGTGGCGACGAGTGGCCCGATCGTGCCGCCGATACCGTAGGACCCGTGCATGGCTCCCAGCATGGTGGTGCCATTCTGTAGGTTTGCGCAGAACACGTTGCCGATAGCCAGTGCGATGGCGGTGCCGAAGCCGATGAAGAAATAGGCGATGACAATCGATGGGAATGGGGCAGCACAGACCAAGGGGATGAAGCCAAGGGCTATACAGACCATGGACACGGCGATGGCCTTGGCCCGTCCTAGTCGTTGCCGGATCTTATCGACGAAAGCTGCGGCCACGATGAAGCCCAGTGCATTGCCCACAAAGATAAGGGATACTACAGCATATCCGATATTATAGTGACTGGGATAGGCATGTCATCAGCTTTGAGATTTTGAATATTATGGCACTTATTTAAGCCCTGTAAAAAGTCTACTCACGTTTCCATATAAGGAATCAAAGCACCAGGGGCAGAATCAGTCAATCCGCCTAGGAAGGTTTGAAAGCAGCAAGATGCCAGCCTGTATTTATTCATAGGGGGGTTGTTAAGAGTTGGGAGGGCATCGACGGCATCTACTGGCTCCAATGGCTCAACTGGGGTCCCTGGGTAGCTCATCTCCAGATCGCGCTCAGTGCGAGGAGTTGTGGGAGCAGAGGTGTTAACGCCATTGCGAAAGCTCCGTAGGGAATCAAGCTCGATGGAGTCGTCCTGAGGGACTGCTGGATAGGTTCTGGAAACTACCCTTTTAGGGGTCGTTGGGAGAACATGTTCATGTAAGTTGGGTTTAGACTCGACTTGGATGATAGTCCCGAAGAGTGATGGATCCATCACTAGGTAGGCTAGATGTCAGACTTCCTGAGGTTATTTTGTAGCTTTGAAAAAAGTTAAGTGAGACGAATTTGATTCTTTTAGGTACTGTAGTTGGTATATGAGATATATTAGAATTATGAAAAATTAAAAAGTCGAGAGGGATACATATGTAGATAGAATGGATGCCCTGGGTAGACCTGAGTACACCTCCATAGCAGTCAGTCGATATACAAATTGTATTAGTAATTAACAAAATTTTTAATAATGAGGAAACCCCAACATTGGGGTAATAAAACCGGGCAATATGCAGAATATGCAGTGATCTTACGAAATGGACAATGAAAAGAGTGCTCACCTTACATGACATGGTCGTGATATGGCATCCAGGGTAGTTCACGATCCTATCAAATCATTCGAATGGCATGTGCTACAAGTTTTCTATGGGGTTTCCGCCTCCGGAGCGGTAAACCCCAACAGGGAGAGAGGGTTCAAGTTGTCCCTTTATCTAGACGTTTATCTATTGGTGGCATTAGGTGCTTATCTAGGCATGTACTGCCTTCATTGTGTGCTTCTCCGCAGCGATGGCCGGAGGTGTGGCGGGGAAAAGTTTTGTGTACCGGCGGAGCGGCTCCGTATCTTAGTGGCGAGTGCAGAACAACGGGGGTGCTCTTGTTTGGTTGGCTCATGAGAGTACGAGTACTAAAAGTAAGGTACGGAATGCCTGAAAAGAGATATTCCGACGGTTTACAGTTCACCTGCTCTAGAGGCTCACGTCAGCACTACTACCCCACATTCGAGATGCATGGATTACATAATCCACAGTAGCTACTTACATGTTAGGAGCATGCGCAGGCAGCGCAGCCGCTCCTCAAGTAGCACACAAGGCGAGGTGATCCATGTCTTCACGTGGCCACCGGTAGATCCCACCACCGGTGTTGATCATCCAGGCGTATGGCGCATGACGGCTGAAGGGTGCCAGAATTTATCACAGCAAAAGAAGGTATGTAGTAAGACCAAATGCTTTTGTTATGAATTAGAATCGGGATAGGTAAAGGGCCGTTTGTAGTTAAAATACCCTCTTACTTACCTCGAATCCTCAAAGTAAAACAAAATGATGCGGAGGCTGCGAAGAATGAAGAATGCAACCGCACTGAAGTAATAACTAGTTATTTGTATTTGCGTAATCAATTCAGGGGTATAGGTCACGTGACCACATATGTTTGTCGAAAGCTTCTTGATTATGTCAGCTTTACAGTTAGGCTTGTAAACGGCCAATTCCTCGAGGCCATAAATAGGTGGGCTTTATTTATTTCTCTCTTTAGCTATCTATCTCTTTATCACTTCTTTGCTACCTGGGATATACTTATCAGCTCGTCAACTCGTCAGCTGAATCAAAATTCGAAGCGAAACTTCATTCAATGTTATTGTGGGAACGTTGTATAAGGTTTAGCTTAGACGGGTCGGGGTGGGCCGTCTTGAGCCGCCTCGCCGAGAGCCGACAACACAACCGACAACCGACAAAACAACGGTTGTTGCGCTTGAGGACCATTGTTCATTCAAACCCCCCGGATCTAAAAACGCTCAGCGTGATCTGCTTTCATGAAGCATTCCAGGTTACTAGGTATTACTGGAGATACGGAACTACATACCCTAACTAATTGGATATGATAAGTATCGGATGGGAAGAAGAAAAGTGCCTAGATATAACTACACGAAAGCTGATCTTGAGATTTGTGAACAGAAAGTAGTTATAACGAGGCCATTTCCTAGTTCGCGCGCACTAGGTTGCTATGTCGGCTGCTAGGCTGCTATGTTACATCGGCGACTAATACCGCGCGAGTTCACAAGGATTCCTTATACTAATGGAATATATTTTCCGTGTGGATTCATTGCTCGGTATGCCTGCCTCCTTAGCAGCTCTTAGTCCGTATAATCAATCTTATCAGATCATCTGATTAGATCCCCATCAACCCACATACATATCCACCGCGTCCCAGTCACGCTGACGATCCTTTCCCTTTTACCACGACACAGGAGACAAGAGAAAGAAAGAAAAAAGTCTGCTGCCGTTATAGGCATTGTGATCCTAGGCTACCTCATATCGGACATCTCACCGTAAGAAGCCAAGTGGTCGTCCTCAATTACGCCGAAAGTCTTGAGTTTGGCTTGCCTAGGTAGTAGTTAGGTATTCGGAAGAATGGTAGATGTCATATAGGTATCGACGAGAGCTAGCTAGGTATTCTCTGGCATATATAGGAACTTTCTATTAGATAAATCCTCGTGCGAAGCCCTGTCTAGCGCCGGAGATCTATAACAGGGACTCTTCTTTGTATCCAGGTACGTTGAACCATTAGGTACTGGCCTGCCAACGTAGTATAGCCAATCCTGCTTCCTTACATTTCAAGGGAACCGAGATCGGAAAGTGTTGAGAATATCAAACTTTATTATATTAAGTAGCAATGTTCCTGCATTTGATCCCATCGTCTTACTCTAGTCTACTGTCCCATCCTCCAAGCCAGTGGAACTGTCTGTCCCGAATATGAAGCCCTCACGCACCCGAAACTGTTGTCTTTTGGCATGGCTGTTCCAAGCAGCACCGGCTTTGGCACAGAGTGCCGAAGAATGGCCATGGCAGACTTACAAGTCCAATGTTGCTGAACCGTAAGTACCATACAGATATGCCTTAACTCATGTAACAACGTGTTTAACAACGTGCTGGTCGTGAACGATACTTTTCCCGGTTACAGCTATGGGCGTATAAAATTACTAACACCCACTGCCTCAGGCCCTCTCTTAACGTAACGAAATCAGGCCCGACATCCCCCGGCTACCTCTTCTTCGACCAAAACGGCGGCCTTGCACACAACTACAGCCTATTCATCATGTCCGACGACAACGAGCTAATCTGGCAAAGCGTCATCGGCGACTACAGCGCCTTCCGGACGCAGACCTTCGAGGGGAAGCCGGTGCTGACGTACTTCAACGGGATCTCGCTGCCGGAGCCGTACGGCTGGGGCCACGGCATCATCCAAATCCTCGATGACTCCTACACGAGCATCTACAACGTTTCGCTGACGGCCGAGGAGGAGGATTTCGTGACGATTGCGAGTCTGGATCCGACGCAGCTCGTGTCGTATCTCGATATGCACGAGGCTCGGATCACGGCGCAGGACACTATTCTCGTGACAACGTACAACGTCACCCAATACGACCTGAGCTCCGTCGGTGGTCCGAAGGATGGCTGGGTGGCTGACTCTTTATTCTACGAGTTGGATATCAAGACCAACGAAATTCTCTTCAAGTGGAGTGCCCTGGCCCATGTCGACCAGATACCTATCGAGAATGTTGTGGACTTTTATCCCATCGCGGATTATGGCATGAACCAAACCATTCCATACGGATATTTCCATATCAACTCCATCGACAAGTTCGATGACGGGTCTTACGTGATCTCCTCGAGATATTACTGTTCGATTTTCAAGATCTTGAAAGATGGGTCTGTGGAATGGACTTTACAGGTAAGACTAAATTAGATTTCCGCCCATGTTTTCATGGTGTTATTTCAAGATTTTGGACTTCGCACTAACGAATATGTAGGGCCAAACTGGAGGCGATTTCGAGCTTGACAATCGCCTATCCTTCTCCTACCAACACGACGCACGGATCCGACAGGAGCTAGGAAACACCGTCCAGATCAGCCTCTTTGACAACGCAAACTCGGATGTCGTTTCTTATGTAGACCAAACCAAAGGCATGCTGATGACTCTCAACACCGAAACTATGAAGGCAACAGTGGACCAAGAATACATCGACCCGCAGGATGCAGTCTACTCCGTGTCTCAGGGGAATATGCAGCAATTGGACGATGGGCATATGGTCATGGGGTACGGCTCAATCCCCAAAATCAGGGAGTACACCCATGACGGCTCTGTGGTGATGACGGCGCAGTTTGGTCCTGCAAGCGGCGGCGTATTCTCATACCGTGCCTACCGTCACCCGTGGATCGGCCGGCCCCAGACAGTTCCTGACGCTTTTGCATGCTTGAACAAAGCTAGCAACGAGACAAGAGTGTACATGAGCTGGAATGGTGCCACTGAGCACAAGCTTTGGAAGGTGTTCGCGGGAGCTAGCGACTCCAGTCTCTCACTCGCGATTCAGGTAGAGAAAACTGGGTTTGAGACCTTGGCATGCATACCAGGACAGGCTCCCTTCGTTCGAGTCGAGGCAGAGGGTCCCAGTATTGACACCGGCGTATCACTGGTCGTATCTCCCCAAGGCGACTGCTGATCCGAAATGGAAAGAGAAATTGTACCTGAATTCAGATAGACCATAAAGGAAAAGGCGGTATCTGATATAATGATAATTACCCTGTGTATATTTACTAAGCATGAGCCATGCTAAACAGGGCATTGTCGCGGATCACCGATTGACTGTGATACACAACTACTATGTAACTGAATAAAGATCGTTATATATCTTCATACTAAGGCAATTATAATATGAAAGAAGTTCGCGGTAAGTCGACTTTGGTGGTAAACGCATGAGGTGGCTCGGCGGATCCTTCTATGGTGGAACTTTCCGTCAGGGGCAGTGTAGAAGCCCTTAAGAAAAGGCCAGCCTTCGATACTACACCAAAATGGTCTGCGATGACTTCGATGTTGTCTGAAAGACCTGTAGGATTCAATTCTTCATCTTGATTGGGCGCGACACCAACTACTGTTGCCGGTGTCATTTTCTGGCTGGACCTAATCTCTTTCTCCGTCCAGTGTGGTTCAATACAGAACATCAAATACGTACCAGGCATCACAAGGCCCTGGGATTGATTGGGATTGTTGCGCTCTTGAAAGGCTTTGATGAACATCTCGACATCATCCTGATCTGGTAGAGAATAGTTCGTCTCAGGGTCTAGGGATAGCAAGCCTTGCTTAGCACCCCAACCACCACCACCACTGACTACACACCCATTAGCTTGGTTAAGGTTCCTATCATTGGATAACTAAGTCACCTACGTATTTTATGAGCTCGGCAACCAGAAGATATTAAAGTTGAGAACAGATCCATAGCTTCTAAAGACAATTCGGCTTCAGAAAGGGAAGAATCGGGCTCAAAGATCTTTAGGTCGAGAATTCCCTGCATATTCACAAGGTGAGGGTGTATGATCCAACACCATACCCCGATGGGTCCCGGCACGTATGATTCGTCTCGTTTAGATCTAGTATCAAATACTTTCGGTATGAGACCCTCAAGCTCTTTAGATGCCGGCGTCGGAGAGCCATTGACTTCGACTTGTCGAACAATATTACCCAAGCCAGCGACAATCTTCCGCGGACGGGTCAATGGTAGCAATGGGATGCATGGTATGGTATGACCTGATGAGTTGGGATCAGGTTGGATTTTTTGGACGCGCTTCTCATGCATCATGGTGCGTGTCATAGATCCGTTAGGAGTGAATTGCCATCTGCTTGCGAATAAGGTTGACCGTTTTCCAGTCTGAAAAACAGTGTTTGCCAGTGGTAGGGTAATCTCAAGTGGCCTCAAGTCCTTGGGCAGAGGATTGGGCAAGAATGAGACGGAAGCCTCTCTGTCTTGGTCGGTACCTGAACCAAATTCGTCGTGATTCCATAAGTCAGGAAGGATTTTATTAGCTGAGCCATATAAAATTGAGAAGCCGGTTCGAGGCTCGCTGAACAATTGCTCGGGGGTGAGCCCATCCGTTACTGCACATAATATATCGATGTGCTTAGAGGTGCCTTGACTGGGTTTAAAGAGAGATCCGAGTATACTAGAAACGAAGCTCTCATCCTCTAGCCAGCTTGCGAAATCGCGAGAAGCAAATATAGCGGCTCCATTGTCAATATCATTGTCCTCTCCTACAGCGATAGGTGTCTTGGCGGATTCAATGAGGTAATGGTTCAATTCGTTTATGACACTTTGCTATGTGGGATGTTAGCAAATCGCAGGACATCAATACCACATCAGTATTGAATAGAGTTACCTTGGAAGTCTTTGTCGATAATGTCAGACTGAATTTTCCAGTTTCTGCAGCAGTTTTTACAGTCTGGCTCCCGAATTTTCTTATGAATCGGCTAGGACGTTTGGTTATGAGACAGCCACTCAGAATATGAGAATAAGGCCGTATAATGGCCAGTCTCGACATGTTAAGAAGACTGGACCATCATTACAATTATAATTACAGCTATAAGGCACGCGTAGATATAAGTTGTAGGTGAGAGTCATATGTATGATAACTACCTTCCCTAGGTATTGTCAGCTAATGTTATCGATAAGACATAAGTTAGCTTTCTTCAACTATCGTCATCATCCATGATTGTTGACTTCTTGACAATTGCATGAAAAGAAAGAACGTGATTGCTTTAAACGAATATTGAAGCTTGGAACAAGAGCTCAAGATCCACTCTTAGGTACCTATGTAATCATGTATGATTGGCCCTTGCATTTCCGAACCAATCAATTACGTGGAATGGAGATAACTAAGGTAAATACATGGATAGAATGATATTGCTATTTTTCTGCATATGTAAGTGCAAATGACTTTGTTAACATTATAATATGTAGCAAGGAAGATTCATACTCCCTTTTATGAACAAGCATCATACAAGTACAATAAACTTCAGCTGCATTTCCAACCACCTCCAATCACTAATAACATTCAAGTACCCAAGACAATGCTCTTCGCACAGACGCTGAGCGACGACGCTAGGCACATAACCTTTAACGCGCCTCAACGGCGCCGGTGTGGTTCTCAACTGCAACGCCTATGTTTACATTACAACATTGAATAACTGCCTAGTACTGGGTTACGCACAGCATTAAAGTGCTACATACCCTAGCACTGAGGTGGTTAATACATACTATTAATTTATATACATAACTTCAACCCTGAAGCTCTTACCGAATCTTCTTAATTGAACCCACCTGGCACCATCCAACCATCTAATCTCCGATTTCAATGGCGGACCTCACTATCCGTAACCTTACCATAACCCCGCTAGAGCTTAAGCTCGTGGAGCGTTTCGAAGGCCAACCCGCGTCTGGACGTGGATCTCCTGTCTGCAGCTTTACGAGCAGGATTAGCAGTCTTTTCAGCTCATGTGCGGTATCAACCCATGTACGCATCAAGAGCGATGAGATAGACCGTTGTGATGTGTCTTTTGTCGTCGGGCCCTTCGAGACTTGCGTCACGGATGTGCGCGCCGCAGACCCTGGCCGGGAGGTCATTCGTCTTACTTTTGAAGATTCGGATGGGTACCAGTACCAAGTGGATGTACCCAGCCCCTCGCCGCGTAGTACCGTCATGAAAAGGCTAGACGGCGCGCCCAATGAGTATACCACCATATACGTACAGGCCGGCAGCTGCCTAGCTATCTTCAGCTCGGCCAATCTATCGAGCTGGATGCGCGAGGTGCACGACGACTACCCGCTCTCGGCCCTCTCCATCCCCGGCACGCACAACACCCCAACATACCACCTCGCGCTGCCGTCGGTGCGGTGCCAGGCGGCCAGCGTGCGCGAGCAGCTCGAGAACGGCGTGCGGTTTTTCGACATCCGCGTCAACGTCAGCTCGGATTCGTCAGAGCTTGCTCTTGTGCACAGCGCCTTCCCAGTCTCGTTGACGGGGACCAAGTACTTCAAGGACCTGCTGGACGTTGTCTACGCTTTCATAGAAGCCAACCCATCGGAGGCGCTCATCATGAGCATAAAGCGCGAGGGTACAGGCAGGGGTACCGATCAGCAGCTCTCCAAAATCCTCAAGAACCGGTTCTACGAGGACGGCAGGCGGTGGTACACGAACCCGCGGATCCCCAAGATCGGCGAGGTGAGAGGCAAGATTGTGCTTCTGCGGCGGCACCACAACGACCCGAGCTTGGACGGCGAATGGGGCGGGCTTGGCTGGGGCCTCGACGGCAGCGTGTGGCCGGATAACTGCGAGGACGGCCTCCTGGGCAGTGGGATCGCGCGCGTGCAGGACTTCTACGAGGTGGACCAGAGCCACAACATCCAGAAGAAGATCGAGTTTGTCCGTTGCCATTTAGAGCGCGCGGCGGAGCCTGTGTGCCAGTTACCGGGCAGCAAGGGACATCAAGACCAAGACAGGGCGGCGCCGCACCCGTTTTTTGTAAGTTTCTTAAGCGGGAGTAATTTCTTCAACGCCAACTGCTGGCCCGAGAAAATTGCGGCCAAGGCGAACCCGGCCATCATCGAATACCTGTGCTTACGTCACGCGGCGGAAGGCAAGGGCCCAGCAGGCCGAAATGTAGGAGATGGGAGCACGGGGGTGGTGGTGACGGATTGGGTTGGGCTTGATGGTGATTGGGATTTGATTCGGTGTGTTGTAGGCTGGAACGCAAGATTGCAGTTGAAGCAAATAGATTAGTCGGATATTTCACTCAGGCTCACATTCATACATTTTTTGTCTTGGATAGGTACTTTAGACTCAAAAGCGTAGCATTGGTTTTCTATTATATAATTGGGGGTCTATCCTATTATAGGCCCCTATTGCCTAGAAGATACTTAGAGAAGATGGGTAAGTTACCTAAGGTATAAAAGCTAAAGCACGAAGTTATACCTGTAGTTTCATCCGATGTACATGCAACTACATCGATTCATTCACTATACTCATTCACGATACTCAAATAAGAGGTGCATACCTGGTATATTAGAGATGAGAGCCTTGAGCTGATATTCGTATTTCGGCCTCAAGCTTGAAGCTTGAATACTCCAGGTGCTGGGGCTGTTTGTTTGATGCAGTAGGGTAGTAAGGGGGGGTGCTAGGGGTAGTAAGGGTAGGATAATAGCCAATTACAGTGGCTAATAGCACATGCCAATGGGAGTTAACTACATCATCCTGACCCATGGATGATCCCGTCATCAATGATGAGCTGGAAAGCCCCACTGCAACATCCCGAAAATGCAGCTGCAATCAATTCAATCTACCTGGTCTGATCCTAGGTAATACCTACCTAGGTACCTAGGTCCTAGGTTAGGGTAGTAGTAATAAATACTAAAATACCTATGCTAGGTAGCTGAATGGAAGGTGCGGATGCATTCAATCTATTTCTCCAATAATCTTGTGTGACAAGCCATCATCACCTTTCTTTCTTTCCGACTTTCCTATTCTTCTCCCCTTTCTTTTCATTTCTCGCTTTTTTCTAACAAACATAATCGGTAATTAATTAGTTGTAATGTCGGCTATCCAGTCTTATTAGCCACCCACCATCTTGTCTTGTATTCGTTCATCGCTCCTGTCGCATCGCGAACCTCGGCAGCCTCGGTTCAATTTTAGTCTACGAATTTGCTACGCACTTCTACTTTGCTCGCATTCCCTGACGTAGGGAAACTCTGCACCATCTCAGCGCTACACGATCTTAGTTTTATAGCGAACGGCAGCGGCACGTCTAGTGAAAACTCTCCTACAGCTTCCTCTCTATGGTTAAGTTCCAACGGAGGCGATAAACGGGGACCATAAACGACGCGCCCTGCATTTTTACATATGCTACACATGCAACTTAGGTATGTCATATTTTTAGTTTTAATTTACGACAAGAACAGCACTCGGACCGCACCCCTTGATAACCATGGCAGACCACCAAGACAATGACAGCTCTCATGGTTCCAAGTTGCCACGCCTGGGTTCAAGGCATCACCAGCATGAAACCCTAGAAGCCCGTTCTAATTCCAACCTAGGTCCTCGGAAAATCCATATATCTAACATCTCTACGAACGAGGCAAAGCTTACATCAGCAAAGAGGCGCAAACCAGATAGGGCTTCCAGGTCAAGCATTGTATGCATTGCCTTCATTGCCTTCATTGTCTTCATCGACCATCTCCGCCAAGATAATTTGATATTGACTGATATACGCTTCGGTTTCTTAGGCTAGCCAGGAAAGCAGCGACTCCTTGAATCTTCTTACGCACCCTCGTTCTATTCAAACACCCGCTAGTAAAGCCCGTATACCACGTATACCGAGTAGCAATAGTGCATATCCGTCACCATTGGATAGCCTTAGCTCTTCCTGCCATAAGGATTCAATAATTGCGGCACGAGCGGTACTACCCGCATCGAACGTTACTTCTCAAATTCCCAAAGTTCTGACTCCTAAGACCAATCCACCACGTTACATCTTTAGACGTCAAGAGTCGAGGCCAAAAGATCTTCCCAAAATGAGCAGTGATCAAAGAGACGAAAAGTCCGCGACCGCAGCATTGGACGTGAAGGAGACACCAGGGACACCTCATTTTGAAGATTCTGAGAAAACACTCCTCAACGAAGAGGATGAGTCCCACGCCGATGAACCTATAAAAGAGAATGACGATCCTTCGGGTCTCGAAAAGAGCATGCACTCAACACAGGAGGGCTCTCAGACCCCTGTCAACGGCGTAGAAAACACGGAGCATGATGCAGCTTCTGAGAATGCTAGCTATGCCTCTGTCCTCAAGTATGGTCTAAATGACGAGGCTGCCAAAACCAGACTCCGTTATTTACACGACGACGATGAATCGTATCCCGAACTAGACGACTTATCCGTAGACGAGATTCATCCGCCCCCAAAGTCAAACTCCGATGGTGGAATCCGGTGGGCTCCATGGAACGTGCCCCTCAAACGCAGACTACAGACGCTTGTCTTGCTTATGCACTGCATGTGTATAGTCCTGACTGTTTCCGTTTTCTTCGCGCTTTGTGCCAACCCTTTTGCTTGGCCTTTGCTACTTATATATCTCCTTCACGTGCTGAGCTCCAAAGCTCATTCCGATGGGTCGCTCAGGTACCGGTCTGAATGGTTTCGCAGAAGTTACATCTGGCATCTCTTTGCGGGATACTTTCCTGCCAAGCTTCACAAGACTCATGATTTGCCACCTACCCGCAAATACATTTTTGGTTATCACCCTCACGGTATCATCTCCCACGGTGCGTGGGCCGCTTTTGCGACCGATGCCCTGGGCTTCTCTGAGAAGTTCCCCGGCATCACAAACAGTTTACTGACCCTAGACTCGAACTTCCGTATTCCACTATACCGCGAATATGTCCTTGCCGCGGGAGTGCGGTCGGTCTCAAAAGAGTCCATCGTGAACATCCTAACCAAAGGCGGCCCCAACGGAGAAGGCATGGGCCGTGGCGTCACGATCGTCATTGGAGGCGCTCGAGAGTCGTTAGAAGCGCAGCCTGGGCAAATGCGTTTGATCCTGAAGGAGCGCAAGGGCTTTGTTAAGATTGCAGTTAGGACAGGCGCAGACTTGGTCCCTGTTCTAGCATTTGGCGAGAATAACCTCTACGATCAGCTCCATCCCAAGGAGCATCCGTTTGTACACAAGATCCAGATGTTTGTCCTCAAAGTGTGGAAATTCACTCTCCCGTTTCTTCACGGGCGTGGAATCTTCAACTATGACGTTGGGCTGATGCCATATCGAAGGCCCCTGAACGTAGTAATTGGGGCCCCGATCAAGGTGACGCAAGCTAATGTTGTGGATCAAGATGAGATCAATAGGCTGCACGATTTATACGTGGCCGAGCTGCAGAAGTTGTGGGATCGATACAAGGACGACTTCATGCCGGACAGAATAGAGGAGATGCAGATATTGTCGTAAGCTTACGACAGTATTGCCTTGTATACCTAGCCATAGCGGGACTATCGACTATGGAATAGAGGATTCGTGTACTGTGTTAGTATATAATTAGATGTATAGATTTATAAGCGCCTTCTTTTGTGTATTGAGAAAGGTGTCATAAAGATAAATGCTGAATACTAAGGTAAGATGGCTTCTATCATTTTCTCATTCACTTGAACTAAAAGAAATTATGAGCTTCAAGTTACTGTGTTTTGCTAATAGGGGCATATATAGGTAGGTACCTAGGAATATGGGCCAGATTGTAAAAAGGGATCGAGACCACATCCCGAATAGATCCACCAACAACCAACCAAATCACAGTTATAGCACACCATGAGAAGCGTCTTCATGGTTGCTTGAGTACCTCAACTGCTCTCTGGGTACCTAAGAAACTTAGAACCGTTGAATTTATCGTCATCGGCTAGTCAAATTCACGGCTACGGCTGTAAGGCTGACTTCTTTCTGCCCGAGTAGGTACTAAGTAGATGTAGGTAGGCATACCTGGTACGTACCTATCTAGAGAAGTAGGTTTTGACACCAACCACGCTTTCCTAATAATATTGGCCTCCACGTCGTTGACCATGGATGAATGTGGCTGGCGTAGCATGGCGCAGTCTGTACATGCGGCATCATCTCTGTTAACCTAATCTTCCTCTTTTCCTAGGACTAGGTAGATACTTCATAACCCAACAGCAAATTATCTATTGCTTATCACTTTTCTAGCGAGGCTCTAACCCAACTTCTATCGTTATTTTCGTTTAGACGGATTGGTGTTTGTGAGATCCGGGCTCTTTTAAGTCAAGTGCGGTTAGTTGAAGAAGAGCCAAAGGTGACGATCACGCTCCTTTAGTTAGATGATTGCTATGTAGGTTACTAGGTAGTTAGTAGGTAGTATCTACAAGTATCTAGCTAGTACCTGCTAGTAGGAAAAATAGCCAAAAAAAAAAAAAAAAAGAAAAAAAACATACAACACCAGGGATTCGCTGGTCGTCACCGACCCAACTACTGATCTGGCGGTATTTGGCTTATCTATGGGAGAGCGGACGGGATCCCGAGTTTTCCAAATCCTATGGTCGTATGTGTTGGATTGTTGCGTTATTGAAGTTTATATACCATTGTGTTTTTCTCATGTCACGATCTTTTGTAAGGGTGTAGGTACATAGGTACATGATAAAATCAAAATTATGGACCTATCAATTCAATCCATTGATTCGATGCTCCCAGAAACTGTAAAGATGATTGGCCCAAAACTGTCCGACGGAAAGCGCCGAACCACTGAACTTGGATTGGAACTCCAAAATTTCAAACTTTCCTAAGAAAAAAGAAAAAGCTCCAAAAGAAGAGCTCTTTGCGACCAAAGAAATAGAAAAAAAAGGAAAGAATAGAAATTACTCAACGGAGGCGCGCCAATCGAGTTGGGTAGGGGGTTTTATATTTTATTATCAACTCCAAAAACACAAGCAAATTCATCATGGCACCAACACAGCTCGGCAGACCCTCGACTTGTCTCGACTGCCTCCGACGACTCGCCCGATCAGCCCCGCCATTCTCATCATCATCATCAACCACGATACCGACAACACTGTCGCTCTCTCCCTTCCTGTCCCCTGCGCAAACCCGAGGCGCCAAAACTACCAAGGCCGAGGAGGAAGATCTACAGGGCATTCCTGTGCGCTTGTTGGTTAATATCCCAGGCTTCGGTCGTAAACGTTGGTTCCTCCTCTTTTCTTCTCTTCCCCCCCAAAAAGTAGTCTCAAAATAGTAGTCTCGAAATACCTAGCTACCTAGCTAGGTATATATATATATATATAGCTTTCAACTACATACATATACCGATTGCAGGACACTAACAACAAACAAAACAGATGCCATCATCCGCGTCAAGCCCGGCCGCATGCGCAACTACTGGTTCCCCAAGTACCAGGCCGAGTACATGACGGCCCAGCGCTTCAAGGAGATGGGGCTGACCGAGGCCGCCATCGGCGTGCGCGACCGCACCTTCGGCACCAAGCTCGTCCTCGACCACGGCGACAACAACAACAACAATAACAAGAAGGCCGAGACCGACGACCCGTCGTCTTCTCGGGAGCCCAAGAAGCCCAAGAAGGAGACCATGTTGCTGCCTGTAAGTTTGTTTTTGCGCACACACACTCCCTCTAATATTATTATTACCATGCTGCCTCGGTATATGCTCTAACCACCACACCATCTAGCCCGAGGAATCCCTCTCCCTCCTGCAAGCCCTGCTCCCCCCAACCCTGACCTTCGCCCGCAAAGTCAACACCTCCGTCTCCCTGCCCTCCCAACCGCAGCCCGAGCCAGCACCCGAGCCCACAACCCCCCGCTCGCCCTCCCTCTCCGCCAACGCCGCCGTCTCCACCTCCTCCTCCTCCTCCTCCTCCCCCCCACCTACCCCCGTAGCCACCGTCTCGCAAGCCGCGCACGTCCCCATCTTCGGCTCCGTCTCCACGACGGACGTGCTGGCCGCGATCCGCGAGACGCTGGAGGCGGCGGACCCGGCGCACGCGGGCCGCCTCGCGCTCGAGGCCGAGGGCGTGCAGATCCTGGGCTTGGACGAGGAGGGGGACGACCGCATCAAGCGGCTTGGCACTTTCGAGGTCGTGCTCACGGTTTCTGCCGAGCTGGAGCCCGTGCGCAGGGAGGTTAGTGTTGTGGCGGAGGAGTAAAAGGGGGGTTTAGGGGGGGAGGGGGGAGTATCTACGACTGCCTAGCATACCTAGGTAGGTACTAGGTACCTAGGCATCTACATAAGTACGAGATCTTGTCTATATACCTACCTAACCTAACCTAACCCAACCTACCTGCCGGCCTACCATTCATTCCTTTTACGCCAGTTAGGAGGATGAAGGATGAAGGATGAAGGATGAAGGATAGACAAAAAAAAGAAAAAGAAAAAGAGAGAGGGATCAACCCCTCAACATATTCAACTACTAAAGTACAAACAAGGCCTTGCTTGCTAACCCTAGGTTAGTTAGCTAAGCTACCTGGTTTACGCAAGATGCGTTTGGTATACCTCACCTTAGTTTGGTTGTATGTTCGACATGTACGATTACAACACAGTGCTATACAATACTATACAATACTATACAATATAATACTGCGTGTGTATAGTTATAGATCAAGCTATTATGTATGTATTAGGTATGTATCTACCTAACCTACCTAAGTAGATGCCTACGTACATGTACATACTGCAGATCATCCCGTGAAGGCCGTCCTTAAGACAAGCCTGGAAGTCTAGAAGCTCGTCGCGCCTATGGCCTGCTTGGTACCTAATTTTCTAGACAGCATGTCTGTCTACCTAGGAGCCTACATATGTAGAGCGCAGTAAAGCACATCACATCACACAACCGAAGGGAATCGAACATTGAACAGGAGCAGGTAAACTGTACGAGTAGGTAGGTACCTAGGTAGGCAACAGAGTCGCTTTCGTACTCGGTGCCTACCTACCTAGTATGTGCCCGCCTACAAGCCTAGGTATTGCGTATAAAAGCTTCCACTCCTCTCCTTCGCAGATAATAATAAATAATTTCCGCCCCTCTAATGCTACACAATCTCGCCCAATCCCTTCCGGTCATAAGCAACAAAGCAGACAAACACACCTGGGCACACACACAAATGAACAACACCTAAATTGCTCAGAAGCCAACCGGGGGAATCTATCCTGATACCAAAAAAGTAAAACTAAAAAGTCGACAAAGCAAAAGAAAAAAGAGGCAAGGCATATGAGAATAGAGATTAAGGGGAAGGAAGGGGGGGGGGAAAGACATCGAGACGTCGTGTGCCCCGCCCTGTACGCCGGCGCTGTGCTCATAAGAGAATAGACGACCCAAAAGGATAACAGTACTCTATGGTAAGCAATCGCCTCGATTTGCCATCAACTAGTTGATGAACAGACAAGACATCTGCTCATTCAGGGGCAGAAGATAACTAGGGTAGGTTGGTGCTTGCGTATCGATGTTTAGATAAAAGGGGGGATACGATAGGTTACTAGGTATGTTTGATCAATAATCGAATCACTTGCCAGGATAGCTAACGTCCAAGTTCCATAGCGAGTCCCACACAATACTCCTCCTTACCGGACTCTGGCTTTCAACCGAGGTGGCGCTTACTTCTCGTCGGAGTTGTGATTGCCGTGGTTGCGGCTGTGAGTATGTTCGAAGATGGCCTGATGGTCTTTGCTGCAGGCGCGGGGCAAAATGAATCGGAGAATTCAGAAGGCTGCTTTCGTCTGCTGGTCGGTGCTAGATCCCATCAGCGACTTCGTTCCAGTGGCTAAGGAATGAGTCATCCTGCATTTCGCACCTCATTGTCTTCGCTCTTGTCCACCGAGTTTCGCTTATCCCCTTTATCCCCCTTATCCCCCTTATCCTCCGTCGGCTCCTGTTGGGTCCCACTTGGTCCTGCCGCCCCTTGTTCAGCCGCCGGGCTCGGGCTCGTGGCGCCCGGGCTATCGGCCACTACGGCACGCAAGCTGTTTGTCTCGCTAGCTAGGGCACTGCCTTTCCCAGTACCAAGTGGCAGGGCTTTCTTAGAGCCCGTGCTACTACGTCTGCTCTCGAGACTCTTGCTGAGGGTCCTACTGACGCCCTCAATTCCGCCGTTGGATCCAAGTTTAGACTTCCCCTTTGACGGGCGACCGTGAGCATGAATATCCGCAATGGCTGCAACCGTATTCGCCGCAACTGTGGACTTACCAAGGCCGGGGGTAGACGGAGCTCCGGGTTTATCCTCGTGCGCGTCGATGAGCCACCAGCGAAGACCATCTGAAAGATCAAACGGATTGTCATTTTCATCGCCAGTATTTACCGAGTCGGTTTCGCCGTCTGATGGAGGGGCGGCGGGAGACTGCAGGCTCTTAGACAAATCGACTACCCGCTCCTGTATACGTGTTATACGAGCTACAAGCCACTCACGGCTACGCAAACGGTGTCCCTCTTGCTCACGCAGGAAGAAGTGAGGGCAGCCAACGTTGAAGGCAGCCCAGGCACCCGTTGTCTGATTACGCGTCGGTAAGAACAAAGCCAAATCGCCCTCCTTGAATTGTCGAAACGCAATCTTGTCCCGGGCTTCCTTGGCGAGTTCATGTGCTCGTTCCCGATAATTGCGAGCATCCCGCGTCATCTTTCGGGTGCTATGCTCGACTTCCTTTATGCGGCGATACATGATTTCGGAGAAAGTATCTATGTCGAAATTGCCAGGGCCGTTCATGAAAGCTTGGTATTGTTCATCTTCTGTATTCGTGTCCTCGGCATTCATCCAATAAAGTAATTTGAGGTCCGTACTGTCGGCAAGAGAATTAGTTATCAAAGAGACAGAACGTCGTATGGAGGATCCAGGATCAGAAGAGTCGTTAGGATTTTGGGTCACGCGTTCTGACCGGGGAATTCTCTGGATGGCCATGGACCTCTCCGACCGTGTTACTGAGAAACCAAGACGCTCGAGGAGTCTACAAAGTCTCTCATTTTGGGTATACAATCGTTGGGTGAGTTCTTTTGTGCGGCCATCTCGTGCCTCGTACCTGTTATTGAGACCCTCCAACGTGGAATCGGACAACTGCAATTTCTCTTGGAACATCCGTACTTCCTCCTCAAGACTGCCCACTTGAGACTGCTTCGACGCCAACTGTTCAGTAAGCACTGCGACTCGCTTCTCCTCGTCTTCCAGCTTCTTTCGCAAACTTTCCGATCCCGTTTCGCCTTCGGTCATCTTGACACGGAATTGGTTGAGCTGCTCTCGTCCGTCATTGACTTCCCTTTCAAGGGTAGTGCATCTAGTCCTCTCCTTGTCTAACGTCTCACGCAAGTGTACGGCACTCATCTCTTCTCTAGAGAGTCTCTCTTTCGTGACTTGCAACTCAGATCTTGACTCCTTGATCGTGCTTCGGGCGAGCTCTAGATCGGCCTTCATTAGAGATACGTCTTGCTCGAGGGACCTGAATTTTGCCAGAACATCGCTTGCCCTAGTCGCAACAGCATCTACTAGATCTGAAAAATCTTGAGGGGGATCCTCCATGGGCGATAGTTGACCATGTAGCTCTCTAAGCGAGCGAGCCTGGGTTTCCCTGCAATCATCGGTGGTCTCGGCTCGTTTGTTCAGCTCTTTGATCTTCTCGCGTGCCTCCTTCAGCTCTCTCTCAAGCGATACATTACGTTCTCTCTGAACTCTAGCTTCGTTGCGCAGAAATTCAACTTGGCCCTGGGTTCGTAAGGTATCGTCCTTCTTCTCTTTGGAAAGACGTTCAACCTCCGCCTGTAAAGAATGAAGCCTCTCATCGTACGTAAGTTTCTCGTTTTCCCTAGATTCGCCAAAGTGTTCGATTTCGTCTTCTGTTTCCTCAAGGCGAGCTTTGAGAGTCTTAATTTCGTCATCCAACAACTTTCGTTCTACGATGAATTCTCTTTTCAAGGCCTCCATATTTCCTAGAAGATCTTGTTTCATCGAGTTAGCTTCATCTATACGGCCCTTCATATGTTCCGTCTGTGCATTAGATTCTTGTTCTAGCATCGCAGATCGTTCCTTCTGGGCGATTAAATCCCCTTCCAGTTGTGCGATACGGTGGTGTAGGACCTCGGGGTTCTCTGAAGTCGATGATCGGCGGCGTTGATCTGGTGCGCGTGATGTCTTAACAGATCCAGTGGACTCGTTTTGTTGCGGCTGAAAAAGGTTGCTCAAGGGAGACGGTCTTGATGCCTGGGTTTGGCGGTGCAACAGATCCTCTAGGCGGCGGACCCGACTTTCTGCTGTCTTCAGTTTGCTCTCTAATTTAGACTTGTCAACTTGTAGACTCCTAAGGAGGTCATCATCTCCCCGGATAAGTAAGGCGCTTTTCCCGAGGGCTGCTTCATGAACACTGCCGTTTTTGAATGCCTTTAACCGTTTTGACTGTTGCTTGGTTGGGTTATTGAGTTCGTTCACAAGTTTGGTAATGTCGCCCAAAACACCTGCGTCCGCATTCTGACGCCTTAGGATCGTCAAGAATTCGTCCAGCTCTTGCTTCGTCGTTTCGGGCCAAGCCTCATCATCGCCTCGAAGGTTGACTTCGAGACCAAGAACGCTATTATTCTTGGTCTCTTCCGGCCCATATGTGCTACCAATCATCTTATGCCACTTCCGGCGTCTTTTCAACTCCTCGTCCTGGAATACAGCCATCTCGTTTAATAGCGTCGAAGAATCGACCTTCACTTTCTGGGACCAATCCTTGCGTCGTAATGCTTCAACAACAAAAGACGCGTACATGTAGGGAAGTTGCTGAATGAGGCGCAAATAATCGAATGTAGTCATTTCCTCCTCCCCATTGTTGATAGCATTGATCTGGGTCCTAACACTTTGAAGAAGACTAGTTATCTCAGCAATCCTGCGCATGAAGGCGAGGGAATCTGCTGCAAGCTCGTTGCGTGCTTGGGTAGCGTAACGAAGCATATCGTCCATCTCATAGGCTCGTTTCTGAATGGTTGGTAGTAGCTGTTGTGTGTGATTAGCTGCAGTCTTTGAAGCTGATAGGAGCCCTTTTGCTTGGTTGGTATACACCAACGTGGCCTGGTAGTCCGTATCAACCTTGAGGGCAACGGCCTCTATGTCTTCTAGTAGTTGGCCACAGTCGTTGCTATGTTTCACTACCGAGCGTTCTATTAGTTTATTAAACTCCTGGAACAGTTCGTCGCAGCCGGCAAACAACTTATCAACGGTGCTGTCCAGCTCGGTGATCTTGTTGGTAAATTTTCGCAATGATGTGGCTGCGAGCTTGCCGGCTTTTCGCGTCGGTTCAGGATCGATCAGGTCTTCCAAGGCTGCTTGACGGGGCCTTCGGACATCCTGACCAGTCATGAATCGCACCATGGCCGAGGAGATGGGAACGTTCCGTGCCAATTCAAGATACTGTTCCCAGTTGGAGGCCAAAGTGGCATATTCGTCTAGGGCAGGCGTTGCCCATTTCTTTAGTTCCGAGTGCTTCTGATAGAGAGGTTTGACAGCTGTATCGAGGTTTGCCACAGCAGCATCGAGGCATTTTAATATGACGTCTATCTCTCCATACCGAGTTCGTGCCGCAGCAGCCATAGCACCGCTATCTTCCACCACTCTCATGGCCCAGTCACGGCGGCTCTTGAACAAATCCTGCCAACATTGTAGAGTACGGGTGTCATCAATCGAATTCGGAGCAGGGAATACAGTGTATTTTTTGGGTACGGGCAACTCGGATATAAGAGAATTTGAAGCACCAGGCGAAGAGGCCTGCGTTATCCGAATATCATAGACATAAATCTCTTTCTAGCAAACATGTCAGCCCGGAAATCGGCCACGTAGGGAGTGTCGAGATGAAATCCGGGAGTAGACAAACCTCGGTTTGTATGGTCTGGATCTTGACCGTCTTTCCCTGCGATGAAAGTGCGACAATATTTTGCACCGGTATAGAACTCTGCCGAGCGACCCATCCTTTAAAATCATCGAGGCTGCATGGACAAGATAAAAGCTATTAGTGATACTATCCCGACTTGGTAGGGCGTGAATGGGTAGTCGGAGCTAGTGCAGCAGGGAAGAGAAGACATACGATGTGAACAGAGAGATATCGACCTGCAGGCGCTGGCCCGTGTGGGCAATCAACACCTGCGTCTGCGTCGCCATGATATGTACAGTCCATCCCCTAAAAGAATGAAAGGGAGATGATTGCGACGACGAGTAAAAAGTTCCTTGGCTGCCTGAATACGGAAGGCACCCAAAGATAAATGGTAGAAGAAGAAAAGAAGTAAGAGGTGAGAAGGTAAGAAGATAAGAAGGTAAGAGGGAAACTCGAGAAGCTCGGGCGAGAATAGAATATTAGGTGGGCATCTGGATGATGGAGATGGAAGCTTTGGATTCTATTCGCTTTATCCTTTATCAGTATCGTATTAGTTATCCTTCTATCGTTCTATCGATTTATCGGAGCTTCTGTGGATAGTCAGCTGGTTGGCAGAGCAAGGGCAGGCAGTCAGGCGCTGCTGCTGCTCAGTGCTTTTGTGACTATTCGCTAAGTCTTAAGGTTCCCATACATTCGTCACAGATGGACCCACAAGCTAAAATGATTTAAGCTTTGACCATTCAATACATGATACTTCTTCTTCTTCAAGTCTCCAACGTTTAATATCTGAGGCGCAGTTAAAGTCAAGCTGGCCAAGCTGGTCGAGCAAAAATCATGGTTTAGATGAAGACTTGATGAAAAGTGTATATTATATTTCTTATGAATTGGCTGATAAACAATTCTAAAAGACTCAAAAAAAAACCCCATCTCATCTTTTATTGTGTCCACGTCACGTCTTTGTATTCAACTTGAGGGATGGACCAGGTACATATAAGTAGTACATACATAGGTAGTCAAGCCACACTTGTGTTTTATGCAGCCACAACAATTAGTTAAAGCAATTAACGCGATGCAGATGATCATCATCATTGATTGATGCCATCAGAATGCATACTAGTTAGTGGTACATAGAACTATACTACTAAAAGCGCGAAAGGAAGTCTGCGAATAGCAACACTACTACAAGTAAAAGAAGGGGAAAAGTGAACTTAAGAAAAGATAGCTTGTTAACTTATTATATCGTTAATTCTCTTGAATCATTTCTTTCACATGTCACTTATTATATCATGAGCAAGATCTATAGGATCTATCTATAGGATCTAAGAGAACAATGGCGGATGGCATTACAGAACCCCCTACACCACTCCTACTATCAGATGATGAGAAGCAAATTCTAGAGTCACACGACCGCCTCCAGCAACTTCAGCTGGAAATCGCGTTACTGAAAGCCCAGAAGAATTATAACCCAAGTCAGTCCTATGGCCACCACGCAATTTAATTATCAATTAAGTATATTCTCCTGTATTAACTGTCGCTTCTAGACGCGAGTGCATCTACTAGGGGGGATAGCAGCATAGAAGAAGCACAACAAGCTCTTCTAGACTCGAGATCGAGATATATCTTGCGAAACCAGATCGTGGAAAGTGTCATAGCCACCAACCCGATCCTGCAAGCCTTGCACAACGGAACGAAAGCATCCCCTATAGAACGGTAAGGACTCACTCACTCATAACATTTGTATATCACGCCTGGCTTCTAGCTCCTAATCAACATTTTCTAGAGATCTCCTTCCCGTCCTAGAACGCCGCGAAGAGTCATCCTCGACGCTAGCGCAGCAGTCCACAGAACTCCGCGCGATGCTAGACGAGATCACGGAAGTAGAAAGCCAGAGCCTGCGCCTCGGCCGCGAGAACGTCGATCTCGCCTCCCAGCTGCTCGAGCTTGCCGAGCAGACGAACCGGAGCAAGGCGGAGGCCATTGAGATGGACCCGGAACGGGCAGCCGAGATAAGGCGCTTATCAGACCAGGTCAAGCTAAGCAGGCAGAGATGGCGAGTGTTGAAGGGTACTGCGAGCGCGGTAGTCGCCGGAAGTGGGGTGGACTGGTCTCGGGATGCCGGGCTTAGGGATATTGTGCTCGACCCTGAGAATGAAGAGGAAATATGACAGGGACCTTAGGTAGTCGCAATTAGGTAATGAGCTGAGAAGCGCGTATTACATACAATATCCAATATTAAACAATACTCTCACGGAGTCTCACCGGTCAGGGCGCGGTTCTTGTCCTCTCATGTCATCATGCCAAGCCAGAGCGCCCTAAATGGGTGCCGAGGTGTTATGTATTTTGCAAGCCTTGAAAGAGGACGGTTCTTTCAGTTTACTCATACATAACTAACTCTTCGGCTTATTCTTCTCAGTCTGTATTACCTCAGCAGCAGTAGTAAAGTACCTACCTATGCATTTATCTACATGTATGTAGACTCGACGAAAAAGGGACTCTCATTTTCTTTTTAACAAAACGATACATCAGCCTTCGGTTCCTGGTCGATAGGGCTTAGCGCCGATTGCATTTCTGACCAAAGTCGGTAGAAATCACGTGGAGTACAATCCTATTTTAAGATCCTAGATTCAAAAGCTGGAAACTGGGTATTAGGTAGAATGGCCTTGTGTGTGTGCATGTGTGCATTGATCTTGGAATGGTGCACATGTGGGTGAATGTTTGCGTGTTACCTAGGAACGGTTGTATCAAAAAATTTCAAGGCCCCCCCGAGTTCTATGTTACTGAGCGAGGTCTACCGGATATACGGGTAGTGTAGGAATATCCGTAGATCAGAAGCAAAACTTGTAGTTATGTACGTATGTAGTAGAAGTGATCTCGAGGCATCCATGATACTTGACCATACCGATGTTAAAAAGGTACATGTCTAGGCTGTCCTGGCTGCCTACTAATACTTGTACTGCATATAGGCAAGTACACAGTTAGGTAGGCATGTACGCATGATGTAAACAATTTCGTGTGTCGCATCATCTGGTTTAAGTAGCTCTGTGATTAGAACTTTAAGGGTCTTTGGCCTTTGCCGGAATCAAGACTGGTCGCTATGTATGGTGTCGTCGATAGTGGAGAATAGGCTTGAAGACAAAGGCCATCTGCTATGTACGAGTATTAGTGTAATCAATGCCGGGCACAATATTATGTATGAAGCAGGTTGGGGATGCACAGTATTTGAAGCACATGGGCTGATTCTTAAGGGGTTACATCCATATCTCTTTCTGGTGTAGCGCACCTCTCCTAATATGTCTGTACATAGTAGTAGTATATCAAGGTACAACTTATACTTCTGCTACATGTATGTATATACATAGAGTTAAGGTAAAAAGAAAAGCATTGATAAACGTGTTAAGAATCTGAATGAACAAGTAAAGATACTATGTACCTTCAATCTCTTCGTACTTGAATAGATTTAGTTTATGTAGCAAGGCCTCACAGTCAGGAATGAGAGACACTTATCCTTGATACCCAAAACATCCTCCTTTGATGGATCAAGGCGTGACCAACATTCAATGTTCCAAGTTACTAGGTACGTACCTAGGAAGGAAGCTGTGGAATCTTACCCGGGATTACTTGCGCGGAGCCTTCAAGTTCTAGCCTGCTCGCCTACTCACCTGCTCTCATTCATTGGAGGCCTGCAAATCATATCGAATAACTAGCTGGTGGGCGTTCGAGCTATGTTATGTGGATGTGTCCGTATCAATAGGCTGATAGGTAGAGTTGTTACTGACTTTCACGACTCCCCTTCTCCCCCCCCCCCCCCCCCCTTTTTTTTTGTCTTGAATAATACAATTCATATTGCTGCAAGCCCTTCAAGCTATGAGGCAGTGATGGATCAGATATAACCCCAGCATAGTATAGGTCTCTTCGGTTCAATGTTGCAAAAGCTTATCCGTATGCCGTATGTGCCTCGATAATTGATGTAGGCGTACAAATACAAATTGGTGCGACTTGGGCTTGCATTGTCCCTACTGTTTGTAAATAAGGGGGATGAGAATCTTAGAGGATACGCAAGCTTAAAGCAGGTAGGCTACTTTTTAGGGGCAGTGTTACGCCAGTGCAACAACTCGGACACTGGTAGATGCAAAGTCTTGAGGTCATTGGTCGACAGAGCTGCTGCGTTGAGATTTGCCTGTGTAGATGCACTTGTTTTGGCCTACCCCTTGCTACTATATACCTAGTATGTAATGGACGATAACCACATAAGGTATGTACATATGTAGTTAACCCTTAATAATGTTGTCTGCTTTCGTATACATAATACTTCAAATGTTGTATGGAGTCTACTATGGACAGCAGTTTAGTTGATGTTGACTGCATGTGTCGACGAGATAGATTTATATACGTGCATATATGTGCATATATGTACATATTAGGTATATGTATGTTGTAAGTATTCGTATAAATCAATAAAATAAATAGACTTCAAAGTTGAATCTGCTTTTCGGTGAAATTTGCTTATACCGAGGCAGCGAGGTTCGACAATTGTGACAATTATGTGATTAGATCCAATCTGATTGGGGTAGGGCACTGGATTGCGAAAAGAAAGGGGGGAGAGTTAAGAGAAACTGGCCACAGGAAGTGAAGAGGGGAGTGCCAAACCCCCAGAAACGCAGCTAGAGTTTTCGTGTGGTTGTAATCAGCTGCAATGAACCACATGCAGACCAGGCAAAAGTTTAAAAAAAATCATTCTACGGCAGGGAATCCAAGCACAAATCCAAGGTCAAGTACCATAATACATATAATAGCATAAAAAATGGTACAGAATATTACATTCACGCTAACAAGGGGGCTTCGACGTTAGTAACGCTACATATTACATGTAGTAGGTAGGTATGTACTATGTATGTAGCAGCTAGTAGTACTACTATGTACGAGGATTGATGTATGTACTTCAATGTTCAATGTTTTATGTTGGTACTGGTCATATGTATTGTACATACAAATGTACACACTACATTTGGGTGTACGTTTGCTGTATTACCTCTGTGCTTTAATGCTTTCAATGTTAAGCTTCCGCAACTTGACCTTTATTCCTTATCACAGATTAACATTGAAATCATCATCAACATAACTTCGTAAGTGCATATTTCCTCTCTTTCTCTCTCCTCTTTTCCCTGTTTTTCCTTTATATAAATTTTGTTGTTTGGTTGAAATTGAAAATTTGCCTTAACTAAGGCTTAAAGAAGCAGCGAAAGAGGTGTGGTAGCAAGATGGCGGATGAACAATAAATACAAAATGATCGAGACGCTGGTGGATATGGGCATTCAGGTCTTGTGTTTACATTCGTTTTAGGAATAGGGAGATGCTGATTCTCAAAGCGTTAACGAAAAAAGGGAATCAATGAAGTCGCTCCTACGTAATTTAAGGTTTGGGCAGGTAGGTATACAGTATTAGAGATCCGGCTAAACCTGGCAGGAACATATTATATATGTATACTTCAAGGTTCTTATGTATTAGCTACTACATATGTATGTATATACATGCATACATTAGATAGTAGTATGTATTCAATGTTTAGAACATTAGTCACAAACATGGAATGCATTCTTCCCCTTTTCGTCTGGTGGTTACATGTATGTGGTGTATGTAGGAACTTGAAGGACTACCGCCCAGCCATCCCATCCCATCTTTTTCATGTATCTCTTATCACCCATCAATCCATCGGTGATAGTCGGAGCAAGCGCAAGCTATTCCACATTTATTAAGCCCAATATTAACACTATTACAATATTAACACTATTATAAATTTGAACTTCAGTATGTATGTAGTATACGCAGAAGAACAATTAAACCTGAAGGAGAGAACAGTGAATTTGAAGAAGTAGTGACATCGGTACAAACCTAAAAGCAATGGCATTAGATTCCAAGAACGGCATGGAGCAAAAACATATGTGCAGTAATGATTGATAGTATTAGTATATAGCCCGTAATAGTAGTAGTCGTAGTAGGTAGTACATACTATGTAATAATCCGCTACAAATGATGACGGAATGAATGAATGTAAACATGGAATGAACGGATGCGCATATGAATGATTGATGAAGGGAAAGGGCTAAGTGATACAGTAATAATACATGTAACAAAGCAACATGGCACACCTTCCTCCATAATGCTAACCTGGGTAGCCAGTACAAACCACACCGTGGATCCCAAATCACCTCTAGCTCCTTCCTTGTATGTAACTATGTAGGTATGTATTGTATCGCGCTGATTGCAACGTCCAGGAACGCTACAGCGCAGGTTCGAGAAAAGGTACCTTCCCAGCAAAATTAGGTGGGGTGGATACTTAGTTGGCATTTAGCAGGAAACATTGAAGCAGCCCACACCATGGGGGTGTGTGTTCTTGTCTTTGAGCACTCGCACCACCTGGGCAGTCTGAGCGGACTAGTAGACGGTACATATGTACATATATAGTACAGTACGGTCAATACCTCCAGCTAGCACTGGTACAGACCGTATAGTATGTACAACTTGAATACATCAATAGTAGCATTTGATGTACTGTAAAAAGCACCGTTGACCTGGGCAGACAGCACTGCCAGGTACTAACTGGAGCTCGCTTGGTCACCCCCCCTAGCTGCCAGCCAAAAATCACTCGGTCACTGTGCCTGTCTACCTAGTACCTTACGGTCTGTCGCCCGCTTGCCCGCTTTTTGGTGCAGACCCCTCCCTCTTTTTGCACCCTCCCTTAGAAATTGGGGCAGTCTTAAGTCTTGCTCTACACACAATCACCCACGCGCAGTAAAAAGGGAGTAGGCCAACGCTCCCCCCATACAAATTTCCCTCTCTTCTCCCTCATACAAATCTCCCACCAAAATCGTCTCTCTTACAAACACCGCCTACACTCAACCTCAATACCTGCACATACAAATTGTGAGTACCTCCATTTATATGGCACTTTACTGCAAATCCCAAGTCACTCTACCACATTTAACACTCTACCCATTTCGTCGCCAAATTCGTATCAATTTGTCAATTTGGAATAGACGATTACCAAAATCATTTCATTTTTTTCTTCTTGCATTCTCGTCAAGTTTTATTTGCAGCTCCAGCTCCGTCTTTAAAAAGATTTATATCTCTTTAGATCGGCTGTTGCACTGATAGCTTGCTGCAAACCATCATCATCCAAACCCACCCACCTTGCATTTTTAAGGTGATCAATTGCGCTGACTGCAGTTTCGCGCAACAGCTTTATCAACCACAACATCATCGTTGAATACTTGTCGAATTTTCTCTAGGTATGCAGATTGCTTTACTTAGATCGATTCCAAGCTTCAAGTCGCGGTTTTTACGCGTTGGCGCGAGCAATTGCATTTGCGACAACATCGCGTCGCATCCAAACATACCCGTGCATCACCTCACTACTGAATCCAATTGCCCCTCCATTCACACACACCATTTACCACATGACACTACTCGCGCGCAATCGCAATAGTCGCCGAACAACTCTAAATTTTAGCCCTTTTCAGCGATGTCAATTCTTAACATAATATATCTTGAACTTGGATTTAAATCTTAACTTATCCGAACCAGTCCCAAACTAACGTCTTATTCCATAGCACCTCCAACAATCATCATGCCTAAGGAAACCACTAAGCGCGGCAAGACCGGCAAGGTTGAGAAGAGAAAGGGCAAGAAGGGTAAGTCATTCACCACCTAATCAACCCCGACCTCTTTGAGGACACAGATGCGACCTGGGCACCGAGCCCAGCGTTTTCCTTACCATATCCTTTGCACTATGTAGCTTGGTTCTTGCTCGATATGGTGGAGCAAGCCTCGTTGGGCAGAAGATTCCCAAACCCACTGTTGGATTGATCATTCGTATTTTGGTGTATCGACTAATCAATTGTGCAGACCCCAATGCACCCAAGCGTGGTCTCTCAGCGTACATGTTTTTTGCCAACGAGCAACGTGAGAACGTTCGTGATGAGAACCCGGGTATCTCATTCGGTAAGGCATCCTTGCATTTATCTAATGATTTTTGTGTTAATCCCGTCGCAGGCCAAGTTGGCAAGATTCTCGGCGAGCGATGGAAGGCCCTGAACGACAAGCAACGCACCCCATACGAGGCGAAGGCTGCAGCCGACAAAAAGCGATACGAGGATGAGAAGCAAGCCTACCAGGTAATTCCCTCAGTGTAGCCCCTCTCGACAAACCATACTGAGCGTAGCTGACTAGGCCGAATCCGATTAGGCTGGCGGCGATGAGAGTGAATAAAGCAATCAGCTCGGTTCGCCTGCCTATCGGTTACGAGGTTCATGACATGACTCAGGATGGTCGCCAGCCTGGGAAGCCTTTGGGCCGTGGTAGATGCTCTTCTCTCCTTTCGAAGTCTAATACGTATGGGATCGGTCGGTGTTGATGCACAGGGAAAGGGACATTGCGTTACAGTTTTCTTTTGCGTCGTTTTCGCTCTGATAACTGGAATCAGGGCGGGGGGTTACATTGATCCAGTGGCGTTGTCGTGGAAGACTTCAGCTACCTAACGAGGCACAGAGCAATCAAATCGATGCTTCTCGACAACACGATGTAAAATAGCTTGCTTTTGCAATTAACGAAGAGTTGACAGCACAATACAGTGTTGATCTATGTTGGCCTTACCAGCCTCAGAAAGTCGTAGCAACCAAGCTGTAAGAGAGGTGATTGCAGACAATATCAAGCAAGTATAAATTATCCCACGTGGCTAGGTTCAGCCCACTTGGAGAAGTGCTCGGCAGACAGACGCATGCAACGAGGATGTACATATTTCCAAAGATGGAACAATTCGGTTAGGAGTTTGACCACGGTGTTTGAGTGGAATCCATGCCTCACCTTAATGTTTAATATAAGGCTACACCAAGTCCTGTATACCATCCACGTATTCTGTTCAAATTCCCTACTAGTACCAAGTACATGTAACACATGGATGTACCTTATATGTAGCCTTACAATGTATACTAGGCATGATATGTTACTGAATCTCGAATGATTTGGTTTACCGGAATAACGTTGGCGTTACTCGATACATACCTGTACATAGTAGGTTCAACATTGAATGCTCCCACCGCACTGTCCTGTCAGATGGTTGCCCAGTTGCATGCATACCTACATATGTAAGTTCAGGGTTGCATTAAGCTCGGGCTCGGCCGTACATACAGCCGCGTTTATATAAGGGGCATGGATCCCATCAAGTTCAATCATTTAAGATCGAGAAACCGTTGGAACTTTATCTAACCTACCCTCTACTCACCTACCTATAGTAATCATCAGTATCTTCTATCGAGAGTGTCACAGAAATCGAAAAATACCTATGATATAAAACCTCAACCGAGTCAACTAGACGTACATACATACGCTATACCAGGTATATATCTCCGATTTCTATATAACTAAGTCCGGATCAAATCGGGCAGATCCAATCTGTACTGGCTCCCAACTTAGGCATCTCTGAGATTGGGAATGCATGCAAGCGCTTACGAGCCAGCACGGCGCGATAAAATAACCGGTTGATCTCCCGCCATCGGAACCTCAATCGGAGCAATGCAGAACCTAACTTGGAGATTCTCATGTGTCCCCATCTTCTCTCAGATCCTAGACGAAGCTCCTGCATATTCGAGAATGCACCGCATTTCATAGTCAGTATTATGCTACGCGACAGCCTACTTATTAAAAAAAAACCCCCCAATAAAATATATCTTTCCTTCAATGCTCCCTTCTTGTATATACCTATATATACATCTTCGTACCTATGCATACCTACTAGTTCAGCATCCCCAATCAGCCTGTTACTCGCTGAAAGGATATCCTCGAAATATCAAGCTCACTTTCATTCATCATATACCTTTTCTGTCGCCTGATAACCGCCAGCGAGCATGGATACAAAGATATCCCCCCAACTGAAACAATGTATCGCCAAGGAGTTCCATCATAAGCGGCTAACGAGACAAACGGTAAATTGGTAACAAAGTGCCGCGGCAAGTTAGAAGCTTCGAGGTTCAAATATTGTCTTTCCTTGCCTTTCTCCTTTTTGTCGCTCACCTCCTCCAGCTGGGTACGGATCGCGCCAGGTCACAGACAAACAAGCGGCTCGGTAGTATCATCATGTTTCCCCCTCGTCTCTCCTCGTCCAGTCTGATATCTTCCCTGCATATTATTTATGCAGGTGCTCCCTTCTCCACGCTGTGAGTATAGTAACACTGATCACTCTACGCCTGATCCGGCCTTACGGCCAAGCTCTATCCAATCCCTGGTGCATACGCTTGCCCAGGTGCTTTAGAATCGTGCTGCCGGGCTTCGTGGCAGTATCTTACTTGAGTCAGTATGTTCGAGAAGCCACTCTCTATCTCTTGAGCTGCCCACACTGGCAAACATCCGTGAAACTACCTAAGTGGCCAAGCCAATTGGCTTTTTCTTTTTTTTTTCTTTCCTTTTTGTTTTACCGTCCTGGTCTCCTTCATGTTTGTATCGGCAGATTCCTATGCTGGACATGATTGCTGCCAAATTTGACTACGGATTGCCTCCCGGAGCAAAGGATTATCGTCACCGTCATTTTTGATTTTTGTTCTCAAGCAGTCGACACAGGTGATACTAGGTATTGTCACTTACATCAACAACACATGCAAGATCCAGTCGACCTCAGTTTTTTTATTCAATAAAGCCAGAATTTAAAACCTCCAATGGTTTTGTGCCGCTTTAATCTCGTCATCATATAATCTCCTCCCCTCCCACCTTCGGCGATTATCACTTCACGGACTCCACATACACGGAACCCTTTCGGATCGCTTCTTCTCTATTGGGGAATACATATATTTTTACACGTCACCCCACTGTAGTTGGGCTCTTTCTATCCTCACGTTATATGTCATTCACATAGAGTGCAACCTTTCAGAGGAAAAGTAGGTATTCATAAATTTCTAGCCTTTAATAGGTACCAGGACCAGCTCCTCTTCATAGCTACTTCTTCACTATTGAATCCATTCCCAAGTCCCTCTTCCCCACACAGCCAACTGTCGGATCAAGTGCGGAGACGACGATCGTTCGTATGCTTATCAAACACCGAGTAAAGCTACCGGTCCTCTTTAAATCAGACTCCGTCGTCATTCTTAGCTTTAATGCCGTTCTCTTGTTCCACATACCACGACTAAAACCGCTCACGAGCTACGCCAGCCTGGCTGTACAACAAAACGTTGTCCTTTGGAGGCTGTGGAGGAGGTTGGGACGGCTTTCCTGAATTGAAAATATTATCATCATCTACCATAATGAGACTTTGAATAGTTAAAATCGATATGGACCCTATTTTGTGCCGTACCAGGACGCCCGGCAAGCTAGCTGTCCAGCAGCTTCGCCCTCAACTACTTAACGGATGTTACCATGAGGCTGACCGTGCCGATATTGTCGGCCTCAACCTTCAGATGTTGCGAGATACTCTTCCACAGTCTTTCCATGCTCATATGACTGGGGTCATCGAAGAGATCTTTAACACGAGCCGGCTATTACGAGATCTTGCGGAGCAGGCACAAATACATGTCTTCCAGCTGCCCCCAGTCTATGACTATCTTAACGTCATCCTGCCATGTCTATGCCGGACTCTTCGAGACATAATGTCATTCTACGAGGACAAATCAATGAATAAAGAACACCGTTGGAGAACCATGTACCATAAGCTAGGAAATGAGCTTCCTGGAACGACACTGCCAGCTAGAATTATCATGTACAATCAGTTCCTTCGATTGCTCCAGGACCTTCTGACAAGGTAAGGCAGTTTCTGTCATATACAACGACCGAGCGCCAGACATTTGCGTTAAACGAAATCCAGATCGCCAAACTTTGACATGAATGGAATGGAGTCTCTACGGATCCGCATCCTGCAGCTTCGCGAAGCGAGAAAAATACGTCAGTAGCTCATCTCTTTCATTCCTCAAAGTGTAACTAACTCATTCATAAGCCCCTCCCAACCCCATTAGAACGGACCTCATTAGACGAGACGAGGCTTTGGAGTTTTGGAGTCGAGAGACCGTATGCTTCCTTCCCTTCCATCCTAGGATTATCATGAGGAGGTATGATATTGATAACGTGCAGGACTCTCACTGGGCCGAGGCGATCTTCACACAGCCACTACCATATCGAAGGGAGTTCAAGCATCAAGTAAGGTAAGTCTGTAAATCATGCAATAAGGTCCAATGCAGGGCCTCAGACCAACGCTTCACAGGTCGGACTTGTTCGGCAATTTACAAATGTTCGGCCACCTCCCGCCCCTCCCAAGAGACGTGAAGGTATTAGTCAAGAGGCAAGTACAAATTCCGTCTCGATAATTCAATGTACCTACTGGTACACATGCTTGCCATATTAACAAGTGCCTCAGATCGTTCGATAAAGACCGTATCTCGGTTATATTCTTTATGCAGCTAAAAAGTCAAACGCCGTACGTCTATATCCGAATTAAGCAAGGCAGTCAAAACTGGGTTTCTGTATTCGGTGTACACGAGCTGTCTATTCGAAGAGGGGCCGACTCAGTCTTGGACTTGTCTATGTGGGATTTCGCGGAGCGTAGTGCCAAACCCTGGGCCAGCCTATCCTTTTTGACCTGGGAAGGTTAGTACTATCCTTCCTCACAACCCGAAGAGGGTAGTACCAGTGGAAGATATATCTAACAAGGAGTAGAATTGGTGCTTTTTTATTGCACTTTCCTCTGCCTGAAAATTCGTAGCCCGCGGACCAACCAAGTCAGGCCTGAGGAATTCCACCTACGTAAGGAGAGACGTTTATTTCAGGCGTAAGCTATAGACTCTATCCACGTAGCGAATCAGAGAGGCTAACGTGTGATTTCTAGTCAAATCATTGACGATGGGTATCAGCACGTCCTTATGGTTTTCGAGGATGCCATAACCGGGGGTTATCGCCTCCATGCTGCAGTCTGGGATGGCAAATTCCGAGCTTGTCCTGTGTGGACAGCGTTTAGTAAGAAACCCTACCACCCCTTTCTGAGCAATCACTATATTCACAATTCTTTGACCCTTTGTTTTATTTATCAATTGACCGTCGTTCGTTCAGTTCCCCCAAATGTGTCTTCGTCTTGGCTCATCCGAAAAACCTCGAGACGCATCTGGCTACGCGACATACAACCATACGTGTTTTTCGAAAAGTACCGACCAGCACACCAACGAAGGGGTCGGCTTGGTGCGTTCGAACTAGCTTTCGCACATAGCGAGGCTGCCTCGCGATTTCATGAACTATTTGCGTCGTCGCCGGTCCCATCTGCTGCCTCGGTTGCCCATGATTCTTCACCAGAAACGAACGACACCTCAGAGGCCACTAAGTAATCGATATACAAGAAGGAAACATCAACAATGGGGGCGCATATCTCCCCCAAACGAAGCTGGCTCGTAATATACCATTCCCAAATAACAGCCCAACCCAGTTACCGAAACGACATCATCCAGTGGAGGACGAAGACGTATCTTGATATTAACTATCATACTCATGCTAACTAGCACCTATCCTCCAGGTGCTAGCCCTTTCATTACTTAACACACGTCTTCTCGAAGCATAGCAGATCTACTTTTCTTTTCCCTTCTTTTTACCTCTCTCATACTCGAAGCCGAACCAATGCAATCACATCCACGTACCTGTTTACCTAATACCCCATCTACCTAGTAAGAAAGGACAAGGAAGATGCGTAATAGCATGAGCTTGTACGATTTCGACAGAGATGATATCTTTACGAGAACACGAAGTTTTACGACACGAAGGCGAGCCCATGACCTAACGATGTCTACGATTAAACGTTTTCATTTTTCAAAAACGTTCATTACATCCGTGGAAAAGGTAGACGAATGACAATGGCGAAAGGCAGATTGTTTGATGATACCCACCAATTTCCTACCCTATCAAGCATCTAGCGAAATTTGAATTTCCTCTCATCCTTCATTAATACTGTAAATTTCCAAGCTTTTTCCGTCATTTCTACTTGATGATATTTCCAAGTTCATAGGGGCTGTTAGGGGCTGTTTTGATTATGAACTTACGATTATCACCTTGGTGGTGGGCCAGGAAGTTTGTGCCCAATGATACCCATCTGTGGCAGTCTCACGAACGAAAAAAGCACGATGCGGATTTAACTTCCCTGCTTATTCTCACGGGCTCATGCCCATAATAGTCAGAAGTTGCCTATCTAATTTAATCGAGATTGATCTCTGCTGAAGAACATTTTATAGAAATGATCGTACCGTACAAGCACCAGAATTCAAAAAAAAAGGGGGGGGGATAAACGCAAAATCCGGGACTCGAATTTGACAGCTTCGAATATCCTCAGTTTTGTATCTCGCATTGACAAGTAATGAACTGCTCTACGTATACAAGTATAGGTTATTAAAATTCTGCTATCAATACCTACCCACGTCACTGAATCGTGGATTGAGTAGATACGTCAATATTACTCAATACATACCTACCTACCCAAACAACAGGGTGCATCACTTGCCAGACACTACCTAAACGACTGCTATTTTCCGGTAATGATTGTAACCTCATGGTATCATTGGAAGACCATTAACTCTTGACCGGAGTCATGTACGGCTCTCAAGCTAACAATTTGTACGTAACAACACCCGTCATATAATTTATTGCTGGGAGGGTGGTTATCGAGTCAGTTCATACTACATGAACTTTCATTGATGCAGTCAACGACACCTTCAAAAAAAAAAAGCTGGTGCCAATGGCGTGACGTCCTTTGCGCAGCCCTAATTCACGTTTTACTTCGATGGAGATTTTCTCAGAGGAGATGCAAATATACCAGATCCTAACCACCAAAACCTCATTCTTATTTAATGGTAGCCAATGCCAAGATTCTTGAAATCGCTGTAATAAGCCTATAAGCATTCTTTGGTCACCACTTGGTAGGTATTTTACCTACCCAGCAAGCAAGTAGTAGGTATATCAGCTAGAATAATGAGTGTTCGGTATCTATGAAATCTTCTCGGGCCCCTTTTTGCCACCGTGATCAAAATCGAGGGATGTGAAGTAATTCAGATTAGAGTTATCCTAGTACTCGCTGAAATGCTGTGAAGCAAGACGCTGGTTGGTGTTCTTTCTTCCTTGACCCCTGAAATATATTTTTATCTAATGTCTCTTTACTATACTGATGAAAATCTAGCAGTTTAAACTGGATACATATCTGCCTATGGCCTTTCTATTTTTCTTACAACCATATATCCATCGCTGGAGATACTCTCTTTGTTGGGTTGCTCATGGTTGCGGTTGTGCCTTTTGGACAACGCTTCGTTCAGCAACAAACCAGACAGCAGCAACAAGATGGCTATCTTTGATATTGATACCCCCCCCGGTTATTCCGAGCCACCTAACAGCATCCCGTCCATGGGGACCAATGTTCATAACGGACTTATCGTCATCGGCACCATCGGTGTAATTTCGCTGCTATTCACAAGTACCCTCTTAGGCTTCATGACGTGGCGCATGCTTAACCTGAACCATTATTACACCTCATCTTATAGTAGAAATCAATCGGTCATTCTTATTTACCAGCTTATATTAGCTGATTCGATACAAGCTTCTTCCTTCATCATCTCTCTCTATTGGGCGTCTCAGCGACAGATCGCGGGGCCGAAGGCAGCGTGTTTTACGCAAGGGTTTTTGGTTCAACTCGGAGACGTCGCGAGCGCCTCCTTCGTTCTCGCGATAGCGGCTCAGACGGTATACCATGTCATCTTCATCCGAACCTTGTCGTACGGGACTTTCGTGTCTTGTATTGTCGCTCTTTGGGGGCTTTCTCTGCTCCTTTCTTTCCTCGCGCCCATCATTGGCGGACGTTTTGTGTTTCTGACAAATGGTGTCTGGGTGAGTAAAATGACCTTCCCCAATAACCCAAGTAACCAGAATAGTTGTCCTTGATTCAACTTTCTAACACCTGGATATAGTGCTGGATATCAAGGGAGCATAAGCCACTTGGCATTGCCCTCCGCTATGCCTGGGTTTTTATTGTCGAGCTCTTTGCCATCCTTTGTTACGGCGCCAGCTTTTACTATGTCTATCGTGGTTGCGTTTCAGGCTCGCGCAACGCCCTAACGGCGATGTTGGCCTATGCGATAGTATATACCACCCTGAGTCTTCCAATAGCGTCAGTTAATACCCAACCCAACGATTCTTCCCACTTGCCATGACTGCGAGAACTTACACTATCCAACTCCTCAGAGTTTGTCGAATGGCTGCCATGGCACAGGTAAATGTCCCAGAAAATATTTTCCTATTCGCCGGCGCCCTCTTCACGTGTTCCGGGTGGGTCGACTGTCTGCTATACGCATTGACGCGGCGGTCCGTACTCTTCGACGAACCAGAGGTCCGGCTTGTTCGCCACCAGAAGCAGAAACATGCTGTCCAAGCTAGAAACTCCTTGCGGAAATCGAAAAGTGTCCAGAGATACCCAAGCGCGTGCACGTTGGACAATCCCAACTCGCATTCTAGTAGGGGTATTCAGATGGAGCGAACGGTGAAGGTGGAAAGTATCAGAGGAAGGCCGGATCTGGAGACGGGGGTCCATTATGCGTCGGTGGAGGCCCTTAAGCTGCAATCGAGAAGCTTGCAGTCGAGAAGCCATTGAAGTTTCGTACCATTTGGTTAGCTACACAGATAACTACCTAAGTTAGGTACCTTGTAATCAACGTAATACTCAATTACCATACGGTCCATACCTCAAGCTTTGCGTTAATATGATACTATCGTCTACCTTGCCATCAATTACCATTCCCAATCCTTCCCGGATGATTTATCACCCCCGGAAAAGTGCATCTAAGCCAAACCGGGACCGTAGGCCTAGCTTTCGGGACCTATGGGTGCTTCGGTCCCGAGTATTGGTGGTATTAGTGGGGCTCGGGGTTCGGCTCTGGGTAGGATTCCTTAGTCCGAGTGAACGGGACGGCCCGAACGTGAGTCAGATTCGGCTCGGGACCTGAGTGTGGAGTGACTTCAAAAAGAATAGGGGTGTCTAATTGTCCTCGACGACTAGCTTACGTACCTGCTATGGGTATAATAAGGTAGGCTTGGCCTGTCGGTTCAGTCACAACACTTCGATATTTACTTACTTAAGTAGGTACTCATCATTACTTGTTCCTCTAACCCCCTACCTCACTATTCTCGCCACACAAATTCACACTTCCCACAATGGCCCAAACCTACGACGTAATCATCGCCGGCGCCGGCCCCATCGGCCTCTTCCTCGCGTGCGAGCTAGCCCTCGCCCATACCTCCGTGCTGATCCTCGAGCGCGACCCCTCCCCCTCCTCCGTCTGGAAGTCGAAGCCTCTCGGCCTGCGCGGCCTGAACACCGCCTCCGTCGAGGCCTTCTACCGGCGCGGGCTGCTCGACCACGTCGCCGAACCCAGCCCGGTGGCCCACAATGCCCCCGGCTTCAGGTTCGGCGGCCACTTCGCGGGCCTGCTCCTCAACGCCAACAAGCTCGACTTGGCCCGCTGGCCGTACCGCCTCGATGGCCCGGCGCTGAACCCGAGCCCGACGACTATTGCTCGCGTGGAGGCTGGGCTGACGGAGCGCGCGGAGGGCTTGGGCGTCACGATACTGCGGGGGGAGGGGGTCGCGAGGGTTGAGCAGGATGCGAGCGGCGTGACCGTAGAAACAGGAGACCAGCAGACGCCATCGTCGTTCAGGGGCAAGTGGCTAGTCGGCTGCGACGGCGGCCGCAGCACAGTCCGCAAGGCCGCCGGCTTCTCGTTCGAGGGCACGGCGCCGACGCTCACGGGATACGTGGCGCGCGTGGACCTCGACCACCCCGAGAAGCTGAAGCCCGGGTTCCAGGCCTCGCGCGGCGGGATGTACATCGCGCTCGAGGCGCCAAACCTGTACCTGCTCGACTTCGACGGCGGCGCCTTCGATCGCTCGCGGGAGATCACCGCGGCGCACATGCAGGGGGTCGTTCGCCGCGTTGTGGGCGAGGGCGTAAGCGTCGCAAAGCTCCACCTCGCCTCCTCCTTCACCGACCGCTGCATGCAGGCCACGCGCTACCGGCGGGGCCGCGTCCTGCTCGCCGGCGACGCCGCGCACATCCACTCGCCGCTCGGCGCGCAGGGCCTGAACCTCGGCCTGGGCGATGCGCTGAACCTGGGGTGGAAGCTGGCGGCGACGATCCACGCACAAACATCAACCCCAACCGCAGAGAAGGAAGACCTCACCCTCCTCAACACCTACGAAGCCGAGCGCCTCCCGCTCGCCAAATGGGTCCTCGAGTGGACGCGCGCGCAGGTCTCGGTGCTGCGGCCCGACGCGTTCGGCACCGCGCTGCGCGACCTCGTGACGGATCTGATCGCGACGCCCGACGGGACGAACCTGTTCCTCGGGAGGATATGGGGGTTGTCGCAGAGGTATGATCTAGGTGACGGGCAGCACCCGGTTGTCGGGTGCAGCGTCCCCGAATTCGAGCTCGATGACGGGTCGAGGCTGGGCTCGAAGATGGCGGGCGGGCGAGGGGTGATGGTGGATTTTGGGGAGGACGAGGGCCTTAAGGGGTTGGTTAAGGGCTATGAGGGGAAGGTCGATTATGTGAGTTTGGGCGCGAAGGACCAGCTCGGTCTCCGGGCCTTGTTGGTCCGTCCTGATGGGATTGTTGCTTGGGCCAGTGAGGAGGAGAAACCTGATACTGGTGCGGCTAAGGCTGCTCTGGAACGTTGGTTTAGGTGTGGTTCTTGATACCTAGGTACCTACCTAGGTAAAGGCGGTTTGGATCTCTGTATTGGCGTATTGACTCTGGCGTTTCGGTGTTTAGGTAGACAAACTCTGCTCTCCCCTTTTAAAGATACCTTATTGAGCTTTAGATAGATCAATATGCGACTTGTATAGTAGTACCTAGGTAGGTACGATAAATGAAGAAATACACAACTCTCTTAAGATAAAGCCCATCGACATCAAGGATACTAGAAAGTCATAATATGACTAGGTAGGTTTTCAGGGGTACGGCGAGAGCCACCCCAATCCCTTAATATACCCACCTACCTAGATACGCTACGTTTACGTGCGAGAAACATTCACATGCTTGCCAAAGTGACATTTGTAATTTTGCATAATTAGGTACTGTGAGCTCAAGATCTGGTATCATTCACGACGCCGTTATATACAGAGCGAACCTTTTCCCAAGTCCGCCGATGGCCCTGTTCTCATATATCTTACTTAGGTACACACCCTACTACCTAGGTAGGTAGTCATTATTTTAGTCTCTCCTGGACTTCTTAGCCTTCTTACTCTTCTTATCCCCGAAAGCCTCCTCGTAGACCTCCGCCGCCGTCGTCACGGCTTTCCGCTTGCCTTGCTTAGACTTTACACTCACGACGGGGTTGGACTGGCCCTTCTTGGTGGCTCTTGCAACCTGCTTCTCGGCATCTTCCCACCCGGGAGCGTCGCCCTCGATTTCGTACCTATTATTTCTGTGTTAGTAATGAGTTTCTCAGGGGTTAGGAAAGAAGAGGGTCTTACTGGTCGAGAGGAAGGGAATCAATAAGCTCCCTTTGTTTTGCCCGTAGCTCCTTTAATGCCTCATCACCAGCCTCATCTAGTTCGGCATCTAAGCTTGTTTCTAACGGCGCATACTTGTCGTCTACCACTTCATCCTCATGGACACCAGCAGCATTTTCTCTGCTAACACCAAGCACGTCTGACTTCGGCATGTCGGCCTCCACGGCTGATGAAATTAGGGACGAGAAGTGCGATGTTATTTTCCGTATGATCTTCATAAACATGGCTAGGCCTTGTGAGGACTCGAGGGAGAGTTCTGTACATATGGCACCCACGTCCTTTCGCTGCAATCCGATTCCTAACAAGAGGGCCCGCTGTACGCCTGTGAGCTTTATGCTCGATTTCAGAGGACCTGTGAAGTAAAGATCGGCTAGTTTAGGAACGAGATCGAGAATAGCGTGGTGGTCTAGGACACCTCTGGCATAAGACTCGAGTCTTTTACAATCAAAAGGTGTCATGGTTCTGTCTAATTCCGATTTGGTGAGTTCGGGGAGCTGGTTTGTTGGGTCCAGCTGGGCGCCCGCTGTGGCAGACTGGTCTATACTTAAGGCCAGGACACAGGGGAAGTCGCGGAACTTGTAGGAGAGCAGAGCGAGAAAACGGCGATGGAAATCAGCAGCAAACGCTCCAAGCCATTCTCGATCCTCCTTTAACGGTCTAAGCATGACACACGTGTGCTCCCCTGTTAAATCATTGGCGGTTTGTCGCTGTGAAAGAATTAGCCATTTTAGTTTTGAAGTGTATTAAACATTGATTTCTCAACAGAGGATATCTTACCAAGTAGACTGGTGTAAATGCGGCGCGCGTCCAGAACTTATGAAGAGGTTGAGTTAAGCCATAGCTGACACCGACATACTCCAAGTCTTCTGCCTTGCGTTCTGCTAACCTTGAGAAAAGAGGTTCCATCTTTTCAATATCCCGAACGGTGATGTCTTCGTTAAGGAGGTCGTTTCTAGTTGGCACAGTATCTATAATCCGACTAGCTGTCTCCTTGACAGAGGAATCGTTTTGCTCTCCCAGATTAATGAATTTCCCTTCGTAGTAGTCGGTTAGGAGTTCAAGTGCCTTTGATCCATAGCCCATGGAAACGCAGTCTGGGTGGGTTGCTATTCGAACAATGCGAGCTCCAGAAAGAGAAGCAAAATCGTCCTGGAACTGCTGACTGACTAGCCAAGGAATCAAGTCACCGGCAGGCCGTTGGCCTCGGTCTAGACCAGCCATGACACTTTTCTTGCTAATGTTTCCTTCAAGCGCAATTTGAACGACACACAAAGGCTCAGGGAGTCCATTTTCTTGAATGGTTGTGGAGGTTAACACGAAGAGCTCATGCGCCGGGGCATCGCTCAAAAGTTGAAGGTCGTCAGGGGAATTCTTGTAGTGGCTAGTCACGAAAAGAGCTATCATTTGTCGTAGGAATCTTTCTGGTACCGGATGGAAGGAGAAGAGGGTGTCACGGTTGACATGTAAGAGTTGACATTGTGAAGGATCGGGGAAAATGTTGTTTTTGGGCTTTGACGGGGTCACATCCAGGCAAAGTAGTGCATTGAGCCACTTCTCAACAGCATCTCCTTTTCCATAACGGATCGGCTCTGCTAGGGTGACTTCTTTTAGCGATCGTGCGCTTCGGGTTTCTCCCTCCTGAACCACACTAGTCGCGGCCTGCTCTTTTAGTTGTTTTATTAGCTTTAATGATAACGATCGCCCAGTACCTTCATAACCGCTGATCGTTGAAGCCATGAACACGGTGTAAGGCCCCAGGAGCTTTCGCACCAGTGCTAGTAATTGTTAGTACATCTAGAATTTATCGAAAAGGGGAATATCTGCATACGTAGTGGGATTGCTGCCGCTTCATCAATAATCACTAGCTCGGCCTGACCCAGGACATGGGCGTCTTGAGGTCGTATGTACTGAATGGTCTGTCGATGATTCCGGAAAATGTTTACTCTAACAATTGCTTTCTTGAACTCCGGGTTCGTAGATTGTATGATAGAGTAATCTGTGTGGTCTTGATAGTTTAGAGCATCGAAAGCTTTGAAAACAAATTCGAACAAAGTGCCCAAGTTTTCAGGGGAAGGAGATGTGACAAAAATGTTGCTGTATCCGTAAGACACAGCAGCCGCGATCGCAACGCCCACTGCTTCAGTTAGTATTCTTCTCTAATTTGGAAGTTCATCGAAGAAAACGTACGCGCTGCTGATTTACCACGACCACGTGCCGCAGTTAATGAGACAGTATTCCGTAGTGTCTTTGCAGCTATGGCCTCCACGAATGTGACCAGAGCATCAGCTTGATCCTTTGTCTTTGCAAGTTGAACCAATGAGCCTATGGGCTGTGTGTCCCGGAGCGACTCCTTAATTTTCTCCAATGCTATCTCCTCGGCGGACTTGGATTCTTCGACAGGTGGCAAAGGCTTCACCCCCCTGCCCCCAGATATAGGTAAGACATTCAGCTCGTCGTCTATGACAAGGCAAGATTCACATCGGCCTAGGGAGAGCAAGAAGCGTTCATTGAACCTCGCTACAACATCGTGATGGGCTTCAGTCCGGTAGCGTGAATGTACATCCATGGAAAGTGAATAGAGCTGCCTCAGACTATCCATTCCTTTCAGAAGAAGAACAACCAAACCTCCTCCCTCAACGGTCTCGATGGTGCGGGCCAGAGTATTCGGAGTGAGGGCTTCGAAATCTTGCAGAATGCACTAGAGAGAGGTGAGTATGTATATCCTTTCACCTTCAACATCCTAGAGTCAGATCGATATTCCTTACCATGCCAAAGGTCCTGCCAAGAATCTTGTCGGTCTCTTTATAGTAGACATATCTGACATCGTGAAGCGAAACGAAGAGCTCAAAGGGATCTTCGTTGTTGGCCTCTCGGATTCCGCGTTTGATCTGGTTCTTGATCTTGGCCTCCCTCTTCTTTCGATGACTGGTGAAGCCGAGAAGCTTGTTTTTGTATGCCCATAGTACAGATTTGTTTTGGCGCAGGTCCCTACTGGACATTATATAATGTAGTTTGACGATAACATCTTTGGACTGGTCGCCTACGACAACGAAGAAGCTTCGCTTGTGTTCGGCAAGGTTATTTTGGATGAGCGTAAGAATGCGCGAGTCACTAGTAGAGATGAATTATTAGATATTATTGGCCTTGTATATGCGCATGAACAGTGACAAGGTATAAGTAAAATCACCAATTACTTACACAGCTTTTCGTGACATTTTGACGTGCTGTTTTCAATGACTTTGCGCTTAACTCAAGCTCCAGAATCGAGTAATCGCTTCTTTTCACTTTGTCGCAAAAAAAAAGTTCAAAAGTTCCCGAGAAGCATTATTCTGCCAGGCGGTCTAGTGATACTGCCGAGCGGTGACCCGTGACCCCACTAGGTTAGTTAAGTCTGTATTATGTCATCAATTGAATTCAATTGAATTCATCTCATTAGAGTAATTATTTCCATTATTTGCATGTCTACTGGTATGCATATCTCATTCATCGCCTTCATCGCCTTCATATTTAGAACAGTTCATTCATTATTTTGTATTCATTCGTTCGAGGGTATGAAGCATGAAGTATTCATGAATAACAGAGAATCACACCGCCCCCCCACCTAAAATCTTGTACCATCCACTGTTTGCTCCCCGTAGTCCCTCACACGGACAACGCCAGCACGATTCAACTCCGGCCACAAAAGAAAAAGAAAAAGGCACCTCGGTGCCCTAGGTAGGTATCGTCGTCAATTGAATTGTCGCCAGATCCATTATACAGGATTAGTCTAACCCAGCTATTTATCTATCCCCTTTTCTTACACACACGCACAAATACACACCCTCGTAGGTAGGTAGGTAGGTAGACACAGGTATATCAACGACGAGCTTGCGCGTAGTCCGCCGGATTGTAGGCGTAACCACGACCCGTATGCGAACCCGACCACCGCGCCCGGGCGCCCGGGTGGTGGTATTCCTCCGTCGTCTCCAGGTGCGTCGGCAGCTCCGATGCGAAACCCTTGTGGTCGAGTCCGGGCGACGCGAACCCCGCGCTGCCCGTGTCGGAGGAGTACGAGGTCGGCCGTGAGCTCGTCAGCGATGGGCTCGGCTGGCCCTGCGACCAGCCCCAGGATTTCAGCTCGGGCGAGTGAGACTGGATGGACGACGGTGAGTTTCGGCCTTGGTGGTGTGCGTATACGGGTGACGGGTGAGGCGGCTGTAGGTGTGGCGATGACTGCGGGTGGTGGAAGTCGCCGGGGAGTTCCATAATAACCCCTTGGTTCCCTTGGCTTCCTTGGTAGTTTGGCGATACCGGTTGAGAACTAGCCAGCTCGGCGTATTGCTGGTGTATCTTGTTCTGCTGCTCATACGAGTTCTGCTGCTGCAATTGAGCTTGCCAATGTGCTGGGTAACTGAGTGACCCTGCCGTTCCGGGTCTGCTGCTCCCTAGTTGTAATGTGACAGGTCTGGGAACTTGATATGGTATCGACGGCGACATGGGCGATTGAAAGGGGCTCCCTGGTGGGAAACCTGGCGATACGAGTGGCGATTTCATACCTCCTCCACTTAGACCACCTGTGTAGGTTTTATCATTCGGGTTGAACGTCTTGAGCTTCCCGTCTTCGATCATAGCTTGAAGAACGCCTTGGTCAAGTAATTCCGCCTTCTTAATAATCCTCTCCACCATTTCTTTGCTCGCCGCCTTCATCTGAGCTTTTACTATACCCACCATGGTAATATTGCATCGGATTTCAATGTCTTCTCTCAAGTACAGTCCATCTTTCGGTGCGCCAAGCGCGGCGAGTCCAATCTCTTGTTGCTCCGGCGGTTCGATCCCTGATTGATTTCCCCCAACGCGATATTTGTTCCGAAGATCGATACCCATGGGCGCATAAATATGGGTTTGCAACCCCCATGGGAGATCGTGAAAGCAGCCATTGAAACTGATTTTACCGGATCCAAGTCTTCCTATGCCAGGAATATACTGAATGCGCTCGTTGATTTCGTACCATGTGGAAAAGTATTCATCAGAGGCGGCGTCGCGGGGCGCCTTGATTTGATTGTAACCCAGCACGAGGGGATTTAATGTGATGACCTCGCCATGGCTGTGAAGGATGTCGATAGCTAATTGGCGGGGTATGAATGTAGGAAAAGGCGTAATCACCGTGTATACTTCTTTCTTTTTGAGCACCATCGCGAGTTATAATAGGGTCGGTTGTCTTTCTTCAGTTAGTAGGTGTTTTGGTATTTTGGGCATTCATTAATTTGGACTAGAAAGAGACGAGGGCATAAGGGCATGAAGACTTGAGGAACAATCTCTTAGTTTTACAAAACACGTAAGCCTGGCGGAGTTTGATCGCATAATTACCTTTCTACAGGTGCCTGTTATTGCGACAAAAGATGGATAGTTCAGAATGTCCGTGCTTGTAACCTATAGGCAGGTACTTAGCAGGTAGGTAACTATCTATCTGTCTACCTAAGGAAAACAGAAATGATAGAAAAAGTGGTGGCCGGCGTCAGCAGTGTGGTGGGTGACACTGACATAGGTAAGTAGGTACCTTAGTTAGATGCGTCGATGGATCTCTACCTATGGATAGTATGATACTAAGCCAAGCTCATGTTGGAAAGTACATTGTAAACGGCATGTCCGTTGATGCTACACAAATAGATGAGAGTGACTTTCGTGTTCCCGTTTTAGGCCCCCCAGTTCTTCATCAGATAATATCTACTGTGCCTATTCTTGGTCTGGAACTAACATCCTCCTCCTTCGGCCAGTGAAGATCCGGTATTTTAAGCCACACCGCCACGGTAACCAGCAAGCTGGGCCGACGTTGGCGCCCGCTGGTTGGCCTCTTTAGCCTCCGGAGCCCAAGACAACGGGGAATTTCGTAATCCACCACTAAGAAAAAAAAGAAAGAAGGAAAAAAAACGCTCGCTCTCATGCATATGGGTAGCATATTGTAGGCATTTTCAACCCCACAATCGTGATGTAACTCAATCTATATATATGAAAGGCCTAGCTACTCTCATCGTTCTGTCGTTCTATCGTTCCATCGCTCCATCGTTATATTTACCAACAAACAAAGATCTTCTTTCAAGGGTGAACTTGGGTTTCTTAAATCATCCAAAAATGTATTAATGATCAGTGATCAGTGATCGACAAAGCTGAACCATGTCTACCAGCCAAATCACAACGCCATGCTCCGTCAGCAGGAACATGGCTAAAAATTTTGGCCAGGCTCTTAATATACCTGCCTACCTAGTACCTAAGGTACTAATCCATCTACTGTGTACCTAAGGTAGGTATGAAAGGATGACCCTTCGAGGAGCAGCACATGAATAATACCTAACCATTTAGTTTAGATGCCTTAGGTGGCACTAATTATGTGCCTACCTGCTTAGCAATGATGAGCTTTCCTATTACATACCCAAGTGCTTACATATGATCACATATAGGTGTGCCCAATTCAGTTATACAGTGCTTTACGACTTCCAACGCTGACAGGTCCAATACCACATTGGGGGAATATGCATCATGCGCCTGAAAGAACATGTCAGGGTGGGAATTGTGTTTCACACTTTCTACCTTAGTAGGTAGCCTGCCTTCCTACACTTAACAAAGGATTTGCTATCTTGTCTCGGGCCTGGATGAGAAAGTCTTGGACAGTCTCAACTACCGGAAGCCGAAGTGTTGCGAAAGACTTCTTGTTACTGGGCTGTCGATACCCTTACTTCGCTCCTCTTGCTGTGTCTAGGGAGTAGGTAGGTAGTTGTGCCACCAATCTCAGCACGGGCCCAAGCCGAAAGCGACATCTAGACATTCATCTACCTCAACCAATTGAGATGGTTGAAGCTATCTAGCTAGTCGGGCTAGCACACGCCATGAAAGTCCTACCTAAGTAGTTATGTACATGCTACCCCATCGTCAACTCTGCGTAGCCACTGCACCTTAACATGATAATAACTAGATACCGGTAGTCGCAAGGCCTTTGATACATAGTATAATGTACGACTGGCGGGTTTACGCTACCCGTCGCCAAACATTAATAGGCTAGATATCTGCCCCAAACCTTACATCGACGAGCTCTCAACTGCGAGCCTCTAAATTGTATGCTCCTAACCTATGGGTTGCTAGTGTCAGCCACGCATAAAACCCAATCCCGTCGCCTATCGGGCCTGATACAAGGTCTCCCCAACATTGAAGTTTCTACACTACCTACAGTACCTAGGATGTGACGTTAGCCGTCATTCAGACTGACACCATAGACAGGGTGAATTTCCAGGCGGAATACCAGCCACATGATGTGATACGCCGAAGCGCTATCTTTACCTAATGACCTCGGAATAGCCCAAATCCGAGCAGAATTTTTGCTCCCTTCATTTGGTTCTCCTTGCTTTGCCGCGATTTGATTGGGGACGAATGGACAGTTTCCACTACACTATAGGTGCAATGTTAAGGAACGGTCTCCTTGGCGACTACTATGTCCGTCGTAGTTAAACTAAGCACGGAGCGGCTCTTATCCTGATCTCGGGTTTGCATGCAAACCAGATCCGTTGATGGATAAGGCTACGCTAAAATGTAGGTCGTATTGATCGCGAACTCCTAATGAAAGCGACACGCCATTAGGCCATTATGGCTTACATCCCTAGACATATGTACATAATGAAATGCCCTCTCTCATGGACGAATGTATACCTAGCTACCTACATAGCTACCTACGACGTATGCCAGTGGGCTATCGGACGGGACTTGGCCATGTAGTAAGATCTAGGGTATATATGGCCGCCGCTCTCGACGTCGCTTGCTTTCAATGCCGGGAGCCTCATTGCTTCCGTTTTATGACATAAGAAGTAGGTCACGCTCTTATTTCCGTCAGTCCCGTGTGTAGGCCAGATGCGAACTGACAGTTCTTGCACGCGCTTTGTGCTGCGGTAGCCAATGCCCCGGGACAGGAAGGAAGAAAGGAGGACCTAGCTGGAGCTCTCAGGAGCTTGGGACAAGAGCACTGTAGTACCTAGGTAGGTAGGCGATAAGGGAAGGTGCGTGACCCTTTATCAAATATCGATCCTAGAGTAAGACGCCGACTAGGGCTGGAAATTAAACATTCTTGACTGTGCTACGAAGTAAAGCTTGCATGCGATACCTCCATGTGTAGGTAGTGTAGCTGCTGACTGCTACTTGGTAGGAATGTAAATGGCCCATCAAAACACCTTCACATACGTACATACAGTAGGTATCAATCTCAATATAAGTTCGGATTTCCGAACTACGAACCCCGGAATCCGGAATCAGCTGTCGAACTCTCTGCTACAGACTACAGTGCTACCTACCTACCTACTACCCACGAACCATAATAAAAACCATGTCTCGATTAAAACCCGATAGACCGTACTGTAAGCTCCTAGCTGACATACATTGCCTATCACTAGGCACTTACAGTTACATGCCTAGGTAGGTAGGCAAATCTAATGTGAGCTCCTTTCAAAGGCAAGACCTGGTCTACCTAGACAAGCTGACGAGCTGAAACCACTCGACTCTTATTACCTTCCATTACCTACTGTTTATACGGGGCCTAATGCCATAACCAAATTACCAATGTGTGCTAAAATGCTGCTTACTATTTTAAACCGTTTAACTTGGGGTAGAACGAACCGAATCCCCTGCAGACAATGAGGTTGGCAATCTTGGGGTTACCTAGGTAGGTATAAATCGGCCTTGATTAGCCCAGCTACTACGAATGTGCCTATGGGGACCTCGGGAGGCAACTCTTGAGTGGCCTTTCAATTATAGCGCAGGGGCAAAGCAAGTTCTAGCGCCTCTATAATCCTGGACGCGCACGCGACGATGATCGACCACCATAAGCAGCCCTACTTTGTTTGTGCGGAAATTTTAACTCGTATCTGTACATACATACCTACCTAGGTGAGACTGGTAAGTACTGGGTATTTATGTAGCTGCCTAGGGTGATCGTCGACTTTGGACCTAGACATGTACATAGGTAATAATACCAATTGGATTTCTTACATATCCTCTCTTAGTGCCTGTCAGCAACTGTGAAGTTGAAGCTCAAGACTCTACATATCAAAGCGTGTCCAGCAAGGCACACATGTAGGTACCGTTTCAGAAGCGATCATCTGCCCAACTAGTCATGGTAAACCGAATTACCGACTCCAATTCTCTCGAGGATTCAATCATCTATCTATCCCCAACTCGATAGGCGCTTGGATTACCTATATAGTAGCAACATGATTATATTGTTGGAAGCCTTCTTGCATTTCGGTGCCTACCTTGGGCAATCCATTGCAAAGGTGTGGGCAGACAGGTAACTACTTGCAGCAACAACAGCAGAACCAATCCCGGAAGCGATCTCGATCCCGAGACCCAAAAGGATCACTGTTGAAGAGGCTGCAGTTAGTCCCAAAGTGGAGGTCGAAGCAACTGCATGGCCCCAACTTATGAAGGAAGCCTGCCTGCACTCCCTACAAGTTGCCAAACCCTACGGGATCCGGTTTATTACATGCATACTGCCAAGGGCACGAAAGGGGAGGAATGGGGGAACGTACCTACGTGTAGGTATGTAAATTTATATTGATAATTGTAGAATATCACCTATAATAAGTAACTACATACATAGACAAAACATCCATTGCATAGGCCACTCAAGTAAGTTCTCCACGAGGTGCTGGAAGGGCTGAGGGCTGAAAGAAGATGATGTCTCGGTATTCGACCAATTTAAGCAGACGCCCACACCCATGGCTGTTGGCGGGCCCTCGGAAAGCTCGCTAGTAGGGTAACCCACCTTACAACACAGGTGGTTCGAGGTCATCGTCGGGTCTGATTGGCAGGCCCTGGTGCATAGGAGGAATCAAGATGCAAATCCTACGGTACCGGATTAGCCAGGGGCCAGGTTCCTGACCCAAAAAAGCCGACCCCCGGTTCCATTGCGTCGTCGTCGTGTGTTTTTTTTTTGTTATGGATTGCTGTTTGTATGTAACTGAGCTTAGCACATCTTTGCTACTGCTGTTTTGCCGCTGCTGCTAGGTCGATGGTGGTTAGGCAACTAACTAAAGGCTCGTTTTACTATAGCTACTAGTCTCATTCATTATAACCTGGCCTTGGAAGAAATCCCTTTTTTTAGATCTAGACGCTGCAGCTTCGCATTTCTGCAACCTCGTAAATGCTTAATCAATTTTTGGGATGTTGAAGAAAAAGTAGTAGTCGAGGTTCCCAATTCACGTCAGTTTCCGTTCAATTCGAGGTGGTGGCGCTCCGAGACATTCATACATACATATTCATACGTATACACATACATACATATACCAATTGTACATGCATATCATCAATACATACACGTACAATAGGAGCCGGTATAGTGTGCTATAATCTGCGATGAGAGGTTTGCCACACACCTCGAAGGGATCCCACGCTCTCTGTTTTTCTTGTCTTTTTTTTTTCTTGGTGGTGTGTCGCCTAGACTTACTATACTCCCTCTCTCCCTCTCTCCCCCGTCCCCTTCATAATGTTTGATCTTTCCTCCTGAAATGCCCAATCCGCCCTAAATGAAGGGTTCATGTCTGCCTATCCTCTCGTGGCTGCTGCTCGCGGGAACGGGATGCCTGGCACAGCGAAGCGGCTTAGCGGAAACGCATGGCCTGGCCAGGCGCGGCGTCGACAACCCCGGCCCCGAAAACTTCATCCGGTATAGATATCCTACAGGTCAGGGCAAATGTGCAACTTATCCGAGCAAGCGAGATTTGGTCTAATTTCTTCTACCTTTAGTCGTCACACTCGGCAACTACGTCTACATCGATGGCGGCGAACTATCACAGAAGGAAAACGGTACCGTGGCGACTAACAGCACTCAGTCGGGCCAAACCTATCCTTCATACGCCGGTATGTTCTATACCTAAAGCATTGAAGCATTGAGAATGGCATCATTGATGAAATGAACAGTAAACTCAACACTTTCCCTGAACCTAAGCGAGTCATGGACGAACGAAACAGCCCGGTTCCAAGTAATTCCCAAGACGGCACCCCTCCTCGACCAGCAAATATATTGGTCTGACGCCTCCACGAATGGCTTCTACACCTGGGGCGGAATGGCGGTGGGGTCCGAATCGCCACCGGCAAATGAGCTTTGGCTATTCAATGCTGACGGCGCTGGGGCCGGGACGTGGGCGCAGGTGACACAGGGCGATTTCCGAGATTTCTCCCAACTGTATCGCCCCGTGGGTGCGTCGTTCACGCAGAGTGGCCATGTAGGCTACGCATTCGGCGGCCAGGCCACCTCCCAGACCGACCGCTCGATCCAGAAGCCTTACCCCGGATACGCCTTGCCAGGCCTGGTATCGTATAACTTTCAGACCGGCGATTGGACGAATACTTCGACGAGCAAATACCAGGGATATGGGACGAGCGTGAACGGGCGGGCTGAATATGTCCCGTTTGGATCGGACGGGCTGCTGCTCTTTTTTGCAGGCGCCGAAACGCCCATCGACATAATAGAGGATAGCACTGTACAGATCAACTGGAATAAAGTCACCTTGTTCAATCCGATAACGGGGAAGTGGTATACGCAAGAGACGAGTGGAATGAGGCCCCAGTTAGTGGAGCGTGCATGTAGCGTTGGAGTTCGGGGGCCCAATAGCACGTACGAAATGTAGGCTCGCTCCTTGAAGTCCGGAACCGTTGGATGGGGAAATCTGAACTAACAATGAATGAACTGACTAGATACCTATATGGCGGCACATCGATACAATTAGGGGGTACATCTTCGGACGTATATGTACTCTCATTGCCTGGATTTGTCTTCTTCAAATCTCAGATGCAGGGCACGCCGCGTGCGGACCATGCTTGCGCAGTAGTTGGTAATGGAAAAAGACAAATGCTCAGTTTTGGCGGTGTCGACGGCGGACCCGAACTTCAGTCTTCCCTCACTACACCTGATCCGTGGAAGCAGGGACTTGGGATTTACGATATGAGCGAGATGACATGGAAAGATTCATACGACCCGGATGCGGCGGATTACGAGACTCCAAATGTTGTAATGGAATGGTATAGAAATGGAGGCATGGAAAATATCAGCTGGGACAGTAACGAAGTGAAAGGATTATTCTTTAATAGTAGCTCAGCTACGATTGGCGCCGGTGTCAACTCAACGGATGGTTCCTCGGGCAACTCAAGTCGAAAGACTGGCATCATTGCTGGTAGCACAGTGGGAGGTGTGGTGGTGCTTGCCATTGTCGGTGGCGTGGTGTTTTCATTAATACGGCGAAAACGGCGCAACCAATACCGCCGCCCAAGTACAACGACCGAGATAATAAGTGAGTACCGGCCAGAGCCCTGGCCAAAAGACTCGCCTCGTTTACGGTCGGTCACCCCTGGAACTATGGTGTCCTCACCAACACCAACAGAGCCGATAGAAATAAGTGGCACAGCGAGAGAAGAACTGCCAGCTGAGGATGTAGGATGGACATACGAACTCCCAGCACACACGCCGAATATGAGGTCTGAACTTCCAGATAGAAATTTCTGAATTTAATATAATGTTATTCTGCATTTGCGGTGTTATCCAGCATCGGGTGATCCATTCGACTTCAAATTGTCAGTCCAACCTCTGATAGGCGTGGTTGAGAGGTAAAACACAGACAACTGAAGGGTATTACTCTGCAGAACGTTTGATCGTTGTGAAACTCATTCCAAGCGCAAGGCCCCTGATTAAGAGTCCACATAATACAGGTATATATCTTACTTTCAGGGTACAGTAAGTGAGTAGACAAATGCTAGTAATCGTTCAAAGTCGTCCCATATTGCCGCGAGCTTATTGAAGGAATTACACAACTGGGTTGGGGATGTGGTGTGACCCGATGATAATACGACGTCGACCCTACAACGTAGAACCAAGAACTCCCTCGGACGCCCTCGGTTTTGGTCGCTGGGTATGACCGCAGATCGCGGTTGGATAGTTGGCGTGTAGGTAGCGATACTACCACCCTGGATGTTTGCTACTTTCACTAGGCCCCTCCAACTAATCTCTTTGCTTTCTCAAGCAAGAAGCTACTTTCCCGGCCTAACTTGCGCTTGCCATCGCGGCCAGGTGTCCGTGCCTTCGCCATGGCTTTCCTAAACCTCTCGCGCTCGGCAATTTTGCGATCTCGTTCCGCATTCCGTTTCGCAATTGCCTCTGCGCGTGCTTCTGCTTCTGCTTTTTTGCGTTCCCCGTCAAGCGCCGCCTTGTCAAAATACCCAGGTTTTCGTGTGTTTTGTCTGCGCCGACGTTGCGAGCGCTCGGTATTTGTAGGGGGCGGTGACAGCTCTGGCTCTGGCTGCTCATCTTCGTCTAACATCGCTTGCCTCTCGGGATGAAGTTGTGGCGATGGAGGGGCTACATCTGCGTTCGCATTTGCATCTTCGGTACTGGTGGTGATGGTAGCATTGGGCTGGGAAGAGGCTTGCTCCGCAGCCTTGATCTTTTTGTAAGCTTTCTTGACCTTGGCCTTGTGAATAAGGTCCTTCTTAATTTTATCAACTTGAGGTAGGTTTGGGTCAGTCGCTTTATGTTCTAAAGAGATTTACACTTGGTAGGTAGTAATTACCTTTTCTCCTCCATGGACCATCTGGTAGATTTTCAGGTCCTACTCGAAATCCTTTGCGGTGTTTTTTGGCTGCTGGAGTAGCTGCGCTATCCGATTCAAGCGGTCGTTTAGGTGCCATCGTTAAAGCGCAACGTCTTTTCCTGGGATGAAAAAGTCAATTAATTGAAGGAAGGTGAAAAAAGAAGAGCGCGCCGTTCAAAGTTCAGATAGAAGAATAACTATTATCTATTATCGATAAGGCTTCAATTAACAACCTTGAAGGATAAGAAGAAAAAGTTCAAGGTTCAATGTTGATTTAAAACCCATTAACCCGCTAACCTAGTAGGTACAGATGGACCACTAGGGTCCCACTAGACCCTTGTAGCTGTTAGTGCCGAACATAGTTTACTTTGTTCCAGGTCGTTTTCTCATCGTTCCAGAGTTTCTCGCCCGTTTCTCGCCCTGTCAACGGCGATAACCCCTGCCGACATAGGCCCAGTTGTCCCCAATCCGCATCAAACAGTTCACCTGGGCACCCATTCTGATCCTATTTGGGTAAATCGGTGGCATAAATAGGCGCTAAATTCCCTTAGTATGACGCTGAACTTACTAAAACGTCGTTACAACACTGTACAGTCATAATTGTACCGGATGATCAAGTTAGTACATGTTACCCTTGAATCCTGCAATGATCAATCCCATTCAATCTTCCTTTTCACTCTTACATACATAGTACAACTTACACCTGTCTCATGATAATAGGTTTCCGTTTTCTAGCTTCTCAAGTGCTGGTTCCTAGTTTCTAGTTTCCAGTTTCTAGTTTCTTAGCAACGCCGAGTCACACTTACTTGACCATTCATATTTCATATTTCAAATCTACAGTACAAAGTATACTCTCTAACCAAATAGCATTGAAAAAAAGAAACGAAAAAGAGCATAATTTGTCAAGCCCCAGGTAATCCTAATCCAACTAATAAACGCTTATTAGTTATTTCATTTCAAACCGTCATTCCCTGTCCTCTGAATCAGTGAGGCGGGCGCAACGAATCAGTGCCCCATTTTGATCCATGTTGTTCCAGCAAAAAGCGATCAGCTAAGCCGGGTTTCAATATGTTTGCATGTTTATAATATAATTATTCTTTCCTCTTTCTGTTCCGGGCAGTCTAGATTTCCTAGACCGGACAGAGACCGAACAGAGACCGAACAGAACATCTGGGTTGTACAGTACAATGCCCATCTTCCAGGTAGATCTGGAGCAGAGGGAGTCTGCTGCACAAACATCAACGTCTACTATGGCGTCACCGTCTGACCAATGCCACCAATTCCACCCCGATGGTACTTTGCAAAGGAAACAATCAGAGGAGAGCATGAGCACAGATTTATGTGACGGTCCGATCCCAGATAGCCCACTGCCTCGAACGCCAGAACGTGATTTCCCGACCGAGTGCTCCGATCGATCTGAACTGATTGAACGACTGAAAAGAGGCGAGAGCCCAACCTGGAGACCGAGTCGACATGTTCGTAGCTTCTTCCCACATCCTACATTTCTACCTCGAAGGGTAGTATGGTGGTATAATTAAATCACTGACAGCCTGTGGCCCGTAACTAGTTGGAATCAATATGGGGCCAACAACAGCCTGTGTCTCCTACTCGTAGCCCGAAACGCCCGACTACTCCCCCATCACCTCCCTTACTGCCTTCAGTCACGATAACTCCCGAGAGAGCGGGCACAGACTCGGAAGATAATGAAAAGAGGCAGCAAGAAGGGTCAAGCATTGAGCGCCCACGTTCGGCTCTCCATAGTGGGGACTTCACCCAGGAAGAGCCGTCTCAAGATGCTAGCCTCGTACAAGGTAACGAGCAGGCTCCAAAGAGGCAAGATTTTAGTGGCGTGGATGACGGTAATTCATGGCTAGCTACTTCGCCTCCAAGGGACTTTACGCCCTTTCCGTTCGAGAGGCAGCAGATAGTGGTGAGACCAGAACACTCGCCTTCAGGATATTCTTCTTTGTCCTCTTCCTTCTCTTCCAGCTTCGTTTATAAGCCGCCCACTAGCCCTCTTGTCCAGTCTGAAAGCAATGATGATATTGATTTGACATCACCCATGGATGGCATTGACATCACTTCAAGCCTACCTAGAAATACTCGTCGCCATACATTGATGTCGTCTCACTCGACCTCCTATGGGATTCCTCATAGTCAACCTCCGAGACATCTACCTCATACACGCCATGAGAAGCCGTTTGCCTATCAAGCACACCAGCCGAGGCGGTCTCTCGCTTCAACTCCTAATTTTCCCAATATCCCCTCAATCACGTGCTCTCCACAGACTCCAGCACTCCAATCAAGGCGTCCATCATTCAACGCAGATTTATCACCACTACAGCATGCATCCATGGTAGGGTCTTACGAAGAAAGCATATTGCGCGGACGCATGTCAACAAATCCATCCAAACCTCTTGACTTTCTAGCTCAGATTGGTGTCCTTGGGTTGGGTAAGTGCAAGTCGAGTCTACGATGCCCTCCTCATGTAACGTTGCCTTTCCCTGCCGTGTTCTATAGTTACTCCGGCTCCTCTCATAGTCGCTCCAAAGTAGAAGACGGCCCAAGTCCGTATGTTGGACAAATTGACTTGGAGAATGGCCTTCCCAATCAGGAGGAGGACGCCAGATCAAAACGCAAGGCTAAGACCCGAATAATGGAACGAAAGGTGGTGGAAGAAGAGGCGACAGAACTGCACCGTCGTCCCGTGGAACAATTGGAAAAAGACTCTCATCAGGCTCAACGGCCCAGACGCAGGTCGGGTTCTCTCAGGGCTCCACCAGGGGGAAGCTACCGTATTCCGGAAAAGGGGCAAATTCAAATTATTATCAAAAACCCAAACAAGACAGCTGTCAAATTATTTCTAGTTCCATACGATTTAACAGGAATGGAACCTGGCACAAAGACATTCATCAGACAACGGAGCTATTCAGCTGGGCCTATCATTGATAATATGCCGGAAATCAAGGACAATGGGGCTGCAGATCGCCCAATCCTCAGATATCTAGTCCATTTACACATTTCCTGTCCTTCGAAGGGTCGGCATTATTTATATAAAAGCATTAGAGTTGTCTTTGCAAACCGCGTGCCCGATGGAAAAGAGAGGCTCCGGAACGAGATCACTTTTCCTGAGCCCAGGTTTACCAGCTACAAACCAATAAGGGTGATGCATCCTCCCATCTCAGAGGGTACTGGTCCTGGCGCAATTCTAGCTGCTGAGAAAGCCTTTCGAAGGCGCAGTTCTGGGATTTACTTTGGGACTGCGAATCAGACGTATGACAATGCTGGAGAGTTTTCTTCAGCAACTGTCCCATATCCGCTCTGTTCGTCTGGTCTTGTCGGACACAATGCTCCGGTGGAGCCTATTCCTCACGTGAATAACTCTGTCCTTGCTGACGCTCAGTCGCCGACTTCTTCTCAAGCTAGCCGTCCGACTACGCAGAACTCAAGCAATGTTTCTAATTGGGGCGGTCGCAATAGTCAGATTGACAGATACGACAAACTTAACAAGGGCGACGTAGGTTATGGCGGAAATGCGTTTGCCCATCTAATTAACGGCAACACCGGTGTTGCAGAAAGCCTACTTTCTCAGAGGCTTAGATCACTTGGTGTTCAGGGCCAAGCAAACAATGAAGCAAATAAGGAGTCGGATACAATGCAGGAGTAGGATATCATTCCCCGGGCTGCGGCGTTGGTGGAAGATCCATCTACATCGCCGTTAGGATGTAATTTATTTTACTTAGGTACATATTTTCCATAGCATGGATCTTACGGCTGGGCAATTCTTACATTGGCTAATGTAAAGGATTTGTTGCTAGGAGTCTGGACACCGGTTGAGTTTAACATGACTCCTATGTATTACTCTACACTCTGGCATGGACATTATTTCGAGATCAAATGAAATTTTCAAACGACGAACAGTCATTGGCAATGTGCTTAACCTTAGATGCTCATACTTGAACATTTTGTTTACTTCAATGTTGCAGGATATAAGATAAACAGATCACTGTAGTACGAATACTAGGTACTCTATGAAATGCCCAACGGTTTTCTATATCGGTCACGTGCCAGATTGCAAAGAGTCTTGATACGTAGGTACTTCATGAACACGGTAAAAATACCTAAGCTATCGGTAAGTTACTAGGTACTGCCCAAAGCTGCACCGTGTTTTAGCGCGCTGGTTGACAGAGCTACAGTAGGTGCGTCAAACATTGATTTTCTTTCAGCCTCGTTAACTTTCACATTGTTACTACTTTATCTACCTATATCAAAGAAACTTGCCGAACAATTGCGACCCACGAAAAGAAGTATCACTCAATTGAACCCAGATATTCGACAGGCTACCACAAGAAGATTACTAGCTATAATTTCCAGATATATACACATACGAATAAGACGGTAAAGCTTCAAAGCAAAAAACACCCACCCGCTTACCCAAAATGAGGCTCACGGCCGAGCTTCTTCAGAACTCTCCCTCCTGGCTCAACGCGCTCAAGGAGCGTGAGCTCGAGCTACGAGGTACGTCAGAAAAGAGCAGATACTACACTTTTACTTGATCTAGAAAGAGAGCAGAATTGATAGCGAACGCCCTTGCCGGCTGTGAACAGGACATCGTATCCCCACCATTGAGAACTTGGGTGTTGCAGGTGTAAGTCTTCCCTGCCATTTTATAATATAATGGTTTATTCTATGGTCTACGGTATGCGGTGACTGACAAGAGAGCAACCGAGAATAGCCGCAAGATTCCATAGACTTCGTCGACAATGACATCCAAGTCCTCGGAAACTTTCCTCTATCTCCCCGAATACGATCCCTTCTCCTCCAGCGCAACCGCATCGCTGCCATACAGCCCACACTCGCCAACTCTATCCCGAATCTTACTACTCTCCAGCTCGAGTCCAACAACTTGACCGAGCTGGCTGATTTAGATCCCTTGGGTTCCTTTCCATTCCTGACGCACCTCGTGCTGCGCGATAACCCCGTGACGAAGAAAGAGGTGAGTTCCGAGTGCCGCACCTGACCATACTCAAGAGCTCGCAAAACTGACCGGAGCTTTTCCCAAACCAACAGCACTACCGCTACTGGGTCCTCTGGCGCTGCCCCTCGGTCCGGCTCCTAGACTTCCAAAAGGTCAAGCACGCCGAGCGCGTGCAAGCCGCGACGCTGTTCGGCACCGCTGCCGAGCCGACCGAGCTCGCCTCCAAGATCATGGGCGTCAAGTCCAAGACCTTCGACGCCTCGCTGGCCAGCAACGGCGACGGCCTCGCCTCCGGCGGCCTGCCCACCCGCATGTCCCGCATAAAGCTCACCGACAAGGAGAAGACGCGCCTCCAGGACCTCATCAAGAAGGCCACGAGCCTGGACGAGATCACCAGACTCGAGTCCATGCTGAGGGAGGGGAGGATGCCGGCCGGTGTGCATTTGCCGGATGAGATGGATGAATAAGAGGATATGGATGTAATTATTGTTGTTGTCAACGGTTATAATAATAATAATGAGTTACTTCCTGAGAAAAGAATGGAGAATACTGATGTGATGACCGAGGTAGCTAGGTGGTAGTGGTGGTAGTGTTGCTACTGTTGATAAGTGGTATACGGCATTTTCATTGTGGCTACGGAGGCGTATAAAATCATTGTACATGCTTTGGCTGGTTTTTTTTCATTCTTTTTTTTTTTCACAACCGTAGAAGAAGTCTCGGGTATACCCATGAAACTAGGATGAACTTGGCAATAAATAATACTGGTGTTTCTTATGAATCACTATTATGAACTGAACTCTCCGTGATCAATAATGCCGTTTTATCTTTACTTATTAAGGGTTGCCGTCTCATGGTGTCTATCTACCTGGCCTACTGGGTAATGTGTGGTATCGTAGACTTTGCTTCTTGAGAGAAGAAAAACTCGTAGTGGGTAGTAAGTAGTGGTCGCCAATGTTCATGCCCCCCCCCCCCCCCCCCCCCCGCCCAGGCTCACGATAAAATTCGATTGAACTCTCCCTATCCACTCATATCAACGTCCTCGTCGTCCTCTTCCGCCTCCTCTGCCTCCTCTGCCTCCTCCGCCTCCTCTTGCTCGTGAGCCTGCCGCATCTCGCTGTGCAGCTGGTCGCCGGGATCCATCTCCGTGCCGTCGTCCTCGCTGACGATCAGGGCGCCGCTAGCGCCTACGAAGCTGGCTGCCCCGCCCGCCATGCTAGAGCGGCTGGTGCTGCTGCGGTGCTTCTTGCTGACGCTGGGGCTGCCCATCATGCTGCTTCCGTTGTTGACGGGTCCGAGGCCGGCGCTGGTGGACTCGCGCTGCTGCTGCGCCTGGTCGGAGGGGCGGTCCGAGACGACGCCACGGGAGCCGGAGGCGATGCCGGTGGTCAGCTGGGTGCGGGTGGCGGCGGCGGCGGCCTTGATCTGCTTGTACGGCACGGTCTTGGGGATCACGTCCTCGAGGAACTCGAGGTTGTCCTGGTGGGAGACCGAGGCGGCGAGGTCCTTGTACTGGATGTTGCGGCGCGGCTTGCGCTCTAGCTTGGCCATGTTGAGGCCCTCGTTGGCGAGGTACTGGATGAACATCTCCTGTTGGGAGGGAGGGGGTTAGTGAGAGTAGATTAGAGGGGATGGGGATGGGGATGGGGTGGGGTGGGGTTGGATGGGATGTAAGAGAGACTTACAGTAGCGAGGGTGATGACGAAGGCGGCATTGTTAGAGCAGATTCCGATGTCCTGGTCTTGTGCGACTATCTTCTTTACACGGGACACTATAGAGGGAACGGGTTAGCACCGATGAAGGTAGATGAAATGGAAGGAAATGTAGACAACTTACGGGGTAGCTGGGTCTGGCCTGTAACCTCTTTGCGAGGTGGGATGGCGGTAGTGTTATACGGCATCTTGATGGGCTCTTCTCAAGTTGACTGCGAAGATGGTATGATTTACTACCTAGGTAGGCAAGCTTAAGGAACAATAATTGGAAAATGAATTATTGTGTAGCTGAGATGAGATTGGATGTGTGCAACTGAGAGGTATGCAAGTTAGCGTAAGGAAATATGAGTTGTAATGTAAGCCTTCTGAAATACTAAATAACTATATGTAGGTAGGTAACTACTTGAAAGTGATGATTGGCACAAAAGGTATCGATAGATAGCACTGTAACCTACGGGTTTATCTTACCTTTATCCAGGGAATGTAAGGGTAGTCCCTTATAATGAAATGAATAATCGCACTGAGAGAGGATATTATTAATTCGTCTCAATAGTAACTAGATCCTAGTAGTTCTGTTAATATTATGATATTACAAAAGTTTGCACATATGTGATTGCATGGTATCTTCATGAGCCTTACCTTGAACGCGTGAAGGTTTGTGGAAGACGCGATTCCATTAAACCTCAAAGTGGTAGGCGGTGAATTGGAATGTTGAAATAGTTATTAGGTAAGCTTGCACAGTACATAAAGATGCATAGTGTGGGATCAAAGGAGAAGGAAAAGGTTTGGAATAAGCTTTCCAATGCGCTACCTACAATGTACATAGCATTGTACCTATTAAGCTAAACCTCAAGGCTAGGGTAGGCTGGGTAGATGGTGGAGTTCCTGCGTACGTTGCTTCCTTAACAGCTATTACGTAGCACTGTAGCAGCTGTAAGGTAGTTAACTACCTAACAGTTATTTGTACTAGATATTATGTAGGCAAGCGCAATTCAGCAACATTGAATAGTTACAACTTACAATGAAATAACGTTCAAATCACCACCCGCATTACTCAGTTTGATCTCAATTCATCATCAATCAACTTCGTGCAGGTCCCATATAATTTGTGACCACCTAACCTAAGAATCTAGCGTTCTTTTGGTATCTAACCTCATATCATTAATGAAGAGCTTATGATAATGGTCAAGACATTGCCTGGGACCAATGTCTTCCCGTGCTACCTCCTTGTCTGTTGGCCGAGCCCATGCCCGTCGACCATCTGTTTCCTCTAGATTATCCTTCGCTGTATCGACCGTTGAGCAAGGAGAGGCAAGTAACCAGAATGCGCCTGCAGAACGCCAAATCGATGAGGAGATTGCGGAAATCAAGAGATATGAGGTGCGCCACCTCGGAATTATTGATTGCGCCCATAGCTAACCCGTTCCCAGGATTTCACCACCATAGGTACGCACCTCCTCAGCCACTACAAGTTTCGATTCGCGAAATACCTATCATCTACCTACCTACCTGCCTGCCTACCTGCCTACCTGCCTAGGTACCTATACTAAAATATACAACCTAGATTGGGTCCAAGATTCGGTACAAGAAAGAGCGCGCCGGAAAGCACGGCGTAGAAAGCATGCCAGGGTCGATAATGGCAATGTTTCGTGGAGATACAAATTATGGGAGTCGTACGATGCCGCGCAAGGATGGATTGTTGTTACCCTGATTGGCGCTGCCATAGGGTTGAACGCCGCATTTCTTAACATCATCACTGAGTGGTTGGCCGATATTAAGATGGGCTACTGCACAACTGCGTTCTACCTAAACGAGAACTTTTGCTGCTGGGGCGAGGACAACGGATGCGATCACTGGCGTCGCTGGACCGGATTCGAGCCCGTAAACTATTTGCTGTATATCTTATTTGCGGTAAGTCAAGGGCTCCTGTCCACCCCGTGCTGGCTATAATCCTAATATCACAGATCCTCTTCGCATTTACTTCGGCAACCCTCGTCAAGTCCTTCGCACCCTACGCAGCTGGCTCGGGCATTTCTGAGATAAAATGCATTATTGCCGGGTTCGTCATGAAGGGTTTCTTAGGATTCTGGACTTTGATCATTAAATCTATCGCGTTGCCGCTCGCCATCGCATCTGGCCTCTCAGTAGGCAAAGAAGGCCCCAGTGTGCATTATGCAGTTTGCACTGGTAATGTCATCTCAAGGCTGTTTGACAAATATAAACGGAATGCGTCCAAGACACGGGAAATTCTGAGCGCATGTGCAGCTGCAGGTGTGGCAGTTGCATTCGGCAGTCCCATCGGGGGCGTTTTATTCTCCTTGGAAGAGATGTCTAATTACTTTCCCCTCAAAACAATGTGGAGGAGTTACTTCTGTGCGCTCGTCGCGACAGCAGTCTTAGCGGCCATGAATCCCTTCAGGACGGGACAACTCGTCATGTTCCAGATTAAATATGATCGGGAATGGCATTTCTTTGAAATATTGCCCTATGTTTTCATCGGTATATTTGGAGGTTTGTACGGCGCTTTTGTTATCAAGTGGAATCTAAGAGTCCAGGCGTTCCGAAAGAAATACCTGACGAATTGGGCTGTTCTCGAGGCTACACTGCTAGCTGCGGGAACGGCTATTATTTGCTATCCCAACGTCTTTCTCCGCATTGACATGACGGAGAGTATGGAGATTCTGTTTTTGGAATGTGAGGGCACAGAAGACTACCAAGGGCTTTGCGACAATGATAGGAGATGGGCGAACATCGTATCACTAACTCTCGCAACTATTGTTCGAATATTCCTGGTGATAATCTCATACGGCTGCAAAGTGCCGGCTGGGATCTTTGTACCTTCTATGGCTATAGGGGCATCCTTTGGCCGAACTGTTGGTATTATAATGCAGGCTATCTACCATGCGCATCCGGGCAGTTCGTTTTTTTCAGCTTGCCAGCCGGATGAGCCTTGCATCACTCCCGGAACGTATGCTTTCCTGGGAGCGGCTGCTGCGTTGAGTGGTATCATGCATATCACCGTGTCCGTTGTGGTCATCATGTTTGAGCTCACGGGTGCTTTAACGTACATTTTACCTACGATGATCGTGGTTGGTGTCACCAAGGCGGTATCTGATCTATTTGGAAAAGGCGGTATTGCGGACCGAATGATATGGTTTAGCGGTTTCCCATTCCTCGACAATAAGGAGGAACATAACTTTGGAGTTCCAGTGTCAGCTGTAATGACTAACGATGTGGTCACTATACCCATTCATGGTATGACATTGCAATCTATCGAAGACGTCCTTAAGCAGCCAAAATACCAAGGCTTCCCCGTAGTCGAAGATTCAAGGACGGGGGTCTTGGTTGGCTACATTGGCCGTACAGAGCTACGGTATGCAATCGATCGGTTGCGCCGTGAACAGTCGATTCCGATTAGTCCAGAGGCCAAGTGCAATTTCGCACCCCCTGTATTGAGCGCCACCACGCCGATTACCCCCACAGTCACGATCAGCAACGCAGATTGGAGTGCGTCTTCAACTTCGGTGGACTTTAGTCGATACGTAGATGCGGCACCGGTGACAGTGCACCCACGACTACCGCTTGAGACGGTGATGGAGGTGTTCCGCAAGATTGGGCCCCGCGTAATCCTGATCGAGCATCACGGCCGGCTCAAGGGGTTAGTCACTGTCAAGGACTGTCTCAAGTACCAGTTCAAGGCAGAGGCGGCAGAGAACCCACGAGACGACCGGGATATTGTTGAAGGCCACGAAAAAGTTTGGGATATGATGAAGAACATTGCTTATTGGATTTCAGGGAAGGTTGAGAATGCGAGCGGTGGGCGTATCAGGCTTGCTGGCAGCGCAGATGAGAGGATTCCGTTAGTGAGGGGAAATGGACATATTATGGACGGGGATGAGGATTTAGTGGATGATGATGATGGCGTGGAGTTAGAGAATAGGTAGATAGCAGGCACAATGTATGTCTGAAATAATATCAGTAATTCAACTAGATATTTATATTCATCACAAAGTATCGTTTATAGTGCCCTAGGTACTGGTATGTAGGTACTATGTATGTAATCTGTGATATCAAGGTCCGGGGTTAGCAGTTGCGGGCCGGGTGGAACTCCCGTGGCCCCGGTATGTACTGTGACCGGATGGCTTCCTTCCAAGTTATCGATGGATACCTACAGTAGTAATGGATCTCTGTTGCAGGAACCCATACAACTGTATCTGAAATCGGTAATGAGTGCATCAAATGTATCCAATGCATATGCATGCATAATGGGATACCTGCCAAGCTTTTTTTCTTTTTTTTTTTTTGAAAAAAAAGAAAGCCACGGCGACGTATTGCATACATATTCTAGGTTTATGTAGGTACATAATTAAGGTTATTAGCGTTGGTTAGGTACCTAGATTCGGAGATAAGAAAAGCAAAACTGTCTGAAACACCAACATTGAATACCTACATCATCCATGTATGTACATAATACATACATACGTGTACACGCCCTACATTTGATACCGTCATTGGCAAGCACTCACCCGGCGCTTATCTTTTTTGTTCCCCCCAAGCCAAGTACCGACACATCCGGATCCTTTCCTATCTACCCTACGTCAATACATAGTCGTAAAATCCACAATGGCCCGACCCCGGAAAAGTCAGCCCGCTACTACTACTACTGCTATTTCTTCTTCCGTCACTACCTCCGCTTCCGTTCCCGCCTCCGCTACTACAACTACTACTACGTCCTCCGCTGCTGCTGCCGGTGTACGAGCAAGGCGGAAACCTCAGACTCGGTCTGTTGACAACAAGGACGAAGCTCCAAGGGGTGCTGCCGGTAGCGACACATCACCGGCTGTTGTCGGGGAAGACGCCGACGCCGACGCCGGAATGCCCTCTTGGGCGGCGAGGAACCGATGGGTCGTTTTCGCTATCGCGAGCGGTGCTTGCGCGGCGTGTAATGGGGTTTTTGCTAAGCTGTGAGTTTTTGTTTTGCTTTGTATGGGTTATATGTTTCTGCACCTCATCGTATAGATATAAGTAAGGTAGGTACCTAGGTAGGTTAGGTAAGTATCCCTGATTGCCTCAGTCGGTGTTCCACAACTTTAGTTTTTATGTAACCGTGGGTGTCGTACACTAGATACCTAGGTAGGTAGCTTTGCTTAGGGATTTGTGTATGTACGACATACACATACCTACCTATCTATACAGTCCTTTATTCGAAGTATTCCCTTCATACCTATGTAATACGGATATATGTAGGGAGGACTGTCATTAGCAAAAGATGGATATTAGGGCTGATCATCAAATCATTCTTTTTCTTCAAACAGGACCACGAATGAGCTATCTACACACATAGCCCAAGCCATCTCACGACTATTCCAGCTCACGGACCTTGAGCGATACGTCGAGATCGTCGTGCGTTGTGTAAGTATACACCTACCTACCTACCTACCTCCTACCTATATCCTTATTTGAAAGTCTTAATTCCAAAGCACCTATCCGTAGCTAATTCAACCGCATATATAGGGCTTCTTCGGCCTCAACCTAGCCTTCAACGGCGTCATGTGGGCCCTCTTCACCCGCGCCCTCGCCAAGGGCAACTCCACCACCCAGGTCTCCATCATGAACACGTCCACCAACTTCGTCGTTACCGCCATCCTCGGGTTCGCCATCTTCGCCGAGGCCCTGCCCCCGCTGTGGTGGGTCGGCGCCGCGTTGCTCGTTGCTGGCAATGTCATTATTGGCAGGGGTAACCAGGAGCAAGGGAGTGATGGTGACGGCGATGATGGAGTTGGCGAGACGGAACCTCTCGTCGGGCCTTACCGTGCTGATGTTGAGCATGGTAGTGGCGGTGGCGGTGGCAGTGATGATGGTGATGATCATGACGAGTCAGCGGTAGATCTGGGCATGGCTACTGATGCAAGCAGCTACGCTGACAGTGTGGGCGGGAGTGTTGTGCCTGTTGAGAAAGACGAGGACGAGGATGTGGCGCTGTTAGGAGATCTGAGCTAACCTACCTAGGCCCATGATAGCAAACTGCACTGCTGGCAAGAGGTTTACACATCGATACTTGACCTTACATCTGGATATTACGTATAAAAGTTTAGACGGATAATAAATAAAGCATCTAACCTATAAAGATTAAAGCTACACGGAACGAATTATACGTCTCTACGTCCCTAGTGAATAGGCGTCTAGGTAGCTATACCTGATAGGACAACTCAAGCCCCGTCATCATAGTGGCATGGGAGAGGGTATGGCGGCTCATGGCAAAAGCACCTGCCCAACATATCAAACACATGCGCACAAGGTGGAAGGAGACATGCTGCGATAGTGGTGAACTACGGAACCACATCATGTCACACGAGAAGATAATCAGGGGTCCAAGTGCTTTTGTATTAAGCATACCTAAATACCTAGGTAGGACAACCTAGGACAATACTTTGGCCCTGTCAAAAGACAATGCAATGGCAACGCAATCTTGTTCTGCCCTTTCCGTGAAACGCCATAGAGGACCATACACTATGGTACCATTTCATAGTACCGCCACATGCAAATAGCCCCCAACATTTAAAAGGAAAAACGTGCATTTCCACGAAAACGTCTGTACGGCGAGTTCGACGTGAAGACAAATGCCGAACCCGGTGGAGGGTATTTCTTTTCTTGTTTTCGTGTATTTTGCCGGTATAGTAGTACATTCCCAAGTCGTTAGTGAGAAAAATCATATTATCGTCACCAAAATTGAAAGAAAAAAGATGAAGGCAAACGTAGAGTCGATCGATCGCCATGAGGCACGTCCCTGGATCCATGGGTTATGCTGGTTCGGATACACATACCCCTGTGATTATCATTTGCGTCGAATGTGTCGAATTGAGAGGAAAGGATGGTGATGGTTAAAGAGACCATCCCAACTCCGCCAGAAGCATCGGCATATTCTGTCTCGTCACAAACATCCACCGCATCATCCGGTTTCTGCTGGGGGGTCGCATCGTCTCCATCAGCGTCTGTTTTGCCTTCTTCAATCTTCTCAGATCTTAGGTGGTGCTTCCGGGCTTCGCAGTGCAAGATACTATCTTGACCTTGTCGGCCGTCACGACTTGGCCACCATTCTCCATCTTGAAGGTCACATTCTTAAGCTGGAAAGTCCAGACCTCGTCGCAGAAGCGGTAGGTATCCAAGCTGCCCTGTTCAGTTGCGCAAAGAATTCATGGTTAACCCCACTATCCCCAAGACGCTTCATGGTAGCAGGGTTAGATGAGGATTTACCTTGAAAGTCAGTCGCGCCTTGACCCTGTCTTGTAGCACCTCTGTTATGGCGCGGTCGAAATTTGCGAGGATTTTCATGGCCAGCTGAGGATCAATACGATGCTCAGTGATGAGATCATCGAGAGTGTCCGTCAGCGCAGAGCCAACGCTGCGATGATAAAATCTATTGTCAACGCTACGTCCTGATGAACAGTGATGGATGATGAGTGCTGTACCTGCTTCGGCGATATAGCTCGTAGAAGTTCTGACTAGCCGCCGCCATCTTGAGCTGGCTTCTAATAAGTACTTCTGCGATATGCTGTCGTGGAATATGTAGGTATAGCCTGGATAATATTGGCGATTCCTATACTGTTCCGACGCAAATGGCTGTATGGAAATGGTTGTTGTAAAGGTTACAATTATAATTATTGCAATGGTCGGAGATAAGTTAGTAGTGAACCTTGAAGGCAGTTAGTCACAGAGGTGGCTTAGCACCGTGTCAGTTAGGTCACTTGCGGGTGATTCCGGTGTGGGGGGGGGGGGGGGGGGAATGTGGCTACATGTATTCACTAGGCATTCAATGTTGAATAACTAACTAACTGTTACATGTAGTACTTGTGCAACATCCATCAGCACCCGCACATGTGATTATGCATGCAAATTCAAGCTACATACAGTAGCATTAAACATTGAACGCATTTCAAATTGGTGAATGCCTAGAGGTATACATACTACATACATCCTTGCATGTATTTGAACCTTAAAGTGTAGTGAATCTACTAACCTAGGAGGTAGTGATTAGATACCTACTATGTAGGTGCCTTAATGGGTCTAGTTAATAGGTATAATAGATCCATGTCTATCGCCGTTTTCAGCACACATCCCTGGTAGTTATTCCCCATATTCATTAACGCGTGATAGCGCAGCTATTTCGCGTCGTCCTCGAATTCCTCTTAACGCGCTAACATTACTATGTGTAAGATAAATCGGGTATTCGTGAAATCATCACTATTTCCTCCCATGTTACCTGAACACTTTCCTTTTTCTTTAAACAAGTCAGATTGACTTTTTTTACAATACAATTACTTTTTTCTCCCTTGGTATCATAAATTGCCTGACGTAATCCCTTTTCTTTTTCGTGATGTCCTCTAGCTCGTCCCCATCAGATACTGATTCCTTTCATTCATCCTCTCGATTGCCAACCAGTGCTCCGTCTTCGCCACCCCAAGCCGACGATAACTTAGATAACGTCAAGATGGCCGTCACTTCAGTATTTACGGACCAGCAAATGCTCAACGAAGAAAAAAAGGCTAGAGCCGAAAACACTAGGGCTGAAGCAAAGCGACTCGCTCAAAGGAGGAAGAAGGGAAAGAAGGTCCAATTATCTCCTCAGGAACGAGCTCGTAAGGCAAAGGAACTTGATGAACTTCTACGAAAGAGCAAGGTCTTCAGTGATATCCTTACTCAAAAAACGAAAGCCCTCGGCCGTGTCGGACGTGATTTCGACAACCAAGCATTGGCTGATGCTGGCTTAGAATTAAAGCAACAGCCTAAAATCATGAGTGGTGGTACCATGCGTGACTATCAGCTAGAAGGCCTCACGTGGATGTACGAGATATGTTTACAAGGTCTAAGTGGTATATTGGCTGATGAGATGGGTCTGGGTTAGTGTTGGCCCGTCATGAATCCAGCCATGTCTGGCTCACAGGTTCACGTGCTAACTAGATATCAGGTAAAACCATCCAAGTCATTTCACTCGTTGCTTTACTCCGAGAACAAGAGAACTACTTTGGCCCTCACTTAATAATTGCACCCCTGAGCACGTTATCGAATTGGCAGGACGAGTTTCAAAAATGGACTCCTTCGATACCATTCGTCTTATATCATGGTACCCCTCAGGAGCGCCAACAGATCTTCCGTGATAAAATCATGAAGCACTACCAAAAAGGCCGCCCCACCCAACGATTTCCTGTAGTCTGTACGAGCTACGAAATGGTCCTTAGGGATCGTGCGAGCCTCTCCAAGATTGATTGGGCCTTCATCGTAGTGGTAAGTGTTTCTATTCGCCAGGAAAGCCTCAGCTATTGACCAATTACAGGACGAAGGCCACCGAATGAAGAATGCAGATGCCAAACTCTTTAGAGAGTTGCAGCAATTCAAATCAGCTACTCGTCTTCTTATCACAGGAACGCCCCTGCAGAACAATCTCAAGGAACTATGGTCTCTGCTTCATTTTCTGATGCCAGAGACCTTTCTCGATTGGGAGGCATTCGAAGTATGGTTCGATTTCAGTGGTCTACAAGACGAAGAAGGCACTACGCAATTCATTGAGGACAAGGAAAGCCAAGACCTCGTTTCCAAGATTCACAAGGTCTTACAGCCACTTCTACTTCGTAGAATCAAGGCGGATGTAGCCAACTATCTACCCAAGAAACGGGAATATGTCCTGTTTGCCCCCATGACCAAGGAACAGACAGATCTTTACAATGTAATCAACGATAAGAAGATTGACACCAGGTCCTACTTGGAGAACAAAGTTGTCGAACGGTTGACTGGGGCTACTAACAGCCCAGCCAACTCCCGACGATCAAGTCGCCAATCGTCTAGAGCAACTAGCGCACGTCCGAGCGAAGTGCCATCTCCATCAAACAACAATGCCTTTGCAATGATTATGGGCAAAAAGGCTGTCTCAACGTTGAAGAAGAGTCCAAAAGGCAGCTCCCCCCTTGCCCAGGCCAAAGGAGTTGGCAAGAGAAAGGTTCCGCCTACTAGCGAAAGTTCAACCCCAAAGAGCAGTAAATCAAGTCAACAGTCTACTCCGACAAGTAGCATTCGTCGTCGGCCGCGGAGGAGTCGTCCAACATATAAAGCGGCGTATGACTCTGACGACGACAAATTAGATGATGATGCATTCGAAGAGAAGCTAGCTACCGAACTTGCTGCTAAAAACGACGATGATTTTGATGACGATCTTCGAGATGAGGAGGAGATTGATCGAGCTGAGACACTCGAACTTGCCAGTAAGTTTCGAATACCTATTAGTAGGTAGATAAATAACGAAACTCCTCTAACATGACACAGAGCTTCAGATCGCCGATAAGAAATTAGGGAATCCCATCATGCAACTGAGATTATTATGTAACAGTCCTCACAATTTCTACAACCCATGGACCTACGACGATGACGCTGAGGTTGACGAAACCATCGTGACCGCCTCTGGCAAGATGCTCCTTTTAGACAGATTGCTCCCAGCGTTGTTTGCTCGTGGCCACAAGGTCTTGATATTCTCACAGTTTAAGACGCAATTGGACATTCTCCACGACTACTGTGCAGAATTGCGAAAGTGGAACGTATGTCGCATTGATGGGGGTGTTGCCCAGGATGATAGAAGGCAACAGATTCAGGAGTTCAACAAAAACCCTGATTTTAAAATCTTCTTGTTGTCGACCAGAGCGGGTGGTCAGGGCATCAATCTTGCCAGCGCAGATACCGTTATTCTCTTTGACAGGTAAGACTGCTTGCTCGCCTTAGTTGCACTGATTCTAGGCTAATATAAATTAGTGACTGGAACCCGCAACAGGATTTGCAGGCTCAGGATCGTTGCCACCGAATTGGCCAAACGCGACCGGTTGTGGTTTACCGCCTTGCTACCAAGGGGACAGTAGAAGAGGACCTGCTACTAAGTGCTGATGCAAAACGCAGGCTAGAGAAGCTCGTCATCAAGAAAGGGGGGTTCAAGACGATGGGTCAAAAACTCGATAGCAACGAGATTGTTGACAAGGAGATTCTTCAATCCCTACTATTAAGAGATGGTGAAGTGTATCAACATTCAGGGGGAGATCGGATCTTGAGTGACGAAGATGTTGATGTCTTATGTGACAGGTATATCTTACCCCGAGGACTCATTAGACTTGCGTGGTTACTCGAGTTTGCTAACATGTTTGCAGGAGTGACGAGGCATTTGAGCGAGCTGCGAGAGGCGCTGGCAATGCTGCAGGTTTCCAGGTTGTCGAAACCGCGGCAGATGGTATCACCCAGATGAAAGGGAAGTAAGTGTATTGATATATTTGAATCAGCATTGTACCATAGTAAGCATTCGGCGTTACTTGGTCGGTTGGTCGGTTGGTCGGTCGGTTAGATTAGAATAATGGTTCCAGACACCATCTGTATATTGCATTTATGAGTTATGTTTCTAGCATTCACAAGAATGATTGCAACTAGAAATATAGGACGTTGATTTTCCCCTAGGTACCTAATTATCTGCCGCATCCTGATCTGCCTGCTGCTTATCGGACTAGGTTGGTTGGGACAGTCGGCGATACGCCAGTTGCGCCATCGCTAGGATACGATGACGTCTCGGATATTGCCAAGGTGGATTGGTAATATGATACGGGAAAGCGAAAAAGAAAGAAAGAATACCCTAAGTTAGATACATGTAAGTTGTAATGCGAGTAGTACAGGAAGGGATAGCGATGTAAATATCCATTTGTATGGAAAAAACCTAAGGGGCCTTTTGATTTCCATAAACTCTACTACATATGTACTAATAATACACTGAGTCTACAGTACCTAATACTTGAATACCTACATATATAGGGTAAGGTGGGTTCTGTATAACGTAATACAGCGCTATAATGAGACATGCAGCAAAGTATATTGTCAGAATAAGGTCATGTGATTTCTGGTTAATTACATAAGCAACTCGTCCACGTAATACTTTAATAAATAATACGTTTACATTTACACACATTTATTAAAATCCTTTATTTATTTATAAAATTATTCTCTCTTAATTAATATAACTCTCACCTTAATAATCGTATTATTTAATAATTAAAAGTCTCACACGTAAATACCTTAAAAATATCATAAAAAACACCAATATTAATTATACCTTATTTAAACGAAATTAAATATAACTTATAAATATATTAAACCGTAAAAATTTAATCCCAATACTTAAAAAAATAAACTAATAAAACATATAAGATTTTATATTTTAAAAGATAATAATAAAATTACACGTTTAAAATAAAATTAAATTAATCTTAAATAATATAAAACCTAATAACTTAAGATATACATAATTAAAAAAACCAATAAAGCTTAAAATTAAAGATTATATCCTAAGATAAAAACGTTAAAAACACGTTAACGCTATTTATTTAACCGGAATATAACTATAATAATTTAATATAAACTTAACGTTATTTAAAGAAAAAAAAAAAAATATAATTAAAAGTAAAAAAATATTATAAAACTTAAAAACTTATATTATAAAATAATAACACCAAATTATTTTAAAACGACATATAAATTAAACATAAACATATAAAAATAATATTTAAAACTTTAAAAATTAATAAATATAAATAAATAAAAATAATTAATAAAAACATAAATTAAATATAAGAAATATATAATTATTTTAACTAAACCGTTAAAAAATTAATACGTTTAAATTAATTAATAAAAAAAATATATGGCTTAAGTTAAAATAAAAAAAATACTAAATATTAAAAAAGTAATAATATAGTTTAATAATTTATAAATAACTATTAATAAACATATAAAAAAGTAATGTTTAATATATTTTTAAATAAATAAAAAAAGCTTTTTAAATAATATAATCTCTTATTAAAATATAATAAAAAAATTAAAAACGAAATTTTAAACTCATAAAATAAATTAAAATTAAAACCGAATAAAAAAAAAAGCATTTATAATAACATACGCAAACAAGGATAAAAAAAAAACCTTAAAAGCCGGAAAAAGTAAAATAATAAATAAACCGGTTAAAAAAAGCAAAAAAACATAAAAATTAACGTATAATAAAAGATTAAATAAATAAATAAAATAACTAATATTATCGATATTAAATAATAACTTAATAATTTATAAAACATATTATAAAAACCATATAATTAAAAAATATTAATTTATATTTAAGGAATTAAAATTAAATAACATTTTAAAAAAAACATTTAAATAAAAAATATATAAAAAAAACCTTAAAACTTAATTAAAACTAAAAGTAAAAATAAAAAAACTTAAAAAACAAGCCTAAAAATTCGCTTTTTGCCTTAAACTTAAAAAGAAGTAAAAAAAAAAGAAAAAAAATTAATTAATAATAACGATACAACGTATTAACGTAATATTAATAATAATATAAACCTTTATTATATTAATTAAAGCTAAAAAAATAACATATAATATTTCACATTATCTTTTTATATATTTAATTATTTTTAATTTGGAAAATATCATTTATATTTTTAATAAAAAATCTTGGTTTTTTAATTACTAAAATACATTAAAAAAAAATATAATAATAATTAGTATAATTATAATATTAATCATTAAATATAAAGATATAAAAATAAAAGTTAAAAGCTTAAAAAATTATAAATTCCTATAAATATTAAACGTAACGTATTATTAAAACTTCGCTTATAATTTAATATTTTTACAACTCTTAAAACGATAAAAATACTATTAAAATAATAAATATATACGAATATATATTAAACGATAAAATAACTTCATTTTATGTAAAATACTCGACCGATATAACTAATTTATATTAGAAAACATTCCATATAAAATAAGTAAAAAAGCCTTTTATGCATAAATAAAAGCCATTAATTTATAAATAAAACGCGTTATAAAATAAGAAAATGTAAAAACATAACACTTACGGTTAAGCCATTTAAAACCGCAAGCATTAAAACACTTAATTAATCACTTTTAAAAAGTAAAAATCATTAACCTAACCATTATAAAATGTGATATATATAATATGTTAAAATTTAAACGTCTTATAAAACGTAAAAAATAACATATAAATAAAAAATTAAAAATGCGACTTACATTAAACTTTCATCCATTAAAAAAGTCATTTAATAATTACAAAGACCTTATATTAATATTAAATTAATAGTTTAAATATACCTAAGATTATTACCTAAAAAATCGCATAACCTCTTTTATTATAACCGCTTTAAAACATATAATTAAAATCCTTAAAACTTAACATAAAATCACACTTAAAATAATAAAAACAAACAATAAAATAACAACTATAAAACTAAAAATATAAAAATATCTTAAAAATATTTATATTTAAATAAAAACCTTAACCTTACGCACATAAAAATAAAACGATACGGCTAAACGCTTAAAAGATATAATTAAAACAAAGGTTAAAGCTATACGTAATAATGTAAAACTTTTAATATTCTTATAACCGGAAATATATTAATTGGCGATATATTTATATAACTAAACACTTAAATATATATATAACTAAAAATCGTTATATAAATGGTTTCATACATTTATAACACAAAAAGATAGCAGCAAAATATAAATTTAAAAACCGTAATAAACATATTTATAAGTTTATAATTATAAAATATTCGTTATAATAAAAAAAACATAAAATAAAGAAAAACAACTATAACGACTTAATTTTAAAGCTTAAATTAAATACCTTATAAGGTATAACTTAACTAATATTTACTAAATATAAAATCTATAAACTAATTAAATTATCGTTACACATAACGTAGCTTTTAATAAAACTAATTTATTTTTAAAAAACTTAAATAATCTTCGAAATAATATGCTTAAAATAAGTACTAAAAAATATGAAAAATGGCTAAAAAAAGCAAAAAAACCAATTTAAAACATTACTTAAAATAAAATCCTCACTTTAAACAATTATAATACTTATATAAAAAATGAAAAAATTAATAAAGAAAATTATAATAATTAAAACATTATAAACGTTTAAAACATTAAAAAACCTAACACATTAAAAAATATTAATATAAAAGAAACTTCACTAAAAAATAAAGAAATAAATAACATACGTAAATTAAAAACCAGATCTAATTAATTAAATAAACTTAAAAAACAAATATTAATAACCTTTAATTTTAACGAACTTGTAAAAAACATAATTTATTATATATTATAAGCAACTTAAGATATACACTTAATTTTAAATGCTTAACCAACGATTTAACATTTTATGTTTAACGTAAGACGTTTAAAAATAAAAATAAAAACAATAAATAAAAAAAACATTAATAAGATATAATTCTTATAATTACTTAAGAATTTAAAGAAAATTTATAAGAAAAACTTACCACTTTTATTAAAACATTATAAAAAGATAAAAAATTATCTAATAATTAACTTATTTAAAAAAATAAAACGAGAACATTTAAAAAGTTATGTATAAATGAAAACATAAAAAAAAATTCTACGTAACGACTTATAATATTAAAGAAAGTAAATCATTAACTCGATATAAGTATATATTTACAAAATAAATAAACATGAAAAGCTTTAAAAATGTAAGGCAAAAATCGTCGTTAAAGATAATTAATAAAAAAAATTAAAAGTAGAAAAAACATACGCTTTCACTTTAATAAAAAAATCATTTTAAACACTAATAATTATTACAACACGGTTTAATTTAAAATTAAAACAATTTAATGTTATTAACGTATTTATAAACGTAAAAATCCCATACGACATGTTTATATAAATGCCTTAAAAATATAAAACATTTGGAAAAATTCTTAAATTAAAAAGGGTATTATACGAGATATAAAAATCACCATTATTATGGTAAAAAAAGTTTACATAATTTTTTTAATTAATAAGTTTTAAATTAATTTCTCATAAATTATACGTATACCGCAAAGATAAAATTTTATTATTTTTTTATATCGATAACTTAATACTTATATACCAAAAAAAAAATAAAAAAAAGGTTAAAAAGTTAATAAAAAAGCTAAAAGAAAAGTATTAATTAACGAAAGAAAACGATTTACAATAATTTCTTAATATAATTATAATAAAAAATTAAGTTAAAAGTTTAATTTAGTTAAACCAAGCCGATTATATTCATAAAATTATTAACTTAACAAATATAAGTATATTTAAAAATCCTTTATACCTTATAATAAAAGAAAAACTATTATTATACGAAAAAAAAACATTACTTAAGTTAATTATAAAGTATTAAAAGAAAATAAGTTTAATATTTTACGTAATATTTAACATATAACCGGATATTACATTCACTTACTTTAAATTATTACGATTTCTTATAAACTTTAAATTACGACATTAAGTTATAACTAATTATATACTTTATTACATAAACCAAACCGATAACTTAGGATTTTAATTTAAAGGAAAAAACGAATTTAAAATAATAAGTAATATTTTTTTTATAAATAACTTTTTAAACCGGAAAAGCTTATAAGCATATGTTATAAAACTTTTTAAAAAATTAATTACATAAAAAGTAAATAAACAAGATATCGTAATTATGTTAACCATAAAAACGAAGTTATTAACATTATTATAAATTATTAAAAAATTAATATTTATTATACGATTAATAAAAAAATTAAAAATATTATTAAATGAATTTATTATTATTATTTAATACGATAATACTTAAATTATAAAAATAATATAAAAAGACATAAAAAAATTATAAACCAAACTAAGGTATATGGATATATATAATCATTAATTAAAATAAAAAATAATACGAAACATCATTAAAATATAATACACTTTAATTAAAAAGATAATCGCAAACAAATTAATTAAAGCACTTATTAACACCTTATTTAAGAAATTTATTTAATAAATTAGACTAATAAACATTAAAAACTATCTTCAAATTCGAAAAGACAAAGAAATTACTGACATAATTAAACAATCCCAAAACAGCTAGGTTTAAACAAATAATACTAAGAATGGCAAAGTTTGAGGGGGTGTGTTAAAATAAGGTCATATGATTTCTAGTTAATTACATAGGCAACTCGTCCACATAATACTCTAATAAGCAATGCGTTTACATTTACACACATTTATCAAAATCCTCTATTTATTCATAAAATTATTCTCTCCTGATCAATACAACTCTCACCTCAATAATCATATTATTTAATATATATCTCTCTTCAAAAGGTCAAACCATCAAAGATATTCACACATCCCCCTCAATTGCATCTTCATTCTAATCATTGACTCCACTCTTCGTCACGACATGACAGATTAGGTAGACAGATTTCACGTCTTCGCATAGAAGAAGGGATCCACACCCTTGGCTCGGAAATTCAGAATTATACGGCAAAACGGGGGAGGGTCACATTATAAGATACTGTTGTAGTCTCGTCCAGATCATTCAACGCTACCTACCTTGGTACACTATATTTCGAATATCTTCATATCAAAGCATCCCATATATCCGATCAGCCTTTCCAGTGTCCAACACCATGTCTAAGGCTGATGAGATCGGAGGTTTGAGCAACGACGTGCTCCTCCTCTTCGTCCCCTTGCCTAAGCGACCGGAGTGGATAGAGCGCATCTCCAAGCGATTCAAGGGGCTCCAAGTACGCTGGGTCTGCGCGATCAAGGACGACAAGAGCATGGTGACAGCTAAGGATGTCCCTGCCGAAGTGTTGGACGGCGTCACGCTGCTCTCCACATACCGACCTCCCCCGGTGGAGCTGATACCCCACGTCCGCTTCGTGCAGCTCAATTCCGCCGGTGTGGATTCGTGGATCGGCCATCCGACGTATGAGGACCCGGCTGTCACCATTTGTACTTCGAATGGTATTCACGCGTGAGTTTTCGCCTCCTTTTCCCAGTTCTATCTGCAATCCATTGTTTTAGGTGTAGATTAACAAAGCTACATCCTCGGGGAGGGAGCTTTTTCTTTTTTAGAAAAAAGGAAATTTCCCCCCTCAGTTGAAATCTAGACTGATGACTTTTTGGTGAAGCCCGCAAATCGCGGAATGGGTCATCGGCGCATGGCTCTTTCATCAACGTCAGTTTCTACATTTCACCGAAAATATGAAAAAGGGGTACTGGCCGCCGTCGCCCTTTGCAACCCAAGTCCAAGATTCACCGGGAATGCGGATGTAAGTATATCATATGTAATAAATTGGCCTACCTACTAATCAAAGGCCATCATTCGCGTAGGGGCATCCTAGGCTACGGAGCCATCGGCCGGCAATGCGCGCGCCTCGGCAGCGCCCTGGGCATGGAGATCTACGCCTACACGCGCAGTGAGCGCGCAACCCCAGAATCGCGCAAGGACGACAGCTACTGTGTACCCCGAACCGGGGACCCCGAGGGGCTACTCCCTGCCAAATGGTTCCATGGCACCTCAGCAGGTGCTGTCAACGCCTTCCTCGCGCAGGACCTCGACTTCCTTGTCCTCAGCCTGCCGCTGACGCCGGAGACACGGGGGATCCTCTCACACCCGCAGTTTGAGATATTGGGCTCGAGGAAGGACGGTAAAAAGCCGTTCATCGCTAATGTTGCGCGAGGAGGACACATCGATCAGGAGGCGCTGATAGAGGCGCTCGAGACGGGAACAATCTGCGGCGCGGCCCTCGACGTTACGAACCCGGAGCCTCTCCCCGCGGAGCACCCGCTCTGGCGCGCCCCGAACCTGCTGCTCACGCCGCATATCAGCTGGGTGTCTAGTTTCCTTCCGGACAGGTTGCTAGATGTGCTCGAGTGCAATTTGGAGAGGTTGGGGACGGGAAAGCCCCTTATTAATGTCGTGGATCGCAAGCTGAATTACTAGGGTACTTACCTACCTACATATCAAAATTTGGCAAATAGGGGGTGAGCCCAAGCGTTTAGAGTATTACCTAGATATATACCTAGTAGAAAGGGGGGTGGTCAAGGCAAAGCACGGGATAGAACATGAGTTTATTTAAGGTCATCTAATGTCGAGCGTTATGTCAGTATGGTATGGCATTCTTCGTATGTACTTGTATTAATTATTATCGTACAACCAGTTGCAGAACGTTACTTCCAACGATCTCGGACGGTTAGCAAGCTTGGAGCTTATAGTCAAATCTTCGTCTAAAATATCATTGAACTCACCTAACCTAGGTAGATAGTAGTAGCATATGAAGTTTGGACATCCGGTGTGGCCCGTTCGACAAGAACTGCACTGGGTACAAACCTCCCTAGGGTACATAGGTGGTATACTTCACCGTATATCTGCACCAGCCCGATAGCCTGCAGGGAAGAAGAGCACCTCTCGTTCACTGTAGAGAGGCTTGCACCAGCCACGAGCAGATGTAGAGATCGTAGATCCGACCCCCAAGCTTATATCTGGAGATTTCGTCACAGCTGCATTCTAGATCCAGTTATCCAAGTAGGAAGGCCCAAGACACAATGCAGAACCAAATGTCCAAGCACACGGCAATCTCAGGATGTGCAGTGTTAGTCATATCATATAGTCCGTGAGGACCAAGCGGGGATATTGTCGAAATATATAAAATGGTGCATTCCGAGGTCTCCCTGCTCGTATGAAGATGTAATCAACATAACTAACTGTGTGTAGTCACCTAGGTTCCTAAGTACTTACCCTACGTTAAAGCTAGTATGTGTGCTATGCCCAACATGCAGCAATCTCGGAGATCTCAGAGGTCTCGACGAGAACTTCGTATTAAAAACGAAAATATACGCAATGCAATTCTGGATGCTATGGACCGAAACAACACCGATTTCATTCCTGGAACAGATGTCATATTCGTGGATCAAGGAGATAGCCCGAACCCGGATAGGAATGATGTCGTACTCATCCCACAACCGAGCTCCAGCCCAGATGATCCACTAGTAAGCTCACTTTTTTTTCAACTTCCTCATCTGTCGGGGTTTAAAATGGAGATAGTTAACAGGAATTTAGAACTGGAGTCGGAAATGGAAGGCCACCATCATCCTGAACCAGCTCATTTTCGTCTTTGTCAGTATGATGACGCCGTTGGCCATCTCTCCCTTGACGCTTCTCTTCGAGACCGAGTTCAACAAGTCGTTGACCGAAGTCAACATACTGTTCGGCGTGGTAGCCATCACCCTAGGGTTCGCCAACATCTTCATCGTACCTGCAGCCAACTTGTTTGGGCGCCGCCCTGTCATACTTGTCTGCGCCTTGATTTGCGTTCTCGCCAATATATGGCAGGGTCTTGTCACCAGCTACGCGAGTCTCGTCGGCGCCCGCGTCATCGCAGGCATAGGTGCCGCAGCCAACGAGAGTATCATGCCGATGGTGATATCTGACTTGACCTTTTTTCACCAAAGGGGGAAGAGGTTGGGCTTGTATTTGTAAGTATCTACCTTTCACAGCCCCTAACCCGCTTTTGAGTAGGAATATAAGCCGAATTAACGGTAACCTCTCCTAGCTGGGCATACTTCCTAGGCCTATTCATCGGTCCCATCATCTCAGGGGCTATTACCGCCCATATCTCATGGAGGTGGTTCGTAAGTAGCTACTAGATTCGCAAGCAAACCTCCTTTTATCTCCTTTTTTTTATCAAACAAGCACTGCTAACACGGCAGTCATAGTTCTTGGACTGCACCATTCTGCAAATAGTAAGCCATCCTTCTTCACCCGGAAGAGGAAAGAAAGAAAATGACTAACATACCATCAAGGCAAGCTTCATCTTCCTCCTAGTCGCCCATCCAGAAACTAAGTTTGTCCGTCCGCCACATAGGCCGTCGATGTACGACGACCCAACGAGCATCACCACCCCCTTACCCGCGTTCTCAAAAACTCCGGGTGAGCCTGGCAAGCGCGAACACAGCTCCGCCTACGACGAGAATAAGACGCATATACCGTCGCGAGAGTCTGCCCTCTTGACCGCCTCGCAACACCAACCCACCAGCTGGCCCTCACGCGCACACTTCTCCCTCCTCCCCCAGCCCAGCAACCTGCGCTTCGGCCGCGCCCACGCCCACGCCCACGCCCACGCCCACGCCCCAGCCACCAGCTGCCGCCGCACCATCCTCCGCGACGTCCTCGCGCCCCTCCGCATCCTCCTCTGCTACCCCATCGTCCAGCTCGCCTCCCTCGCCACCGCATTCGCCGCCAACGCGCTGCTGGCGCTGAACCTCGCGCAGGCGCAGCTCTTCGGCGCGGGCGCGTACAGCCTCGGGTTCGACGACGACGACCTCGGGCTCGTGAACCTCGCGTTCGTGCTCGGCGCGGCGGCGGGGCTCGCGACGGCGGGCCCGCTGTCCGACTGGGCGGCCCTCCGCGGCGCGAGGCGGAACGGGGGCGTGGTCGAGGCGGAGATGCGGCTGGCGGCGCTGTTTCCGTTTGCGGGCGCTAATGTGGTCGGGCTGGTCGTCGCGGGGGTGGGGTACCAGCGCGGCTGGGAGTGGCCGGTCTTTGTGGGGGCTGGGTATGCGCTGATTGGGCTGCAGGTCGTGGGGGTGCCGACGGTTGCGGTCGCGTATGCGGGGGATTGTGTGAGTGTCTTCTCTCTCTCTCTCTCTCTCTCCTATCCGTGGACCTGTTTAAAGTGTGGAGTTGGATTTGGAATGCTAACTAAGTATCATCGCACACACAGTACAAGACACTACCTGGCGAGATCATGGTAGCTGCTACGATCGTGAAGAATACCCTTGGTGTAAGTTCTCTCTTCTCTCCTCTCCTCTCCTCTCCCCCATTTTAAAAAAAAAACATGACACAAAGTTCTATCTCCTAACCACGCACCAATAGTTCGCCATCGTCTTCTGCTTCAACAACTGGGTCGAGCGCGAAGGCTACGTCAAGCCCGTCGTCCTGATGATGGGGCTCACATTCGCATCCTGCATCTGCGGCGCCTGTATATTCCTGGTCTGTGGGAAGTGCATGCGGCGGCTGAGTGTGTTTTCTGGTTTGCATTATTTGTGAGGAAAGGGGGATGTGTAGCTTGTGGAGATTGGGGTGGTGGTGGTGAGGTGCTTTAAACGTAGGTAGTTGGCTTTGTTCTCGTTCTCTGTGGGTAGATGGAGAAGTTGTGAGGGTGTAGATACTAGGGGCGTGGGTAGTTCTGCGATATGCTAGATAAATATTGTATAGGGTGTAATCCATAGGTATGTAGTATGTGCAAGATAGAAATGTTATGTACGCCAATACCACCAAAGGCCATATATACAAAAAAGAGATCCCATCGACCCGTCATTCATAACATCGTAACAAAATTGCTTTTCATACCAAAAAGAAAAGCATCGATAGCTCGTAAGAATACCTACCCAACTCCCTACCCTAGGGTATATAAAGCAGCCCCTAGAAAGTTATCGACTGCCCGTTAATCGTCAACTCCGCACTATACAGCTCGCGCGCCCCACCCCCCTGATTCGCGTTCAACCGGCCATGGAAAACCACACTTCGGCCATTCGGATCGATATCGAGCCCCCCGGGGCCGTAAACGCCACGATTATCCACCGTCCGGATCAGGATCCCGCGGCTCCCGTAGCTGCCGTCAATGGTGTCGGAGAACGCGTACTCGACATCGTAGTCATCGCTCGAATAGCAATGCGCGCTATAGAACAGCACGAACCTCCCATCACCAATCTTATACAGCGCCGGCGCCTCGACCACGCCGTCGTTCGCCCTGCCCTCGTTATCCAGGATCGTGCTCGCGCTCCCCTGCAGCGTCAGCGCGTCCCGCGCCACCCGCTGGATCCTGATCGGCGTCGGCGTGTAGGCAGAGCCCGACGGCGTCCCGCCCTGGCAGGTCGTCGCGCCGCCGAGGCTGTTCCCGTCGACTTTCCACAGGATCCACCGGTCGACGCCGTCGTCGTAGCCGGAGGCGTCGATGACGCCGCCGCCGGAGTCGTCGCAGATCAGGGGGCCGCTTTGCGGGGCGAAGGGCCCCAGGGCGGTGGCCGAGGTCGCGGCGCCGATGCAGTGGCTTCCGCCGCTGCGGTGCGCGGTGTAGTACATCACGTAGTCGCCGGCGTCCTGGATATGGGTGTTAGTTTTGGGTTTTACACACTCTCACATAAGTATGTATACAAACCCCCTAGGTATCCAGTCTTCCGGGGCTGTCATCAGGGGAAATTATTGGGAAAGAAGGGGGGGGCTTGGCTTGGCTTACATTCTTCTGCACATCCGGCGCCCAGATGCTCCTATCGCCCGAATCGACCCAGGACCCCACGTCCGGCAGCGCGTCGGTGCTCGTGAGGGTCCAGGACCAGGTGTCGGATGACGTCGCGACGGGCACGTGCTTGCCGTTGGACGAGGTCCCGTACGCCTTCCACGACCCGTCGCCCCAGATGATGCTGGGATCGGGAAAGTCGACGCCCATGAAGGGGCCCGCCAGCCGCCTGCCCTGGATGCTGCCGCCGTCGTCGTCTATGTTGATCTTGGTTATGTTGGCTAGACCGAGGGTCGGCAGTTCTGCCGTGGCCCGCCGAGCAGCCTGTGGGCTGGACGACGGGAGTCCTGCGGCTAGGCTGGCACCGAGGGATAGGAGAAGGGTTTTCATGGCGGTGGGTGTTCTTGTGTACTAAATATCACAGCTATATACAGGTGCCTAACCTTAGTGTGTTTTAACTACTAGAGCTGCGAGAGTTGGTATACAATCTCGTGGATATTTCACTCGCTGCTCGGCCATGGCGACTCTACTTTATACACAACACGACCAAAGCAGTACATGGAGAGCAGGTGCCTGGGTGCCTATTCGGCATCATTCGGTCTTTTTTTCTCCCATCTCCCTTTTAGTAGGTACCCAATGTCACAATGTTCTTTTCAAATCTCAAGTATAGTGAAACAAGCGCGGGTGGAATATTTGGGCCAATGAACAACAGCCACACCTCGTTCCCCGAAGGATGCGTTGTATGTATGTATGTATGTATGTATGTATGTATGTTGTATGTAGGTACGTAGGCTTAGCTGACTTGCCTACTTACTTATAACACACCTGCAATAATACCTATAGCCAGTTACTGCAAGGGAGCATGATAGAAATGGCGGCCGGCAGGCAATGTCCGACTAGCCCCGAACGCAACGCACGATCACACACATCTTTGTGGTGGAGGGGGTGCCGGCTGGACCATCACATTGGTAATGCACCGGTGCCTGAAAGCCGCCAAGCCCTGTCATCAACCCCAGACAGCCCTTCGCCAATTCCATTTATGGTCGGTCATAAGCCACCACGTTACATGTGGGCTTTGGTCGTGCTTACATCTGTACAGAACTGCTTTTCGGGGGAAAGCAACATTGAGGAGAGACACCTGCCTTGTTTGGCTCTTCATGTTTCTCTAGCATCTATCTACAAATATTCCTACGGGGTAATCTTTCGTTAACGTAGGTAGCTACCTATCACTTTCAAGGTCGAAACAAGTTATTCGACGAGGACCTAGCGTGGTGGACAAGGATCACAACGCCAACCCCGTCTCTGATCATCCGCGATCAATCGGTCTGATCTTCGAGACCACTTGCGGATCTAGATAAGCCATTGAGCTTAAATTAACAACTTCGTGGCACTGGACTAGGTAGGCAGGGAACTAAAGGGGATTACACAGCTTGATAAATCCCTTACACCGTCACGTCACAAATGATGTATTCTCTGCAGTTCGAAGTTAGGTGCTATATTTATCATGGAGTATACTAATAAACTAGGTTAGACTGTCTAGCAGTTAGTTACACTCGATGGATCTAACGATCCCTGCAGATCGAGCTGAGGGGCTCGACATATGTATGTCACCTGGCGTAGACTGAGTATTATAAAAAATACGATTGCTAAACGGCCTGGTGATGCCTGGCGACTAGTGCCCATATCACGTTGCCAATAGGGGCCACGTACATTCTATGTGGGGTACATAAGGGACTGGGCAATCCTTGGCCGCGTTGGCTGCGTCTCTGCCGGCATACATTACATTAGCATGCCTCCAAGGCTCCAACATACATAGGTCTTCCTCAGCCCTGCCGATATAGACGATGGATGATCCATAATTACTCCGCAGTGCGTGTGGCTGTGTGGCACAACAGGACACCGGCTATCATGGAAGACTGCCGGGCTCTGGGCATCTGCATAGGAAGGAATTAGGCCAAAGGGCTGGGCTGCACTCATAACATTCATCTCATTTCTTACGTCTCCATTGGGTAGTCGATAGATCCACCTTATTTCTTTCGTTGCAACAAACAGTGTCGTCCCCATTTTCTCCTGAGATTCTCAGGCACGAAGCTCCAGTCTGGAACCCATAGAACTCTCGCAAGGAGATGTGTGTTCGCCGCATCTAGAAACGGTTCACATTTCACAATCTCCCAATTCTCCTTGTCGGCAATATAATCCGGCTCGTTTGGTGGTAGAGGGTTTCGGTTCTCTGGATATTGCGTGTCCACCAAGAACGGGCATTGCTTGATACCAACGTACTTCCCCATATCCTCTTCATTCCGATCATTCATACCTCTAGGAGGAAGCCATGTACCGCTCCAGAAGCCGAACCCGGTGCGTGCCTCGGCGAATTCGCCAGGTAGTAACCCGCGGAACTCAGATCGGATGAATTTGGCACGCATGTCGCGCGGTAGGAAGTAAGAGCTCGGGAAACGATACCACTCCTTTCCGAAGCATACATGGTCGCCATTTCCACCAAGGCCTTGTTGACCAACAACCCCTGTCCCAAGTGGCTGGTAAAGCGTAAGGGGTGCATAGTAGGCTTTGTATACACCGATAATGCGGGTCACGCCTAGATCAAGAGATAGCAATAGCACACCCATCACAACAACAAGCTTCAAGCGTGCTGGGATCTTCCCAACGAGAGTTTTCGGGTCTGAGCTTCCAAATGCCGACAAGATAATGTGAAGTCCCACAGCAGCGTTCAGTGCGATAAACGGGTACATGGGATACATGAACCGCTCCTCTTTATGTGGTTGGCTAGAGAAGATGGCAAGCCACATATAGAAAGGTGAAAGAAACACTGTAATGCGGATCCCGGAGTAAAATCCATGTTGTTTGGCGGAGAAGATCTTTTGTACGAAGAACAGGGGGAGGGATAAGAGAGCCAGAACGAACCAAATGTTGAAATTTATGGCAAGATTTCGAAAATAGAAGGTCCATGGCTCCGTTCCGTAGAGGTTGGGACCACCTGTGGATGAAAAGATGTTATACTTGACAATATTCCACGAGACCACTTCAAACTTCTTATAGAAGAAGGTGTTGATGGCCGCATCTCCGAGCTGTATTCAGTTAGACATAAACATCACAATTTGAAGATGCGCATGTACTTACAACAAGAACCAGGGCAGCGATTACTCCTCTACCAACTCGAAGGACCGCTTCATAGAACTTCTCGCGGTCTCTCATGAAGGCAAAGACGGCCAGGATGCCTTCTTCAACTAAGAAGGGGGCACAGAGAGCCGAGGCAAAAGGCCATCCGAGAATGCCGCCAACAGCAAACCACCAGATACCCCACGAGGTCTTAAGCCCACCTCTCCAGTTCATGAATGCAGCAGCTCCAAGGAGAGACATGTACATGGCGAAACTAGAGGGAAGATAGGCAACACTGGCATGGAAGTTTCCGGGTGACATGACAGTTGCCATAAGGAAGAAAAGGCCGATGCGTGGGTTCAGAGTGAAGCTGATGACGCGGAATAAAAGCACCTGGCATAACGAACAAACAAATGCTAGAACGTAACGAATGAAGTAGAATTCAGCCAGCTAAAGAAGAAAAGGAAAGGATGTTAGTATAAGAGTAAAGTAAGGCCTCGAATTAAATATGAGGTAAGTAGGTAGGTAGCATTTACCTTTGTAGTCTGCGGCAACAATCTCCTGAAGTTACCAACTATAGCATGCAATCCTACGTAAAACCAACTTCGGATGGCATACTCTGGTGAGTATTCCCATGTCTGCAAGCCATAGCCATGAGACAGGTAGTGAGTTGGTTCCCAGTAATTAAAAGTCTCGTCGCAATCTTGAATAGGTGCGTATAAAGCAGCGATGAAGTTGACGAGAAGGAAGATGTAAAATGCCTTTATGGGTTCAATCATGAACGGTGTCGCAGCTCTACAACAACGTGTTAGTGTCTTATTTAATGTTCCTGTGATAATCACATAATATCCACATACTTCTTCTTAGCATGTTTTGCAACTGGGTGAACGAAATCGTTCCCATGCTGAGTTTGTGTAGGAGGCATATTGAACGTGGTGAAATGGTGGTAATGCCACTCTCACTCAGCGTGGATACTCGGCGAGGTTACTCGTCGAGAGTAACAACATGCAACATGGAAGTTATAGAAAGCCTTGAAATAAATAATTTCAATGTTGTAAGTTGAAGTGTCCCCAAATGTTGAAATCGTCTAAAGTTGTAGAGAGCCAATTGAAAATGACGTTGATTAGTGGATCTGTCAGGCACAATCCATACGGCCTTCGGGTGAATACCGGCGCTGAAATCTAACTAACGTTACATGTTGATTGGCTCTAACTATTGTCACCATGTGCCATTAACATGGAAAGTGCTAGGTACGTAGGTACATCAAGATAATCCGTGCCCACTGTATGTTTCTAGAAGGCAAACTAGGTCAGTTGCAGCTGCAGACTTGCGGAAGCTTAGATTTTAGATTTATTTTAGTCTTCAAAGTTTCTTTTCAACATAAAACCATCTAACCTACACCTCTACCTCACTTTTGACCGGATGCTTTTTTTTTACATTTTTGGTTTTACCTGAAATATATATTCTCACACCGATTTAATCATCTGTAAAGGTTAATTTCTTACAAGTACAATCGTGTACCAGTTATCGCTAAGGTCTTCAAGATATCATCTTCTTAGTAGGTACTAAGGAGTCGCGATTCTAAGGCGATTTACGTCTCGTCTCGTCTCATATTATTTCATCTCATCCAGTGGTTAGTATGATTCCAACAATCTAAATTCAACATCGCCAATTACAACCCTTTCTAAAATCTTATTGCTCAATGCTAATACACTATTCCATAGCTCTTTCAACAACTATGTCTGGGCAGATTCCTGGCCTGACTATGTCAGGACCAGATACCTCACAGAGCCAGTCAGGTGGCCATGATGAAGCCAATCAAATCACATCTCAGCCTTCCATGGAAATGGAAATTGAAGAAACTGCTCAAATTGGAGAAACTGCACCATCTGATAACCCCATACCTTCTAACAATGCCATGGCAGAAGAGAAGGTCCCGGAGAATACGGATATTGAGGTCGGCGATGCTCCTAGCCCACCATCGCTAACTTCCGCCTTGGAAGCACTTCTTGGCAGTTTGGATCCCCCGGCTCAAGAACCCGCTCAAGAACCTGGCCTTACAAATGCTCAGCCGAACAACACAGAAGAGAATGATCAACCTCCCGAGCATGATGACCAAGGCAACCCTGAGTGGGAAGAAGACTCATCCCCCTATGAATCGTCGTCTGACTCGAGCAGCTCCGAAGATTCGGACGAGGAGTCAGAAGACGGAAAGAATTACAAGCTATTAGGTCCGGAGGAAACTGCCCGCATGCTTATGGAAATGGAGGGCGGTTCAGATGATGAAGGTGAAGGAAAGGGAAAAGGGACTGGTTCCGGCGCTCAAGTCCGGACTAAGAATGAGCAGCCCGAAGAAGTAGTTCCCAAGCCAGATATCACCATCACACCCGAGATGGAAATCCTAGAGCTTGGCGTCGTCGAGCACGTCGTCGAGAGCACAGTTGTAATCAAGGCAACTACTACGGGCGAGTTCCAAGTTCTCGATACTGGCTCCGTCGTATGTACAGAAGACCGCACAGTTATTGCAGCTGTAGCAGATCTAATCGGCAATGTGAGACAACCGCGGTATACTGCCAGGTTCACTAATGAGGAGGAAATCAAATCATACGGTCTAGAGCTAGGAGCCAAGGTTTTCTATCCGCCATCACATGCCTCATATGTCTTCACCCAATCACTTCGCCAGCAAAAGGGTACAGATGCAAGCAATTGGCACGATGAGGAAGCTGGTGATGATGAAGTCGAGTTTTCTGATGATGAGAAGGAGGCCGAGCACAAGAGACAGCTGAAGGCTAAGAAGAGGGGAGGGCGTGGCGGTAAAGGCACTGCTGTAGGAGGAAGGGAAGGCCGAGGTCATTCTGAGGCCCCATCTTTCCCTGGACCCGATGGCCTAAAATACGATGACGACGAAGACGGTCCTTATCGAAAACTAGCGAGGCCATCAAACTTTGCCCAAGCACCACCAGCTTCCTCAGCAGAATCCGGATATACGAACGGGCATGCAAGCAATAATAGCACTTTCCGAGGTGGTCGAAGCAGGGGACCGCGAGGCAACTCTTACGGACGTGGTGGACGGGGTAACCGTGGAGATTCACGAGGCGGCCATTCATTACCGCCGAGGCCCCCTAGGGGACAAGAGTACCAACCACAGCCCCAGCAACAATATGGTTTTCCGCCAGCCCCTCCGCCACCATCCATGCTACAGTTTTATGGAGCGCTGAACGGTACTCAACAACCCAACACGCCGTTGCCTTTTGCGTGGCCGCAGAACGCACCGCAAGGCTTTGTCCCACCGCCGCCGCCGCCGCCGCCACAATTCACTGGGCAACAAGCTAATTCGGGCCCATATTATAACCCGGAGTTCCTCGCCGCTCTGCAACGCCAGATGCAAAGTCAGCCCGGTCAGCAGAATAATCAGTGGTCAGGCCATGGCGGTGCCAGCTAGTATCATAAAGCCATAAATGGTGGTTGGAGTTTAATCGTCTCATATATTGATGTCTCACGAATGGGACTGGAGATATAGTATAGTTCTCCTGCTTCAGGTGTATGTGCCCCTATTTCTAGAATCTGAATATTGTAATTATTGTACTTATGGTGACTTTTTTTAGGTATAGTGATGCAATTACTCAATTACCCTAGGTACACCTAATAGTTGACAGAATGTGCCAGTGGCTTCATTGAGAATTAGCACAGCAGTGGACAGCACCGTAGCTACCAGCCTCTCCAACAGGATGGGGGGTTTGGGGTGAAGCAAGAACTCATTTTAACTAGGTGAGGGTCTGGAATACTTGCATATCAGAAAGGTGTCACAGACTAGAGAATACTCACTCAAGCCCTTCCTATCTGGGACAACATCCATTGCACGTTGAAGTAAATGAGTTCCATGTGGTAGCACATAGCATAGTCTACAGATTAACTCTTGCTAAGATGTGCCTGATTATGAGGGATCTATAGGTCCACCATACCAATCAACTTTATAATATTTCATGTTCTATTTCGAATGACGCAATGTCACGGTAGGATTAAAGGGGTAGTAATATTGTGATTTGAAGACATACCTAACCTAACTAGATACGTAGGTAGGTAAGTATGTATTCATAAAACAACCGAATCTCTGTCTGTCGACTTCTGTCTCTTCTTCGCTTTTAGTTTGTGAATGCGATAGGGTCGACAATTTAAGGAAGGACAAGATTATCGGTGTAGAAAAGACGCCACTACACCGCACCACCCGATGGTGTACATAGCCAAGGAGACCATTGCCATTCAACAGTAAGATCACGCTTGCACAAACAACTATCACCGTCCGGCATTAGCCACATTTTGCTACCTACCTTAATCAGTACCTTGCCCGATAGAGTCGTCGGTCATAATAGCTTTGGCGTCCAACCTGAGGTCGACTTGTTAGTTCCAAGAGTTACGGATTAACTATTCATAATAGGCACTCAAATTCGTGGTTATTCCACTTGACGATACCACGGAAGGCATGGCGCGATGTTACAATGTGACGACAATCAGATAAATCCAACTTACTACATACTACGTACTAATTACATAGTATTGGACTTTCAGCTGAAGATATCCACAGCACGGTCAAGACGGGCTTGATGGTATCCATTGGGTTTAGTGGGAGTCGTCACGACGATCCTCCACAGGCACCAATAGGTGATATCGATTGGCACAAAATAGTGATCGGCCTTTAGTGTAAAGCTGGAAAATAAAAAGACGCCTGGGGTGGCACGGCCGGTGCATTAAATGCGACAGACGGGAAGGTGGAAATTTGATTTTGATTTTTGAAGAAAGCACAACATTTGAATGTTACAAAGCGGAACTGACGGACAAAAAAAAAAGGAAACAAGAGTCGGGCAATGTCAGGGTTGTCTCAGTCTCACAAAACTAAAATAGCCAGATATCGCATAGAATACCTAGGGTAGGTACCTATCCATGATCTATCAAGAGGCACAAATTATGGAATCGGCCCAGCATTCGAGAAGGGGAAGGAAGAAAGGAAGAATGGGATAATATTTAGAATAGAGGAATAATTGAGCCAACAGTCATCGCAAGGGTATCGCAGCCAACATTGAAGGTATGTAAGAGGGATTTTAAATACTAGTTACCATGTAGTAACTACATATGTATGTAGTTATTTCTTAGGTACCGCATGGAGTAGTACATCCAGTAGTACATAGTTACATATCGTGATGTACACACATTTGAAGTAAAGGCTACTCCGTACTAAAATACGAATCCCTCCCGACCACGCGGAAGGAAAACGTGAAATCGGTCTATCGTATATTAAGTACAATCGATCTAAGCCGGTACGGGTACGGGCGCGAGAAGCAAAAATGCGAAGTTACACGGCAAAAACAAGATAAGACGTCATGTTGCGGTTCCACAACATGGAAGATCGTGGTATTATTGGAGACGATTTCGTCCCAAGAAGGTGTGGATCCCGTGTAGCGCCTACCTTGATAGTAAATAGTAAAAGAAAAAAGAAGGAAGATGCATTAAGAATAACCCTGAACCACGACGCTTTTAACCTTGGAAGTTACATAGCAGCCTATTACCCTACCACATGTAAGGTACATACTTAGAAGTTAGAACATACATAAGCAACATCTTGAAGTTGACAGAGTTGACAGAGTTGACCCGGAAGGCCGGAGGAAACATTGAAACTAAACAATCATATCAAGTAGGTTAGAGAGATATAGGTATGTGAACAGCATTCCGTTTCTTCCCACATGTTCTAATCATGCCATTGACACTTACCAGACAACAAGACCGAAATTTGAATATTCTAGTTATTTTAGTCAAACATGAGCTTCGTCAGTCATGCTTTTGCTTTAAATACCTAAAGGTTATTATGAACTCTTAGGCTGTTTCTCTGAGAATTAAGGGGTGATATAGCTATTCCCACATGTGCCTATTTTTGTGTAAGGTGGCATTCTTTTATGTATTCCTTTTTCAACCTGCCCAATAGAAACTAGGGGCAGGATGGTCCAATTGTCAAGCCCCCTGGCAGATCCCAGTAACACAAATCTCGCCTATCCTGCACCTTTAAACAATCGTCCAATCAAACAGGGCTGGTTCCTGAAAAAAGGCGCCCGTGTGCCTGACAACCCCTGACTAGCGCAAGAAGCTTGGGCCATAAGGTCGTGATAGTAAGGCCGAAAATGATCAGCGTTGGTAAACTCCAACGTTGATGGGATGATGTGGAAAACGAAGATAATTACAAGGATTGATCAATGGATAATGTACCTTTATAGTACAAACTTGGTAGGTAGGTAGGTGTATAAGTGTGAGATGATTCGATGCTGACCATAATACTATGTATTAGTTCTCTTTTCTATCTTAGTCAATGGATTGCGAAATGGGATTTCAGAGTACCTATGCATATTTGTTATGTACCCTAGGTACCTAACCTAGTAGTATATACCGATAGATCCATTGCAGGTAAACACATAACAATCTAGCTTAGATACATCAGATGAAACATTTATATACATACCTACCTACGTACATTGTACACGCGTTTGAAAGATGAGATAACAGCCTAAACTGATGAAGGGGCAGCATACATACATGTACCTGGAATTACTATACTACCTAAGGTATCGGTGTTACCAGCTATTAATTAATATGCCAAATTGCCCTTTTAATGCGTTCCGTTCGTAAGTGACACTCCCGGTTGGTTCATGCAAACACTCTAGGATATCATCAGCCTTGAAGTTCAAATGTTCAAGTTGTATGTATGTAGTTATTGTACAATACATGTGTAAAATATGATATGTATATGTGACTGTATAATAAACTTAGTACAGATCGGTACCTGCATACCTGCGTCTCTGGTTGTGTGGGCAGTGGTTGTTTCCAAAGTCCGGAGTACCTAACCTGCTAGCCCACGTACCTAACTTGCGGTACTGAGGTATACTGCGGTACCCCGACACGCTAAACCCTAGTCAACAGTGCTCCCCTCCCCCCCCCCCGTCCCACCAAGAACATTCAACTCGGCTCGTTTGTACTACCTATACTACCCTAGGTATTCTCATTCCTCGTCACTTTTCCCTTCCTCCCACTCTTTCTTCCCTTCCCTCCTCTTGCCCTTACCACCACCGCCTCTCACACGGTCTCTTTCCCCCTCTTCACGAGATTTTGGGTTTCCTTCATTGAATCCATTCTCACTTACGTTCTTTTTCAATTACCCCTCTCGAAATATCGGGATTAACAAAACCGTACCTTCTTTATACCGCGAGTCGCGACTCGACGTCTTGTAAGCCGACCGAATTCGATTCACCTTATACGGTAAACAAAGCGCAAGCCCACGACTATTTCGCCACTACCCGATAACCAAATCGCATTGTACTTACCCACGACGCCTATGAGCGCATTACATTCTTTTTACATTCACAGATCAACACGCGCCTCGCATTGATTTGCCCCTCACCATCGAAGTCGGTTTTAGTTATACCTGACCGTGCCGTGTTGTACCGTATCGGCTTGGAGGTGATAGTGGTGGAAGAGAAAGGACGATCTTTTAGAAGTATCCAGTTTACAGAGATCAGATAAACCAAATATCACCATGCCGAGCCACCAACACAATCACCTTCATAAAAGGCAAGGCGACAATGGCTTGGAGAAGTTTGTTGATGGCGTCGAGAGCGCTGCTAGTGATTTGAACCCCTTCAAATCACCTGCTACCCTACAGGCAAGGGCACCGGCACCATCGACCGTTTTTTTTACCGTGTACGAAACCATGTCCAAGACGTTCGACGGCCCCATCGCTGGATATTCAACCGTAGTCGAAGCTGACGACACCACCAAGGTCCAAGAGCCAACAATCGCTGCTCTTGCGCAGCCCACGTCACTACCTGAAGTAGAAAACACAAGCCCACTTACTGTAGCTCAGGCTGCCCAAACTTCCTTGGATTTGGCTACGAGTACCGCTGCCGCTGCAAAGGATACGGATATCCTCCCGGGATCTATCATGCAAACTGGCTCCGTCGACCTCAGCCAGCACTCAACATTAGCTATAGCAACGAGCAGACCCACGACACTCAGCCAAGCGACCAAGAACGTGGAGACATCCGAGGCGGCCGCCGCCACTCGCGCATCCGCCTCTTCCTCTTCATCGGCAACAGCTACAGCAGAATCATCGAATGCTAGCAGCAGCAGCGCGGCGAAAGCTGGTATTGCAATCGGAGTTCTCGGCGGTATCCTGGTCGTTGGCCTGCTTGTCTTCTTCCTGATGAACAAACGTAGGAAGCAGCTCCAAAAAGAGCGAGAAGATAATGAAAAAGTCAATCACGGACCTTACAATGCTCGTCCCATGTCTATGCTTTCGACCCAGACTAGCGCCACTGCACCTCAGTTGAGTTTGCGTCCTCTCACAGAGTTCATGCCCGCCTTCAGCGAGCGACGATCTAGCAAGGGAGCACACCTTGCGCTTGCTACAGGAAACCAATCTCTCTGGGAACGACCCGGTACAAGCCACGCTAACAACACTGAAAACCCCTTTGGCAACCACGCGGAACGTGTTCAAACGCCTACTGGAAACGGCCGGCCAACGAATCCCTTCGACAACCCAGAGAACGTTGTTGGCGTTGCTCAGACTACGAACTCACCCCCGAGGTCTGTGCCGACTACGGGTGGAACTGCAGTTGGCGCTGGTGCCGGTGCCCTCAGCACAGCTGCTGCGGGTGCCGCATTAGTTCGAAAGGCCTCCGCTCGAAAGAACGCCCCTGCACCCCTAGACCTTACGATGCCTGCTACGCCTCCCAGCCCAGCTGGTACCGAGTTCAGTATTAACTCAGTCGCTCCTGGACAATCGCCTGGCCCCTCAAAAAGTGCAGCAGCTATCGCGGCAGCTGGTGGCCCTTCGGCGACGGTTGTTCACCGTGTCCAGCTAGACTTCAAGCCAACTCTAGAGGACGAGATGGGATTAAAAGCTGGTCAACTCGTCAGACTCATACACGAGTATGACGATGGCTGGGTAAGTAATCAAATTCTCGGTCGCAATTAATGCCCCGCTAACATGTCAATAGTCTATGTGCATTTCACTAGACCGTAGTGTACAGGGTGTTGTTCCGAGAACTTGCTTGTCAACGCGGCCCGTGAAGCCTCGTCCCGCTGGTGGTCCTGGAGCTCGCAACGGTCCTCCTATAAACCCCAGTGGCCAACGTGGGCCCCGAGGTCCTGGCCCGAACTACCCCCCTGGAGCTCGACCCATGACTCCCCAGAGTGGCCGCCCGGAGTCACCTATGATGCGCTCTATGGCAGGACGACCACAGTCACCTGCCACTATGCGACCGCACTCCCCCGCAACCGGACGTCCAATGAGCCCCTACGGAAGTCGTCCGGCTTCTCCGGCGACCGGCCGACCAATGAGCCCCGGCCCCCAAGCACAGTCACCTGCTTCAAGACAACAACGAAGGATGACGCCACCTGGGCCTAGTCCGATGAACCCCAATGCCGGTTCTCCTACCGAGCAACAGAACCGATCTCCTGGTCAAGGTGCTGTTGGCAGGAAACCCGTTCCGGGTCAAGCTTATTGATCAATAATATAAAGCATTATTGACTAAGGCCCTGAATTTTTTTTTTACAATTATCTTTCCTTACGAAGGATTCCCCCCATCTGATTATAGTAGAGAGATACGTCGGAGCCATTGAACCCCTCGATTTTGACGAACGTTGATGAACAAACTACCTTTCTCCACACTCGCTTGCGACCCTTTATCTTTTCCTTTAAGTTGGTGTTTTCTTTTCTCTTTTCTTGCTATTGTTACTTTGAACTCCGGTCATTGCATATTGCCAGCGTGGTTTCATCAGAAAAGCTACACAGTATCGACCCCGACCGAGCGCTACCTTGGTAATTCGGCTACTGCTGCTTGGGTTGGGATAATCTGGTAATTTCTTGTCGATAATTTCTAAACCCGAGGATATCCTAACAAACTATCCTCGGCTGGCGTTGAGGATGCTGTGACTTGGCATCGGTTCTGCAGCCTTGCGCGCACAGCCTCATCGCTGAAAGCTAAACTGGGTTGATACCTCGTTCATTCATACCCCTCGCAATTGTATGACCTGGGATCGAACGCAGCTGCTTCTAGTCTCTCTATTCTACCTTCCAAACCAGCTTTGGAAAAGAGACTTACAACACCTTTGGGACAATTTTGATACCTTCTCCTTCATTCCTGGCTGCAGAATCCAGGATGATCGAGCAAGCCTGGTATCGGTATTTTTTACTCTTTGATCGACCGAGGGAGGGTTGGATCATTAGTTGGCTAGGCTAGCTGAGGGGATGATTTTTTTTGGTGTGGATGTGTGTGGATGTTAAAGACGCCCACGAAGTTAGTCAGCTGGACAGGATCTAAGCTCGGAGACGAAAGATGAAAGACGAAAGATGAACGAAAGATGATGGCGGAGCCTGAGGAAGGATGGTGAGATGAGGTGTGATGTCTTTCCCATGAAGAAGGAAAGAAAGGGGAAGAAGGAGAGAGAGAGAGAGAGAGATCAGAGATGGATGGATGGATGGATGTTTACGGATGAGTCTCTGCAGGGCTGCCTGTATATCTACGAGAAGGAGGCAGACGGGGTGGGTGGTAGGAGATATATGTAGGAGGTAGGAGGTAGGAGGTCCTGGGACCAGTTTTCCTCGCTGTAGGTGTAGGGTATCCAATGAAAGTTAATGGCTCCCTAAACTAACTACCCTACCCTAATGTTGGCGATTCTCGCGTCTACGTGACCTGTCTGTCCAATACAATGCGTGCCTGCGCAAATGATCACATAATATCACGCCTAATCTCTCCGGGCTTCGGGGACAATTACGTACCCAGGTAGATGATAAACACGACTGCCGTCTTCAGTCACAATATACTTAAGTAGGCACCTAGTAAACCCAGGTTTATTGTCATGTGTATGTATTATATTCACAGAAGTACTGACTGACACTGCCACAAGCAATGTCGGGATAAGAGAAAACGACAGCAACCAACCAACCAACCAACCAACCCCCCTTTCCCAAATACAATACCAATACATACCTACATACAGTCCAGCCCTAACCCCAACGATCGAACTCCAAGTTGAACAACCTCCGGAACCCGAGTAGAATCCGTCACGATTTTGAACTCCTATCCTCTAAAACAGCCCCCCTACAATCACCTCCTATTCCGTCCTGGCACCCCTTACTTACTACTTAAGCTGGGCACGACTGCACTCTCCTATGGCTAGCTTCCTTTTTTTCTCTTCCCGACATTCCAGCATTATTCTTCGTCTTGAGCGAGCGCATGAACCAATAATTGGCTCTGCCGCCATCTTCCTTGGCGCCCTTCTTTGCCGATTTCTTCGCGGCCTTGGGAGGCTTCCAGCTACCCTTCGACTTGATCTTGATCGTTTTACCGCCATGCTTTTTCGACCGCCGTGGCTTTTGGGCCCTGGTCTTCTTCTTGCCTAGTGTATTTGTATTGGATGACGTCTCGGGCCTGGTGCTGGTGGTGGCGCTATCGAAACGCACCTTGGTACGGAGATATACCTTTTTGATCCACTTCTTGAGTTTGAATTTCTGGATGCGCTTGGTGAGGGTGGTGGAGGACGCGTTCGAGTGCTTGAAGTGCAAGCCGGGCATGTGGGCGCCCTCGGGGTCAGATCTTGATCCGAGGGCGGCAAGAGAGCCACGCGAGAAACGTTTCGGTGAGGGTGTGGGCATAGTGTGATACTGGTTGCTTTCGCTCTGCCATTGTATCTTGGTCAAATTTGTTGCCCGCGATTCCGTGCTCGGGCGTAGGCGGTCCATGGAACCGGCGTTACTCGGCCGAAACGGTATGTCATCCTCGAATGAGCTAAAGTTTGTCGACAAGAGAAGCTCGGGAAAGCTGCCTTGAACAGCTGAAGTGCTGGAAAATTGATCTTCTGGTACGGGGATTGTATCACCCGGAGAAGAGGGCGAAGCTGGAGGCTTCTGTGTTGCCTCGCTAGAATTTTCATCATCGTCACAACCCAATTTTTGTAACACATCGTCCTGTTCTGGTATAGACCCGACAGAAGTGATGCCCGAGAGAGCATGTTTAGGAGTATACTCTCCACTAGCTGTTCTAGTATCTGTATCTGAGACACCGCCAGTAGCGGCTAGTTCTTCCATCAGGCATTGGCCCGTTTTATCGTGTAGGGCTGATACGTCGTTTGTTGAAACGCTGGACTTGGTCGAGGTTTCTTGTGACTGGTATACGCCATATCGAGACATTTCCGACAAGAAGCTCTCCGACCAAGTGTTCAGCTGTGGAGAACGGCTGGAGTCGACAGGGGAACGAATACCTTCGGATGGATAAGATGACGAAGCACTACGAACCCTAGTGACGGACGCGAGTGATTTCACAGCTTCTGGGATCTTAACCTCTGGTAATCTAGCATATGGGTTGCGATCTTTCAGCAGGCTGCTTTGACGAGCCCCCTTATTTCCTTCGTCCTGTTTTGAGGAGAGTTGACCAATATGTTTGCGCCCGGGGGTCAGGTCAATAGGGGTACCGGGACGATAGAAGCTAGAGACGCGTTTGAGACTTTTGGACTCTGAAAGTGATAGCACGTTTTCAATGCGGGCTGAAAGGGGCTGTAGCTCCCTGGTAGCAGAACGAGGGTTGTCTGTGGTCGGAACATTCTGACGGTTCTCGTCCTTCTCGAATAGACTTGAGAAGGCTGAAGAGATATTCGCCCTTTTACCGGGACCAGGGCTGCTAACGTGAACTGTAGGGAATCTACCGCCTGGTTGGTTTGGGTCGCTATCCTTGGATTTCTCACGGGCAAACGCTCTGCTAGGCAGAGACCATCCTCGTAAAGACATAGCAATGAATGTGACTAAATTTGCTCTTCGGATGTACTTTAGCAATACACCTAAATTCGTATTACAATGGTCTAACGTAAAGTAAGGTGTTGTCGAATTATAAGTGACAGACGGAGGAGTATACGATGTGTTTAAGAGTGGTCAAATACTTATTTATTAGGCACATGTCTACTTTGTAGGTATGTAGTAGTAGGTCTGTCTATATGTACTAGGTAATTGCGAAGATGAAATAGGAAGCCTTGAGGAGCCAGACAAATACTGTCTTGCTGGTACCCACCACGCCTAGTACCTACCGAATATGGTTCGAACTTGATACTCTAGGAAAGCACGAAGATGATATATCGTTAGGAGTTGCCATTATGAAAACCTACCTAGGGTAGGGCAGGTACGCAGAGTAGTTAATTAAGCTTACCTAGTGTAAAAGTGGTTAAGTACATGAAGGCCACTTAGCGACTCGGCATAATTCAATAATACCATCGAAACGGTAATACGAAGTGTTGCCGCCGCCCCAACAAGTTTCTAATGATGTCACGATATCGTACCATGAACCCATAAACCCTTAAACACTTACCATCAGGCAAAATAATGAAAGAATTTGCAGTCAATTCCAACTTGCCACCCTCGCGAATACTGTAGGTTTATTAGCAGCCAGTCAACGAAGTCATGTTGCAGATTTCATCCCATTTTATCACCAAGGCTTATACCCCTCTACAGCTATGGGATCTTTTCGAAGATCTCAACAACTAATAGCAGCTTGCTGGGCAAGGCGGTTAAGCCGGATTTCCCATGGAACATCCAGATTAGCTTGGACGTCGATCCGTTGCCGTGCATCCAAGGTTGGCAGCCGATCATCACTTTTACAGAAATCTCAACCACAATTCCAACCACAGTTACAATCTCAATTTCCACGTGGCTTTTTTAGTTCCCGTCCGAATCAACAACAAAAGGACCCCGGTGGCGATACTCAGGCCCATGCCGATTCCGGTTCCGGTGCCGATGCTGGTTCTGGTCCTGGTAAACGTCCCCTTGCTGTCCTGCCTACAGCCTTCGTACTTTTAGGCGCCTTGCTTATATCCTCACTCTATCCAGGAGGTGAAAAACACCAACGTCACTCCAACCTTGTGAGACAGACAAAGAAACCCTCCGGCGATACTACCAGTAGTGATAGTGATGGCTCGAAAACTAATCCTGATGAGACTTCATGGTCAGCCTTTACTCGACGATTTGAGGATTTCTCTAATGTCACTGACATAGAATGGACCGCATTATCCGATCGCATAGTCGGTCTGATCTTGCCTGAGTGGTCCAAGGGCCTTCCCGGCCAGATCCGCAAGCTCCAGCGCGAGTTGTCCATGGTAGATGGGTCGCTGGCTAATGAAATCTGGCAAGAAGCTCATGACCCTTTCATTCATCCTGAGATACAGTATTCTGCCAAGGTACGCGTCTCTGATGAGCTCTGCGACGATGAGAAGGAGTTCTTGTCTCGTAGGAAGAAAGTTGCCACCGTAGCTTTAGCCAAGTACCTTGGCCTCGATGAGAAAGCAATTCATCCCGACGATGTTCCCACCATAGCTATGTGTGGTTCTGGCGGTGGCCTACGAGCCTTAGTAGCTGGCTCAGGCTCTCTCCTCGCTACCCAGGAAGACGGCTTATTGGACTGTGTCACCTATACGTCCGGCGTTAGTGGTTCATGTTGGCTTCAATCTCTATATCTCTCATCCCTTACCAATTGCCGGCTCGACCGCATCGTTGATCACCTGAAGGCTCGGATAGGCGTTCATATTGCATATCCTCCAGCTGCGTTTTCATCCGTGACCACCTCGCCAACCAACAAGCTACTGCTTAGTAGTCTAGTTGAGAAACTCAAAGGGGATCCGAATGCAAACCTCGGACTTGTCGATATATATGGCATTCTCTTATCAGCACGGCTTTTAGTACCAAAGGGCGAACTAGGAATTAACGAGAAGGACTTCAAAATGTCTAATCAAAGAGAATATATCAAATACGGACAAAATCCCATGCCGATCTACACTGCCGTCCGGCACGAGATACCAGATCTAGAGCAAACATCAAAAATGGGCCATGACAGTACCGAGCGTGCTAAGGAGGTTGCAAAGCAAGAGGCATGGTTTCAATGGTTTGAGCTAACGCCGTACGAGTTTTTTTGTGAGGAATTTAACGCCGGAATTCCAACTTGGGCGCTTGGTCGACGGTTTAACAACGGTCAGGATGTAGCTCCGGAAGGGAATGGTTCCCATCTACCAGAGCTTCGAATGCCTATTATGATGGGAATTTTCGGCAGCGCTTTTTGTGCCACACTAAGTCACTATTATCGAGAGATCCGGCCACTCGTGAGGAGACTTACTGGTTTTGCTTCCGTTGACGATATGATTAACGGATATAATGAAGATTTGGAAAAAGTTCATCCTTTTGACCCTGCTCAGATACCCAATTTTACCTATAATATGGAAGGAAAGTTACGATTTACGACACCCACGACTATTTACAACAGTGAATATATTCAGCTTATGGACGCTGGCATGTCGAACAACTTACCAATATACCCCCTTCTCCGACCTGGTCGAGACGTCGATATAATTGTGGCATTCGACGCATCTGCCGACGTCAAAACAGATAACTGGTTATCTGTAGCAGACGGTTACGCCCGCCAACGTGGCGTCAAAGGTTGGCCTATCGGTGTCGGGTGGCCGAAGGCAACGGACTCGGCGCAAAAGATTGAACGGCAGTTGGAGGCTGCGCAAGCGAAATCGGTTTCTGAGGCAGAAACTAAAATGCAGCAAGCGCAACGAGACCAAAAGATGCATCAAGTATCAGATGACAATACCAAAGGCTTGGAAAAACAGCAGATGGAGAATAGCACCAAGTCGGATCACGACATAGCGCATCCGGAGGACTCGGATCTTGGCTACTGCACGATTTGGGTAGGCTCGACAGAAGAACGTTCAACGGAGCCGCCGCCGCCACCGACCAAGGCGCTCACAGATGACACATTGTCCTGGCATTTAACAGAGCCTAATGCGGGCATCACAGTGGTATACCTTCCGTTCCTAGCCAACCCCAAAGTTGACGGCGTCAACCCGGCAACTAGCGACTACATGAGCACCTGGAACTTTGTCTACACGCCGGACCAAGTTGACAAGGTCGTCGCCCTCGCTCGGCAGAATTACGCTGAAGGCAAGGACCGGATCCGCCGCTGCGTCCGCGCTGTCTACGAGCGCAAAAAGAAGATGCGCGAGGACCATGAGGCCGCTGCCCTGAAGGAAAGGTATAGGCGACTAGTTAGGCTGGGCATCGCGGATAAACTAGGCGAGGGCGACCACTTTAGTTAAGAACAGTAATTTCTCTGTCCTTTATTTTAGGTCCGTCCTCGTGTCACTGTATTATTCCTGCCACTTCTCTTCTTCTTTCACTTACCTACTTATGCCTGTATCGTCATACGGGGCAGTATTTATTACCTATAGTTATTAGATAGTGTACACACTTGTAATCAAAATATAGAAACTCTCCTAGTTAAAGATATGATGATAGTAGCCATGACGTGAAACTCCCTACTCGCGAGAATCATTCTGGACTTCATCCAATGAATATACGCGTCCCAATGATAGAAACTGGGAGAAATTATTCTCAATGTTGTAATGGTTTCTTTTAATTTCTATCATTGGGATATATAGATTCATTATTTAAGAGCGCCATTATTCCTAAATACCTAGTATTTAGGATTACTCTTGGTTAGGTAGGTACCTAGGCAGGTAAGTAGAACTATTCTCGACGAATATATTCTTTTCGTCCAGCTTATAATCATCTCCTTCTATCTATGAAGAGCCATCACCTATCTAACTATTATCATCACGTTAGAATCATTCCTCCTATAACACCTAGGTATTCTTTAGCTACCTACCTACCTACCTAGATCATGGTCGACGAGTACCTAGGAAGCAAGGCAAGTATTCCGGTTAGGTCTATTGCGTCCCTAGGTAGGTAGGTAGGTAGGTACTTGGGTGAATAAAAGAAAGTTGGGGTATGGGGATGATGCTTTCAAGTTACCTGTGTGAAATACCTAGATGAAAAGCTATGCTACATAGGTAGGTAAGGTTAGATGATAGTAGGTATATATATATATGTACGGCCTGTCTTACGTAGTTGCACGTGGTGCATCACTTGGTACCTATTTACTTGGTTGGCATTCGTCTTCCTTCCACTCTTGGTACCTACCTAGGGGCGGACACACACACTTAGCCCAGGTGCCCAGTTCAAACTTCACACACATCTATCTCTACAAGTTTATATTTCCTTGCAGTTTGCCAGCATGCTTTACTTTAGGTAGGTAGGTAGGCACTCTTGGTTCGGTTTTTTGTCTTATTTTGAATACTTATTGAGTTATAGTACAATGATACAACATTGGTAGACAACTATGCAGTTATGTATGTACCTAGGTAAGGCTAGCTGTGGGTTGGACGGGATTGGGCGGAGTTTTTGTATGTCTCCCCTTCTTCGTCCTCCTCCTACTCTTCCTTAGCCTTTCCCTTTTGGAATCTATCTATCCTAGCTAGGATAACTGCCTACCTAATACCGAAAGGTAGGTAGGCAGTGCCCTCGAACCAGATAGACGGATATCATCATAATCATCGCGTTTCCCCTCGCCCCTTTATCGCCTCCCCCCCTTTTTTTTTCATCATGCATGAACTAACCAACCAATCCCCCTTTTCCATTTTCCGTGCCCCCGTTTTTTTTGGTTGATTGCGATATCGCCCAATGTCTCATTCCATGATACATTTCTCATTTCCGGAAAAGGGGAGGTTTTCTGATGTTTGCTTATTTTCACGCGAAGATAAAAAAAAAAAGCAAAAGGATTCGATGAAAACTACGATATTATCTCTCCAATATCGATATGCACCGGTTGCCAGGGAACGGCGTCATCGGCAAAGGTATCGCTTGGCACCCTGGTCTCGCCTGGGCTGTATAGGTACCACGATTTGAGGGTGCTGATAGCAGCTGCTGTCCTGGCGGCATCAAGGCTGGGCCCGGTCCCCTCACCTATCTTGTCTCGCCCGCTGTAGATCCCCACCACGAAGACGGGTGTCCTGCTCAGTCGTCCGGACTCGCTTAGAAGTCTTGCGACGGGTGGATCGAAGTCCTCTCTTGCGCAAAGTCGTGCCACCTCTCTTGTCGGTAATTTGAATTCAAATAGGTTGGCTATATCCAGTTTCCTAGAAAGAACGTGTGCGTTGATGAAGGTCTTGGCGGGCTCCCTTCCGGTGTGTAAGTAGATGGCGCCGAGCACAGCACGCACAAAATTTGCTTGCGCATTGCTGAGTGGATCATCCACCATCATGTTCTTTTTGTTCCTTTCGTCGCTCACCTCGGGTGGCGCATCATCTTCCTCCTTTTTCTCTTTCGTAAGCATCTCGCCGAAAGGATCATCGTATAACACTCGACTACTCATGCCTCGGCGCCATTTGTATTTTAGCACCTCCTTCGACTCGGCACGCACGTATCCCCATTTATTCATCAAAAGCGTCGGCTTGTGGCGCGAAAATTGTAGGAAGCCTGGGTCTACCTCCTCACCAGGTGCTGCGGCAGCTTCCACACCCCAGGCGCGTGCGATTTGGTGTAGTGGCGGTACACCGGCATATCCCTTCATGGCAGCGAACAGGATGGCCATGGGTAGTCGTGGGAACCGGGTGAGGAGGTATTCCGACGTATGGTAGTTGAGAAGGGCTGTGCCGACAAATGCAAGGTTCGCATTGTTGAACCTCGGGTTGGCATCAGCAGAAGGGTCTATGAGGCATCGTGCGAGGACTTGTAGAGGGATCTTGGTGGAGAGAGAGAGTCGCGCATGGAGAGCGGCAAGCTTGGCCGAATAGAGAGCTCGTTCTGGAGGTGGTGAAGGTAATGGTGAGGTCCGGGCCTCTTCTATTTCATCAGGAGCATCTTCGTAGGAAATATTTGCATCGTCAAGCACTGCATTGGGTGTTGTTGACTGCCATCTCCTTTGAGAGCATAGAGGGGCTTGTAAATGTGAAGTAGCCGGGGATATTCGGGTAGATCTCGATATGGTGGTGGGTGGCCTGGTAGGTGATCTGGTGGGCCTTGTAGAGAGCAATTGACTCGATAACGTATTCAACCGTATTCTCTTCATTTTTTGCAAAATTGACCCAAGATCCCTCGTTCCCAGCGCACTGAGGGGTGGTTTAAGACACAGTCAATTGGTAGTGTAGTTAATTTCGTGTTCGGCTGCGTCTGTGTCTTGTCTGGCACCAAAAAGAAAAAAAGAGACAAGAAAAAGTTTCTGATAATTGAAAATGAAGCTAGTTACTGTCCGATTATCAGTTGGACCAATGATAAGGAATCTGTGCACGTGCCACCACTTCAACCCACTTACTTCAACCGTTCAACTTCAAATGTTGTGTAATTGTGCATGCATATATCGGATCAATCACTTGCCCTTTACCGATCCAATCAAATACCACTGCACTTCCAATACTAATACCCGTACATACTACATATGTACCTCATCGTCGCAATCCACTCTTCTTACTTACATTTTGTAGGTAGGTAATTAACTTACTACGAAACTACTCAAACCACCTACCGACAAGACCTTGATCGTCACACTTCTAGACAATATGGTAAGCATCTACTTTTCTATTATTTACATACTTACAACACCAATCCATTGCTAACTGCGAAACAGGGCGGTGGTTCTAAAGTTCCGTAAGTCAACATGAATTCCGCCCGAGCCATTATCCAATCCTCGAAACCTCCAGGGCTCCGAGTCTGACCCTCCCAACCTTAGCTACCCCAAGCATGTCTGGTCTCCGGCCGGTGGTTGGTACACACAGCCGAGCAACTGGAAGTTCAACACTGCCATCTTCATGGGCGTCATCGTCGGCATCTCCGCCTTAACGTGGAAACTGAGCGCCGAGCGAGAATTCCGATACAAGATGCCAGAACCAGGCCGATTCTACCCCAGTCGAAAGTAGGTTTCAGTTTCATCACGGGTTTCGAAACTTATGGGTACTCGCAAAAGCTGACTCTTTTTGTGTAGCTGGACTAAACAGATCAGGGAGCATGAGGCAGCGCAAGAAGCGGATAAGACGGAAAAATCATCATAAAGCTAGCTAGCATCGTCTCGGACAGAAAATGCAAAAAAAAAAAAAAAAAAAAAAAAATGAATTAGGTTTTGAAATGGTGGTGGAATATGAGCATCGTGCTACCTTATGAATTATCCTATGAATTATGAACTTGGGAATTGCCTCTTGCTTGTCCTTAGGTGAGAGTTGTCACCAGCCTTCCAAGGTTCTTGATATTCCCGTTCGATATTGACGGAATGGGCTTGTGGCTTACATGTATCGTCGCTGCAGACGAGTATAAGGACCCATCTCGGCCAGACCTTGGCCCCCTATTTTGGCCAAGCAGTAAATCTATAATGCTTCATGGTGGGTAACTGAATCTATTCGTGAACCTTTTTGGGTTAACGCAACTAAAGAATGAAATATCAACCAGAAAGCAGCTTTTACTGGAGGTCGTCAACTATGTCGTATATTCCTTACCATTCCGTTGTCGTCACTGATGCAACCTAACGCAGCCAAGTTTCCCCCTATTCACTAACAACATAGCCACTCCTATTCTGAAATTATAAGCTCCAACATAGACACACATATGTGCTTTCTTTAAACATACTACTCATGTAGAAACGTATCTAAACAGCCAAGCCTCAGAGCACTGAAAGAAAACTCCTTATATGTCTTGGTAACTGTTTACACCCAGCTGTTGTCAACTCGACACCAAAGGGGCAATCAAAATGGTGGTCTTTCCAAGCTGTTACATCGATGTATCAACATTTCCTAGTATAAGTTCTATATTGAATAGCCAACCATTAGGAAGAAAGGTCTAGGTCAGCCCTGGCAGTTTTCAGTCTCATCGCTGAGATAGATACAAGAACAGCTAAGACAGGTGGATACGAAGAAATAGAATAAAGAATAAGAGGTCTAGAGACAAGAAGGCCGACATTTACGACGTTTGCCAGCCAGATATAAGACACGACTCAAGGACACCAGACATTAGAGCGTAGGAGAGGATGGCTTGGAACTTGTAGATGACTTACTCCTATGACTTCTAGTAGTAGGAAACCCCATGGACATGAGAAGGGACGGAAATATTATGGCTATGCACGTAATTATCAACGCCACATTCATGTATCTAATGTAGTGTCGTGTGGCTACAGCAAAACGGGGGATGTCATTAGAGAGCTTACAGCCTACATTTCGCCAAACCCGACAAGAAGATTTCATATAGACATGAAATATTAAATCGTGAGAACAAGTCGCCGACCTACATGCATTCCGGACAGCTTCCGGACGGCGGAGCCGTGATAGCCGCATTAGCTTCTTTTATGCTAAGTGACAGAAATAGAAATGGCAGCGAGGAATATAAAACTGCTTGTGTAACAGAATATACCATGTTGGAGTTTGAACCGACATAAACAGACTTAAGGTACTTTTTAAACAGCTTTTAGACAGAACCAATCTATATGAGCGGCTGGTCGATATTATGAATCTCTTGCCTCGTATCTATCTAGCTGGTGTACGGCCGTAAAATGTTGGAGCTTGATGTGAAGATAGGTTGGTATTATCTGAAGTGCCCTTGCGTTATCGTAGTAGGTAGTGCAGAGATGCGTACCTAGGTTAGTAACCTAGACTGTTCATGAGATATTCTTGATGCGCCCTACTGTGTGGAAAGCACTAACTTAATGGAGGCAAAAATAAGCATGCTTGGCTTGAGTAGTGCCAAGTGCATCATATGGTGAAATACATTCAGAGATACCTACATATGTAGGTAGTGTGTACAATACATACCTAACGTCAAAGGTCTTGCTGGAGGAGATAAGAGCCAGGTTGCTGCTGATTATTCATATTTGCAAGATTATTGCGGCCAGATCTTCAAACAACATACCTGCATAGTAGGTATGTACATATGAATCAGCTATGAATTCCTCACCGAGGGAGGTAACAAGGAATAGGTATACCTACATAGATAGGTATGTACTGGGTATAGTTAAGCTGTATATTATGTACGTTCGAGTGGTTGCTTTTTGTTCCCTAGTATCTAAACAAGGTCAGAATAAACTTATTAGGGCTGGATCAACAAAAGATAAATAAAAGTTCAGGTATAATAATGCCTGGAAGTTATAGAACGACGCGTTGACCTGCCCCTTTATTTGATCGAGTCTGAGGCCATCGTCATTTCGCACAGCACCTTTTGCAGGGCTAGATGACCTATTTTCGGAGACATCTGGGATCTGGCTGGGGGTCCCTTGAAAGCTGGCCCGGGTAAGCGAAGTGGCACGAAATCGTGTTGAAATCTGAACCAACAAGCGAGTATTATTTTGCAGAAAATAATAGGTAGGCTCCATATGTCTGTCCTGAACAAATCTAACGTGCAAGTTTCAGCAAATCTGATCGACACCCAAATCAGAAACAATAAGATGGACCCCATCGATATGTGCTAGGATTCTCCAGCGTCTTTGTCAATTGGGTTCCATTGATGGGCAGAGTGTAAAATCTTGAACGTTGTGAAGCATCGTCATCTGTTGAACAGAAAAACTATAAATTGCAGGCAGCTGGCCCTGCAAATAAAGGGTCTCATGTCATACACGTTTTCTTGAAGTTTGAATGAGCAATGTTGACGTCGAGGATAGTATGTCGATCACGGAGAAGAATCACTGGAGGGTTTCTTCGGCTCAACAATAATTTAGGGAGAAGGTAAGTTGCATGAACACCCGGCAAGGTGTTATATCGGTGTTTGTCGCTGAAGGCATCATAATACTGATTACGTATCTGGCTTATGTTTGGATGGCACTCAAGGTTTCCGGGCCGAGCAAAGGCTGACGAACGCTGCTGTGGCCCGAGTTTCTGCGTGTTGCCGCTCTTTTCTGTCAAGCGTGACAAGATGTTTGACTTTCCGATGTTGTTGAGATGACAGTTACATGCTAACCTTGGTATGTAGATATTAGGTACCAAATCACCTACTCTTTGAAGTCTTCAGAGGTGTAGAGTGATGCTACTGTACCAATGTCTATTGCGATGAAGTGAATCAACAACGAAAAGAAGATCGACGATTGATTGATTCGTGAACACTTGAATTGAAGAGCTGGAGTGGGTAGGTAGGTAGGTGGGTACCTAAGGTCCAGGTGGGTTGCTTTTCTTCAAAAGCCCAGTGGCCGTTGCGATTGGATCAGTTCGAACTTCAAGGTTTGATCAGTTTGATCCATGTTGGTTAATTTTAAGGTGCTTCTGAAGCCTTACTGAATCTGGCTAGTGCCTGTCTGATGTCCGTGGTTTGACAGGGACCCTAGCTCAGGTACGAAGTACTGTACCTTAGGCTTTAGTTACTTTCAACTTGAAGTTGAATACAGCACTGAGTACCATCCATCCATTTGAATCATGGAAATCATTACTTTTTTGATTACATATAGGCTAAATGGTAACTACTGTGTAATGCGTAATGGTATAAGCTGCATTTACACCATGTTCATGTTCTCATGAGGTTCAATGTTGTCTATAATAGTATCTACGATGTACCTAGAATGGATGTACATCATTGATATTTACATATGTATGATAAGGAAACCTTAGTAAGACAGATTCAATCAATTAGAGAAACGTTCTAATTTAGAAGTCTGTTGTTCGCTGCCTGCCAACTCATTCGAAACCGTTTAAAGACAACCTCGTGCATGCCTATCTAGGACTAGGCAGATTTAGGTAAGTTTACCGTAGGGGGTAACCTTGGTCGCGGGTTGACAGAGCCTGATATAATTGAGAGCTATTGGGCAGAATAATCCCTGTTATCGACTTAGAAGGGCATAGTGGATAACGACATCTGGACATCTAGAGTCTAGACAGTGAACATTGAAATCCATCCCTACCATTAGTGCTAAACACATGCCTAATGCAGGCGCTCAGGCACAAGAAGTACAAGTACAACATCACCCGAGGGGGAGCAAGGAGCATCAAATTGATCTCCAGGGCTACTACCAGCCAAGCAACAGCAACCACAGCCCAGCAGCTCGGGGTACCAACTGGGCTTGCGCAGGCATCTTTTTTTTTTTTTCAATTTTTTTCTGAAACTCCCGTCTGTTCTCACTGTCTCCCTCTCCATCGACTTGACCTTGACAGTCAAATCTTGTCGCAAATACCCAAACTTCAACTTCATCCTCTTTTTATCCCCAGATCCTCCCCCCCTCCCCATCCTAATCAATCGGATCTACGGTGTCACGGTATACCGTCGTGACCTATCTTCTTTTCTTGTTTACCTGTTTTATTCTTGATTTTTATGAAAATTCCCACATTCTTTTTATTTAGCATACCTAAGGTGGACTGCCGGCCGAAGATCCCCGAGAGTTGTGTCAAGTCAATACAGTGAATCCACTCACCACCGTTGTGTGTTATCCGGTGTTGTGCACCCCCATTCCCAAAAAAACCACAGCATGTTAAGCGCGACCTGAGATCAACCACTCAACCACACAGTTTCCGGCTCTGGATCCATACTCCAGTTTCTAGTCTCAAGTCTCAAGTCTCACCTTCTCCAACTATAGACACTCGTTCGTCAACGGAAACGCCAACACATCCCGAACCTATCGGGCCATTACTCCACGAAAAACCTCAGCAACAAAAAATCAACATTCTCTCAATGTCCTTTTACAGCAATTGATTTCGCAAGATACTCATTCCTTGATTTTTTTGGTTACAGGCACAGTTACCACTATTACTGCGACCAGTGCACATAAGATTTACCCGCAAAAATTAATTGAAAACCAGAAAAAAAAAAAAAGAAGAAAATCCATCTACTGAATTCCATCGGCCAGTATTTCAGCCACTTTTACCGATCGTTAGCATCTGATAACGACAAGCTTTCGGCAACCAGTAAAAAGAGGCTAAACGGGACGAGTTCTGATTGTGCCCCAGTCGAGTAGTATGCAGTCTTGAGCAATGATAGGATCAGATCATCATGCATCCGCGGTGCCAGTGACTACTGCATTCGAAACGAATCCCAGGAGAGATTGCGGCGAGTCTCAAGATTCAACATTCTTTGCGCAAATCAATCAAGGCAATATGGAATCGCCTCGAGCAAAGAATGGCCGGAGGGCGACTAGCTTGTCAGGATGGACGTCAAAAGCAGTCCTTTTCTCGGCCCTTGCCGCAGTTCCTGGGTCGATGGCACAACAAGGAAGTTGTATTTCGTTGTCGGGGTCTACGGTCTGCCCGGCTTTTCAGTCTGCCTCCGTATCCACCAGCAAGCAAGTGACGGATTTGTTGTAAGGCATTTTCCTTTTCTTTGTTTCTCCCTGAGCCTTTCCGACTGTCGAATCCTCTATCTATCGCCTCGAATTCTAACATGGGATGCATCTAGCTCGTTTCTTCAATACGTCTCAGACGTGACTTCGTTCGATCGTCAATTCACTCAATATATCCAAACCGATTATGTCCAGAGACAGTAAGTCTAACCTCGTTTTTCTGTAATCATCATCTCGAAGCTTATCTTCAATTCTAGGTACCAACAGTTGCTGGGATGCGGGAACATCGACCTCGTCAACACTACTAATTTATACGCACGTTTCACCACCTCAGTAATCTGTAATGCTATTATCCAGAACTCCGTCCAACCCTGTAACTTGGCGGATGACGCCTCGCGACCCTTGTGTGCTGACTCTTGTGCCCATTACGCCGAGAGTGAAGCATATCTTGCGGCTGACACTGATCTCTGTCCCAGTTCCAGCAATGGCCGCCAGGATCAGTTAAGGGCTGATTTCATCAATTGCGCTTTACCTGCGGATTCATTATCAACTAGCAGCTGCATACAAGGCATAACTAATGAGCCAGATAATTGCGGATATGGTCAAGGTACTATTGGGTTGTGTTCCTATTGCGCCTCTGGCGGTATTAATTCCACCGATACCTGCTGTTACAACTCGAACATTGAATCAAGATGTGCAAACGTCGTCTTGCCCACCATTACGCCCACCGTCTCCCTAAATACATCGATGCCGACCGCCACAGCAAGCAACACAGCCACACCCGTTGCGAACAATTCGGGAAATACTGGCCTCTCCGGTGGCGCTATAGCTGGTATAGTTATCGGGTCTGTGGCTGGCTTGGCTCTTCTAGCATTCCTCGTGCTCATGTGCATTAGGCTTGCACGACGAAGAAACGGCAGCCAAAAGGGAAGTGTCTTTAACCAGCCGTCGCCTTCTAGGAAAGGACCACCGACGGGGCAAATTCCTGCCAACCAACCACCTCAAGGATATGAAATCCTCCCTGGTGGTAGAATTGCTCGCATGTCCGCATTGGAAGGTCCCGCGGGAGAGCCAGCCTCGAGGCATGGTGGCTCACGGCGTGGTGGATCAGCTAGTGCAGCAGTGGCCGGCTTTATGGCAGGAAGAAGGAGGGGAGGAGACGACCATTCATCTTCGGACTCGTTTGGAGGGAGCCCAGCGTCGGAACCACGTGCAGCTGTATTACGGCCACCTCCGATTAACATGCGCAGGAATGGGTCGCTATCCAGCAGCTCGGTACTTGCAGGCGAAGACCCTCAATCTCCCACTAGTGCAGGGGGAATGTCGTCACCTCCTGGCGTTAACAGTCAACAGTCGGAGCAGCTACCATTCTTCAAGGATTACTATTCTCAAGACGACATCCACCCAGGCGAGCGTGTCGCCACCCTATGGGCTTATCAACCGCGCGCAGCCGACGAGTTTGCCTTGGAACGTGGCGATATGCTAAAGGTGGTGGGCATCTGGGACGATGGATGGGCGACTGGTGTCCTGTTAGATGAAAGAGCAGATGAGTGGGAATCACGAAAGCAGGCACAGAGGGATAGTGGTGTTTCCAACACGTCAGGCCGTGGACGAGATTCGTCACCTGCAGCCGGTGGCGAGATCAAGGCATTCCCGTTAGTCTGTGTCTGCCTTCCGGAGCACTGGAGGAAGACGATCGAAGGCGATGGATCCACAGAGACTGGGTCCAGTGCGCATCCCATTTGATCCCGATAACGACATTTTGCACGTTGTTTCATTTAATATCTAATGGATTGATGAAAGCATGTGTTTGCATTGCTACGGCGTTCAGGGACTTTTGACTTGCACCCATAATCTTCGGTCCAAGCACAGCACAAGCACAGCTACTCTTTCGTCCTTGGGGGTATCCTCAATTTATCGTACCTGACGAACCTCTGCGTTGGCCGACCTCGGCTTCCCGCCTTTTTTTTTAAACTTGACCCTGCACATAAACACGGCAACTTGCACTGTCGCGATTGATACGCCTAATGCCTTCGATTCTACAGAAATAATTGAGTTTTATATGGATGGCATCGCTTCGGATCACAACACGGTCGTAAGACTTGGCTCTGGGCCACATAACATGAAGAGATGCGATCTTAAAATTAATACGACGACGACGACATACAGTTGTGCCCTCCCCCTTCTCTTCGATTGAGGATGCTATATACCCGGTGTGTCAGCAAGGTGTTTGAATGTTTGGAGGTTTGGAGCGAGTTGCTGCCGGGGAGGGCTATTGTCGTATAATTCCATTCGTGAGAGGGAGAGTCGGGGAGAGACTAAAGTGAAGGTAAAAATGCATATGCAGCTACCTAGATGCCCAACAGACGAGCAAAGGGGTGGAAGGGGAAGGTTGAAGATTACAGTATATCTTCTTTAGTTGCCGTCACAACAGTCTTAGGCTAGATACGTCCATGGCATAGATATCTTTCTAGGGGCTTCTTTTAGTTAAAAATTGTAGCCTATTGTCTCACTTATAAACTTGGTAACCTCGAGTTTTTTTTTTTTTTCGTAGACATTGTGATTGTACATGTAAGTATATCACTGTGTATGTGGTTGAACGAGAATGATTCCCCTATTAACCCACATGTACTAAGTATCTGAGCTAGTGTGTACGGCATAGTTACATAGGCACTTAGTATGTGCATGATACAGGAAGCTTGCTTCTAAGCAGTGTATACATAACTATTCATATGTCGGCTTTAAATAAGTGCTGACCCACCTAAGCTTCTAAGAGTCTCCCCACTAAATCTGGAGGGACCTAGGTACCTAGTGTACTGTACATAACGCTTCCAGTTGAACCATATCCGTCATCAAGATCACACACACAACACACACAACACAAACGCACACAGGCACATGCGCGTCTAACCTCGTGAGCAGTCCGTGATAAATACATTCATCAATTCATCATTTTCCGCAATGCACACTTCCAAGTGCTTTCCAAGATAGAAAATATATCCAAATCAATCCACAAATTCACACAAATTACTGTAGAAAGCCTCGAAGATGGTTAATACTCGTCCTTTTCCAACACACTCGGCCAGGTAGCGACTATCACATGCGTTTGCAAGATGGGTAATAGCTACTCCCTAACTACACCATATGCTGGCTCCGCCGGTATCGACGTACCAGAACTAGCCGACCTGGTGCACGAGAGATCTATTGGCAGTGCCCGGTTTATGAAGAGCATTCGTGCTCGTCACCATGATGGCAATGTACTGGCAAAGGTCACAGTCAAGCCCTATACGCCACTGTCCTTGCGCGAATATGGCGACAAAATCTTGCGTGAGCTGCTATCGTCCGATCATACCTTATTCCTCATTACTGACAAGCTCACTAGGTGAACGAGATAAACTGCGAGACGTCCCCAACGCTGTAGGCTTCGAGCGTGCCTTCGAAACGGAGGGAAATGCCTACCTCGTGCGACAGTACATATATAGCTCCCTCTACGATCGTATGTCGACGCGACCCTTCCTCGAAGATATAGAGAAGAAATGGTTAGCCTTCCAGCTGCTATGCGCACTACGGGATTGCCACGCTCGTGACGTATACCACGGTGATATCAAGACGGAGAATATCATGGTGACTTCTTGGAACTGGCTGTATCTCACCGATTTCACCGGCTCCTTTAAACCCACGAAGCTACCCGACGACAATCCCATGTTCTACTCGTATTTCTTTGACTTATCCGGTCGACGTATATGCTATATCGCCCCGGAGAGATTTATCGAACATATCGAGAATCCACAGGCGCATCTTCAGGGACACAAGCTTACATGGTCGATGGATATTTTCAGCGTCGGTTGTGTGATCGCTGAACTATTCCTAGAAACGCCCATTTTTAATCTCAGTCAAATGTTCAAGTATCGCAGGGGCGAGTATGACCCGGTCATCTCGCACCTTAGCAGGATACCCGATCAGGGTTTAAGGGAGATGCTTTCGAGCATGATCCATATTGACCCGGAGAAGCGATACTCGGCAGAGCAGTATCTCGATTTTTACAAAAACAAAATATTTCCCGAGTATTTCTACAGCTTCCTGCATCAGTACATGGAGCTTATCACCGATTCAAGTTCTGGCAGAGCCCCGATTTCAGGATCAATGAGGAACTTAGGCGAAGCTGATGAGCGGATAGATCGGGTATTCTACGACTTTGACAAAATATCCTATTTCCTAGGATACCATGATGGAAAGGAGTCGTCTCAGCTCATACACTTCACGCCACGACTCGGTTTAGGTCTTTATCCTGTGCGACTAAATATACCCAATAATGAACATTTTGCATCTACCGGAAAGCAGCCTCCTACCGACGATGGAACCTTGATTTTCCTTACTCTTGTTGCCTCCTCTTTAAGAAACACGGCTCGGGCAGCATCAAAGATCAGAGCTTGTGACATACTGTTGGCCTTCTCGGAAAGACTATCTGATGAAGCGAAACTCGACCGAGTCTTACCGTATCTCATGACCTTGTTGAACGATGATGTTGATCTCGTTGCGATTGCAGCTCTTAGATCTGTTACCCAACTTCTAGCACTCGTGTCGGTTGTCACGCCGGTTAATGCCCACGTCTTCCCCGAGTATATCATGCCTAGGATGCAGGTCTTCTTATCGGGTGCCTCTAGACAGCCAATCATGGGCAAGGAGCGCAGGGAGCCGACTGCCTTAGTTCGAGCTACCTACGCATCGTGTTTAGGAAGCCTTGCGACAACGGCCTCCAATTTCTTAGAACTTACAGCCGTTTTGAGAGCCGAAGGGTCCATCAACACAGCTGATCCGGAGGTAGAGGCTGGGAGTGACCCCGATGCTGCGTTCGACGGATTGTTTGATAATGCTCAAAGCGAACTAGTCGAACTGTTCGAGGCACATGCAAAAGCTCTAGTGGAAGACTCAGATGCTTCAGTGCGCCGAGCATTTCTCAGCTCCGTGCCTGAACTCTGCATGTTTTTTGGCAGTGCAGAGTCTAACGATATTATCCTTACACACCTGAACACTTATCTCAATGACCGGGACTGGATGCTAAAATGTGCTTTCTTCGACACGATCGTTGGCATCGCGGCTTTCCTGGGTAGCACAAGCCTAGAGGAATTCAGCCTCCCCCTGATGGTACAGGCGGTAACCGACCCAGAAGAGCACGTTGTGCAAGCAGCATTGCATTCTTTGGCGGAACTGGCAAGCTTAGGCCTCTTATCGAAAGCAAAGACTTGGGAATTAATTGACGTGGTTGGCCGGTTTACTATGCATCCAAACCTATGGATTCGAGAATCTGCAGCAGAGTACATATCAAGTGCTGCCAAGCTGCTATCTCCTGCCGATATTAGGTGCATTGTCCTGCCTCTAGTTAAGCCATTCCTCAAGCCAGCGATTATCCCTGAATTCTCAGAACTCGCATTGTTAGACGCACTGAAGAAACCGTTATCTAGAACCGTGTTCGACTTGGCGCTGTCGTGGGCGCAGAAGACTGACAAAGGACTGTTCTGGAAAGCTGTTCGACAGCAGAAGCAATCCACATTTACGATTGCCTCCACCGCATTGGCAATTCGCTCCTCCCGGGAGATGCAGCCTCAGACGCTAAATAAAGTGCAACGAAACGACGAGGATGAGCATTGGCTTGCTCGGCTACGAACCATGGGAATGGCACCTGAAGATGAATTCAAATTACTAGCTCTAAGGGAGTTTATTTGGCGTTTAAGCCAGATGAGGAATCGCGACTTGATCACACAGGAAAACATCACGACGTCTTTGAATAGTATCATCCCCCTAAGAAGTCTAAACGTTAAATTGCAGACGATCATGTTTGATGACACTGTCGGTTTGGAAGAGTCCATCCGAGAACAACAGCGGCTCTCGGATCTAGACAAAGGCCCATATACGATCACCGATGCTCTGCTGGATGCTTCAATGACTATCGACGAGCCTGTCGGGAAGAGGCGACGTGCTGCTATCAACAATCATCGCTCACGTCTTAGTAGCCAAGGAGGAACCGTATCACCCAGGACAAGGGACAACAGAACATTGTCACCAGCGCAGACTCAGACTTCCTCGCCCATTGATAGAACTAGCTTGAACGAACGCCGTCGAGCTTCATCTACCACGCGTAGGCGCGCTTCTCAGGATGATGACGCCTCAATTTCCGATGCTCCATACTCTTCCAGGAGAGCAGTTCGCCACCAGTCGAGCGCGCTTGACCTTTTGAATAGAAAGGATAGCGGAAGGTCTATTGCCGAGACAGGAACCACCGAAGCCAATGCCTTCGGTCAGGTGGAGGGTCCGTTTGCACAAAATCCATTGCCTCAGATCACAATCCCCAGCACAGTGACAGAGGACGGGATGCCGGGGTCTCGGCAGCGGGCCGTTCATACGTACGAAGGAAATGACCCTAGCATATTGAAGATGCTCGACAATATGTACATCGATAATTATCCTCACGACATAGCCGAATTCGGGCCTCTCGTTTCTCCCATGACGAGGAGAAAGGTTAGCAAAGCGACCGGTCAGCCTAGCGAGGAAGCGTGGAGGCCAAACGGAAGTCTCGTTGCCACGTTTTCGGAGCATACGGGTGCCATCAATCGTGTTTTGCCATCTCCAGATCATCTATTCTTCATCACTGGTAGCGATGACGGAAGTGTCAAGGTCTGGGACTCGTCTCGGCTCGAACGAAATGTCACACACCGCGCGCGACAAACACATAGGCATGCGCCAGGTGCCAGGGTGGTCTCCTTGTGTTTTATCGAAAATACCCATACGTTTATCAGCTGTGCTACGGATGGCAGAGTTCATGTGGTCAAAGTTGACACGGCTGTCACGAGCGGGGCGACCAAATATATTCGGCTGCGACTTCTTCGCGAATATCAGCTTCCGGCAGACGAGTACGCTGTCTGGTGTGAGCACTTCAAGCAGGAATTAAACTCGGTGCTCTTGCTTGCGACCAATCGGTCTCGAGTGTTGGGTATTGATCTTCGCACCATGACGCTTCTCTACGTGCTGGAAAACCCGGTACACCACGGCACACCGACCTGCTTCTGTGTTGACCGAAAGCGCAATTGGCTACTTTTGGGCACGTCACACGGTGTCCTGGACCTTTGGGATCTACGGTTTAAGATGCGACTCAAAGGCTGGGGCCTACCGGGAAAATCGGCCATCTACCGGCTCAGCCTTCATCCCTCCAAGGGACGGGGGAAATGGGCATGTGTGGTAGGGGGTGGGGGTGTGGGGGAGATGACAGTATGGGACATAGAGAAAACTCAGTGCAGGGAGATATACCGAACGGGAGGGTCGAAAGAGGAGCCCAAGGAATACAAGCCATGGGACGTGGACGAGGACAAGCCTGAGGGAATGCTGGACCGTTTTGCAACCAATATTGACCCTGCCGCCAGTGGTAACGGGGACCGCGGGGTCCGAGCCATGGCGGTAGGTTCAGGTGCTATGGAAGACCAGCGTGATATACGATACGGATATGTCTTGACCGGAGGCTCAGATAAGAAGCTTCGGTTCTGGGACCTACTCCGAGTCGAGCACTCGTGCGTGTTCAGCGGGTATCAGGGGGACGATGTGAGAGCTATGTATCATTCGACTACCTCGTTAACGCAACCAGGGCTAAGTATTATCACGGAGAAATTGGTCAAGCAAAGCAACGCGGACCAAAAGGGTGGTAAGAATGGGAAGCCTGGGGGCAGTAGAGAGAAACCGCCGCGACACACGGTGATTTCGGCAGAGCAGGGGAAGCTGCTCAGGAGCCATCTAGACACGATCCTGGACGTGGCGGTATTAGAAGTGCCTTACACAATGACGGTTAGTGTAGACCGGTCTGGAGTGATTTTTGTTTTTCAATAAGAATAAACAAGCTATTTAGATAACCCAGTTTTGGTGTTTAGGAGGAGGGGAGGGTTTATTATTGGTTTCTTGGTTGAATACCTAGGTAGGATAGGTAATGCGGTCTAGTAAAGGGCGTTGTTAGGTGTAGAAAGCTTTGGCTTGGTTGAAGGAAATGGTGATAGTTACATAGGCACACTATGTAGCGTATCATTGAGAGCAATATGACTATCAACTTTGGACTTGTGTAAGTAGGTACCTATAGGTGTGTTGCCAGATAAAGGTATGTGTTTATTGTCCTGTGTAATTCATATCAGGGGTTAGTAAGTACGAAGTACTACTACATATGTAGTAGTAGTAAGTTCAATGTTGTATATTTGGTGCTACCTCTAGAATTTCAAAGTGGAGACACCTAAGACAAACGAGTATGACGTCGGTTGGGCTATTTATACGTACTATAAATGGTTATACTTTTATATCTCTACTCCTGAGTATATTTATTAATATTTACTAACCTAGGCAACTTACACTAGGCAATCATCGATATACATCATCCAAACACATGGCACCCCATAAATCCCTCCGGGCTTTTCTAGCAACGGCTCGCGCGGCCCTGACGGCCCCACCGTCCAAACGGACGGCTTCTTCTCCTCCTCCTCTGCACTTTGTCGTTGGCAATGAGTCTGCTGGTAGGTCGACCATTTATTTCTGTTTTATATGAATTAGTCACTATTATATATATATGTACCAGGTGCGATGTTGTAGACACGATTTTTTAGTTCACTAACAGCAACGGATCTTTTTTTTTTGGATTTAATTTTCCAAAAGTGAGAGGAGGGGGTTTTTTTTAAAAAAAAAAAAAAGAAAATTCGTTATTTACTAAAAGATTCTAGACCTCGACTCCCTGTGCTCCGCCCTCTTCCTCGCCTACTTCCGCACATACAGCCCGCTGCTGCGCGGCAAAGATCACAGCCGCAACATCCTGCACATCCCCGTCTGCAACCTCCCGCGCGATGATCTGGCGCTGAGGCCCGAGTTCGCTGCGGTGATGCGGTGGGCGGGGGTCCAGAGCTTGGATGAGGTTGTCACGCTTTCGGAGCTGTTGTTGCCGCTGTCGGGTAGTGGTGGCGAAGGGAAAAAGGAAGGGGGGGGAGGGGAAGAGTTGTGGATTTTAGAGCACGAGGAGACGAGGTGGGTGCTTGTCGACCACAATGTGCTGACAGGTGCGCTGGCGAAAGCATTCGGGAACGGCGATGGTGAGGGTCGAGGTGTCGTGGATGGATGTATTGATCACCATGACGACGAAGGCGTGGTGCCGCCGGATGCGCGGCTAAGGGTTATTGAGAAGTGCGGGAGCTGTATGAGTTTAGTGGTGGAGGAGTGTGCGAAGGCGTGGGAGGCGTTGGGAGAAGAAGAGAAAGGGGGTAAGAGTGAGGATGGGGATATGAAGAAGATCAACGCGCAGTTGGCGAAGCTGGCGCTCGCGCCCATCTTAATCGATACCACGAACCTGGGCGACGCGAATAAGACGACGCCGCGTGATGAGCGGGCCGTCGCTGTTGCGGAGGCGTGGATCGCGGATGCGGCTGATAGCTACGACCGCGCAAAGTTCTTTGCCGAGCTGTCGGCCCTGAAGGCGGATCTCTCGCCCCTGTCGATCTACGATATCCTGCGCAAGGACTACAAGGAGTGGGTTGAAGAAGGCAACGGAAGTAGCCTCAAGCTAGGCACGTCGAGCATAGCGCAGCCCATAGCGTTCCTAGTCGACAAGGCCGGGGGCGAAGAGGAGCTGGTGAAGGAACTGGAAGCGTGGGCTACGCGGAAAGAGCTGGATGTCGTGGCGCTGCTGACGGCGTGCGAGAAAGACGGCGTGTTTATGCGGGACTTGCTGGTCTGGGCTAGGAACGGGCCGGAGGTTGTGGAGGCTGTGAAGGGCTTGTTCGAGGGGAACGGGAAGGAGACGCTGGGGCTGAGTACGTGGGGAGAGGGAAGGTTGGATGCGGAGGATGGGGAGGGCAGCTGGAGGAGGTGTTGGAGGCAGGCGGGGTTGAGGTATAGTCGCAAGCAGATTGCGCCGATGCTTAGGGAGGCGTTGAAGGGGGTGGGGAAGACGTGAGGGTTTTGGGGCGAGTAGAAGTTTAGAGTGGGTAGATGGTAGGTTATAACTCTAGGGAGCTACACTTTCAATATACTACACCACCTAGGTACGATATCCATCATTATTAGCACGGCAAAGTTCAAACCTCTCTCTTCATTTTGAACTATATACATAGCTAGGTTAGGTATATAGGTACCCAGATACCCTGTACCTACACATAAATACGGCCCGAAATAAGGAGGTGTTCAGGGGCGGTCCCTACATCCCCGCCACAATAGCATCCAACCACTTCGCCAGCCGATACCCCTGCTTCGCGATCTGCAGCTCCACCACCGGCTGCGCCGCCGTCGTGTAGGCCCCGCTGACGTCCTGGTTCTCCACGGCATCGACGCCGTCTCTTAGAACTGTCGAGCACACGTACGCGTTGCTCTCCGTCGCCCACCTCAGCGCCGTCGCCGTCTGCGACGCGCTCGTGCCCACGCTGAGGCCGGAGATCCAGCTTGCGGCTTGGGACTTGTAGGTGCCTGAGTCGATTTCTAATTGGGTGGGGTGTTAGTACCTAGGTATGTAGGGTAGGTGAAGAAGAAAAGAAAGAAAAGGGGGGGAGGGGGGGGGGTGGAAGGGGTAGGTAGATATACTCTTGATCAGAGCCGCAGACCACGACCTCGCGCTCGACAGCGAGGAGCCGCCGGAGACGGACTCGGGGATGTCGCTGTCCCAGACGGCGTGCAGGTTGGTGTCGTCGTCGCCGTACTTGACGTCGATGCCGTTGCCGCCGATCTCGAGCCCTTCGCAGTGCAGCGGCTGGCCTATGTCGCCTGCGAACTGTAGGTAGAGAGAAAAGAAAAAATGGTGTTAATCACGGTGCGCTGCCTAACTTTTGAGGGTCTTCTGATATATATATATATATATGTGTGTGTGTGTGTGATGCAACTTCTTCCCGATGAACGTCCCCGTGGGTGGAATTGCTTACGTGGATAATCATCTGCTAACGTTAGTAATTTCTATACGTAGATATAAGTCTCGGGGGGTAACGCAGGGTAGGTAGGTAGACTGGCTGCTGATCGGCAAAGAACCCCCCCTTTGTTTTCTTTTTCTTTTTTTTCAAAAAAGAAAAAAAAAGGAAATAACACACACACACCTTAGCAGCAATTGCCAAATTCGCACCACTCGCCTCCTGCCCCATTAAGATCGTCGTATAATTCTGCAGCGCGCGCACCACGCACCCCTCGGCGCCACAGTCGCGGTCGAGGTCCACGCCGCACGCCGAGGGCGGGTCGTCGTTGGCGTCGACGTAGTGGTACGGCGCCGAGAAGGCCCCCGCGCTCGTGTACCGGTAGCTGTCGGCCCACGACGCCACGCTCGCCAGGTAGTCCGCCGACGTGTCGCCTAGCAAGGTCTGCAGGTAGGTCTGCGTTGCGGGGAGCGCGTAGTGGCTCGCGATGTAGGCGACGGTCTCGTGGCCCATGGCGCCCCAGGCGGAGGCGCCGCGGAGGAGGAGGAGGAGGAAGGTGATGATGGGTAGGAGGGGGACGAGGCGGGGCATTGTTGTTGTTGGGGGGGAGGGGGAGGTAGGCTTGTTTGGTGAAAGACTACGGTGACGTCTAATTTGAGGGCCTTGGTGATGAGGTATGTAGGTAGGTACCTAACCTAGGTTAATGAGGCGCGTGAAGACGAGAGAGATAGAAAAGAGACGAAGGACGCCAAGATATAAAATGTTCTACCGACTTTACCTATATACATACATGTGATGCTTCACTTGGCATTTGTGCGTACCTACCTACCTACCTAACGACTCACCTACCTACCTAGGTAGGTATCAAACTAGGGCGCTGAGCTATATGTAACGACAATATGATTTGATAACAGATGCGGACTGAGTGTGCATCCAATGCCTAGCTTCAGCGGCTCACGCCGAAACCCCTACCTAATCTACCTACCTAGTACCTAGGCATCCCGCACAAGACCACGGGGATATAGTACGGACTTGGTAAAAAGCAACGCGGATCTAGATAATCAGAAGGTGCTTGCTTTTTTCTCAGCACGACCTACTTTAGGCTACTTATATGTAAGATCAGAGGTAACATCGCGACAACCGGGGATGGAAGGGGTGCTAGTACTACATAGGATCATCGCCATGGATTGAGGGCGGGACGGCCTTATCTACACTAGAGTAAGTCTGCTCGGCCAATCAAGTAAGGCACGTTGATCAGGAACGGGCTCGCCTCGAGATTGAGAACGATGCTGGAGAATGAGTCCCGAGACCATGGTTGGTTCGGGCTGGGACCTGCCTTAATTGGATCTCGGTGAAATGCAAGTATGGAGGACAATTGGAGGTAGGTGGTGTTCACCTGGGTACTAGGTAAGTTTGTAGTAGCTCTGCCGTGGTTGTCGAGGTTCATGAAATAGTCAAATATATTAATGGCATAGTTATCCAGCTATTCATAAAAGTGTTAACTGGCGGTATATTTCGTGTTTCTTTGTTATGCAGATGCTTTTTCACCTGTAATGAGTAGTGAGTAGTGAGAGGCAATAACACCCGACCAAATATATGTATCTTGTGCTATTTTGCCCCAGTCTACGGAAATGCAACCATTACGGGCCATGGCCAGATAGGGAAGGTCCTAGGTTAGCAAGAACATTTCATGGCCAATATCAATGGCTCAATGGGGCATAACACGTTAACCCAGTTTACATTAGACATACAACTTTGAGCACAGCCTGTACAAAGTCGTGTGACTAGTAATCTTCCCGATATCTTACATACTATCAAGCTGAACAAAATTACTAGGTACTGTACTAGGTAGAATCAGGCTTCATATAGACCTCTCAAAAGCCTTGGATGCTCCTGAGCATTTTCACAAATTCTCGACTCGCAAGCTTGTCGTGTACCGTACCACCTGAAGAGATCAAATCGGAAACTGTTTTGGCGGTGGGATCCGCGATGTTAATACACTCCACAAGCGCTTTCCGCACCATGCCGGTAGGTAATACGGGCGGGTCTTCTGAAAGCATTTCCTGAAAGCAGCGTCTTAATGTTGCGGTGCAAACTGTCGGGGATCGTGTAGCGACCGCTAGTTGGTATATAAGCGTATACATAGCTGTCGAGCGTGAGCGCAGATACCTCGGTGGTATCCGCCAGGCATTCCAAATGCCATCCCAGTGGCGTAGTCCAGCATAGGCTTGCATGAGCGTCATGATCAATGGCTCGCTCATACAAGACATGTTTGCTTGTAACAAAACGTTTTCTAGTCGTTGAATCAGTGCTATATACTCTCTGGATTGGAGCTGTCGAGCACATCGAGCCGCCGCTTCAATGATGACGACAGCTATATCATTATCCAGGACTGACTGTCTACGTTGCTGCATCGTTTTCAGAAGTTGGAGGGCGATTTGGGTCTGTTCGCCCAGCCCACCCACATCTGAGCAGTAAATACAGCTCAATAACTGTAGACATTGCTGTCGTGAGATCTCAATACCATAGAGACACACCTCGTCAACGAGATGCCGTACATCATGAATCATCTGAATAGGAACATTTTCATTTGATTCACATGCTTTGGCCTGAATAGCTAGACGAGATTCCCAGGTTTGGGATGGAGGAAGACCCTGGCATGCAACGCTATATAGCCGGAGGAATGGAGTCAATGTTTGCTCTCTAGTGGTAACGCCGAGAAATGCACGCGCCGAAGCGAGAGGCACTCCGTCGAGACGATCTAGAAGTAACTTCAAAAGGCGAAGTTTCTGAGGTTTGTCAGAAGTCAGAATTTGTTGAAGTTGCCCTTCAGAGCGGACATGAAGAAATGGATCGATTCCCGGGGCCTCGCCGCTATATTCTGGGCGTGTAGAAAAGAACCGTGTTTGCTGGAATGGTATCTTTTCGTTAAGATTATTATTTTTGGAAACCGTACGTGGGCGCGAGGAAGCCAGAATCGCTTCTTCTAAGGGGTGTAGTTTTTCTGGGACTTTGGCTTCTGGTTTTGGCTTAAGCTTCGGCTCCAACTCCGGCTCCGGCTTAAATTCCGGTCCCGGCTCCGGCCCCGGTTCTGGTATTAGATCTTGCTCGATGGGTTCATCATCGTCACCTAGAGCTTGTTTCCATAGAGTCTCCAGCTTCAACTCAGCTCTTCGAGATTCAGTCATTATTTGAACGACAACCGTGTGGCCATTTTGGGAAACGCCAAATCCTGCCACGCGCCCATCATCTGCAATCACAGCAGACTGGTCTTTTCCACGATTTATGGTACCAAGATTGACACATATCCAACCGGTTTGAATGCCGTCATCGGTATCTTCGACACCACCGAGGAGCTTGGCCCGTTTAGCTTTTCGACGCAACTTCATCTTGCGCTCATTTGGGCCGAGCAAGCCATCAGCATTGGCATAGATTCGATGCTTAACCCGCAACCATCGTTGAAGGCGGCCAGCGGATACGCTGAGATGGCGCTCGCTGCGGGCTGTCCCGAATAGCATAAATAGATTCGGGCCTAATGCCGCTGGAGGGTATAACTCTCGAAGATCTAAGAGCTCGAGTTCGTCAAGGCCCAGTTCCTCGGAAATATATTCCAACAATAAGTTGACGATCCTGGGAGCTCCTTCGGGGACCTCGGGTAGAGGAGGTTGCTCAATAGAGGCGACATGTCTTGGAGGTTCAACCTGAAGATACCAAGGGACATTGGCCAAACTCGAAGAGTCTTTGGCAGCATCATTCTGTCCTAGATTATCAGGCGCATGACTTTCCTCCGAACCTTCATTGGCTGAGGCTGCCTCATCTGAAGCTATCTCATCTAAAGGCGCACTATGGTCATGATCAGGCTGAGAAGAAAAGGCTCGGCTTGGAGCTTGGGTGATGAATCGAGGCCGATATGGAAGAGAATTAGGCCTTGTGATAGATGAGGCGACTGCAAAAGAAGACGAAGAAACAGTAGTAGTAAATAACTTCAGAACAGCTAAACGACAATGAGAGCAGCTCGCCGTGGTTAAAGCATGTCGAGCTACCATTTTTTTTCTTCTTCTTTCTTCTTTCTTCTTTCTTTCTTCTTTGGTTATAATTGATTTTAGATGGTGACAGTCATCGATGAGATCACAATATGTACTGTATGTACTGTATGTACTGTATATACTGTATGTACAGTAAATATAATGTATGTAGATGGCATCAATGGTTACAACAAAACTTCGTCAATGTGAACTTGAATAGTTAAATATATGGACCCGGGATAAGTCTGGAAGATTAGCAATCAATTCATGAGTTAACCCATGTTTAGATTAGCGTAGTGGAGAGATGCAGATACAGTGGATATAGCATCAGACTTGAACCAATTAGAAGCTTTAATTCTTTATTTTATGTAGATCCAAAATGGGGTTCTTTTCTTGATGGCGAAAAAAAAAGAAAAGAAAAATTAGAATATGAGCTTCTCAATTATTCGTCTTCTACCTTTTTTTTTTCCGGCTTCAAAATCTTTAACGACTTCATGTTAGAATCATTTTAGAGGAGAAAAAAAAATCTCGACAGATTCAAACAAATCTGTTGAGGTCTTCGTCACTCCTTCTATTTCCTTTTTTTTTCTTTTTTTCTCCTTGAATCCTTCCACATCTCTTCCCCTCGTCTCAATCAATATCTGCCCCTCCTCCCGCTCCCGATATCCAGAAAGATATCGTCGCAATGCTCGTGCGACCTCTTTCAGCCCGGCAGGGCATATTGCTGCCGAGGCTCAACACAACAAGACGGCCTCAATTAATCGCTAGAAACCCATCTCCACATTCCCTTTATATTCCAAATCGCAGAGTCTTGACAACAGCCCCAGCCGAGCCACTAACAAGAAGGAGGAGGGACTCAGTGTCGAAAGATCCTCACACAACTGTCCCCAAGAGGTCTCTTGCTACTGCAATGACCAATCCTATACGCCAAGATGAGATTCGCTTTGATCAATACCAATCACACATCTCTCACAACTACTCATCTCCCTTAACTCCTCGATTATACGATATACGACCCTTCGACCCTTCTTCACCATTACTTATTAACCGAAAAGATGACATACCCTTCCCACGTTCTAGAATGAACACCAATGGCATACCTGGTGGTCTTGATGAGATGCTATCGGTTTTTGATGCTTGCCTACACGTTGGCAAATTAGACAGAGCCGCTCTTGTCTTGCTCCGGTTCGGCGACATGGACGTCTTAGCCGCCCATGACCTAATCGCCCTTCACAACCAGTACCTTCGCGTAGCCATGAACAAAGCCTTCGATGAACCAGACCCCAAATGGGCTCAATCCCTCCATAGATGGTTCGAGGTACATATCAGAGGCAAGCGCATACCTCACAATGCCGAGACTATCGCATGCATGTTAAAAATAGCCCTTCTCTCTTCTCAAGGAGAGAGGCTCGAACGGCTCGTGGCTCGGTATATGGATTTGATGCCTGGTGATGCCATATATTCAGTCCTCTCCCAAGACGAAATATTGTCTCAACAAGACCTCGGTGTTATTACCAGCATTTATAAGCCCGCTTCCGATCTTCTAGAGGAATTTGAACCCGTGGCGGAGGAGACGGAGGAGACGGAGGCGATGGAGAAGACGGAGAAGACAGATACCAGTTTATCCCAATCGACGACGACGACCGGAACAAAGCCAGAAGTAGACAATACCCCTGAAATTCTTGCTGTACCGCAAAAAGGACTGGGCCTGAAATCATTGCGTGGTGTATTGTCATTTTTCGCCGACATCGAAAATCAAGACCTGTCTACTCTGCCGATGGCAGAACGCCGAGAAATCCAGTCTCGCTTGGAAAAAGATTGCGTGGAAGCTGCCATCGCCCGATGGAGAGAAGAAAACAAAGCGCTCCTGCAAATGGGACTGAACAATTCATTATCAACTAACGCTCTGAGTTCGCAACTCTACGAATGGCAACAGGCTCTGGAATCTAAATTGGATGAGGAGTTTGCGCTGTTTGATCAATCGGAAGCCGCCCGCCGGAAAGGGGTCGCGGACCATGATCGTTGCGTATATGCACCTTTCTTGAGGCTTTCGAACCCGACAAGGCTCGCTGCCGTCACCATCATAAGCGTGCTAAATGCAATTTCAACAACAGGCGCCGACAAGGGTGTTCAATTATCGAATCTGTTAACTCTCTTATCGAAGGGAGTAGAGGATGATATTAAATTTCTGATACGACAGAAACAGAACCCGCTCTTTTATAATAAGCACAAGTCTGGTAAAAGAGTTCGCAAAACAAAAAAGCAGCAAGCCAAAGAAGCAGCAGCAGCAGCAGCAGCAGCAGCAGCACCAGGCGCACCAGGCGCACCAGGAGCTCAGCCCGATGTAGAGGTTATTGAAGATGCGACAGGCACACCGGTTGTTAGGCCAAAAGAAAGCACCGAGATGCCCGCTAATATTATAGAAAGCACCAAATATGAAACCAAGTCATGGCCTTTACTGATCAAAACTAAGGTCGGCGTTGTTTTGCTGTCTGCTTTGATGGAGACTGCGAAAGTAAAGGTGGTCCGAGAGCATTCAGAGACCAAGGCACTCGTTGGTTCAACCCAACCCGCCCTGACCCATACAACCATATATCGAAAGGGTAAAAAGGTTGGTTTAGTTATGCCAAACAAGTTCCTGGTCGAGCTTCTGAAGCGAGAGCCCCCCGGAGATTTTCTTGCGAGACATTTACCAATGCTTGTCGAGCCGGAACCTTGGACTAAGTTCGACAAAGGGGGTTTCTTAGAGTTTCCCTCCCAGCTTGTGCGGGTCAAAAACGGCGAGAAAGATCAGAAGATATATTCCGAGGCTGCCGTAGAGAGAGGGGACATGGAACAAGTTAGCAAAGGGCTCGATGTGCTTGGCCGAACCAGTTGGCGGATCAACAAGCCTGTCTTCGATGTCATGCTCAAAGCGTGGAACACTGGCAAGGAAATAGCCAACATCCCTCCACTAGATCCTGATCTTCCCATACCCGCCGAACCCACGTCCGATGATCCCTTGACTAGACGAACCTGGCTGAAAGCCGTGAAAGCGATAGAAAACGAAAAGTCAGGTCTCCACTCTGAACGCTGTTTCATGAATTTTCAACTCGAGATTGCCAGGGCTTTCAAGAACCAGACTTTTTATTTCCCACATAACATGGATTTTCGAGGACGTGCCTATCCGCTCCCTACATATCTTAACCATATGGGCGCAGACCATGTTCGTGGTCTACTTCGTTTCGCCGAAGGCAAGGAGCTTGGTGACAAGGGGCTACGGTGGCTCAAAGTTCACCTAGCGAATGTTTTTGGCTACGACAAGGCAAGCTTGAGTGAACGGGAGGCCTTCGCGATGGAGCATCTCGAAGATATCTATGATTCTGCTAACAACCCCTTGACGGGCAAGCAATGGTGGCTCAAAGCGGAGGAATCGTGGCAATGTCTTGCAGCTTGCTACGAATTAAAGGCGGCGTTGGAATCCCCCGACCCTACCAAATATGTCTCTCATCTACCCGTTCATCAGGATGGTACTTGTAATGGATTGCAGCACTATGCGGCGCTCGGTGGTGATTCATGGGGTGCCCAACAAGTGAACCTGGAACCCGGAGATCGTCCCGCAGACGTGTATTCCGCAGTAGCAGAGCTCGTTAAAGAAAGCATCGCGGAGGATCTAAAGACTGACAACACCTTTGCGAAGGCGGTTGACGGCAAAATAACGAGAAAGGTGGTGAAGCAGACTGTTATGACAAATGTATACGGTGTCACTTTTATGGGAGCCAAGGCACAAGTGCAGAAACAGCTCGAAGCAGCCTATCCAAACATCCAAAAGGACACAGAAATACCACCGAATTTGCTTGCCTCATACATCGCCACCAAGATCTTCAAGGCTTTATCCACCATGTTCCGTGGAGCTCATGATATTCAATTCTGGCTTGGAGAGTGTGCAGGCAGGATTTGCCGTGCTCTTACTCCAGAACAAATGAGTCGGATTTCCAAGGGAGACGATAAACCGATTTTGGTCTCGTCCACAAGATCACGTAGCGTGAAGAAGGAGAAGCCGATTGCTGAACAGATTCTCAGCCAGTTACGGTCGACAGTGGTTTGGACCACTCCCCTCCGGATGCCCGTTGTCCAGCCATATCGCAAGAGCGGGACCCGTATTATTGAAACTTCCATGCAGGACCTTACTCTGCAGGTACCCGAGCGCTCCGACCCTGTAAATAGACGGAAACAGTTACAGGCATTTCCTCCCAACTTCATTCACTCCCTGGATGCCAGTCACATGCTGCTCTCTGCTCTTGAGTGCGACGAACTCGGTCTTTCGTTTGCAGCTGTACATGATTCTTTTTGGACGCACGCTGCAGATGTTGACATTATGAACCGTGTCTTGCGAGACTGCTTCATTAGGATACACAGCGAAGATGTCATCAAGCGTCTTGCCTCCGAGTTTGAAGCCAGGTACAAGGGCGCTCTTTACCTGACCAAGATTGATCGGAAATCTGCGGCTGGAGATCTGATTTATGCACATCGCAAAACCGTGAAGCGAAACTTGAAAGAGGAACTTTTGGTCGAATACGAAAGATTACAACTACTGTTGTCTAAGGACCCCGAGCAAGTTAAGAAGGGTAAAAAAATGGTGACGCCTGCTAGCATCTTCGAAGATATGGCCGCTTCTCAACCCCTATCAAGCACGGAGGACATGGAAGCAGTAGGCCTGGGCAACATTCCGGCTGGCAACAATGCATCCGGCGCAGCTGTAGCTGACGATTTGATGCATAGTGGCGAGCCAGCTGGGTTAGATGTGAGCAAAGTTGACGATGTGGATGACCATGACAATGGCGATGACGACGCAGATCCTAGTTTGATGAAAGAACTGGAAACGAACCGTTTTGAGTCAAGTATATCGCTTCAAAAACAGAAAAAGGCCGCTAAAGTGAAGGAGAAGGCGACGAAGAATAGGGTTTCCACAATCACTCTGTGGCTACCGCTAACTTTCCCTGAAGTTCCCGAGAAGGTAAGTAAACGAAGGCAAGCATCAAGTCGGCAAGAAATACTAATCAACATGTGTTTAGGGCGAATTCGATGTTGGGCGACTCAAGGATAGTCAGTACTTTTTTTCCTGAGTCAAAAAACCTATCTCCTACATACCTAGTAGGGATACATTTGGGGGGGGCGGGGGATGACCTTCATGGTGGATTAAGTTCAAGAGTGGACGGCGTTTACGAGAAACATTATCTGCTACGTTTTTATGAGCGAATGCATCATTCGGCGTTTGGTGGTAAAAGGCTGCGCCATGCAACGGCGTGTAGGAAGACCAAAGGGGCTTGGTGGGACGATACGAAGGCACTGTACGGTACAGCATATACAGTATATACACAAGAGCTTTTGAACAGAATCTGTATAGTAAGTCGCTCGGGGAAGGGGGGGGGGAGGCGGTCTAACCTAAGTGGTTTTCAGGTCATGGGGTGGGAAAAGGATGCGAAATAGGGGGAACTCCCATCCACTCCGATCCAGTCATGTACAAAAATCTATCTATCACCAAAATAAATTCGAAATATCTTGAAAGTCGTTTTGGACTGATCCCGGAGAGGAAATGAATTGAAAAAGCAGTAGCATAATTATCTAGTATTTAATTTTCATGCTTCGTATGAGTAGGTAGGTAGGGAGTCATCACAGGGCTGGGCAGAATAAGTCTAACAACCTAGGTTATGAAAAATCGTAACGCAAGGGTCACGATGGCCTCGAATCGACTTATGATGACGGTTTCTGGCGCGTCATGTGTTTGCTTCTCTACCTGCCTCGGGGTACACACACACACAATGTAGATATTTAGTAGCGGCTTCTTCCAAGGTACAGTACCTATATGATAGGTATCCAGGACATGAAATCTCCTGTCATCCACAGTGGCAAGTCTAGGAGGCATCTAGAACGAGAGAACCGAGGCAGGAAGGATGGATGGAGTAGATGCATCGAGGCTAAGATTTTATTATTTTTTTTATCTGGGTCTTGTAGGTACTGTAGGTAAGCGGGTACGAATACTGATGCAGGTAGGTTAGTTTATTAATCCGCCAGCCAGTGAGGAGAGGCGTATACGCGAATCCCAGATTGCCGGAAGGAAAAGTATGGTGCTGATGGTGCTGATGACGAAGGATGAGATACTTATCCTACCTTAGGTAGGTAGGTAGGTACCTTGCCTAGGTACAAATAACTAAGTTGTGGTTTTGATATCTGGGGTATGTACATACATAGTGGTGAGAGATAGTTATGTACATAGTGTAAGCTGCATTTTAATCAAAACCCTCGGAGCTGAAAAAAGAAAAAAGGAAAAAAGAGAAACGGAGTCGAATGAGAGGGTGGGAGCTAGTTAGATAGATTCATTGGGTGGACGATGCGGTGAGTATTACTAGGTACCACACACACATGACTTCATGTTACCCAGCTCAGATCGTAGGGCTGAAGACAGGAGAACACAACATTGAACATTGTACCTATGTCTGTAACCTCCAAACTGTAACTGTGCCGTACATGTAGCCCGATGTTTCTTATTAGATAGGTAACTAGGTAGTCACTACCTACCAGTACCTAACCTAGGGTATATCATGGCATGGGTGATGCATTTCGTGTGTTAATTAAATTGAGATGTTGGGGGGGGGGGGGGGGGGGGTTCTTTGGTTCCCGGGATGGAACGAGCCTCTGGGTGGCTCTTTTCCAGGGTAGCGTGTAAGATTGGTATAATACAATACTAATATATTTCCTCCCCCGTGTAACGCGAGCCGAAACGCACCTTACCATTCGAGTGAAATACGGGAAAGCAGAAAAGTCTTATGTTACATAGGTAAACTTTGGGTATAGTGTTTGCTCCTTATACGATATGTTCCTTCCTTGGCTGCCTGTACCTTACCTTAAGGCTTAGAATAGGGTAGGTACTTACCCAGGTTTGCTTTAAACTTTGCCTCATTGAGCCTGTATCTGCCTCGTACCTTCAATGTTAGTTATTCTAGAGTCTTTTTTTTTTTTCTTTCTGTTTCCTACGTTGTAAATTGTCAGCCTTGGCAGGTGACAAGAAACGGGGAAGGGTCGTGACGTGGGGCGAGTCGTTTTATTGATTACCTGTGCTGAATAGTTAGGTACATACATCGGTACATTGCTATGCGCAGGTATAATTCTGTATAAGATCAGATAAAAAAAGAAGAAGAAGAAGAAATGGAGCTTCTCGCTTCTCGTACTGCAGTCAAGAAGGGAACCGGTGAAAAGTGACTGATAAACTATTTAAATTCGATCCATCTCCTCGTCACCCATCTACCTCATCCATCCAACCAACCATTCTTTCTCGCCAACACCATATACATACCTGTCGACTGCCGGTCATACTTTAATCGACCCATACCATACATACTTACCTACCTTCACAATGCTCTTCTCACGCAATACTCTGGTTTCCAGCGCTGCTGTGCTGATGACTCTTTGGTGAGCACTTACCTATCTTACCTTATATACCTAACTTAGTATACTAACACTCTCATAGCAATGTAGCCACAGCTACTCCCCAAGACGGCCCCATCGACGTCGGTTGCTACACCTACACACGGGATGCCCCGTCCCGTACGTTACTTCCTTCCCTCTCTCCCTCTCTCCCTCCCATCCCCTTTCCCCTTTTTTTTTTTGCATAAAAAAAAAGCAAAAAAAAAACCCCCCACTAACACTCCCCCAGCCGCCTGCCCAACACTCTCCTGCGCACCCCGCCCCACCGACAACTTCTGCCCGCAAATGATCCGCGTATCCAGCGTGACCGTGCCGTGCGCAACAGAGGCCTGCCCAACAACCGCCACGGTCTACGACTCGACGGCGGCCTGCCCTACGTGCGCCGCGTGCCCCGTGCCCACGCAGTGGATCACGTACACGACGGGCTGCGCCGCCGACCCCGCCGCTACCATTACCGCCATGACGATCGAGACGCCTGCGTGGAATGCGCCGATGACGATTTTTTAAAGCGGGCAGGGAAGAAAGGGAAGGGGAAGGGGGGGAAAGAGAGGGATCATGGAGGTTTATGAAAGAGAGATATTGGTGTCGGTGGACAAGGCCCCTCCACGTGGATATATCACGTGTTGCAATACGGCCAGTAACTAGGCGTGGGATCTGTGGTTGCGAGTTGCGAGGTGCCGGAGAGAAGGGGCTTGGCCGGCAGGGAGGGGGCTTGGGTGCATGCAGTACGTCCACCTGGGGAAGGGGGTTGCTGCTGGCTGGCTGTGCGGGCTTTGGCGGAGGGGGGGGAGCACCATCAGAGAACGGAGCACCCGCCTTTACATACATCTGCAAATGCACATGTAACTAACTAGTTACATAGAATCATATGCGAACATGGCCGAAAAGACGCCTTGGGATAAGTTTGTACGCCGTATTATCAGACGAACACAGAAACAAACGATTTCGACCCAGAAAGCGAAAAACTGTATATCGTAATAACCAATTACCCTTAAGTTTTTAAGGGTTAGTTAGGTAATTATTATTATACGGATTTTTCTTTTTCCTAAGGGATTCGGCTTACGGCGGCATAGTACAAAGGGCTAAGACTTTAAAAGCCACGTGTGAAGCCACATATAGTTATAGCCACACGTGGTTAAGCTTCAAGTTTCAAAGTGCTTAAGATTTCATATAAAAAAGAAGGCGTTCAGATCTATCGGCGGCCACTAAAAACCCCTAAGAACTACTGGTAGATGGCATCACAAGTGACCGGGCTATTACAGCTGCTGTATAGGAATGGAAGTGGTTTATTTGTTTAACATGGCTTAGATTGGTTTGTCCGAGAAAACTCGGGCTTGTGTGGCGCGCGCGAGCGTGTGCCCTCATGTAGAGAAAAGGAGAGAAAAGGGGGGAGGGGTCTAGGTTAGGTACCTAGTTAAAAATGGGAAAATGAAAACGAACAATCAACGGGAGTAATTTTTTTGGTACTCATTCATCTTTGTTAAATAAGATCCTTCACTTGCCGGCCGGATCATGGGCCGTGACGTGATTTATCGTACGGTAGCGCCTTTCAAGGTCTGTACTGTACAAATGCCACCGCTAGCCGTGGTGAGCTTGCCGACTTCCTCCTTACCCGCCTCCTTAACTAGGTGTCCGTCAAACACAACCTCCAAGCTATCCGTCGTGGTGAAGCCCGGCTGGAACGTCTCCCAGACCTTCTTCTTGGGGTTGAGGACGCCCTCAGGCTCGCCCCTCCAGCCCTCAAAGCATACTCTATCACCCGCCTTCGCGTCGGCAGGCGGGGTGACAAGCTCCACCGGGCCCTTGTGGTCGTCCACCTCGCCCTCCTTTAACTTTGGCGACGCGGCCAACACCATGGCGCACGACTTGATTCCCCGCATCTTGACTGGCTTTAGGTTGGCGACCACAACCACCTTTCGGTTCTGCATATCCTCCAGCGGAATCAGGCCGTTCAGTCCAGAGCAGACGGTACGGCAGACCTGGCCCTCGTACTCCTCGGTATCGTCGGTACCGGGCTTATCGCCCATGGCGATGGTGGAAACGAAGAGACTGTCGGCTTCGGGGTGCTTGATGGCCTTGAGGATGTGACCGACTCGTAAATCAATCAAATGGGGCGCCGGTGGTGTGGCGACAGCAGGGGCTTTGGGTTGTTTTGGGGCCTTTTCTTTCTTTTCCTTCTTGGGCTTCTCGGCGCCGGCGCCTGCTCCCACGGCCGCAGCAGCCTTGTCCTTCACGTCCACAGCGGCATCTTTAACTGCCTCGGCCGCAGCCTTGGTTCGGTCGACAATGGTAGCAGCTACTCCGCCTTCACCAGTCGTGCCCGCGGCGGCAGCGGCAGCGGCAGCCTTCTCCTTCTTTAGACGTTCCTTCTCGGCCTTAGCATCGACGGGGGGTTTTACGTAGAGGACCTCGTCGAGATCTACCTTGACCTTTTCGGCATCATTCACACTCAAACCAAAGACGCCAGAGTTCTGGACAAAGTCGAGATGTCGGAGGATATGGGGATGGCCGTGTTCACCGGTTCGCTGCTCGGGGGTCCAGGCCTTGACTGCGGGAGCCAGGGACTCGTAGATGGCGACGTCGGCCTTGGAGGGCTTTGTGCCGAGAAGAGTGGTTCGCGAAGTCAGGTGGGAGTTTAGTTTGTCAAGGATGGAGGCATCGGATGGGGAGGCCTTTAGGCGCTCGGAAGTGGTGATCCATTGCTGAACTTCGGTCTCTTCGGTGGGAGATAGCTTCTGGGATTCGAGGGAGGCCATGGTGAAGGTTCGGAAAGAAATGCCTCGTGAGAGAGGACGGATGAAGCGAAGAAGTGACAGTTTGTAGAATTTATAACAAGCTGCGATTCGGAGAGAAATCGCAGAGAGTTAAGTGTGGTGGTATTGGCTGGTATTGAGTGACGTCCTTGGAAGAAGCGAGGATTAAGAGACAGGAAGAGAGAAAGAGTGAGGGGCTTGATTAATTTTTTGAAGCTTTGCCAATTGCCCCTCCATTAGATTGACTCACTGTTGTTTAAGTGAATAGCCGTTGTAATGAATGTGGTTAACCGTTAGATGAACTAAGAAGTATTACCTAGTTATTGAAGTACTACTAGTAGTTAGTACAAGCCTACAAGGTGAAAGAGTTCCGGAGTTTCACTTAACCCGTTCCAGTCTTTTCTTCTCTTTCCAGGGTTATGTAAGTTGCGACAACGAGGGCACGGACCAAGACTGAAGAAGACTGGAGCTCTCCAACATTAATTGCCCATTGATTGATGGAACGTTGAACATTGAAGCTTGCAGACAATCGCGACTTTTCTCTTCATACAATACCCGTCCACCCGCGATCTACCTAATTCCCCCAACCTCAACTCCAACATCTCGAAGAGCATTTCGATAACCAAAAATAATATTAATCAACTTCAACTGCTCACACACCCACACAACACGCCAAACCTCTTTCAAGATGGGCGCACTAACGTATGGCGCTGGAGGTCTTACCTCCTTCTTAACTGTTGTTGGACTTTGTACGTTACTTGGCTACCTACCTACCTACCACCTAGGACCTACCATTATCATTGGACGTGGGAGCTTTGGAGTCTTATGGATGGGATGGCTGACTATTGAATTTCATAGATATGCTCTTCACTGGTGATGGTGAATCTTTCAATGTTCGTATCCGAGATCGAATTTAGCCATTGTTTTTTTTGGGTTCCCTTGAGTCCAGTCCTGACGATATATATTCTAGGTTGGAGCTTTCCTCGAGTCAGTATCGCCATACGCGTGGGCGAGCCTTGGAATTGCACTTTGCATCAGTCTTTCCGTTGTTGGCGCTGCATGGTATGATATACCCATACCCATACCCATATACCCTCCCTTCTCTCTCGAATTATGCATCACTGACTGACATCTATCTAGGGGTATCTTCATCACGGGCTCCTCCATCCTCGGTGGTGGCGTCAAAGCACCACGAATCCGAACCAAGAACCTCATCTCCATCATCTTCTGCGAAGTCGTCGCCATCTATGGCGTCATCATGGCCATCGTCTTTTCCTCCAAGGTCAACTACGTTGGCGATGACGAACTGTACGATGCAAACAGCTACTATACTGGCTTCGCCTTATTCTGGTCCGGCATAACCGTCGGTGCCTGCAACCTGATCTGTGGTGTGGCTGTTGGTATCAATGGCAGTGGAGCTGCCCTTGCCGATGCCGCTGATCCTACTCTGTACGTTTTATCAGCCACCTTCCTTACCTATGCCTACTCTATATACTAACAAGAATTGGCAGCTTCGTCAAGATCCTCGTCATCGAGATCTTCAGCTCTGTCCTCGGTCTCTTCGGCTTGATCATCGGTCTCCTCGTCTCGAGTAAGGCGGACGACTTCGGCGTACTATAAATCTACAATCTACGATCCCAATTTTGTATCAATGGAATACAGTGTAAGAAGTGATGCATGCATTCACAGTCCGGCCAAGGATTGTCGGCGTTCGGAAAGACGGGCTTCAAATCGGGAGGAGGGAATATAGCTCACGAGGTTTCGTCCATGTGCAAGCTATTGTGTGTGTGTACTAATACGACAAAGAAGCGGGTGTGATCACAGTTTCATCAAGGGAGACTGCTGGGAAATAAAAAGAGACAACCATCCAAAAAAAGAGAACCCCAACCGATTCTTCCGCGTAGGCCGAAACGCAGAGTTGTTCATGTCGACAGCTACTGTTTGCCAAGTCTTATGATGACCAAGACATCCCAAGGGGCCGATCTAGCTAGCGAATATAAAAATACCAAGGCACAGTTATACTTTTTATGAGTTATCGTGCTGTTTTCATCACATGACTGATAGGTAATCTATATGATATCGATTTTATATATGTATGAGATCTAGCTAGGCAGGGCGGGAACCCCCTACTCGCGAGAATCATTCTAAACTTCATCCCAATGATAAAAGTTGAGACAAGGCTTTACAAGATTAAGAATACTTCTTCAAATTGGAATAGCTCTCCCAATTTCGATCATGGGGATTCGTGGACTCATTCCTCGACGAGCGTAATTATTCCTACATGACTGTAATCTTTCTTGGCTACCTAGTACCTAAGTAGGTAAGTAATGCGTGTTCGAGTGTACAGGATAGGCATTCGCATAATGAATTGTTGTTGACAGTCTTCTCACGTACTTCGCCAATTCGCCAACTCGCTGCACAATGAGATTGATACATACTACTATGTGTTTTTTTGGTGTTATGGTCTTCAAGGAGCTGTGATATCAAGTATACCTGCGTGATTGTGTAATAGGTGCATAGGTAGAAAAGCAAAAGAAAAAAAAAAGGAAAGTGCTCCAAGACAACAAATAAGAAATCAATGAAAAAAAAGTACGGTGTGTCCCAAGTATCCAAGTCCTTCCAAGTCGAATCAAGCTGTACGAAAAGATAACCCAAACCGCAAACCCTTCGTTGGTAGATAAGAAAACAATACGTCCCCTGGGTATCTGAATAAGATCCAACCTCCACCATCGTCTCCCTTATACCACATACCACACACTCACTCACATCAGATATTCAACTGTCAGGCTTTCACACCTCAGCATCTCGGGATTCCAGGGGCGAACCAGGGAGCTCCAGAATACGTCTCTGCTCCGCCTCGATGAACTCCAGCGGTCGTCTTTGCTGAGTGAGAATCTTATCCCTAAAGACGAACAGGCTACCGCCATGGTGTCTAAATATCTCGTCCATGTCCTCGAGGGTTCGGTGCGAGGTCTCCGGGTAGAAGAGGTAGACGATAGGGAAGTAAGACCAGCAGAATCCCGCAAAAACTGTACAGGTAGGTAAGTAAGGGGTCATTGGTCAGTGCAAAGAAAGAAGACAGTCAGTTGTGGGGTAGGCAGGTAGGTAGGTAAATAGACTCTGGAAAGCTCTTACGAAGATATAATCCCCACCCGAGGTTATCCACGCCAGCCTTGGTAAACTGGAGAATAACAAACGCACTCAACCAGTTAGTCGCGGCGCCGGCGGCAGCTCCCCTGTTACGCCAGCCTAGACTGTTGATTTCCGAATTGAAAACCCAAGGGACTTTCGCGAAGCTGGTGCCGTAGCAAAAATAATAAAGGAAGAACATGGCAACAGTGGCTTTGCCGAGCGCCGCCTTCTGCTCCGGGTGCAATGTCGCCTCTTTCAGGGTGATTGCGGCAACGAGGTAGCAAGATCCCGTCGTGAGGGAGCCGTACATCATAAGCCTAGTATAAATGTGTAAGCTAATCTATCTAGGTATCTATCTACCTTGTACCGAGAATTCAAAAGGAGGGAATAAGTCATTACGGTCTTACCTTCGCCTCCCAACTCGATCAATAAGAACCAAGCATAGAAAGGCAGCTGCTAGGTAGAGAGTGGAATTGGCAGCGGAAAGTAACCTTGCAGACGCGTTTGAGACGCCGACTGACTCTATCAAGATGGTAGCTACATCAACGAGAGAGTCAGTGATCAACTCTTTAGCTAGCTTGATTAGGAAACACTAGCCACCAATGTCGGCAGAGGAGGAAAGGAAAGGAAAGGAAAGGAAAGGGGGGGATGACTCCGGATGGTACTGACGAAGGTAATAGCCCAACAGGTTGACACCGCTAAACTGCTGCATAAGCTGCGTCCCACAGCTTCAGAACATTAGCACGCCATGTACAACCCATGCTCAACTTCGGGAATACTTGCCTGAGCAACAAACGGCGCAGGCTCTGGGAAGGGTCTCTGCATAGTAGTGTGTCCACAGTGGATAAGCAGGCTGACTGTTCATCCTCAAGTGTCTTCTGGATCGACCTAAGATCATAGTCCACGTAGATGTCGTCAAGGTCACATCCGGCCCCCCTCAGCCGAGCAAGGACAACTCGTGCCTCCTGGACCCTTCCTCGCAGCAGGCACCAACGTGGAGATTCTACAGAAAGCGGTAAGAATATTAGTGCTATGATGGTAAAGACGAGCTGGAAAGCCAAAGGAAATCGCCACTGGAAAGGCCCGTTATCGTTGAATAAGGCATAGTTGATCCAGTTGGCTAAGCAGAACCCTGCAGTGACGCTGAGTGAGCCTAGTACGACAAGTTTGCCCCTGATATGAGATGGCGAGGTCTCCGCCATGAAGATAGGGCAAGTCGTAGATATGATACCCACTAGAATGAAGTGAAGTGTTAGTGCATATCTACAGCAAGTTGGGTGCCTTAAGATCGGTATCTAGTAGGGCATAAATTCAGGGGTATCTTTGGGTGGACGAAGAGACCTCCAGGCGAGGGGCCGGAAAGGAGCAGCCTATAGGCTTGTATGGGTCTAACTTACTAGCGAACCCGTTCACAATACGCCCAACTACCAACTGAGGCAAATGGTAGGCTGCAATCTGCAGCACCGCTCCAATCACGTTAACCACGAGCCCAAAGTAGATCGACTTCTTCCGCCCAAAGCGATCAGCTAGCAGAAACGAAGCAAGACAGCCGAAGAATGCACCGAGCTTATGCAACGGTCAGCAGCATCCTAGATTACGAGCATGCCATGTTGTGACCCACCGAGAAGCAGCTGGACGTAATACCCGATACACCTGGATTCTTGATCTGAGGGAAAGTCTTGAGAAAATCAGCGGATATGAGAGTACCCGAAAAAACACCCTGATACAAGGCATGAGCTAATCGTCAAGTAAGGAAGGGAAAGGGGGTAGTAACCTGGTCGTAGCCAAAGTGTGCCATAGAGACTGCTAGAAGTCACTCGTCATATTCCATATCACGGCGGTGGAAAGGGGGTATACCAGAATTTGTCAAAGTTAAGCAGACTAGCTGCCACTTGCCACTTGGTGATGGTAAATATGCCATTCTAGTGGGCTATGTTACGGTTTCAGCGTAGGACCAGCCCGAGAGGATAACTAGCAGCAAGAGAAGAGATGTGACTGATGTCGAAGCCAGTGAATCAGAGACGACTGATCCCGTGTTGAAGATATACCCCAGTTTGATTCCTTGCCTCCTCTCAAGCTAGTTACTGCATGGATCGGATCTTGTGACTCTATCAAACAGTCTGTTGGTAGATTCCTTAGGTATGTTTTGTGCTCCAAAATTGGAGTACCGTTATTCCAGTAACCCTGACCGAATTTACCTTTCTAGAATGTGTATAGTTGTGCATTCCAGAGTCAAGGTTTACTCTTGTGGTAGCCTTAAAGGCGCCTTTCGTTCAGCCTTGGTAAGTGAACCTATGGCTGTGAGCAACTTTTCCGATGCTAGTGAAATGGATCTTCTTAGAACCCCGGGTAGCCGTGCCTTAGCTATAACTTAAAGTTTGTTGTTGTGATATACTCGTTGTAATAGTTGCGCCGAAGCGTAAGGAGTTATTAATACTCAGACTAGCGCTCATGTGTCCTGGTACCCGATGTAAGTACCGTGATGAGGACCTAACTTCATATACAAACCTCGGACTTCGCAAATCAGAACGCTACATGGATATAAGAAGGAGCGGTCCAATGTCCCAGATCACCTAAAATAAAGCTCTGCGTGACCAATTGTGTTGTTCTAAGAGCAGGCTGGTTCGTGCCAGAAGATTCAACAGGGCGAAGTCAAACAGCTTGGAGCCGAGGCGAAAGCTGCGGCTTAGTAGAAAGTGTCCTAATTTGTCAGCCTAATATAGATGGGCTTCTGAGAGGAGTACTCGAGTTGAGGCTGGTGAGACAGCAATATAGATCAGGGCTTCATAGAAATTACAAATAGACCGGGTCAAGATATACCTAATCTCAAGTGACTCATTCCAAGTGTCCCCGATGATTAACAGGATGACCAAGGGGTTTTCGAGGGGGGAGGCAGTTAGCTGTACAAATAATAGCAATGATAATGACTTGAATGCGATACTATTCCAAGGATGCTATGGAATCTAGAAGATGGTATAGAAGCCTTCGCTGTCGGGGCCGGGCGTAAAGGCGAGGGCCGCTTTTCTTCCGATATTTCAAAGCACACGTTCGATTAGGCCGAGACATGACGTCTCGATTCACGGCGACAGCGATGCCGAGCGATGCCGCTGTCTGCGGCGACTGAGTGGGCATTGAGGTTACATTGAATCCTATAGATTTTCTTGGGTCGGCTTCGGGGTTTGTATAATGCACGACTTCGGTTGGAAACTTGGAAGGTTGGAAATCAGCTACAGCCTACGGTATTGTACAAGTACAGTACTTACTACTTGCCCTATGGAGCATACCCCACTACGTATTGTACCTCGGTAGGGTACCTAGTAGGTGCACCTTGAATAGGGATTTGATATGCCATTTTTAACTTTCATGAAGTTTCATCGACTATGTAACTTTTAACTTGTAATACATTTACATTGATACTATCATATGATGCTAGCTCAGCCCTAACGCTACGTAGTACATACTAGGTCGTACAGACACATCCATTTATAGGATATTTACATATATTAAGATGATACGTACTTGGAGTAAGGGAGAATGAAGACGACCAGGTATAGGACACCTGGGTATACCTTAGTGAAATTTCAAATTATCTACTTTATATACAAAAAAAGCCCTACATAAGAGCATTGCACATTATAAACCACTTCCCACCGTTGGCACCAACTTTATCTATTTCACTAGGTTAGCAGCATTTGAACTCATTAACCTTAGAACTTTGAAATTTTACGACGCCCCGCTATTACCCGCCCCTCTATCCGGGCTGAAGATACCACTGGGCAGGTACACTAAATCTACTACCTAACCTAGTGCCTACGTTGTACCTGGGGTATCAGTTACAAAGCCTCTATTCTTACATATGCATCTACGGGTCCAATGCTAAGAATAGTCTCAGAGGGCTAACTTTCCCCCTTTTGAGTCTTACTTCATTCTTTACCCTTTACGACATCGTATCGTGATACTAAGCTACTAATATCTATCACACAACTACAGCATACCAATGACGCATAGCTTGAGTAACAATGCTTGTTCCAATTCACTGTCGAATATGATCGGCCTTTCTTACTAGGCATAACCAGTAGCGGGTAGAAGGTACTAGATATCATTCCCTCTCTAGAGTCTAGGTACATATTTGAATACCTAAGTACCTTAACTTGTCTATTAGATGTTAGATGCTTGATGTAGTTGTAGGTAAGTTCTCCCTTTACTCATTCACTAGTCAACGTTGATTAGTCATATTGGGAAGAGCAAATGTACATAGGGTTATACTTATACGTATTATTCCATTTGTCCCGTAAAGGGGCTTAAACACCATTCAAGTGGTCCACCAACTATTCTCCTGCGTAAGGATGATAATGCCAATGCGACGTTCTGAGATGTATAAATATATATATTCCTATATATCTTACATAGCTTGATCTATATTACCTACCTAGTATCTACTGAGGTGGCCAGTCATATTCAGCAACTATATCAACATAATTCGCCCGGTATTGGCCGGCGTGTCGGTCAGGAGAATTCACCACTGCTACTTTGCTACCCAGAGGCTGGTGAGTAGTATTGCGTCGTTAAATAACTAGTATAAGGTATCCAGTTGTCTACCCCCCCTGGCCAGATCCACGGTATTTATACTACGCTTCCAGTCATTGGGTCAGCTCTATCAGACGGAAACGTGGCTAGCTGCTTTAACCCAGGGTATTTGAACGGAACGAGCCGCCTATACGCGCTCTACTGCCAGGCTATATCCTCGTAGTTAATGCTTACTATCTCCCTAAGCTATATTGGTTAAGTCAGGGGGGATATCCTTCTCACCAAGCTCTTCGGGATTTGCTACATGAATTACACAAGGAAACGTATGCCTTATCCAAAACCCCCTTCCAAAACCCCCTTTCCCCCTTTAAACCAAACGGCTTCTCGGGCATGAACTGACCGATGATTAGGCGCGCTCCTTGCCTGCGACTTCTGCAGGTACCACACCCTATAACGCCTAATTTGACATTGTTTAAGCTGACATACAATAGGCATCGTAAGCGCAGATGTGATGGGAAGAGGCCATGTTCAACTTGTCAAGACTCAAATGCAGATTGTGTGTATAAGGAGCTACCGTTCGATAGGTACTTTGACTCTACTTTCGTTTATAGCTTGTGATCATGCCTTGATAGGCCACTCATGCTAACCCAGGATTATAGAGTTGAGGACGCAAGCCCGACTGCTGTCATCGATCGACTTGCCCGAATAGAATCATTACTCGAACATCAAAGCCATCAAATCAACCAACTCAACACCCATTCTAGTCCCATACCATATCCAACCAGTCAGGCCGACTTCTTCTCTACGTACCAACAGCAACCGGACTGCCTGCCGTCAACATCAGCCGGAATAGATCCTCAACTCGATTCTCCGCAGTTTCTAATCCCTAAAGGTCATGCTACTCTACCATGCGCACTTTTGGCGTGGCCCATGGTCCGTGACTTACTCGGGGGGTACCCCAGGGACTATTTCTTCGAGCTCGAGGAGAAACTGCCACTCCCCGGACTCTTAGGGAGACTCTATGACATTCCGTTAGTTTGGCCTTCGCTTGATACCGATGTCCTCGCCGCGGCAGCCGAGAGTTACTTCAAGAACGTTCACCCTCACCACCCGCTATTTTCGTCGAGCACGTTCGAATCATGGCAGGCCCACCTCTTCCACGAGAAGAACATGGAGGAGATCGAAACCGCCATATGCTTTTGCGTCTACGCGCTAGGCACGATCTGCTCGGACCAGGAAGGAAACCACGAGAGTAACGAAGCACTTGGCCTCCATTTCTTCCAGCCGGCATTGCGAATCATGCTCCATAAACTACTGTGGGATTTTCGACCAAGCATTCACGTTTCACAGGCTTTGTTACTCGCTGCTTCGTACTTTGCCCACCTAGGGAGACCTCTTCATAGTTGGAAGATGGCGCAGTTCTCGGCGAGAATAGTGCTTAATATTATCGAGGGGTAGGAAAGGACAGCACACCAAGAAGTCGACGGCCCACGCTGATCTTATCACAGCCGGAAATATAATTTATACAGTGCTGAATTCGAGGAGGCAGAGTTAAGAGCCTTCTGGCAGTGCTTTACGGTGGAATGGTATAGTACCTACCCACCTGCCTTTGAAGAAATAGAGAGTTCAATATACCATATAGCTAACACTCGAGCACCCAGCGATCGAATCGCCGAACTCGACGTCCCGAGGAGCGGAATCGAGCCGCTAGGAGACCGAATACGCCACCCGCACAGCACCGACCCCGCCGACAACGAAAACACAATCTACTTCATCGCCGAGCACGCCATCCGGCGCCTCCTGAACCGAATACACAACTCCCTTTACGGGCCAGAAACAGAGAGCGGCGGCCAGATGAGCCTAGACTCCGGCTTCCCCTTGGGCCCCGCCGAGACCTGGCAGAGTCTCGGCATCCAGAAACTACTGGCTCTCACCACGGAACTCAACCGACAGCTGGAGGAATGGTACACCTCCACGCCGGACTACCTACGGCCCCGCAAGGGGACAGAGCCCCTCCCGAACGACCGCGCGCGCGTGCTGCGCCTGCGCTACTACGCCGCGCGCCACATCATCCACCGGCCCTTCGTGCTCCAGATAGTCTCGCGGCAGCAAGGCTCGCAATCGCAGTCTCCGTCGAGCGCCTGCATGCGGAGCCCGGCCGCCGACGCGTACAGCGACTCGCCGGTGGTGCTGGAGAGGTGCAGGACGTGCATCGAGTCGTGCGTGACGTACCTGTACAACGCGGCGGAGATGATCGCCAAGCGCTCGCCGTACCTGTGGACGTTCTCGCAGAGCTGCATGGCGTGCCTGCTGGTCGTGTGGATGGCGGATAACACGCTGGCGTTGAGGCCCTACGTGCCGCCGATGCAGTCGCTGCAGGGGCTGATATTGGCGCGGCTGCAGAGGTGGGCGGTCAGGGATTCGACGTTTGCGGCGGAGGTACGCATTATTGAGCAGCTGGAGTTTTCGGATGTGATGGAAAGGTAAAAAAAAAAAGGGGGGGGGGGGGGGGGGGGGGTATAGTCATTGATGGAAGGGGGATGGGGAGGGGGGGGAATAGGGGGGATTGGGGTGCTATGGTCGAGGTTCAACACGATGTTGAAGTTGCCCCTTTCTAGATTGGGTGGGTTTTTTTTCTTTTCTTTTTTTAGTTAGACTCAGATTAAAATACATAAATCTCAACTATACAAAATGCATAATAGTGATTACCTAGGCTTATTGTTTGCATTCTATGTGATTTTACTCAGACAAGTCTGAACATCTGTACATGGGGGATATATTCTCCTTTGGGTTTGATGGATGGGTTTACAGCTGAGAATGTAAGGGGGAGAGGTACCTATCGAAAGTAGGGGGCCATCCGCTCGCCCGATCGCCCGATACCATAGCCCCGGGACAGAGCTGCATGCTGACGCATTCTCTATCTCCGAATCTCCCCCGACCCCGAAACAGTTCTTTTTTCTTTTTTCCTTTTTCTTTTTGATGTTTGGAGCAGTTATTTCGGGATCATCTCTATTGTAAAGAGTACTCATTGTAAAACCAAACACCAATATTACCCAAACTACCACCCTACCTAGGTAGACATGGAAGGACACGGGGATGGACCAAACTCCAATAATCCGATATCGCGACGCCCAAGCTTACTTACATCGAGAATGACTGCTACTGCTACTGCCACTATCTCCTTCCTTCCTCCGGCCTTCCCGTTGAATCATGATTGACTCAGAACAACGCCGCATCTACCGAGGTTTCACAGCTAACCTAGTCGGTTGTTTGATCGATCGCGAAAGCCGTCCTTATGGTAGATACTACCTAGTAGGTTAGATTTCTAGGCAGGCAGGTGAACATGATCTAGATCAAGACTCCGGTATTCCCGGCGACGAACGGGAACTTGCCCCCATGACACACCGCGCCAAGTATAACCTACCACTCCGAAATGCAGTCAACTTAATCTGTTCGTCCCCGTGTTCTCCTTTTCCTCTTTCTCTCGCTCTCTCGCCTCTCACCGCCTCATCATCGGGGTCATCGTCCATAATATTGCATGCGCACACGTACGTGCATTTTTTTCTTTGGGCATCTTCGGACCATCTTTGCAAGGCGCGTCCACGCGAACGGACATAGCGCCGTGCAGTCTGACCATCGGGTCTCAGTCTTAACTCCAAATGCAAAGAGAAGAGAGGGAGCAATGCTGCTGACCGCATTGGAACACTGCTCACCACACGCGCGCGTTTGCACGGGGAGAATTTTGGGCGAGGTGCATGATGTAATCACTTAACACCGAAAAAATCGGCTCTGACTGGCATTGTTGCTGAGATGCGACGGCATCACCTTTGTCACCGAATCTACCAAGCCATTGACCGGAGGTAATGGGCGGTGGTTTATAGCCGTATAGAGTAGGTCTTGCTGGTTGAGTCTAGAATCTTGGTTCCTCGGGAGTGTGGCGTGAGTAGATAGGTGAGCGTTGGCACGTTTCACGATGGTTGCTACTACCATCATATTGCAGTTAAGGGGAAAGGGGTTATAATATCACCGGATATCTCTCTCATTAAATGACATGAACTATTCCTTCATGAACCTATATCACAGATATCAAACCAAAAATCCTCCCCCTCCTCCCCCTCCTCCCCCTCCTCCCTCCCCTTTCTTTAAGCTGGGCCTGGGCTTATAACCAGGAACCAAAGCATCGGGAAGACGACATTTAGAACAAACATAAAAATCGCAAAGCAGTATACTACGTCCCTGGTCCATTCGGAATTGTGAGCCGACGCCCCCGAGGTTTCCAAGTCCTCCGCTGGTAAGATGGCGCTGACGCATCGGGAGCTGTGATCAGAGGCGACCGACGGTGCAGTGGATGAAGCGCGGTGCACGTCGCTGAAGGAATCTAGGAGGGGCGGTTAGAATGCATTTTGCATCTTTTGCGTCTTTTGGTACCAAGTTGGAGCAGAGAGAAGACAAGGGATGGGCCAGGTACTTGCCGCGAAGGCTCCGATTCCAGTTGTCTTGTGTTATGAGGCGCTCCAAAGCAGCCTCGATATCTTGTTGAGATATCCTGTTTGTGGAGTTCGCGCCGGCGATGAAGCAGATGCAAGGCGGGGCATCGGGATCTTGTATATGTCCTTGTGCGGCTGGCCTGCAGAAGCATAGATGGTTTTCGTTGGGAGGGTCCATTTTGCTGAGCTTGTCGAAGGTTGTGAGGGTGAAGGCCGGTGCTGGGTCTTGTAGAGCAGACGTTACTGTTGCGCCGACGACGAGTGTAGTAGTGAGGATGGGGAGTTTCATGATAGCTTTCGAGAGAAACTTGGCTGGGAGTATTTGATCAGGTAGGGAAAGGATATGAGGCTATCTTACAGTTGGGAGACCATTTGACTAAGTACGACTTATAAACGCTAGGGCGAATAGCTACAGGTCAGTGATGAAAAGTTTCATTTAGAACAGGTATTACACTATCTGGTCAGCACTACGTTGTTCGCCTCCTATCCTCAAGCACTTGTCACGCTGGTAGTTCTAAGAGGCCATCACTAACTGGAATAGCGCTTGGCAATGACCTTCGCGTTGGAAAGGGAGGCTTCATACTAAGAGGATTGAGACCAGTCTCTACTACTTTATGCTTAGGCTTTGACTGTAGCAAATCTGGTCAGAGAGGCTATAATGTGTCTGATATTTGCCACAGGCCGAGAAGCTGCGGCTCTGGCCAAAGCACCAGCGAGCGTAACTTCGATCACACACGGTTTCTACATATTGTAAAGTGCTTTCCGCTAAAGATGTGTGCTATGATGTCTAGATCTTCGCTTTGTAAGTAAGGACAATGCGGAGAAGGAAGAGGTAAGATTGTGGTGGATGAGGTGGTCTTAGGTACATATGTATTCAATCCTCCCGACAGACGGTGGTACTTGCAGTATGTACTTGCAGTATGTACTTGCAGTAGGTACCTACATCTGGCGTAGCCTGGCGGCACATGATCTCGCTGCAGATTTAGATCTTTTGAAGATCTTAGATCCCGCAAGGAAGCTGCACTACACACATATGTACATCATAAATCTAACAAACGCAAGTGCATGGAAAGTGAAAATGACGTTCTTGACTTACATAAGAAGTAGGGCCCCAAATTTGGGAGAAAGGTTAAATAAATTCAAGATGAAACTCGGTACAGAAATACATACAGGGATCAGAAACCCAGCTAAATGCTGTAGCCAATAAAATGCCGAATCTAGAACGCTTTTAGAACTGTTCCTGACGATCTCCTTAGATAATCTACGATACGTACCCTGCACGTACTTGGGTACCGGAGCAAAGTTAGCTTTAGCGCCTCTCCTTGCCATTTGCGAGTTGCACGGGTTAGTAGCACGGGTTGCACCCCTCCCTCCGGGCCTCTTGGAGAGAATCCCTCCCCTTTTCCAAGTGTTTCTCTTTTTACACACAATTTCTGACAAACTCCAATCATTTGCTCAACCTGCTATGAGTACCTGCCTAGCTCATTCATGAGTCTTCTTGGCAATTATGTATCACTTCAATCAAGTTATTTGACATTCACTGGCTCTTGTGTAGGTATCATCTGTACACTAGCTACCTAACTAACTAGTAGCTTTGGGCGTGCTTTCAGTCGACCACCTCTCCACTGAGCGTTAAACTGCGACGAGACAAGGCCTCTTGTAACAAGCTGAGTACAAACTGGAGCAGCTGATACTTGTTCAGCCTCAAATGCGAGTGATCTGTGATGTGAATAACATTGAAGATGATAATAGATTCGTTTACTTTGACTCACCCAGCCTTACCAAGCTGCCAAGAACCATTAAGGACCATTCCTAGGTTCACACTGTCGTCCGAACTAAAGCAACAACCCTGTCACGATCTTTTCATGCGCCCGCGCCTAGTGTAATAACTGCCTACAGTGTACACTGCCCTACAGAGTGTAGAGACCATGTAACGCAAATATGTAAGACATGGGTGAGGTAGGTACATCTCCTTAAAATAACCAAGGGTGATCGCCCTGGGATGTTTCCTTGACGATACTAGGTGACAGGTTTAGCACAGGACACTCTTTCCCTAATAACTATTTCCTTATTGTGTAATACTTCCTTAATACATAATATATCACTTCTAATTCATCCAGGATCCCTTCCCTTCCCTTCCCTTTTGGGTGTCTAACTTTCGTTTCCTTCTCCGACTTCCCTATTCTATTCTAATGGGCTCAGCTCCAGTTGTTTGACACATCTTTAACTAAAACATTCTTTCTTTTCATTCAAAATTTTACATTCGTTATAGCTCCGACGAGCGTACCCTCATTTTCATCCTCACCGCAGTCTATCCTTAACATCATTAGCAACAACATCAAAGTCAACAACACCAGCTTTGTCAATACAGGTGTCTCGCACCCTATTCAACCTAAAACACAGATATCTATCAGAACAATACTCCCAGAGAGAAATTATCGCCATGTTATTTTCCGCGGTATCCCCTCTCGCCATCATGGCCCTTGCTGGCCAGACTATCGCTGAGCCTCTCCGTCAGCCGTACAAGCTAGACCTCGCCGTCATGTCCACCAGGAGCATGTTTGGTCTTGAACGCCGCCAGGGAGATGAAGGATATGCCCCTGAGCAACAGTTTTGCAGTTCTGGTAAGACCTGCGCTGAAGCTTGTGGCAAGGGTTTTGAGCAATGTGCTTCGAATGACAACGTCGTTCATTGCTTTAACAAAAGGGCCAAGCAGACTTGCTGTCCTAGCTTGAGCGGAGGTAAGATTTGAAAATGAAATACAGCCTACTGGTCCCAGTAGATATAAATGGCATCCAACTAACGAGCCTATAGATTCTTGCGATGATGGCTACTTTTGCACATCTGATGACAAAGGCGCCACTTGGTGCTGCCCCGACAGTATGACTTTGGAGCAGTGCGCTAAAGCGTATAACCTTCCCGGCTCTCTTGTGTCGGAAGCCCCGCCGTCCACTTCAACCAAGTCATCATCTACCCAAACTTCTGCTACTACAGCTAAGACCACTAGTAGCACTACAACAAGTACTTCCTCCACATCCCCCCCACCTCCCACATCTACCACAAGCACATTTGTTTCTGAGAATGCCACAGATACCACAGAACCCCTGACCACAAACACCATGCCTGCCCCAACTACTTCACCGACACCACCCACCAATGGAATCGTCGCAGCAGGTAGCGGGAACCTCCATATCCCCTTGGGAATGATGATCCTTGCCGCAGGTGGCTTCGTTATTCTCCTCTAGATCACTCTAACCTAGAGTGAGATGGAGACAGTGTTAATGACTGGACGAGCTATGGTCTCTTTTTCTTTGCGCTGACTGGTGGTCCTATTGTCTGGATCACAATAGTGATTGTTTCACTTTATGATACCCTTTGGTCGACCGTGAAATACAGGTCAGACCCTTGATTTGTCAGCAAGAGTGTTAAGCTTGGTAGGCTGAGGGTGGGCGCAACAAGGTTGTTTTTTTTTTTATATTATTCGTTGCTATTCAGATGCGTTTTGCAAATTCATCGATGATATAGAGGGCTCGGGAAGTCAACTGCAGGGTCCATTGCCCTCCCCCCTGGGCTGTGGGAATGGCAATTACATGGGAAATACCCCTGGGGTGGACGGCTGGCTGGCTCGCTTTGGTCGATGGCTCTGAAAGAAAAGTTTTTATCATAGATACATTCTAAACTACCTAGTACCTATTCATGCCTAGGTTAATAATTTGAATCTTTTCTTGGAGGTGGATCCTAGGAAATAACGATTGCAAATCATTATGCGTATCATATGGTTATGTCTAATAAAAAACCTTGGATATTGTGATGTTGTGCTATTGTTTGGGTATGTTAGTTGATGTATGCTAAAAGTGACCAAGTGGCTAGGTATTTAAATTGAATTCGAGGATGATATGGTCTTTTGTATCTTATGAAGGACAATGAGGATGAATGAGCGAGTTGGGTAATTGCTACATATGTACACGCCCAGGTGATCATTACTTGCTTCGTGCAAGTTGACTCGTGATGAAAATTGTAGTTCCAAGGCTATGCATGCGTCGAATACGCGCGATATCTCGCTCCGGGAAACCGAATTTCTTCGTCGAGGATCTGATTCTCACTAGGTAGGTAGGTAACCTATGTACTGTAAATGGATGGGCGCGGTGGATGATACGCTAACCAGGTAGGTAGGTACATCATGAGGAAGGGGTCATTTTAGGAACTACTGAGTGCAAAGTATTAGTCTCTAGGAACTATGTGATTCAGCAATACTCAATCAAGGTCTTGAGGGGGCCAAGGTTTGTTTGAAAGACGACTGAGCAAGTAAGGTAGGTAGGTAGGTGTACATCAGGCTATCACCATGTCACAAGAATATAGCACCAGGCAAAAGGCCCAACGAAGTAACATGAATGGGTGTCTCTTGTGCTTCAATCCCGAACACACCCGCGCGTATATTAACGAGTAGGTCTTTTTTTATCACCACAAAACAAGGAGTCTATTGCAGTTCCATCGTGCCCAATCCCAATTATAGGATTTTTGCAAGAAAACCCATTTTACGAGAGAAAATCCTTTCCTTAAACAGTAGTCCTGCAATGCATTCCTTTAAACCCCCTAAATCCCACCGTCGTCGTCTATATCCTCGACATCCTCCCTGTCCTGTACAGGTAAGATACCATCCGTCGGCTCACCCTCGACAGCTTTGCCGCTCTCGTACGTGATACGCCGCCAGCCACACGGTTCGGACCCGTCCTTGATCCATTCCATTGTCGGGAAATAGTGCTCATTCTTCTTCATCGTTATGACCCACGGTTGGTTGTCAAATGTGAGAGCTCTTAGCCGGAAATCTAAATTGTACATGCATTAGTAAAGCTCGTGTCTAACTAGGGAAAATATATCGGGGGGAAACTTACAAGTGTTATCTGGGACCTTAACCACGCTTTCTAAGAACGCCTTGAGATCCGGTGTTGGCTCGCCGTTGACATGGGTAATGAAGTTGGTGGGCGCAAGGCCGTACTGGTAAGCCGGTGAACCTCTACTTCTAGCAGATACGTAGACTTCACTGGGCAATTTGCTGATCTGCTGTCTAACCGCGAGGTGAGGAACATGAAGTACCGCTCCACAGAAAGAAATAGCGTGAGTGGTTTCCACGTTGTCTATTGGCGAAGTTGGGACTTGCAATTGCATCTCGTTGCTCTCTCGGACAATGACAGCGTCAAGAATTTCGTGAGAGTACATGACATCTAACTCGGACACGCGGGTGATGATGTTTCCATTGAGGGTCAAGATGATATCGCCCTCGAGCAAAACGGTTGGGCCGTTATTGCGCTCGAATGTACACTTGGAGACCATGAATAGCTGATGGTTATGCTTGTTGGCATCGAACACTTTGTGTATCCAATCCTCCGAGACACCCATAACGCGGGCCTGGGACATGGCAATGGCTCGGAACTCCACCGGCAGCATACGCAGCTTCGGGTCCCGACCTTGCTGGATCTCTGATATAACAGGAAGTAATGTCGGTGTTGCAAGGCCGAGGTGATACTCCTCGTCCCTTGAACCAGAGGATCTCTCACCAAGATAGGTAAGCCACAGGGCTTGGACCGTACCATCCTTATCAACGAGAACTCCGCTTCCACACTGCCCACTGAGACTGGTATCTACTGTGATCGCATCAACGTTGGTAGCCCGATATCGCGGTGCACCAGAATTGGCAGGAATGGCAACGGTAGTCATCTCGGTGACTGTGGTGGCAGCATGCACAATACGGCCACTCCTGTTATATCCAATGAAAGTAGTCGAAGCGCCTTGCGTAATACTGTCTTTGCTGAACTTGGCGCTTAGTACCGGCGCATCAACAAGCGTCGGGTCGTATTTGATGATGGCATAATTTTGGAGTGGGTGCATGAAGACCACTTTACCCTCTACCATGATCGAATCGGCAATGGTAATCCATACATCGCACAAGTCATAAGGGATGACGGCTCGAGAGATGATCACCAAACCCTTCTCGGCATCAATAACTAGTCCCATGCCCCATTTCCTGTTTCTAGGAAATCCATCCAGCTTGAGAGGCATCGTACAGCCTACGCGCACAAAGCTGCGGACCAAATCAGCCACGGCAGGGTGAGAAGTATGCTCTAGCTGGATGAAAGCACCCTTACGACGCACGGGGGGCAAAGGGGGCAATGCATCAGCAATATCCGAGAAGTCCCATACACCGGTCACATCATTTCGTACTGCTAGTCGCATCTTGGCTGACCAATGCCGATCCACATTAATGATGGTGGTGTTGAGGGTATGAAGATCTCGGAGGTGTTTGTAAGTAACCACAACGCGCTTCTTGTCTGGGATCTCCTTCACGACGTCAATGAAGGCATCTAGGTCAGGAGTCTTCTTCTGGTCGACGCTTTGGATCATCCAGCCGTTATCTGCACTATCAAAGCGAAACGACCCAGTTGACTCGCATACGAAAACACCTCCGCCGTGGATGGGAACGCCATAAAGGCGGGCCTGCTGGTAGGATAGGTTGTGCACACTCGCTCCCGAGACAGTGGCGAAACGGTCAGGCGTGATGGCATGAAGATCTCCAACCTCAATGTCAATGTCGACGTCTTCGCCTCCCCTCTGAAGAGTAACCCGGATGGGTTTGCCCACGTTCGAGTCTAGTATATCATCTAGCCGAATAAACTGTGTAATCATCTCGCCATTAACTTTGAGGAGCACATCTCCCTCCTCGATTTTCTGATGTGATGGGCCTTCGGGAAGGATGATCTCAGCTACAAGCATGTTGGTTTCCTTGGGGAAAGCTTCACGAACTGCCTTTTCCCACTCCGGCGTCAGGCCTAGGCGGCGACATTCATCAAAGGGTTTCATTAGAAACTGGCACTGGATCGTGCCTCGTTCGACTGGTCTACCTTCTTGTATACAGCGAAGGGCTCTCAGGGGCCGATCTAGGGGGAGGAAATAATCGGTGGATGCGCCATCAGATCTTCCGCCAGCTTGTAAGGCTATGGCAAACCCATCAATATTGACGACAGGACTACCAGAACTGCCACCACTAGCAGCAGCGTTTGCTTGGTAATAGTTGGTGTTGAAGTCACTGTAGCCCTCGCCATATTCAGGAGCGTTACGGTCAAGTCGACTGATGACACCCGAGAGGATACTAAGCTTTTCTCCAGCATCATTTCCAACAACTCTGATTTCTATTCCGACTACACAGAAGAAGCAGATTAGAAACGTAGATTCAGAAAAAGGATTGGTGGGGTATATATAATATACCTTTTGCCAGATCTGGGCGGATGGGTAGAGCGGCTACTGGCATATAATTGATAGCTTTGGGATCAAAGCGTAGGATACCGAAATCGTGAACAGGATCTCGGTAGACGGGATATGCATCCACTTCTTCATGGTTGTCAAACACGACATAACCCCAGAAAGGACCAGCACCAACAACATGTCTGTTAGTTAGGATATAACTGTTAAGGTATTAGCAGAGAAGCAAGGGCTCAAGATAGCTGAGTCAAAATGGCCTACCCTTTCTCGGCATCAACGACGAAGCCAGTTGCTTCGCTTGCGCAGGCAGCATCTGTATCGAAAGAGCAAGTCTGGCAGAATCTAATAGAGACAACATTCTTAACAACATTCTCTATAGTAGCTTGCCATTCGGCGGTATCGGGGGCGGTTTGAGGATAGATAACAGATGCTAGCTCTTCATCTGTAGCTAGCTCGTTCTCTTCCAAGAAGGCTGGCAGCTCAGCGTCGGGGGTATTCTCGCTCGGAGACATCTTGCCGTTCATATGTCGAAATTGCTTATGGGGTCGTTCATCGCGAGAGAAGGAAGCTTTGCGCTTAGAGCGCGAGGTTGGACTTGTTCCGTTCATATTGTCGATGTTCGGTTTCGGTTGTTGAGGACGCAATGGTTGCTGGGACCAACGTGACTGTGAGGTGAGTTGACGTGTAAGACAGAAACTGAGTCGTTGGTAACGGACGTTGGGCGTGAAAACGCACCGTATCGGTGATTTGATTCGGGAGAATGCTGACGACGGTGAAAACGACCGACCAAAGGCTGAATCAATGCTGCGCAAGGGCAACAAGCGCCTCATTCAGCACCAGTTCGTTTTGGGGGGCTGTTCGGTTTGTCGACACACACATCTATTTGATACTGAGAGTTATGTATTTGAGACAATGGTTTTATGACTGCCACAACGAATGATGATAATGTTGAGGGCGGATAACAGCAACAACAATCAACAACAACGACACCAATGACAACGACAGTGATGGCAACACAGATGGTGTCACTGTGATATGTGTATGATATATACCTTATTGCCTACCTAATACAATACATACATATGTGCTGGATAGGTATGTTGTATTGTATGGTAAGGTAGGTATAGTTACATCTATCCTTCAAGTTGGCCCTCGGGATTTGGAAGTTTTGTTGACTCTCAAGACAGAAACATGAAATGAATGAGGATGAAAAAGAGGAATCTGATGAAGAAAGGAAAAGGGAAAGAAAAGTCAATGGAAATAGATGCGATGCGATGCAATGCGATGTAATGCGATTACAATTGCGATGCGATGTTAATAATGAGAAGAAGTTTAAACATTGAAGTTGCGAATCTTTGACTGGGGCAATTCTTGCCTATCTGCTTCTATCTCATTCAATTGATACTATTATGTATCTACATACTTCGATGTTGCATACTAGTAGTATATGTATTTACGATGTAGTTATTGTACAAATTTATTAAGTTTTATTATTAAGTTTTATTAGAACGTCACGCTATCGATTGCGATAACGCGTCTTTCCTACGGAGTATCTTGGCATCCGGGCGGGGATTAATTAGGTATAATTAGTAGGTATAATTAGGTACTGTATAATTAGTACTTTATGCACATGCATGCAGCAAGTCGACCACATGCAACTCTTCCATCTTCACCATTCACATTCAATCTTCACATAACTAACCTACATACTATGCCGTAACTTCCATGTCGTGTCTAGCTGCACACCTTCAGCCTCACTAATGTAGGCACACATCAATAATACTCATCTATTATACACCATAGACAGACAACCTTAACCAACGTCTTGTTGTCGAGTGACAAGCCTGTTAGTCGACGACATCGTTTAATGTCTAGGGCTGTCTTTTCATTTTACATCTCTACATCTCTACATAGGTATCTACCTACCTAATCTACTTAGATATCCTAGTATAGCATCGCTGTATTCTAGCTAGTTGCCATCCCCCTCTTCCCCCCTTGTGTTATCATGTCCCTCTTATTAGTTGCAAAGGCAAGGCTGTATTATGTCACACACTCATCAGTATAAATAATACGCTTTGCTTTTTACCTGCAAGTAGGCACCTACATAGTATCACTTCTGCCACCCAGTATCTGATTAAATGACATGTCACTGCTATGTACTACCCATTCACCGTCGGTAAATACTCCCCTCACTTGCACCCCACGGTTGCCTTACCATAGGGCAACCAGGGGTTATCACCTACATCTTGAACCATGTCCTGTGCTCTACTTTTGCTTCTTCTTTCCCCTTCTTTTCCTGCAGGAAAAGCTAATAACCTTGCCCTTTCGGACACAGCCATGGACTGATAAGCTGTTTTAACGAGCCCAAGTCCTATAATCACGACATCATTACGAATGACAAGTGATCTGTTACTGGATATGTGATTTACCTACTTATACGATGTGATAGTGGAGTTGAGGGTGAGGGTGAATAGTCAGTTGCCTTTTTCTTGGGGTTCGTTCGCGGGGCAATCATGACCCAAGAGCGTTGTCTAGTCGATGGGTACCTAGGTAGATGGGAAGTATCATAGGCAACTTATACCAGATCTGTTGCCATGTAGCTGGACTCAAGAACTGCCTTTCCCCTTCCCTTCTCTCCCTTTTCACTTCACTTCTCTTCCTTCCTCCTCCTTTACTTCCTCCTGATTCTTAGTTAGCACTTCTATAACTCCTTCCTCGACTATCATTCTATCTCAAGTCACAAGCAAACGAAAGTAACGAACCCCATCCATCTCATCTGTTAAACACCTTCGTATTAAGGTGTGTATCTCTATCCCAATGCTCCTCAATACAGCTAGAGGCCTGTTTCCTATGTAGTCCCTTCACACTTAACACTTGCCACTTGACCCTACCACCCGCCAGCCAACTTGTCAATGAACGCAATAACATTCGGTTATAACTAATTTTACTTCCAGATTTAAGGCAGTTTAGCATTCACAAGGCAACCATGACGGCCTGGACCACAGCCGAGAAGGTACGTGCCCACTTACTTACACCAAGCCATCCAATGGCGATGAGCTAAGCCAGTCTTCACAGCTTCAATTACTTCTCGGGGTCATCCACCAGGTCAACATCAGGAATCAACAAATCAACTGGCAAGAAATACATATCCCAGACCGGACCACACGGGCCAAGGTCAATATATGGGGCCAGCTGCGTTCTGAGGGAGCTCAGTACCGAAAGGAAAATGCTGGGAAGCAGGAGCGGGAGAAACGAGCTACCCCTGACCCCACCGGCCAAGGTGGGAAACGTGCTGGAAAAGGCACCCGTATGTTTACATGCCTGCTTATGCTTGATTCTAACTCGATATATCAAGCCCCGTCCCTTTTCTTTGAACTGTGTAGGTAGGTAGGTACCAAGCCAGATCACTAACACCACTTGCTATCGCAGCGTCAAACAGCGGTCGTAAGAGAGGCAGGGAACAACTGCCCGTGGAAATTGTCGCAGACGACGAAGATGGTACGTATTGATATACTCGGCCTATTGACCAATCTACCTTCCTCTTCTTCCTCTTCCTCCTCCCCCCTTCCTCTCCTCTCTCCTCTAAATGCTAACCAACACCCCCACCTCCAAACAGACAAGAAATTCGCACCCAAAAAGCCCCGCACCAATTCTAGCGTAAAGGAGGAGGAAAAGGAGGAAAAGGTGAAAGAGGAAGAGGCCAGCGAGGCAGCTCACAGCAACGATGGTGCGTACCTAGGTATCTAACTCTCTACACCCTTCTTCCTTTCCTTTCCTTCCCTTCCCTTCCCTTCCTTCTCATACTCTACCTACCTACCAACCTACCCACCTGTCCGCCCGCCTACCTACCTACTAACAACCCGCCCACCCCCCTCACCAGACAAGCCCACCACCCTCGCCAAGCGACCCTCCCGCCCCCGTCGCGGGCCCAAGCGAAGCTACGCCCAAGTCTTGGAGTCCACGGACGACGAAGAGTGGGTCCGCTAAGCTTACCCCTTGCCGACTTTGAGAACAGTTTTAGACATGCTTGGATTCGGCCTCAGCCTCACATATATATCTCCTGCCTAGGTTGCTTGCCTTGTATATGGGGTTTAGGGGGTGATTGACATCAGACTCACTCACTCACTCACTCACTCACTCGCTTGCTCGTGTCTTTCCTGTTTAGTCTATTACACATACCTGCCCTACCTACCTACGTATCTAGTCTGTCTATTTACTCTACAGTCGTTTTGTGTGTGTGTGTGTGTGTGTGTGTGTGTGTGTATAGGGGGGGTTAGTTAGATCTGCTTAGTAGGTAGATAGGTACTCATCTAGGTATACATACATACATACATACATACATGACACAAGATCGCAACCTGTATATGAAGCTTAAAGTGAAGTGCACGCTCAAATACTTGAAGAAAGCACACTATAAAGAAGACTGACTCTTTTTACATAGATGCCATGGAAGTATCTATATCTACTAGGTAGGTACCTAACCTAGTATCTTGCAACAAACTTCAATATTCTTATACATGATCCCCTACCTCATACGTGCTCTATTGTACCCCCTAAAATGCACAAGCAACCTTGGAACTATGATACATAGAGCTCATGCCTATATTATAGGTAGGTAGCTAGGTGCCCTTCACATTTCACCCAGGTGTATTACACATAGCAAGCAAGCAATTAGCAATGCCCCTCCCTCCCCTCCTCGCAAATCACAAGGGGGGTATCCCATCTCATCCTTTCCATCCACTACGATCAGCACCGCTCAAAGACCCTATACAGCCCCTTCAGACTCGCCAACTCTAGCACGCCACCCTTCATGAACGACTTGGTAGCCACCAACCTCGCCTTGAACGCCGGGAAGAAGATATGCTCCACCGCATGTCGAATCTGCGTTCGTCTAGCCTTAATCTCATCCGGGATATTTTCTTCCGCCTCGCCATCACCACCACTACCGGGGAGAGTTGGGAGTTGTTCCGGGACGTAAAAGGTCGCTAGTTCCTTGAGGAAAGTCTCGAAGCATAACATCTCGTCGGTCCAATTTACGTGAGGACCGAGGCGAAGTAGGAACTGGGGCAGTTTGGCCAGAGACGGCGTGTACCCTTTTAGTAAAAGGGGGATGCTTAACAGTTCGCCAGCGGGAGAAACCTCGAGGCTAAAATACTCGAGGAGCATCTCTCTTCTCTCGATCAACTGTTCCGCTACCGTCTCTACGACTTCGTCCACATCAAAATCATCGTCACCCACGGCAGCAACCTTTTCCTGCTCGGCTGCAATTTTAAGTACCCCTCGCAAGTTAAGCGCTGGCTGAAATTTTATCACGCCGAAGTTGCCAAAATCAGTGAGACCGACCTGGTAGAAATACTCGAAACACGCTCGGCCGTAGTCGATGAGAAATAGTTTGATGCCACCTTGAATAGCAGCTAGGCGGCGTTTCTCATCTACGATACCCACGAACGTGTGATTGGCAAATATTTCGGTGAGCTCGTGGTGCATATCATCTCTAACCGCAGACCGAAGTTCCCGCACGCTACTGAGTCGACATAGAATTGGTTCGCGGTCTGTCGTTTCGTAGACCGGCTCTTGGGGGATATGAAGTGCGGCATTATTAAACGCACCATCGCCCGGGGCTTGCAAGGCTGCAGGAAACATGCTAGTGATTTTACGTAACGAAGCGTCAGTTCGCACCATAGTACTTTCATTAGCCCGGACGGGTGTTTTCCGCACAGTACCCGGTGTCTTAGCTGGGGTGTCAACATTTTGCTGAGTTGGGTTATCAGCAAGCATGGAACCAGGAAGTAGAGTCTGTGTCAAGAATGTGCGACTTGTATCGACGGCTGCAAGTTTATCGCGCATATTCTCACATATACATTGTATGATTTCATCTTCATTGAGGAAGTTGACTTCTCGCTTCGTCGGGTGAATGTTGACATCAACTCGTTGAGGGTCAATCTCAAGACTGAGATAAACAAACGGATGGCCATTCTTAGGAAGGAAGGCGGAATATGTCTGCTCCACGGCCTTCTTGATATTAGATGACTCCACGCTACGATGGTTAATGAAAAGGAGAAGGGTTGTTTTCTTGATGTGATAATTCGCATTTGTCGCCCAGCCCGAAGCCTTGAAACCCCAGCGATCATCAGAGGCGGCGAATTCGATCAATTCGCTCGCAACAGCACTTCCATGTATCTGACGGATTCGGTCTATGGTGGAGGCTTGGGGTTGTACGGTGATTGATGTACCCGAATCACCATGCTTTTTGCACGAGAAGGCGACGCCGCCGCAGTGGATAGCATAGCGTCCCACCATGTCAATAATCTTGTTATATTCATCTGCGGGTGACCTAAATGCCCTGCGCCGCGTTGGAACGTTGTAGAACAAATCCTCCACGGAGATTTGGGTACCAATTCGGCCAGCAATGGGCTTGGGGTCAGCTGACTGGCCGGGCTTTGCAGGTGACAGCTTGCCGCTGTCGTAGTGGGCACGCCATGAGCAATCTGAATCTTTAGTCCTTGTGGTAACAGTTAAGTGAGCAATATGACTAATACTGGCAAGAGCCTCGCCTCTGAAGCCATATGTGTTGATATTACCCAAGTCCTCGAAGCTTTTTAGTTTGGAAGTGGTGAACCTCTCACAGAGGATCGGCAAGTCCTCTTTCTACCAATATAGTTAGAACTTGAGCTGTGACCCGGCATGGCGAATGCTTGTAAGTCAATAAAAAGGACTCACATCAATGCCATGACCGTTATCAGTTATCTGTAGTAACTTGAGGCCGCCATCTCTTACCAGCACTTCCAAGGACGTTGAGCCTGCGTCGACGGCATTCTCGATCAACTCCTTCAAAGCATGTACTGGTGCAACAATGATCTCACCGGCAGCAATCTTGTTCACAACATCCGGATCCAATGCCTAGACAAGCGAAATGAATGATCAACTCTACTCTATACGAGTTGGATGTGAAGAGAACCAACCTTGATCCGGCGAGGCCCACTTTCATCTACCGAAGATGGCGGTGCTTTTCGTTTGGTGCCTCTCGGCTCGTCAACATCCATGATATCGGCCATCTCGATACTGCTTTTGGTAGCTCGGCGTTTCCCTTTTAGGATTCAGGGAAATGTGCATCCTTTCCCCGGTTCTAATATTAAGATCGGGCCTCGGGAGTCTCGAGTAGATTCCTATTGGCGATGGTAAGTTATTTTAGTCGCAATTTTAGTGTATTGGTGTATTGGTGTTAAGATTTTTATTGTTTTTTTTGAAATGACATTCTCCCGTGACTGACTGTAATAGGTAGATGATATATTTGTAAGCGTCATACAATCAATGATAGATGTTTTGTGTTTGTTGAGAAACACATATAAGTACTAGGTATGTACTAGTAGTAGTAGATGAGTCTGATGAGATGTTGATTAGGTTAGGAACCAAACGCTTGAAGTTGGCAGTCAGAATCCAAATCCACTTGACAGGCCAACTTAAAAGACGGGTAAGGCAAGAAATGTCCGGTCTACCCAATCACAATTCGCCGTGCTTTTGGATGATTAACTGGGGAAGATGTACTGTGACGATTTACTGTGTTCGCCCAAACGCTTGGGCCTCTTTTCACATTCCCTTTAAGGTTCAGGGGTACATACCTACTAGGTAACCTCAGGGCTGCCACTGCCAGACCACCTATGTAGGTAGGTACCTAGTACCTAGGGGTATAATACGATTTTGACAGATTTGACAGGCGGCAAGATGGTTGCATTATAGGACAGGGGCTTTGTGACTTCTAAGATTGCAAGTCGGTAACACAACGTTGTTCAATGTTTATTAATCCTGGCCTTAACACTTTCAAGTTATACTTTATTACTACATAACTAACTATGTACTATTCGCAGTATGCAGGTACTTTCTTTCCTTGTTCATATCATTGATACTATTCACAACGTACACGTACATACCTAACCTTAAGCAGTAAGAATAATGAACTTCAACAACTCGAGTCTCGAGAGGACGAGCACCAGAATGTCTGAACGAAGAAGATATCTTTGACAATTCTTACTACACCAACCTAGCTAGTTAACTTAGAAAGATCCTGTATGATATATCATTGGGCCGCCAGAGAAAGTAGATGGCCGCCTTCTATAAATGCAACGTCGACTGGGATCAGCCGGCTCCAGGAACGCGCGCTGCCGATAAGAAAACACTCCCTCATCGGTAGCTTGTGCGACAATAGCTCACAGAAGGAGATTGCCTATTACTTACTAAGGCTAGGAGATATGTACTATTGTATGTGAGTGGTCATATTCAACAAAACCTGCTTAAGGTGCTTACTTAGGTAGCACTTTTTGATAAGCCTATGAAGGAAATTGTACGTTCAACTCACCTCAACTCATCCTCCTCATGTGAGTTCAGAAGAAGAAAAAGGCTTCATCGATGTGGAGGTTACAGCTAATTCTAGTCCATCTACATATGTAGGGCATCGCGGGAACGACACTCTTGGCTAAGTGAGTAAGGTTGCGCTCGACGTAACGGCGGGGACAATCCTTACCTTGTGTCGAGGAGAGGCTAGAAGTAGGTTAACTAACCAAGTTGTTTCTATCTATACCAGCCTAGGTAGGTGTTGTATCTCCGAGGTCCCTATTGTGCCGCTCTTCCACCTTGGATCAGTGACAGCTACTGTGTAGTACCTTGGCAGGTTCGTATAATTTATCACGTCGAGATCAATTACTCCAGTCCATATTACAGCCCTTCATATGTATGTATTGTTCAATGGTTCTCAAGTTATCGCATCCTCCTTAATTCCTTTTACATCAAGCAGATTCTACAGCTTGAAAGATACGTCACGCGTATGACGAGCCGGATGCATCGAAAAGGTACGAGAGGGGGGTCAAACCGCAGGAGCAAAGAGACTGGATGTCCTTCAACACGAGTTTACGAGTATAATCTGTATTACCTACTATATTAACTAGTACCTAGTAGGTAGTATTTTAGCAGCTAAGTTAGTCCCCCTAATTTCGAAAGTTACTCGAAAGGAAGAATGAAGCAATCCAGACTTTGTGAGGCCTCCTTTAAATTATATAAATTATATAACCCAAAAAGTCCCTCAAAGGATCATCCTCATCCAAGTTACCCCATGTCCGGCACCGCGGGCCAACACCTTCATGTATGTACTATGTGTGTGTGTGTGTGTGTGATAGTTTTCCCGCAATCGACAAGCATCACCACCAAAACGAGATGAGAGCAGAACAAGAACAACCAGTCGGAGGTTTTTTTCTTTTCTTCTCTCTCTTTGCAAATTCGCCTCCTCCTCCTCCCCCCATTCCCTCTTACTAGCGTCGGTTCATTTACAGCCAATCCTACCACCCTACCTACCCGTTGGCAGATGCATTTCATTCCCGGTGGGCTCGTACGGTAGGTACCGCACCGCCGCGGCTTTCCCTCTATGTACACTGTAACACTGCCTGCGTGTGGGCGCGCCCACCTACAAATGTATTGTACATCCTATGTGCTACTGTAGGCACACACACACACACACACACACACACACACACACACACTTGCTGCAACGACTCGGACAATTTTTGTCCACTGGCTTATCCCTGTACTTACCTACATACCTACATAGCACATAAGATAATCCCGCGCATATGTATGTATGTAGGTACTAACGTTAGCATACATGCCTAGCCTACCTAGTTAGTTACATACATAGCAACGTACATGTAAAATGGTAAGCTGTAGGTAGGTACCTTACCTACATACAGCTTGCATCTCAACCGCACTGCTCCCGCCAAACGGTAAGGATGTAAAGCTAGAATAGGATATCGAAAATGCAGATTTTTTTTTAATTCTTGGAAAAAAAAAAAAAAAAAAAGAGCGCTGTGTCCTGCTCGCTTGGAGATGTATGTACCTGTTGGTAAGATGACGAGAGTGATGAGATAGGAGGTACCTTACCTATACTTACCCGGCTATATAGGCCAGCCTGTGAAGTATCACCCAGGTATGTATGGATCTAGGTTAGGCATGTATGTAAGGCCTAGTGGGTAACTAGGCAAATACATAAATCGCATCTCTACCTATCCAGGCCAGGGAACCAAGCACCAGGCTGCTTGCTCAGTTGCCAGTCAGACACCACAGCACAGCCTTCCTCTCTCCGCGTTGTCTATCCATGGTACGGGCTTTGTGCTTCGCTATCCGGTCTGCCTGTCCGCTAGGGTAGGTAGTCTACATACATAGGTAGGGCCTTGGGCTAGCTAGGGGGGCCGAAATGCGATGGTGCAGGCTCGTGCCGGGACGTCACGCTATGTAACTACATTCGGTAGCTACCTAGCCTACCCTGGGTAAGGCCTGATGATGTATCCATGGATGTATACTAGGTATATGTATGTGCGTATGTGCGTACATATGTGTATGTATGTACGTGAGATCGGAGCTAGGAAGATCCAAAAAGCCTTGGCAAGGATTCTCAAAGAAGCCAGCCAGCCAAGCTAAACAAGGAAGCGAGTAAGGTAGGTACCTAAGGAGGAAGATGTATGGAAGAAGAGAGAGATGGGGGGGGGGGAGAAGAGGAGGAAGAAGAAGATCCTGCGGATGAGACATACGGCAAAGCAAGCCGGGCGGTAGCAGTTCAACGCGGACATTGGTTCGTTTGCTAGAATACCGTCCCGTAAGTTTGATCCCACATTTTCTATTCTTTTATGTAAAATCTTTTTTCTTCTACCTATTCCGTTATTTCCCACCCTTTTCTTCTTGTGGCCGTGTGCGGGAGAAGAAAGGGCGGTCTATCGATGTGAATGACTGAATACACTACATGAACTGGCAAAGGTACGAAGTACGTCGATTTTATTATTATTCTCTTCTTCCTTAATATGCTTTATTTATATGAGTATCTACCTACGTATCTACCACAATACCTTACATCTCCGTATGTAGGTAGGTAGGTAGGTAGACGACATGGTACATGGGATAGGTACAGTCGTAATGCCCGGAAATGAAAGCCAATTTTTTTTCCCGGCAAGAAACAACTATATTATAGACCTCAATATCATATCATATCATATCAAAACTAACCACCAGGGGAAAAGAAAGAAAGAGAAAAGAACCCCCCCCCCCCCCTCCCAAGGGCTAAGAGAAGATCCCAGCACATTGGGCTCTTACTGGCTGCCGCTTACGCCCAAGAAAACCTGACAACACATAACTGAACCAAGTGTAGTGGGATTTAAAGAAATCAAAAAGAGAGAGAAGGAGGACCGAACTAAGAAAAAAAAAAAAAGGACTCACGCTTTTAAACCTCTTTCCTGCCTACATCAACTCACCTCACCTAACCGAACTTACCTAGTACTTAAGTATCTTAAGAGCGAAGTCGACGACTATGTATGGGGGGAGGGTGAGTGTTTGCCAGGTGCCGCGGGCCGAATCCTTCGAACCATAGTGAGGCGGATTATAAGTTCGTTTTCGGCATGTATATCTGGGGGGGGGGGGGAGGGGGCAGAGCAAGGTCAGGAACACTTCAAGGATGGATCCGATGGATGGGATGGGATCTGATCAGAAAGAGAGAGAGGGCTTAAAATAACAACAGCAACAACAACAACCCGGTCTGAACCCGGAAACGAGAATTTTTATAAAGAGTCCGCGGTAAAACATTTTTGTTTCTTGTTTCCTGTTTCCTGTTTCTTGTTTCCTGGTTTCCAAGTTTCCGGGTTTCTGGATTTTCTCGCGCTTGTTTCAATTTCTTTTCTTGAACCTTGGATGCTTGTTTTATTTTTTATTTTTATTTCTTTCCCTCGTTGGGGGGCCCCCATCGGAAAATGTTTCGTTTCATTGATGATATATCCATAATAACCTAATATTTCCCAAATTCTGCAGAATTTCTACCTTTCTGGCCTCGTGCTCTTCCTCCGTCTCCTTCTCCTCCTCTTAACGCATGTTCGCGTTGAACCAACCTAGCCAACCTTACTGTACCTACCCTTGGCCATCATACACGTTTTTCTTCTGTTTTTTTTCTTTTGCCTAAATCCCTTTAATGCCCACTGCTGTTATTCAACTTATACAAGATTTCTGTTGTCGTTTGATTCCAAGTAAAGAAAAGGAGACAGAGAAAGAAGAAAGACTGGAACCTTTATTACATGATCTCTTTCTCTCCCATATCAATAGGAGTCCCTTTTCCTTTCCTCTCGCTCAAGCCAATACTGCTGGCTAGGGTAGACACGGAATATTATAGAGACCAGAAAGCAGGGAAAATATACACAAGATTTGAAAAGATGACGGACCAGAGATCCCGAGCTCAGAAAAGGAAAAACCCCGCTCGTCTGTCTGGGTATGACGGGTTTGCCATCAAACAGGTCGGGCAGGGGCCAAGCTGGGCGTCTCCAGCCTTCTTCATCGGACCACCACCCCTTTTTAATATCACAAAAAACACTACGCCAGATGTTCGACCCGATATATATTACACGAAGTTGCAGGAAAACCTTTCCGAGCGAGCGATTCCCTTCATTATGATGATACGCTCTCCTCTTTCTCCCCCCTGGCGCTGCCGCCTCCCGATGTCGCACAAGCTCCCGGTTTGTGGCGAAACGAGAGAGATAAGAGCCGCAAGCACCACGTCCCGAGAGACTTTTCAAAAACAAAAAACGCATTGGAGAAAGATGAGTATGATGAGTATGATGAGTTTGATGATATCCAAGATGAAACGATGCCAGCAATGGGTAGTTTGCAAGAGATCTGAGCCTGGAAGCCAGAAGCGATACCAGCGAAAGTGGCCCGCGGAATTATGCTCGTATTAAAACAACCCTGGAAAGCAAATAACCATGAAATAAATGGTTGGAGGTATGATGATGATATATGGATGGAAAAGATGCATTATATTGTACATGGTATCTCCTACGCAGCTGGGGACAAAAAAACGATGGATGCGCTGATGTGGGTATATTTTTACAATTCGAATGCGGATGTGGTGTTATTGGAAACATTGACTTTCGATGATAGGTGTCAAAGGCAACCCCGTCTGCGAGGAGCATCTCGGTTTAACTAGCAGACAGTGAATGAGAGAGGTTGGAGTTTTCTAGCGTCGATCGAAAACTACCTTCCTCGTCGCGATGGGTCGGGCTTCTCTATTAATCCACCGATATCGACCCGGCCTGACCTGTCATCCCGCTGCCAACCCGGAGTTTCTGTTGGAAGACCGGCTTGCCCCTGACCGCGAATAGGTGGCAGTTGATATTCCACCTGCTGAGGTGGCCTAGTGGGCGGGAGCTCACTCCTTGGGATACGATGAGACGGACCGGCTGGGGGCTCAATTCTCGCAGGCGTAGAAGTGGAATAAGGGGGTATATTCGAGCTTGCGCCAGGGGCAAAGCCCGAACCCATAGGTGTTGTTGCCGGTGGCTGTCGTGGAGTATAAGCGCCTTCACGAGACGATTCCCCGTATCTTGGTCGCCCGGGGTCGAAGGAACTCGAGACAGGGGTTAGTTGAGTGTATGGTTGAGGATGGTATGAATAAGAGAAATCTCTGGCCTGGGGTGAAGGTGAGGGACCCGGGAACGGCTGTGCGGGTCGATTCAACAGCAGCACAACGAAATATATCGAGTCCTCCTTGGCAAGCCCAATCCGTATGGGGTACAGCCTTGGTTGTCCATCCCCGGAAACAAAGGTGAAGAAATCCTGTCGATCCAGCGTAAACCTCGAAATCGAATCCGAATCAAACGACAAGGCCTGTATTACCCTCTCGGCTTCTTGTTTTCCAAAAATTGGTGGAAGATAATTCGGTTCCTTTCTGGCCTGCTCCTCCTGCAAATACCTTTGGAGCGCCATGGCTTTATCACGCTCGCCTGGGCTAACCACTTCCAACAATCTCCGTCCTACGATCGATTGCGACCCCACTGCTTCTATGAAAGTCCTTGATGCCTTTGCTATCTCTAGATCTGTTGTCAGGAATGCCACGGGTTCTGGTGCACGTGAGGTTATGGACAAGGGTGCTGGAAATATGTTTGCGTCTGAAGCCGATCCACGCTCGATGAACCTCGGCGCAATAGGGTCACTCGGCTGTGATTTTAAAACCCTATAAGGATTATTTCTTCGAAGGGGGTCCTCGTACGTCCCGGATACAGCGGTCATTGGTGAGTAAAGCGAGACCGGTCGTCGCATAGTCGGATCAGTTGGATGAGGGAATCTCGCATCGAACCGCGGCTGGTTGTCGTCGCGTAATCGGGGTCGGCCTCGTTTCTTATGCTGGACATCGACACACGAGTCTTCTTTGCCGTTACTAAGACATCGCGAACACGGCCGTTGGGCTAAAGAAAAAAAAGATCGTCAGCATTTCCATCCCCTTTCCATGATAAGTAAACGCGCGGAAAGAATAGAGTTCGCGCCGGAACCAAATTCGGACACGAAAAAGACATCATCCTAGTCGTAATCATGGCGTCCTTTGGATGAAGTAAGCGAGGCCTTTGGTAAGTAAAAAGGTCTCATGGTTGGAGCTACTGCAAGCTCGCGGAGTTCCGTCCCGTGACTCTGACAACTTCGTCCCAAGCTCAGCTTAGGTGATTTCCGGTTTACAATCTTTTATAGTGCCAATAACTCGCGTATATGGTCCCACGTATTTCGCATCGTCCGCTCTATAGTCCAGTTGAAAATCGCCGCTGAAACTTTTGATCGTCCTTGAGCATAGGTCTAATCCTCCGACCATCCCTCTAATTTTTAGAGAACATGTCCTTAAAACAGCTGAGGTGGTCCAATTTCGAAGTAGGGTATTGTCTCGGACCGGAGTTTCTTCGCTCGTGGCCATAGTTGCGATTGCAGAGTATCACTCGCTATTCGTAGTTCGCCACTCGAGAAGCACACCCAAACGTATGTCAGGGGCAAAAAGCCTACGCCGTGTGGCTCATTTTCGGGTTCTCCATGTCATGTCTTCCCTCGGAGCATAGCTAACAACAAAAAAAAAACATTAAAAATTGGAATATGATACATACCATCGCATCTAAGAAAGGTCAGCGTCTGAGAATGTATTAGAGTTAGGGGAAACTGGAGATTTCAGTAATACCTCAGATGTGCTCTTTTGCAGGGCACACAAGCAGAAGCTACGTGGCCCTTGGTTTTCCTTTGGGACTTGGGAGACGTATAAGGCGGATTCTCGGCACCTTGAGGGTTGCTCGGCATTTGATAAGGTGACGGACCTAGACTAGGCCCGACCACGGGCGGAAGTGGATAATGAGGTTGCGGCATCATGGGACCAGGTTGCGGGGGGTAGGGTATTTGTCTCCCTATCGTTTCATCCGGTCGGTGGTATGAATATGGAATTCGCTCTGGACCTTCTGGGTGATAAGGTCTAGCAGTACCTGCGGTTGGAGGTCTTAGTGGTGGTTGCGGTGGTGCTGCTCGATACTCGCCTCCCGGCATTGTCGAGCTTGGGCGGTACGCATCATGACTAGCAGGCCGGTAGCCTCCCTGGCCTCGATCACCGACCTCTGGGTTTGGTTTGGGCGGGAGTGGTGGTGGAGACCCTGACATGGGCGGAGAGGGATATGCCCTTGTGCTGCTGAGAGCACAATCCGTCTCTACTCTGGCCCAGGACAGGTCTAGAGAGAAGTTCGCCAGATTCGATATGCCTCGGCGATGGCCGAGCGGAAAGTTCGACTGCTCAGTGCGATAAGTGAGGGTTTGCATGGATGCAGTTTGGGAAGAATATACGATAGGACCATCCAGCCCCTAGCGCCTTGATTCTCCTCCCAACCGGCGGACTGATTTCCCTCGTTAGAAACACGAAAAATACAATTTAGAAGTAAAGTTGGCGGTTTTCGAAAAGTTGCATGCCCAGGCTAGCCGGCAAGTTCGATAAGAGTGCTCGAAACTCGAAGCTCGAAACTCGAAACTACTTTTTGCTCTTTAGTCCACACACAGGTCGATGTTGATAAACGGCGATTCGCGTCCAGTTCCACGAGCGCAACCCGCGCTTGGAATACTCTCAAGTTAGAAGGGCGTGTCTTTTTCCCTTGCTTTTTCTTGTCTCTGAATTCTTCGTCCCTCGATTCTGCGGGGTTGTCCCTTCACCGGAAAGTTATATAGCCCACACAGCAACTCCAGGAGAGATCAGTCAGGAATGGCAAGGCAGGTTCAGTCTTGATTCGACGGCAAAAGTTCAAAGACAGCGTTGGACAAGCAAAGTCGTCTGTGATACTGGCTCAGTCAGGGCTAGGGAATCCAGTGATACGGCGCGCGGCGGAGCTGGTGGAAACTTGGGAGATGGGATGACGGGGAGCTGCAGCACAAGACACACGACCTTTCTCCTTGTAGCACCGTCTGAGAGGCTTTGGGTCTTGGAGGCCTGCGAGGAAACGTGCTAGTAGTAAGCTGCGTTGGGCAAAGCTCGATGATGCCGGCTTGTCGACTCAAGATGGAGAAAGCTCGAACAACTTTTGGGTCTGGATAAGGTCGCGGGAGGCTTTTGTGCGACTTTAATATTAGAGATTGGGACAATTTAGGTACGAACCAGGGTATAAGCTCTTTTGGGGCGCCATACGAATGTACGAGGTATTGAAGGGTAGTAAAAAGTACAAGGTATGTATGTAGGTCACTTCTTTTTTTTTTTTTTTCTTCTTCCTCTTTTTTCCTGGTTACTAGGTAATGTATGTACCTACACCACACGCGCGCCAGGCCCTGCTTGGCAGTTCTTCGTTGACAAGCACTGACAATGCGCTGGCACGGGCGCCGGGCTGGGCAATAACTGGGGAGGGGAGTCTATGAACAAGGGGGGTGGGCATGAAAGACACAAGAGTATTGATGTAGTGTATGTATGTAGGTAGGTATATATGTATGTACTAGGTAGAAGGTAGAGGGTATGTATGTTATGTAGAAAGAGGGTAACAATACTACAGTCTACTAACCTAGACAGATTGTATCAAAGGAGAATCGGACAGTGCTGTTCTCAAGAGACCCCTGGAAGAGATTGAAGGTCGATGTGACGAAGCGAGTACATGTATACCTAACTACCTAGTATACCTATACCTGGTAGTAGGATAGTAGTACGCATGTACTCAGTGCTATGTAGTTAGACAGGCTGTAGCTGTAGTTGTAGCTGTAGCTGTAGCTGTGGCTGTGGCTGTAGTGTATGAATGGATCATGATGTATGGATGTGTGCAAGAGAGACTGGTGATGATAATAAGATCTGTTGTCTATCAAGAACCATGTTCAATGTTGCTATATATCTTCGCAGATGGGCAGAATAGTAGGTAATTGTATGTATGTATGTATGTACTATGTAAATAACAGATGACAGCAGCAAAGAAAGAAAGATAAAAAAGATTGAAGAAAAAAAGAAGCATTCGTACAAGCGTCCACTACCAGTCGTTGTACCTGTACAGGTACCCGCACGCTAATGAATGTGCTGAGAGTAAGGATGAGGATGGGTGGTATTAGTGCTAGTCCTGGTCCTGGAGATAGAAAGAAGGGTGGACCTGGCTTGACATGGTGCCCATGATGGTAGAATCCTAGCTCGGGCCAGGGGGGGTCTCATGGGTGATGCGGACCCTTTCAGGGTTAGACCCTGGCCTCAACGGGGAAGCATTGGCTGCTAATCACTAACCAGGTATTTCTTCCAGGGTAGTCTAGTTGTTAATAGCGGAAAGCGGTTTTGTTTACTTTTCTACATACATAATATTTAAGTATTAGTTAGTAGTATGCACTACATACAAGTTGATACAATTTGAAGTATCAATGATTGTAATTACAGTAATTGCATGTTCAAATGCTGTATGTACATCAATACTGTATTGTACATACCTACCTACATCTTACCAGCTCCAGCCAGCCCAGCCCAGCCCAGCCCATGTGCAGTCTCCAGCATGCAATGATGATTAACGTAATCCCCCCTATGTTCATCTTGCTCATCTTGCTCATCTTGCTCATCTTGTTCATCTAGTAATATCCCACAATCCCTAGCATTATAACTACAGACATACCATGTCATGCCACGCAAATACATGCTAGGTATGTAGTTACATACTTACAGGTACTTTTCTTATTCTACTGTACCTTACCCTTCCCTCCTCCTCTCCCCCTACAGTACCCGTGGACATGTAACTACTCCCCTTGTCAAGTCCCTTCAACTTCTTTTTTCATCCTTTCCTTCTTTTCTTTCTCCCCCTGGCGATCTTAAAGAATTCCCCGCGTGAAGGCGTATGATGTGACTCTGTCTGAGCGTTCTGAGATTGCTAAGAAATGCGCAACGGAAATAAACGAGACAAGACTCTCTCCAAAAAAAGATAAAAAAGAAACCCAGAAAAGAAAAAAAAAGAAAGAAAAACATGACTTGACTAATTCAATTGGCCAGGGTTTATCGAGATTCGAAGGGACTAGGGGCCGAAGGGTTAGAATTCTAGAGTACATATGTACGTTGTAGAGGGGGGTGTATTGTTCAACGGCTTTTAAGGAGGGGCGTGTATATGTAGGTATGTATTAGGTATGTGTGTCTGATTGCCGGTTCATCACCTACTAGGCCAGTCTACTACTATGGAGATACAGACATAGTAAAACTACCTACTTACCTACCTATGTACGTAACTTATTTCTTTAGGAGGGGGTGGGAGCGGAATGCAAGACAAGCAGTCAAGAAAATGCCCGGTTATGCGGTCTTGTCGTAGGTAAGTCGGTAGGTACCTATAGGTAGGTATGTGAGTTGGCATGCACGTAACTTGGAGACTGCAAAGAACGCCTATTGGTCTTCTTGTCTTATTCAGAAAGTTGACATATCTCGTACGCCAAACTGGTGTTTATACGACAGGATGACATCTAACCCGTAAGCTGTAAGTGAGTCGGGATATGTTGTTATTCGATGGCGCATCTACTGGACGGGGGAGAAGGATTGTCAGCAAGAGAACCTTGAAAACTAGAGGATGGGAAGAAAAGAAATAAACCACCTAACTGACCGAATCGGCTTCCGGCGTCGAATGGCGAGGTAACTATTGACCCGATCTTGATTTTCATTGGAGGAAAAGGAATCCATACGGCCTCATCTTCAGGCCTCAGCTCAATTTCTTTAATTGAGGGAGCAGCATCTTACACGTGCATTATATGAAGATGATGCAAAAAGAACAAGATCAGCGAAAGATTGGAGGTCAGTTATTTAATGAACAATAATTATCATCATGTACTACTACTACCATGTACTACTACTACAACAACTACTACTACCACTACTACTAGGTAAGCTCAAGGTCAGACGAACATCAACTACAGAAATGTATTGTACTGCGCTAGTAACTTAGGTATGCAGCTTTGTAGGAGACAGTTGAGATTTAGGATAAGATCTTTTTATGAGGCTCTACATTTAGACATTAGAGATTCTGATGTCTTCCACATGCGGTAACATACCTGGCATATAGTAATGCACTATAACGTAAAAGAATAATGATAATAATAACCAGGTGGTATCCCGAAGTTTTATTTAGTGCGCATACTACTATGTATAGTGGCCGTCGCTAGCAAAGAGCTTGCCCTCCGTAGTAGAGCATGTAACATAGTGTGTGGAACGGACGAATATAAATAAATAAAATAAATGAAAATGGATTCGTGGGTATGATGCTTAAGCCTGAGCCTCATGGCCGCAGCTACAAAGTACTATTTATCTGCCGAGTACCTACCTTAGTACCTCCTAGGTAGGCAAGGACGAGCATGGAACATGGGGGCTACATACATGTATTTACCTACCAAAGTATATAAATATCTACTCGACGATGGTGGTGAGCGGTACGGTGCGCTGAAAGTATTTACATAATCAGTCCTACCACGTACCTGAGTAAGTAGGTACATATACCTAAGAGATCGTAAATCGTGATTGCTCAATGGTGGATAATTTACAGCCGCGGAATTAAAGGAAAAAGAAGGGGAAAGCCGTCAGCAACGTACATACATACATACATACAGACACACACACATACAACAACCATGGCCGTTGCATGGCAGCATGGATTTGGATGATAGATAGGATAGGGGAAGGCTTGTGCGGAACCGGACTCATCAACAATCTGGCCGCATCCCTAGGCAAGCGGCAGTTTCTTAGCGGCGGCTCTTCGATCATCGTCACATCTTGGGTGGAGGGAATCTAATTGAGTGATGTGATGAATTACAGAGGTTTGATTGTACTTCATTTCACCTCGTATTATAAAGCGCATCTCTTCAGAAAAATCAACGAATGGGGAAATCTTGCAGGTACTGCATAGTGTATGTAGGTAGCTAGCTGTAGGTACATTATGTAGGTGGTAGATGGACCTTAACCTGACCTACTAGGTACCTACGAATAATACATAACCTGGGTTTCGATCATTTTTCTGCACGGGGTATAAAAACCTGGGCCGCCCAGGCGTGGCCCGCAGCAGGGATTGGGTAAGGGAGACAAGGAGGCCTGCCGAGTTCATGCATCAAGTAGTTATTATTTCAAGAGTATTGGGGGTGGGTGGAAGGGTTTGTACGGAGGTAACTACCTAGGTATGTATTTTAACTACATCCATAACATTATCATAATACATACGTACCTACATACTGTACATACGTGTTGCTCCATTTATTCTTATTAGCCTTGCATATTCATCTTATTATTTCATCCCATCTTGTGAAGCTGGCGGAGAGAGCGAGATGGAGAGAGAACTTGGAATGCCTAACTTGGAAGTCAACCTTGAGTAAACAAATATATGATGATGTAGTTACAGGTTGTTACTATATCCCTATCTACCAGGTACAATACCTACGTAGGGCACTACATATCCAATATGTATTGTACAAGTTGTACAACTTGTAGTTACATCTGTATATGAGGGATTGCTTAAGCATCTAAGCATCTAGCCTAGTGTAGTGGCTTACTAGTTATTATCTATCCAATTATATCCAATCAGGCTGCTTGCCTACTAGATAGATAGATGAGAACGTGTATAATAGTTGGAGAATATAGAGTATAATTGTCTCCTTTGGGATTCTTGTCTAGACTCTTCAAGAACCCCATGTCCAACAATGACGAACATTGGAACAGGGATATGTAAACTATCGATCATGATACATATGGTGCGATGCGAGGATCGACAGTCACATCGTCCGAGCTTCTTATCATTTATGCCTTAATCGTTGGATGTCATCCCGCCTCATTTCCCCAGAGGAACTTTGGTTAAGAAGAGGTATACATATCATAATTACCTATTACCTGCTAGGTATAAACATACATGCATGTGAGTATAAGCTGGTAGCCCAGTGGTAGGTTCATGTTGGTTAGTAAATAGTTTAGGAGGTTGGTAGGTACGTAGATATTGAGATATGTATGTACCTACCCAGACTTATGTACAATATCAATTATGAGGATTCGAGACCCGCGGTTGATCGGCGTGGGGTTATATGCTTGCTGGGCTATATGCTGGGTTATATGCTGGGTCACATCAACCTCAGCAAGTTAAGGGTTAGTTCATTGTACCTAGACCTGATGACATGTGCGTGCTAGAGAGAACCGGGTAAGAGTGCAAATGCAGGATCCCGAAATGGCAAAGACTAGGTACTTGCATAGTAGGTACATACAGAGGGTACATGTCTATGTAGTAGATGATGTATGTAGGTAAATGCTAACTTAGGTAGACAGCATGTATGTAAATAGGCTGGTTCATCTGCAACAGCCTCGAACCTCACGACTAATAATAAATGCGCAATCCGGCAGAATTCGGCATATACCTCTTGTCATATTTCAACGACTTTGCCCTATTTCTCGATAGAGCTAGGAGAATGCATAGTCGAGTAAAGTACAGTTAATTCTTCCGAGCCTATAGCTACGCACATATCCAATACATCTTCAAAGTTGCTAACCTAGATGCAACGGTATCATCCCGCTAGCAATCATAATTGCGGCGATGCCCTACCTACCATGCAACTTATAACACATGGCAACTAATCATGTATTTCGTACTCTCTCCCTAGTAGGTACCAATAAGTAGATGTGTGGATATGTACACGGTAGCATCCATCATTGACCTATGTAGGTATGTACTGTAGGTAGATTGTCTGGTGATGGTCAGCATTACCATCCTACTAGGTTAGGTACTTACTACCGACCTACCTAGCTGACAGGCTGCCTAGTAGCCTACCTAGTCCTATGTATGGATGTATGGATTGTATTGTATTGTACATCTGATGGGCTGTAGGGCTGGTATTGAGATACATACATAGTATTGCCTGTGTACCGAGTGGGTTGTGGCTAGAATGCGGCTGCTCAGAACCGAGTTTGCCATGTGGTCATACAACGGTCCCCTATATTGTGGCTTCAACGGTGTCCAACGGGCGGCCTTGGTCAAGAAAAGTGCCTAGAGGGCAGCTAGATTAACATACCACAGATTACACGCTTACCGCGTTTTTAATAGGTATGGATACGGCGGATGTGGGTTGCCAACCAGCCAACTATGTCTGTGACGTTATCTAGCAGTCTAGGCGACTCTCTCGTCTTGCTCTCTAATTTGACCTCTTCCAAGCTATGTTGACATTGGTAACCTGTAGGTCGAAAAGTCGCGACCCTAATTATCATCGTCAATGCATTTTGTTGATGATGTTGCACTTTCATATCGCGTGCCTTCAATAGTATAGTCTATTATGCCGGTCCATCCTGGTTCTAACATCCCAGCCTTTGTCTTAAACCGTTGACAGGCTTATTATGCTCTTAATAGGCCTGAGCAGCACCTCTATCACAGGCTAGGATGTGGTCCTCCAACGTCTATCCATTGCTACGATCGTAAGTGCAACTTATGGACAATGAAAACAATGAAAACAATGAAAACAATGAAAACAATGAAAACAATGAAAACAATGAAAACATCCCGATGTGGTTGTCTAGGTACCATCTACGGGCTTAGACCTCAGACCGCAGAAGACCTCAAACGAACAGAGTGGTACCTAAGACCCCGCCCCCCTTAAAATTCAACAGAAATAAGGAATACGGGAAACTCGAACAGTTTGATAATCTATTACAGCCCACTTTGGTAGCCTGCTGCCCGCCTATCGACCTCCAGAATCCAGGCTGCCCAAGTCATAATAAGGATTAAATCCTCCGGTCGATCCCCGCTCCAAGTGCCTATCTAGGTACATTACTACCATACATAGTATAGTATAGTATAGTATAGGCATGTACATAGATACCTAGTACATGGGTATACTATGAGGCTTTGGCCTTTCCTACACGCGCTCACGGAGCTGTTTAACTTGGACGCTCGCACGCCGTAAGTCTGTTAAGCGATTGTCTCAAACAAGACTGAATCAAACATGACTGAAGCGTGGCAACTAGTTACTATAAGAGACAAGAGAGAAGAGCAATGGCGCTTCGTGGAACTCGAGAAACGTTGATGGCACTAATCATGTTCACCTAATTCGCCAAGATTCGAATTGGCCTTGAACAAGACCCTGGAAAAGAGAGACGCCTCCTGACTCCTGAGTCCTGAGTCCTGAAGGGCTTTGCAGTTGATAGGATTACCCCCACTAACCCCACTGAGCCAGACAAGATGGTCAACCCCCGAGATCTACGAGGCGTTCGGCTGCCATGTAGTGTCTCCCGAGCCCAATAGGCCCCTATCCCTGCCCGGGGGGGCCACCAGGAAAAAGGGCCAGTAGACTCTTGTCTAATATCTGAAGATTCGTGACTGACCAGGTTATGGCCAATCAAACTATTAGAACTGGCTGGCCCTTTATGGTTCGACGCCTACTTTTTATTGCGCCTAGGGACTTTGTACATACATATTGTACTGTATTTGCATTGTATCGTACACTGCAGGAAACGCAGGAAACAGTGCAGCTGAGAGGGTCCAAAGAGAACCTTGGATTTGGAATGTTGGGGAATGGTCAAGCTGGGAGGAGGAGAAGGAGCTTAAAGCGATCCTCTTCGTCGATTATTCTTCTGGTTTTCACATTACCATTGCCACCTGGTTTGTTTTTCTTTCGCATTGGATCTTTTCCAATCAATGGCAGTAGATGTTTTCAGCGCCAACACCACGACATCGTGTGCCTCCTCAACAATACGTCCGTTGCTTTGTACACCGCAAATTTTCACCCGAGATCAGCTGGACTTAAGATTACTGCCATGATCTCCACATGGGATGGGACCCTGATGCATGATGCGTTCCGGCATGTGCAGAAGCCTCCCAACGTTGACAAGCTCACCTCGCCTCTCGCTACCCGACGTCGCTGTGTCTTGGTTGACCGTGGATCAACGAACCCTTGCGAACCAAGTACAGACGTCGTTCTCGAACTCCCTTCATACCCAGGCAGGTAGGTAGATATGCGTACGTATGTACGTGTGTATGTATGTATGTATGTGCATACATTTAGCATACATACATATCTACATGCGTACATACACACGCGCGTAGTAGGTCTAAGGTAATGATTTAAAGGATAGAGCGGGCTTACTACTTACCAGGAGTAATAAGTAGTAGTTCAATAATATGAAGTGGAATTATACATCGTAAGCCGACTTATGCGCAAGCCCTTACTCGCACAACATCCGCTCTGCGTGCTTCTGCGTACATGTATCATGATGTACGTATGTACACACATGTCTAATACATGCCTAGCAGACTATATGTAGGTATATAGAATATAGGTATGCATCGATGGATTCAACTATACTAAGGTCATAGTTATGACATACGATATATGATAGTCATAAGTAATAAAGTGACAGATGCCTCCATATACTTACCTACTATTATTACTTAGTTACCTCCCTACCTTGCCTAGCAAGTATTAATGAGTATTCGTATGTAGGTTGGTTTAAACAACAATGACTATATGTCAAACACCTTATCACTATCACTCTTTGAAGGATCTAAAATAGAGCCGGAGGATCGGAGATTTTCGTCGAAGCAAAGTACCCTTTTTTTTTCTTCTTTTGTTGATTTCCCCAGTGTCTTTGCGTTTCGAGCTAACCTTGGAAAGCGTTCGTAAGATGATTATCATAAGGAGCCCTGGAGCCTTGGGGAGTCTAGGTTAATTAGATATGTAGGTACCTAGAAAAAAAGAAAGGGAAAAGGAAAAAAGAAGAATTAAAGAAAAAAAAAAGAAATTATTCTTATCCACACTTTCAATCGGGCTTATCCAATTTACGCGGAGCGTTCCGGACAGCCACTGCAACTTCCAAGTTCAAGGTTGGAACAATTGGAACTCCCAAGGCTAGCGATCGGAACAATGAGCGCCGCTCACCGCTAAGGAATTTAAGGAACATCAATGATTGTAATTAGTTATGATTGAATTTGAAGCTAAAAAAGGAACCTTGACCCGTGACTCGAACTAAAGGAACTTCCCAGATTTCAAGATTGCCAACTTGGAACTTGAACCTTGTGGGCGCTTTACACCAGTTAGCCCTTTCCAGTAATGAAGGTAACAATATTTTAACCCCGGAAGGCAATAGACCATAGTTAGATCCATCTGTATGTAAGTAGCCTATGGTACCTATCTCCTATTAAACTGCACTACATCTACATACATCATTTGACGCTACACATCCTAGTAGTACGTACCTTCCAAAATGCCTACAATGGCCCTACATGTAAGAAGAGCAGATGCAAGAACCTTGGGGGCTGCAAGTAAAATTCGATGGTAATTTTCCGCTCCGGAACGCCTCATATACCGTCATCTTCAGCTACCAGAATTGAACTTCCTTATCCACTTTTATTTTCTCTTCTTTTTTCTTTTTTCTTTCGCGTGTCTCAAGAATTCAAACTCCATCATCCATCGTGAGAATCATCATCTCAATATTGTCTTCTTATATTCATATCCTTCAATTAATTCTTTTCTATAATAAGCCATCAATCTCTACTTACATTACCTAATTATTTATATGCATGATGTAGTTACATATGTACTACCTTGCTATCTACTTGAATACATGCCTACTATCTACCCACAGATACCTCATTTCCTTAGTCCCATCCGCTATATTCCATCCACTTTATCATCTTAAACCATCCATAGTCTAAGTGGAACCTATCTCATTCCCGTAGTCAAGGCATCCTCGACTGCGCACGTGGTAGTTATTATAGCTCTCTTGGAACAAGGGCCCTCTTCCTGACCCCGACCCCCAAACCCCGACAGATCTGTGCGGTGCGGAATAGCTATAGGTAAGGGCCTAGTTAATAGCAGGATAATATTGAACCTGTGCCAGAGGCTCTTGTTCGCCAAGGTCGTCAACCGAGATTTCTTGCATATGTACGCCTGCTATCCCTGTCCCTGTCTCTTACTAGATATGGCCATCAAATATCAGCGAAGGAGTCCAATGCGTATGTATGTACCCCGTACGACCTGCTAGAGCGCAGTGGTACAAGTACAACAGTCAGAATCGCAATCAGGGCCAGTCAAAGATCAGTTCAGTCAAAGTAAGACATCTCCCCCTCCTATAGCATTATATCATATACCCATTGTTGACGTAGCTTAATTATCCTTGGCTCGGATAGGATAGCTTGGCTTTAGACATACTACCTAGGTATGTAAAATACTACATATTGTATTTACATATGTATGTATCACCTAGTAGTAGTTACTAGCTACCTATCTAAGTAGTGTACCAACGACCTAACCTATATGTAGGTATCTAAGGTCGAGGTTCTTTATTAAAGCCCTGCCTTTTGAGACTACCTGGGTAGGTAGGTACACGATACTAGTTCGACAACAACCCAGCAATATTCCCTTTGGTCAAATGATCAGGTCAGTCCAGTCCAGTTGGGTTACTATCTGTCTCTTATAAGCCGGGTTGTCATCGTTATTACATAGTACATGGCAAATATGGAAAATATCGTCAGTCTAGTGGCTAGTTTCCGAATTACCGAATTACCGGAATCGTCGACTTGCAACCAGATGCAATTCAAAATCAATATTCAATAAACCCTACCTGGGTACCTACCTACCTAATACATACATAGTAGGTAGATATGGGTCACCCAAAAGTGGTTAAATTTTAGCCATCCAAGCTATTGCCGGTGTATGTACCTCGACGATATACACACATGCAATTATTTGCTTATACATATGTATTCATTCACATGATTTACTATACACCCATTTCGACAACTCTTATGGGACGTCAGCGTCATTCTCTTAGATGCTGTCGCCAGATCAAGCGAGCACCCTCAAGCGGGCACTTTGTCCAATATAAGGGGTATCGTCATACTCTCACCCTGCTTTCAAACACAGACCTCCTTCCCCTCTTCAATGCTAGCCTGGTACTGATGGCGTAAAGCCGAACGCGAACGCGAGAATGATCAGAAACAGGAACAGGAACATCACAAGAAGAGGATCAGGGCAAGGCCAAGTCGATTGTCCAGTGGAGCTTCTCCGACCTTAAATACATACAGTACCCCTAGGCCTTCTGGCTGGGAGCTTAATTAAGCGGTCTGTATAGGTAGCGGCTGGGCACCGCGTAGTTAGTGCTCCCGCCCGGATGGTAGAGCAACTGCGGTTTATCGCCTCATTATTACCCAAACGGATTCCTGGACCACCTAGGTGGGACAGGCACAGACCATCATCCCGGTTTTGTACAATACGTGGATGTGGGTGATTACATGGCAGCCATGGTCGAGATAATCAAGTTAGCCGATCATCCTACCAGGTGAATATCAATTCCGTCGTAACATTGTCATCGTCTAGGCTCGCGGAATATTGCACGTCAGCGGCTGGGCAAAGCACGACTATCGTATGGTAGTACTATTCCCAAATTTATATGATATTACATGTATGTATTGAAGCCCCTTCGATCCTAGCCTATGAGTACTCGGGATTTCCATCACGAGTATACAACTTCTCTCGACTTGCATTTATTTGCATGATTCCCTAACTTAGTACTCTTGTCTTCTTGCCTCTCCTTGTGTCCGAATAGGTGTTCCCTTCCCTATTTCATCTTCCTCGACCTTGGGCCGAGGCAAACGTACCACCGTGTCCACAAGATGTAACCGAGATGCATATTACCCTGGCTATTCTCCACAGGTCACCATCATAAGTGTCACTACGTGGTGGAGGATGGTAAGACGGGGCGGCCAGAGATGGACTTGTCTTGTCTTTGCCTATAGTACTACTACTATCACCACTGCCACTGCCACTGCTACGACGGTGGTTATTATAAGCTAACGTCGTTCTTTCGGTAGTGCCTGGCACGGTAGTCGAAAGCGACAAGTCCGGGCCAGCTCCGAGTTCTCTCCCCCGCCGATGTGATATACCTTTAAAAAATGACTACTCGAAAAAAGAGAAGTCGTTCATCTCGCCTAGTCGGAATATTTTTATGCGCCTGGATCAAATTGTGATCTTTAGATGATTATGTTGCACGCGATCAACCCGTAATTACAAGATTCATGCGTAAAATGCCGCCGGATTAATAGCCCAACCAGACGGAGATTTTCTTCAGCAGGGACCCATTTCATCTGTCATGCCCGATGGGATCTAGCCCTTGACGTCCCCGACCGTTGGAGGAAAAGCAATGACCTCCCATAAACTACTACATTGATCAGGTATTTTAGCTGCTTACCTAGCAGCCTACCTTGTCAGCCAAAGGATCTTCAGCTAGGTGCCCATATGGCTGAATGGAGAGAAATAAGAAGATGCTGGTTGCGATAATTGCGACAAATATAGGCCTAATATATTTATGACGCCGTACGGGTCTGATTGAAATGAGAGTTCCATAGTGGATAAGACAAATTTATTACCAGTCAGTCGGGTACATAACAATGAATGATAAGGGGTTTAGGAGGTCCGGGGCGGCCCTTCGATTCCACATCGCCCTAAGGAGATCGGCAGGGCAGGGCAACGCTAGGACTGCCCAGACATCCGCCGGTAAATTAATACGCAAGCTAAGGACCAGGAAGGATATTGACTGGCCTAGGCTTGGCCTAAGCTTGCAAAGTCGGACGTGGGGAGTTAGTTACGTACTATACCGGGGAATTACTCCTTACCAACTTACTATAGTGGGAACAGCTTACCCTCGAAGGGCCTCTGCTCCGTTTCCAATAGCCTTGATGGGGGCCGTACCTGCAAAGCAGCTTGGTTGGATTGGGAAACACGAGGCGGCTGTCGAGCGTGTTCCATCGTCCCAGAACATCGTGCTCTATGGTTCAGAACTTCCCTCCCTCCCTCCCCCCTCTTCTCTTCCAAGCAGAAAAAAAAAGGCACGCTGAGATCCCTCACGAGCGAGTTTCCGGAACTGGAGATGTAGCCGACAAACCGCCGACGTTCGAAGATTCTACTCGCATTCTTCCCGCATACCGTCTTGAGGTCATTATTCCGTCTGGGACCTACAGGATGGATCCACAGTATTGTGCATATATTCACACTCATACATACTACATGCACTAGTAGTGGTAAGTAGTACCAGACGGAATGATCGTGAATATATGTACTTGTACATGTGGTTACGCGGTTCGTTACTCAACTACATGTACATACATACGAAGTATCTAATAATATTGGCAGATTTGTACAATACAATATGTACCCAATAGGTAGGTACTATGGTAGGTAGGTAAGTACCTACGGCA